GCCCCACTGGTGTCCGGCGCGATCGCACACCGCGCAGTAGTGCGTCTCGAATTCGTGTCGCAAGCCGTACTTGGCGCCCAGGATCTCGATCTCTTGTGGCAAAGCGGCGTTGAGCGCACCCTTCTGCGTCTCGATGGAGCCTTTGGAAAAGATCAGCATGTAAGCGAAGGTACGCGCAGTGGAACCCGTCTTCGGTCATGGCCATCGGATCGCCATTCGATCGACCGCGAGGCCCCGCTGTAATTGCATCAGGGTATAACCTTGCGTGCGACCTGCGCGGCCGAACGAAAGGGTGATAGCATCATCGAGAGATTTTCGGAGCACGGAAGCGGGGATCGCGCTGGAGGAGGAGGGCAAGGTGAATCGCACCTGCACGACGTGGTTAAGGGGAGAGGCGCTGGGGAGCTCGGTAACCATCTCCTTGCCGTGGTAGGGGAATGGGCCCACTGAAGCGGCTTCAAGACAAGCTTGCTCGGATTCGAATACAAGCTCGTACATGTGACGAGCGATCGGGAACCTCTTCGTGGCTTTCGTCACAATCGGGTTCAGCTTCACGCATTTCGAGAAAAGCTTCTCGACCTCGGGTCAAGCACGACGCCCTCGGGCCGCGCGAACATGAACGGCGTCTCGGCCAATCCAAAGTGCTTGCGCAGCGCGGTCTGTACAGGACCTCTGGGTGATCCAGGACCATCCATAATGACTCGAATCACATTGGAGGCCGGGGCTGCGTCGTTTCGCACCGCTCTTTGGGCGGCTCGTGCGAGCGCTGGCGCCTGCGAAGGCGGGGTCGAGGCGTCGTGCATCAGGACCATCAGTCGGCGGGTCGACTTGCTGGAGGAACAATCCCGAGCACTTGGAAGGTCTTCTTCATCAGCTTCTCATGGTCCAACCGGACCTGAGTTGCCTCGGGCGACCAAGCTGGAGGATTCGCGGTTCCTCCAGTGACCGCTTCACGCGTTTGCGTGTTGAGTGATGAATCACTCGCGCCATTACCACCCAATAGGTCCTCGGGCGGGGCGCATCGGCGCCGGGCGGATCCGGCATCGCGTGTTTGTGTTGACCTGTAAAGCTTAACGGGCTTGGAGGTCAACTACTCACTCTACACCACAGAAACTCACTTGTGTGTGTGTGTGTGTGTGTGTGGTGTGTGTGTGTGTGATTTTTTTTTTTTTGTTTGTAGAAACTGTGTGTGTGTGTGTGTGAATTTTTTTTTTTTGTAGAAACCGTTCATCATATTGCCCCCAATTCCTGTTCCCCCTGATTGGCCTACGGAAAACTAGATGGAAGTCGACGATGATACAAACCGCCCGCAAGATGCGAGAAACGGGCCAAGTCCACCAATCCGATACTTCGGATTCAAGTGCCCCAGCCAAGCGGTTGCTCCCCCCAGGAGACGAATGAGAGAGAGAAGAGAAAGAGAGAAAATGAAAAAGAACTGGCGTACTAACGACAAGAGGCCCACCCCGCACCACTTCCCAACTCGGTCGAGACAAAGACAGGAGAGCGACTGCGCACTACCCTGACCCGCGAAGTCCCCAAGTCTATGCTCGGTCACAACAAGACGCGGTGGAGGCCCCTCAAAACCTCCACCTCAGCAGTCCCTGGCCCCTCAAAGCCGACTTTCTGCCTGTGTCTGCTGATCCCTCCCTTGACTCAGAACCCCGAAGCCAAAGAGCGCGAGCCACCGTCGAGTCAATCCCAAATCGCGAGCCGGTCCATGAGCAACGGAGGCAGACCTGTAATAAAAGAAAGAAAGATGAAGAAAATATATTTAGTATACAGTTTTTGTAAGAGGATGTGTGATGTGGGGTGTGTGAGTGTGGGATCGGGTGGGGGGAAATCGAACCCAGCCTCTACTGCCCTCGCCCGCCTTGCTCCCGCCCTCAACTTCATCCTCTCCTCCAGTACCACCCTCCTCCGCTCCAGGCTTTCCATCCTCGTCCCGTGCTTCTGCATCCTCCATCTCCACTGCTGATCATCTCCAAGACCATCCCCGTGAAGATCTCGATCGTCCTGCCGCGCCTTCCGCTGAGCTTGGCCTTGAGCTTGTCAGGAGCTTGTCGTTGATCGTGTACTCGGCGTCCTCGATCGTGTCGCATCCGAGCGCGTCGCAGAGCACGCCCCTCGCCGCGATCCAGACGTTTCGCGAGTCGAAGCAGCCGAAGAAGTAGTGATCGGTGTCGTCCACCGGCGCTTCGCACACGAGGCACGCGGGAGAAGTGTCGTGCTTTTGCTCGTGCTGGAGCTTGCGCGTCGGGGTGAAGCGGAGGATCAGCTTGAACCAAACTTCCCTCTCCCTCGCCGTCAGTGCCTTCGAGTTGACTGCCTTCCAGAAGCTCCTGAGGTCGTCCGGCTGCGGTGGTCCCTTGAGCCCGAGCATGTTGGTAAATGCCTTCGCGTTCAGGACCCGGCGGATGCGACGGACTGTGTAGGGGCGAGCCATGTTCAGCAGCGTATACTGGCTCGCCTGTTGTGGAAGCACCGGGTCCGGAAGGCGCTGCTCCATTGCGAAGCGGGCCACGGGCTTGGGGATGATCGCCTCGAGTGGTGCGCTGGTGCCGATCCGGGGAGGCACGTTGAGTCGTCCCGCCGCCACCGCCGCCGCCAAGGGGGTGTTCTTGTGTCGATCGACAGTGAACCGGTACCAGGCCGCGATTGCCAGTCGCTGCGGGAGCCCGCGTCGATCGTACTCGCTGTTGTCGCCGAGCACATCCGCCGGCGGCGTCCAGAGGTGAAACCCCCCACCCGCATACAACTCGCGTCGATAGAGATCCGCCACCTTCGGGTAGCCCTGGAGACGAAGGTAGTCAGGTACATGAACCGCGTCGATGGTCTGTCTCCCTCTGATGGGGGTGTGGAGGCTGCCGAGCAGGGTGGGCAGCGCGAGCAAGTTCGCGGTGGTCAAGGCCCTCGGGTTGACCTGCGCGTCGTGAAGTTTCGGAACGCCCAGTGCGGCGTGCCATCGGGGATGAAGGTCGTTGGGGATGGGAGTGGATGGATGTGGCCAGAGATCGGTGGCCAGGTCGAGGTCGGGCTGAGCTCGCTGGAGTGATGCGCGCGCAAGTCCTTGCCAAATCGCGCCGGAACCGCCGAGAAGAACGTCCCAGAGCCGTGCCGCAACCGCGTCCACAACGTCCCGCATCCTTATCACCCCGAGTCCCCCCTTGTTCTTGGCGGTGAACACAATGTCTCTGCCGTAGCTGGTCCTGCCCTTGCCCCCACGGACGAAATCGACGAGCATGTCATCGAGCTTCTTGACGACTTCGGGCGGCGGATGTCGGCTGCAAGGAAATGCAGGATCTTGGGAATGGCGTACCGATTGACGTAAAAGGCACGGGTGTGGTGCGTGAGCCAGCGATGCTGAACCGCTTCCAGCGTCGCCTCGAGCCGTTCGATGAGATTCGCGTAGGCGAGTTCGGTGTCGCCGCTGGGGTCGAAGGGGAGGCCGATCCACTCGAGCGACTCGCCTGCGGCCTTGACGACGATTGGCCGTTCCCCAGGGTCCCAGCGACGTCCAATCGGTAGGACGACCGTCTTGTCCGTGTTGAGCCGGCCATTCGTTGCATGCCTCCAGTCGAGCGCCAGGTCATCGAGCAAGTTGAGTGACTCCAAGCCCGCGACGGCGACGACAACGTCATCGGCAAATGCAAGTGATGTAATGGCGCGGCTCTGTGGGTACGGATGAAGTGCAGGTATGGAGAGATTCAGCGCGATGTTTCGACGGTGTAGAGCATCCAGGAACGGCTGAAACACGATGTCCCAGACCGACGATGACGCCGGGTCCCCTTGGCCGAGCCCACACGTCAGTCGCACCGGCGCCGTCAGGAACCCATTGATGATGTAGGCGCGCCGAGGTCGAGTCACCCGAGTAGAGCATCCTCAGCACGCGAAGAAAGGTGGTAGGAGCGCCCAGAGCGTCGAAAATGGCAAAGATCCAGTCATGCTCGACGAGGTCGTAGGCGGATGATTGGTCAAGAGACAAGAGCGCGGCCGCGGGGAACTCGGTCCTGCGCGCGCGCAAGTTCCTCGATCAGGAGACGAAGGTGTAGTGCAGCGTCGGCCGATCGGGCGGTCCTTGACGAAGCCGTGCTGCTGCGGCGGGAGGAGATCGGCGCAGATTTGGTTCAATCGGGCGACGTAGACCTTGGTAAAAATCTTGTAATCGCACTCGCGCAGGGGTGATGGGGCGATACGACGAGAGGTTCGGCGCGATCGGCCATTCTTCTTGTGGCGCTTGAAGATGAGGCGCACGAGTCCCTGGCCCGCTTGGGAGAGAGTGAAACCGCGCTCGATCATCGCGTTGTAGGCCTTGGTCAGCACCCTTGGACCACGCCTCCGGTGCGGTCTGATAGAGTTCGTAAGGCACGCCCCGACGGGCCCGGCGATCGCCCCGGGTGCGTCGTCCCGATCGCGGCCACGACCTCGTCCTCGGTGATGGGTTGCTGGAGGAGATCAATCTGCGCTTCCGAGAGTCGGCGCAGAAAGAGCGGATCTGAGCGCGGGTCGTCGCAAGTCCGTGCCGCCCTGATCGGCACGAGGAGTTCGTCCCGAAGTCGGTCGACGCGTTCCGGATCACGAGGCTCGATGTGGTAAGAGGCGCTGGAAATGCGCCTGCGTGTGGTCAAGAGCGACATCAATGTCATGCGTTAGCTCTCCGTTGCCCAAGCGCAGTGCTGTGATCTTGGAGTCCGAGTTCCGCGCCGCGAGCTTGGCGTGGGACCGGCCGCGACAGTCGTTCCTCGGAAGCGATCTCGGGGACGTGGGCTCGGATCCGGAGTAGGCGCGCGCGCTCCTCGACCGCCCGCTTGAGTTCCTCGGACGTCCTTGTCCATTCTGCCGTTTCCGCCTCCCCCCATACCGGTAACGCCTCCAGATCCTGCACCCTCCCACCAAATACTCCATCCGTTCCGTCCGCTCCCGATGCAGCCTCCTCGCCATCTCCCCACCCCTGTCCCTGCACGCCTCCAGAACCTCCTCAAGCTCTCGCACCGGATCCTCCCCGCTTGCCCCTTCCAACCATCCTTCCATCATCCGCTGAAATTCCACCGTCTTGAAGGTTGTGGTATTGATTCGATGTAGTTGGTCGGATGTGGTAGGTAGGCTGAGCTGTGGGAGAGCCGCATCAAGATCGTCTGAGAGAGCTAGTACGATCAAGACCGGTCGGTGATCGGAAAGATCCTTGGGATAGTCGTAGATCGTCGAGGCTTTTTTTTTTTTTTTTTTTATTTTATTACTGGGGCTCATAAATTGCAATCCTTCGGGTTGGCTGGGACCGCTAGAAAAGAGCTAAAAGAGGTTATAAAGCAACGACGGCAAGCAATTGGGTGAAAGTCAAACCCCTGCGCGCAAAGAGCGCTGCGCAGATCAAAACCCGCCGAGCACCTAACGCGGACTCCAACGGGCGGTGAGTACTGCTGCCGCTTCACGTCCCAAGAGCGGGAGCGAAGATACTCGAAAACCAGGCAAGAGCGCCTAGAGAAAGAAAAGGGGAGAATAAACAAAAATTCACGACTGGAAACACGGAGAACCAGGAATACTAAGACAGAGAGAGGGGAGGAGGAGGGGAACACACCCGAGGGGCCAAGGGAGGGGGTCGAAGCCAGAGCTAGAGGTCCCCAGGGACTGACAGGCCGCAGCCAAGCCCCAGCTACTCGTCACCCCGACAGCGCCTGATGTCCTCCCTTGGCTGAGTCTCGAGTGCTGGCTGTTGAGCCGTCAGGGCCGAGCGAAAACGATCCAATACAACGAAACGAGCCTCGCCTTGACGCGAGGATATTGACCAAAAAAACGAGCGACCTTTCTTCCCGATCCATGCCGTAGATCTTGACCAACGCGAACGAACGATCTATTCGACGGAATCCAACACACGGCTTAGGAATAAAAGGAGAAGTGGCTGAAGCGTAGTCAACAACCGAGCAACAGGAACGAGATGAGGAAGAGAAGGGAGAAAGGGGGGGAAAGAGAGGGGAGAACTTCACAAAGCCTCCAACGCAACGACGATCGACCCGGCTTGCCGATCCATCCAAGAACGAAAACCGCTACTGCACAAAGTAGAGAGAGGGAGAGGTGCGCAGCCTTCCACTGCGCAACAAGTTTCAAGACAGTCAGCTTCTGAAAGAAAAGTCGACCTCCGAAAAGGAAGGGAGGAAAGGAGGGGAGAGAGAGCAGGGAGGAAAATGGGAAGGAAGGACTTAACTCGGTCATCACACCTCCCAATCTCGAGCCCCAGGCACAAAGCCCGCTCGAGAGAGAAAATCTCGCTCGAACGCTCTGAGCGCACTGGGAAGCGAGGGAGAGGCCACGACGTTGTCCAGCTCGAACCGCTGATGAACGCGCCAGCGGAGCAGGTGCAGCCGCTGGAAACCGATCGCGCAGGCCAGCCGAACCCACATCCATTTCGAGGTCGTTCTCCCACGACCCCGCAAAAGGGGGAGCCCCATAGTCAGCTGCTCCGGAGTGAACGTCGACGGATCGACGTCGGTATCCTCGATGCCGAGCTTGTCAAGCAGAATGCGTAGCACCCCACCCCAGAAGCTGGTCGAGTACGCGCACTCGAAAAAGTAGTGGGACACCGTCTCGATGACCGCTGCATCGTTGCCACAGAACAGACACGTCGGCGAAGAGGCATGACCCTGAGTATGCTGCCTCTTGCGCGTCGGCGTCACGTCATACATGAGCCGCCAGTGGGTGTCCTGCTCGACAGCAGATGCGAACCGGTCATGAAGCCATCTCCAGAAGCGCTTCCTATCGCTCTGAGAAGTCCCATCAGGGAAACGCTTGACACGGTCCTCCCTCCCTGGGAACCGCACCTTGTTCACAAGCCGACGAAGCTTGCGAATCGTAAAAGGTCGGGAGAGCCCAAAGAAGTTGAAGCACCGAGGACGGGGAGCCTCCTTGAGAGGTATCCGAGCAGGTCGCAACGCGGTCTTGGGCAGCAACGCTTTCGCCTTGAGCAACTGACCCACGCGCGACCACACGTGCTCGTGCTGTAGGGCGGGTTCCTTAGAGTGCTGCCAGAACCCGCGTCGATGACCAACCAGAGCCCATCCCTTCCCTTCGTCCCTCCAGTACAGGTCCGCGATCTGCGCAAACTTCGCCACCGCGTCCGCATCGTCATATGCGTGCTGGGCACCTTCAGCATAGAGTGAAGGGAGGCGAGGCGGAAGCGAGAGCAATTCGGGAAGCGTAAGGAGTTCGGACTTGATGGTTGGAACTGTGACCCTGGCCGCTGCAACGACTGCCCCCCAGCGCGTCGAGTCGCGATACAGCTTCTCGACCCGAGCCGTGCTGCTGAAGAACCCCCACGGACTGAAATCGCGGGTCGCAGCGACGAGGGACCTCCAGCTCTCGCGAGCTAGGGGCGCCCAGATCGCCTCGTCCGAGCCCGCCACAGCATCCCAAAATCGAAGCGCCACCGAATGAACGATGTCGCCAATCGAAATCAAACCCAAGCCACCGTCCTCCCGAGCCTGGAACACGAAATCGCGAGCGACGGTATTTCGCCCTGCTCCTCCCCAGACAAAGTCCGTAAGTGCCGTCTCCGCCGCCTTAATGAACCATTGAGGCGGTATGTCGAAGGACAGCACGTGGAGGACCGTCGAGATGATGTGAGCGTTGGCATAGAAAACCTTCCCACTCGGCGAAAGTGTCCGGTCTCGAGCGGTGCGGGCCTTGGCCTTGATCCTGTCAAGAACATGGGTCCAAAACAGTTTCGAGTCACCGTGGCGAAAGAAGGCATAGCCGCACCACTTGAAGCTCTCCCCCTCCTGCACCGTTGGCAGCGCCTGCGCAGTCTCGTCCCGAAGCCAGTTCGGTCCGAGTGGTAGCACCAGCGTCTTGTCCGTGTTGGTCTTCCCGTTGGTAGCCTCGTACCACGTCTGCGACAGCGTTTGCAGCTTCGACAATGCCGCCGGTGACTCCACCACCACCACAGCATCGTCGGCAAACGCCAGATGCGTAAGCTGCGCACGCGGCCCCCCTGGCCACACCTTCTGCAGGTCGAGCGCGATCCCGCGCCGAACGAGGGCGTCGAGGAAGGGCTGGAACGTGATGTTCCAAACCGGGCACGAGAGGGGATCCCCCTGACCGAGACCACACAGCAACCGCACCAAGTCCGTGGGGAACCCATTGACAAGGTAGCGCACCCCCAGAGTCTCGGGATCGTAGAGAGCGCGCAGCAGCGAGATGAAACGCTCACCGAACCCAAAGGCCTCAAAGACCTCGAAGATCCAGGCGTGATCGACCCGATCGTACGCGCTCTGCTGATCCAAAGACAAGAGGGCGCCCTCGGGGAAAACATCAGTGCCTAGCGACTTGAGTTTTTCGAGAAGGAGAGTGAGATGACTTCCCGCGTCCGCTGAACGTCTTGATGGCATGAAACCGTGTTGCGCCGGCGGCAAAAGCTCGCCGAGCACCCCATTGAGTCGCGCCACCAAGACCTTGCTGAGGACCTTGTAGGTCGTCTCGCGCAATGTGATCGGTCGGTATGCCCCCAGTGATTTCAGATTGGCCCCCGGTTTATTCTTGGGCAAGAGCCGCACCAGCCCCTCTGCCAAGGACGCCGTCATTTTGCCGCCCTCCCAAATCGAGTTGAACAAGTCCAACAGCTTGGGAGCAAAGTAGGTTGGCAGCGCCTTGAAGAGCTCGTACGGAATGCCCGAGGGCCCCGGTGATCGCCCCGAATCCGTCTTCTTCAACGCCGCTTCAACCTCGAGGAGGGTGAAGGGCTCGTCAAGCGCCACTCTCGCTTGACGAGGCAGCCGACGACCGAACGTAGGGTCCGAGCGGTCGTCATCGTAGCATTTCGCTGCGCGAATAGGGTCGAGCAGGGACCGGCGTGCGTTCGTCGGGTCGCCACGAGCTGGGTCCGGCGTGAAGAGCGACTGCGCGTGCCGTGAAGCAATACCCAGCGCCTCCTGCATGTCAACGGTCTCGGTGCCATCCACATCCTCCAGCGAGACGATGCTCGTCTGGCGACTCCGGCGGTTGAGGCGCGTGCGAATGCTTGCCGATTGACCTTCCCTCGAGTCGACTGACGGCACATGCGCACGAATGCGCAGCCACTGAGCCTCCTTTACCGCCAACTGGTCCAACCGCGACTTGGCAAGAGCATACACATCGCGCTCGGCCTCATTCATGTGCTCACCGCGTGCCTCCAAAGCCTCCATGACGGATTGGCTCTCGGCCCGCAGTCGGCGCATGTCGGCACGAGTCGAGCGGTATCGTGCATGGCCAGCGACTGCAACCGCCCGCAGAGCGGCGTCATAGACGTCGCCGAGCGGAGCGGTCCCCTCGAGCCTTCGATAGACCTCGTCGACGACGCCGGGAATCGATGCGACAAAGTCTTGATCGTCAAAGACCATTGGGTTGAGCCTCGAAATGAAATCGCTCGTGGAGGGAAGAGAAAGGGGGGGTTCGGCATCAGCGTTCGATGTAGGCAAAGCGAAAGTCGCAACTACAGGTCTGTGGTCCGAACAGGGCGCATCGAAGAGCGTAGAAGCGCTCAACAACCGGTTCGCCCAACTGCATTGGACAAGAATATAGTCGATCCGCGACCACGAGCAAATCTTTCGCTCTTCCCCTCTACCACGGTAGTGAGGACGAGTGAATGCAGGGGTGCAAGAATGGACATGTCGGACCGTGTCGAGTGCCTTGAACGCGATCTTTGACAGCAAGGTCTGCCAGTGCGATACAGGAGTCCAAGCGCGATCGGTGATGGACACTCGGTCGACCGATACATCCGGACAATCGTTGAGATCGCCGGCCAAGATCCGAAGAGTCTTGGGTCTCGGGGCGCTGAAGTGCAGAAGCCCGAAAAAGTCGCGACGATCGTCCTCCTGCACCGGCGCGTACATGTTGATGATCTCGACATCGAGCTCCTCAAGACGAAACACCGAGCGCAGAATCCGACCGTCGAAACGAGGAGCTCCTGCAAAGACGACCGGGGTAGAGGAAAGGAGATGGCCCGCCAAAGGTGAGCCATCGGGTATGAGGGTAAGGACATGAGGAGTGAAACGAATACAAGCCCCCGGCCAAGCACTCTCGAAGCCTTCGCGCGACGCGTTGTAGCTGAGGTGGTGCTCTTGCAGGAGGATGGCCGCAGGGGCCGGCCGAAGGGTTTTGAGATAACGGATGATTTTGACTTGGTTGACTGCGTTCTTCATCGATCGGACGTTGAACGTCAACACGGTGAGTGACTCAATCATGATTAAATCAGTTCAGCGCCGCCCCCCTCGAATTCGGTCACCTCGGACCTGTGACCCCCTGAACTGTTGCCCCCTGAGCCATCACCCCCTGATGCACCGAGGATCATGGCGGATCCCGCCCGGGTGACACGTCGGTTGCCGGGTGCCGAGCTCGAACGAAGGCGTCGAGGACTCGTCGAGGCTATCGAGGTTGTCGAGGTTGCCGATGATCCCGACGTGCCACCGGACAAAGGCGAAGGAGAGGTCGGGGTCGAAACGGGCGCCGCCATCGTCGTCTGCGTCTCCTTTGTTGAGCCCAGGGTCGCACGCGTCGACGTCTCTTCCCCAGTGTCGCCGCCCTCCGGTTCGGTCGAAACGACCGACTCGTCGTCGCCGTCGTTCGCGTCGTCCTTGTTGGCGGTTACTGCACCTGCGGGGTTAGCACGAGGTCCCAGCTGGATCATGTTCGCGCCAGAGACACGAGAGTTCAATGCGGCAGGCCCACCGTGCTTCCCATTCTTTCCAGCAACTCGGAAGCCGGTGGTCGAAGTCGAAGTCGAAGTCGAGGTCGAGGCCCCCGGAACAGGGGCGGCGGTGGCCGGAGTCGAAACCGGCTTCCTGCAAGCACCCCACTGGTGTCCGGCGCGATCGCACACCGCGCAGTAGTGCGTCTCGAATTCGTGTCGCAAGCCGTACTTGGCGCCCAGGATCTCGATCTCTTGTGGCAAAGCGGCGTTGAGCGCGGCCTTCTGCGTCTCGATGGAGCCTTGGAAAAGATCAGCATGTAAGCGAAGGTACGCGCAGTGGAACCCGTCTTCGGTCATGGCCATCGGATCGCCATTCGGATCGACCGCGAGGCCCCGCTGTAATTGCATCAGGGTATAACCTTGCGTGCGACCTGCGCGGCCGAACGAAAGGGTGATAGCATCATCGAGAGATTTTCGGAGCACGGAAGCGGGGATCGCGCTGGAGGAGGAGGGCAAGGTGAATCGCACCTGCACGACGTGGTTAAGGGGAGAGGCGCTGGGGAGCTCGGTAACCATCTCCTTGCCGTGGTAGGGGAATGGGCCCACTGAAGCGGCTTCAAGACAAGCTTGCTCGGATTCGAATACAAGCTCGTATATGTGACGAGCGATCGGGAACCTCTTCGTGGCTTTCGTCACAATCGGGTTCAGCTTCACGCATTTCGAGAAAAGCTTCTCGACCTCGGGGTCAAGCACGACGCCCTCGGGCCGCGCGAACATGAACGGCGTCTCGGCCAATCCAAAGTGCTTGCGCAGCGCGGTCTGTACAGGACCTCTGGGTGATCCAGGACCATCCATAATGACTCGAATCACATTGGAGGCCGGGGCTGCGTCGTTTCGCACCGCTCTTTGGGCGGCTCGTGCGAGCGCTGGCGCCTGCGAAGGCGGGGTCGAGGCGTCGTGCATCAGGACCATCAGTCGGCGGGTCGACTTGCTGGAGGGAACAATCCCGAGCACTTGGAAGGTCTTCTTCATCAGCTTCTCATGGTCCAACCGGACCTGAGTTGCCTCGGGCGACCAAGCTGGAGGATTCGCGGTTCCTCCAGTGACCGCTTCACGCGTTTGCGTGTTGAGTGATGAATCACTCGCGCCATTACCACCCAATAGGTCCTCGGGCGGGGGCGCATCGGCGCCGGGCGGATCCGGCATCGCGTGTTTGTGTTGACCTGTAAAGCTTAACGGGCTTGGAGGTCAACTACTCACTCTACACCACAGAAACTCACTTGTGTGTGTGTGTGTGTGTGTGTGTGTGTTGAGGCATTTTTTTTTTTTGTAGAAACTGTTCATCATATTGCCCCCAAGTCCTGTTCCCCCTGATTGGCCTACGGAAAAACTAGATGGAAGTCGACGATGATAACACAAACCGCCCGCAAGATGCGAGAAACGGGCCAAGTCCACCAATCCGATACTTCGGATTCAAGTGCCCCAGCCAAGCGGTTGCTCCCCCCAGGAGACGAATGAGAGAGAGAAGAGAAAGAGAGAAAATGAAAAAGAACTGGCGTACTAACGACAAGAGGCCCACCCCGCACCCACTTCCCAACTCGGTCGAGACAAAGACAGGAGAGCGACTGCGCAGCTACCCTGACCCGCGAAGTCCCCAAGTCTATGCTCGGTCACAACAAGACGCGGTGGAGGCCCCTCAAAACCTCCACCTCAGCAGTCCCTGGCCCCTCAAAGCCGACTTTCTGCCTGTGTCTGCTGATCCCTCCCTTGACTCAGAACCCCGAAGCCAAAGAGCGCGAGCCACCGTCGAGTCAATCCCAAATCGCGAGCCGGTCCATGAGCAACGGAGGCAGACCTGTAATAAAAGAAAGAAAGATGAAGAAAATATATTTAGTATACAGTTTTTGTAAGAGGATGTGTGATGTGGGGTGTGTGAGTGTGGGATCGGGTGGGGGGAAATCGAACCCAGCCTCTACTGCCCTCGCCCGCCCCTTGCTCCCCCCGCCCTCAACTTCATCCTCTCCTCCAGTACCACCCTCCTCCGCTCCAGGCTTTCCATCCTCGTCCCGTGCTTCTGCATCCTCCATCTCCCACTGCTGATCATCTCCAAGACCATCCCCGTGAAGATCTCGATCGTCCTGCCTGCGCCTTCCTGTTCGCTGAGCTTGGCCTTGAGCTTGGGGAGGCCAAAGAGTCGTTGTAGTGTCGTGTACTCGGCGTCCTCGATCGTGTCGCATCCGAGCGCGTCGCAGAGCACGCCCCTTGCCGCGGTCCAGATGTTCCGCGAGTCGACGCAGCCGAAGAAGTAGTGATCGGTGTCGTCCACCGGCGCTTCGCACACGAGGCACGCGGGAGAAGTGTCGTGCTTTTGCTCGTGCTGGAGTTTGCGCGTCGGGGTGAAGCGGAGGATCAGCTTGAACCAAACTTCCCTCTCCCTCGCCGTCAGTGCCTTCGAGTTGACTGCCTTCCAGAAGCTCCTGAGGTCGTCCGGCTGCGGTGGTCCCTTGAGCCCGAGCATGTTGGTAAATGCCTTCGCGTTCAGGACCCGGCGGATGCGACGGACTGTGTAGGGGCGAGCCATGTTCAGCAGCGTATACTGGCTCGCCTGTTGTGGAAGCACCGGGTCCGGAAGGCGCTGCTCCATTGCGAAGCGGGCCACGGGCTTGGGGATGATCGCCTCGAGTGGTGCGCTGGTGCCGATCCGGGGAGGCACGTTGAGTCGTCCCGCCGCCACCGCCGCCGCCAAGGGGGTGTTCTTGTGTCGATCGACAGTGAACCGGTACCAGGCCGCGATTGCCAGTCGCTGCGGGAGCCCGCGTCGATCGTACTCGCTGTTGTCGCCGAGCACATCCGCCGGCGGCGTCCAGAGGTGAAACCCCCCACCCGCATACAACTCGCGTCGATAGAGATCCGCCACCTTCGGGTAGCCCTGGAGACGAAGGTAGTCAGGTACATGAACCGCGTCGATGGTCTGTCTCCCTCTGATGGGGGTGTGGAGGCTGCCGAGCAGGGTGGGCAGCGCGAGCAAGTTCGCGGTGGTCAAGGCCCTCGGGTTGACCTGCGCGTCGTGAAGTTTCGGAACGCCCAGTGCGGCGTGCCATCGGGGATGAAGGTCGTTGGGGATGGGAGTGGATGGATGTGGCCAGAGATCGGTGGCCAGGTCGAGGTCGGGCTGAGCTCGCTGGAGTGATGCGCGCGCAAGTCCTTGCCAAATCGCGCCGGAACCGCCGAGAAGAACGTCCCAGAGCCGTGCCGCAACCGCGTCCACAACGTCCCGCATCCTTATCACCCCGAGTCCCCCCTTGTTCTTGGCGGTGAACACAATGTCTCTGCCGTAGCTGGTCCTGCCCTTGCCCCCACGGACGAAATCGACGAGCATGTCATCGAGCTTCTTGACGACTTTGGGCGGCGGGATGTCGGCTGCAAGGAAATGCAGGATCTTGGGAATGGCGTACCGATTGACGTAAAAGGCACGGGTGTGGTGCGTGAGCCAGCGATGCTGAACCGCTTCCAGCGTCGCCTCGAGCCGTTCGATGAGATTCGCGTAGGCGAGTTCGGTGTCGCCGCTGGGGTCGAAGGGGAGGCCGATCCACTCGAGCGACTCGCCTGCGGCCTTGACGACGATTGGCCGTTCCCCAGGGTCCCAGCGACGTCCAATCGGTAGGACGACCGTCTTGTCCGTGTTGAGCCGGCCATTCGTTGCATGCCTCCAGTCGAGCGCCAGGTCATCGAGCAAGTTGAGTGACTCCAAGCCCGCGACGGCGACGACAACGTCATCGGCAAATGCAAGTGATGTAATGGCGCGGCTCTGTGGGTACGGATGAAGTGCAGGTATGGAGAGATTCAGCGCGATGTTTCGACGGTGTAGAGCATCCAGGAACGGCTGAAACACGATGTCCCAGACCGACGATGACGCCGGGTCCCCTTGGCCGAGCCCACACGTCAGTCGCACCGGCGCCGTCAGGAACCCATTGATGATGTAGCGCGCCGAGGTCGAGTCACCCGAGTAGAGCATCCTCAGCACGCGAAGAAAGGTGGTAGGAGCGCCCAGAGCGTCGAAGATGGCAAAGATCCAGTCATGCTCGACGAGGTCGTAGGCGGATGATTGGTCAAGAGACAAGAGCGCGGCCGCGGGGAACTCGGTCCTGCGCGCGCCAAGTTCCTCGATCAGGAGACGAAGGTGTAGTGCAGCGTCGGCCGATCGGCGGTCCTTGACGAAGCCGTGCTGCTGCGGCGGGAGGAGATCGGGCAGAATTTGGTTCAATCGGGCGACGTAGACCTTGGTAAAAATCTTGTAATCGCACTCGCGCAGGGTGATGGGGCGATACGACGAGAGTTCGGCGCGATCGGCATTCTTCTTGTGGCGCTTGAAGATGAGGCGCACGAGTCCCTGGCCCTGCTTGGGAGAGAGTGAACCGCGCTCGATCATCGCGTTGTAGGCCTTGGTCAGCACCTTGGACCACGCCTCCGGTGCGGTCTGATAGAGTTCGTAAGGCACGCCCGACGGGCCCGGCGATCGCCCCGGGTGCGTCGTCCCGATCGCGGCCACGACCTCGTCCTCGGTGATGGGTTGCTGGAGGAGATCAATCTGCGCTTCCGAGAGTCGGCGCAGAAAGAGCGGATCTGAGCGCGGGTCGTCGCAAGTCCGTGCCGCCCTGATCGGCACGAGGAGTTCGTCCCGAAGTCGGTCGACGCGTTCCGGATCACGAGGCTCGATGTGGTAGAGGCGCTGGAAATGCGCCTGCGTGTGGTCAAGAGCGACATCAATGTCATGCGTTAGCTCTCCGTTGCCCAAGCGCAGTGCTGTGATCTTGGAGTCCGAGTTCCGCGCCGCGAGCTTGGCGTGGACCGGCCGCGACAGTCGTTCCTCGGAAGCGATCTCGGGGACGTGGGCTCGGATCCGGAGTAGGCGCGCGCGCTCCTCGACCGCCCGCTTGAGTTCCTCGGACGTCCTTGTCCATTCTGCCGTTTCCGCCTCCCCCCATACCGGTAACGCCTCCAGATCCTGCACCCTCCCCACCAAATACTCCATCCGTTCCGTCCGCTCCCGATGCAGCCTCCTCGCCATCTCCCCACCCCTGTCCCTGCACGCCTCCAGAACCTCCTCAAGCTCTCGCACCGGATCCTCCCCGCTTGCCCCTTCCAACCATCCTTCCATCATCCGCTGAAATTCCACCGTCTTGAAGGTTGTGGTATTGATTCGATGTAGTTGGTCGGATGTGGTAGGTAGGCTGAGCTGTGGGAGAGCCGCATCAAGATCGTCTGAGAGAGCTAGTACGATCAAGACCGGTCGGTGATCGGAAAGATCCTTGGGATAGTCGTAGATCGTCGAGGCCTGGTCGAGCCTTTTTTGGTGAGCTCTTTGTAGGAGAAAGTAGTCAAGCCGGGAGAAGGAGTTGGGTCGCTTGCGATTGGGATTAGGTCGAGTGAAAGATGGGGTGATGGGGTGCTTGTAGCGGATGCAGTCCGTGTAGGCCGAGTCGAGCTTGCCCATCAGAATCGGCCAGTGGTGGCCGCGCCGACTTTGGTTCCGCCGATCGACTTCTGGGCGCGGGCAGTCGTTGAGATCGCCGCCAAGGAGTCGGAGGTGGGATTTCTGTGTTTTGTGGAGGATCAGTTTGTCGAAGAATTTTGCTCGTTGTTTTGGGTCAACGGGCGCGTAGAGGTTATTGATTTCTAGAATTTTGATGTCGCCCCGCAGACGAAAGGAGGTGACGAGGAGCCGGCCGTCGAGTGCCGAGTGGGTGCGCAAGAGCTCGGCGTCGATCAGGGGCGAGTCGGCCGGGATCAGGGTCAGGCAGTGCTGGTTGATGAAGAGCTTGCCCTCGTACTCGTCCTTGATGAGCTGCCAGAATTGTGGTCTGATGAAATGCTCTTGTAAGAGAATCGCGGAAGCTTTGAATGTGGAAAGGTAGGTGTAGATATTACGTCGTTTTTCCGGGACCCCCATGCCCCTTCTTACGTTCCAGGTGATGATGGTGTGCTTGATCATTAATGGGTAGTCGAGGTCGAGGCGCTCTTGGCGGTGGTGACGTCCTCAAAGAGGGGAAGGGCGGGCAGGACATCGTCCTCGGGCTCGTGGTCGGACCATCGTTTTTCCTCAGCTACCCCTCTTCCTTTCCCTCTGTCCACCTTCGTCACCTCGACCTGCATCGCCGCTGCCGCCGACATCGACCTCGTCACCCTCCGCCCCTCTATTCCATCCTTCACCACGACGCGGCTCTTCCCTTTGATGATGACTCGCTTGGCGTCGGTCGGTTCGTCACTTGGGTCACTGAGGTCCGCCGCAGTCTGCGACCTCTTCATCACCTGCTTCTTGAACTTCGCAGCGGTCCCCCTGATGTTGATGGAGCGTATCTCACCGTCCTCGTCCCACGTGGCAAAGTTGTGACGCACCAGAGGGGTTTCAGCGTTGAGCCTCCTCTCGATGCTTTGGTCCCGCTCAAGTCGTGCCTGCTCAACCCAGTTAGCTCTGATCCTGTCCCACTCCTCCCCCTCGCGTAGCGACTTGGCGAGAGTTTCGGGTGACAGAGGTGGGGTTGGTTCATGCGGCGTCGATTCGCGGGAAGCGGTGGCGGCGGTTGCTGTGGCGTCGCTGTCGTCGTCATTGTCCAGCCTGTTCGTTTCCCCTAAGTCCGTCGCTTCCGCATTCTCCGCTTTCGTCGATCCCCTCGCTTCGTCCACATCGCCCACCTCCGTCGCCACCTCCTCTTCCTCCATCTCCGTAGCCACCTCTCCTTCCGTTTCACCTCTTTCATCCGCCATCACCTCATTCTCATCAATCACCTCTCCATCGGATCCGCTGCAGTCCTCCAAGACCGACTCGTCCTCGCTTTCAATTTTGATGACCTCCGTTTTCGCGGCCGCCTCCGATTCCATCTCCGAGTCCTCCGAGTCCTCGTCATCCGCCTTATCACCAGCGTCTTCCTCCCCCGATTCCTCCGGTCCCTGTTCGCCCTGGCCAGTTACCTCTTCCTCCTGTCCCTCCTCGACCTCGAGCCCGGCGAAGTGATTCTGTGATGCGATCCTGTTAACAACCAGCACAGGAATGGGGGCCTCGGCCTCCGCGATGTTGGTGTTGTGGGTGATGGTGTTTTTGTTGCTGTTGATGATGCCGTTGTGAGCCTCCTTCCGCTTCCTCTCCTGATCCAGTCCGCAGGTTCCCACGTGACCCACAAAGTGGCACCTACCGCAAGCCGCCTCCTTCTCATAGTCATGGCGAAGGGCGGTAACCGGGATGCCTCGAGTGGGAAGGTCGATCCTCGAAGGTAGAATCTCCTTCAAGGTCGTGTTGGGGCGTTGAAATAGGGAGTCGTCATCGAAGTGTAGGAAAGCCGAGTAGTCTCCGGCAACGTGGGCGAAGGCCGAGGCGTTGTCCACGCTGATAACGCGCAGAACCTGCACAAGTTGGCATGAATGTCCCTTGCCTGACAGGTCTTGCACAAGTGATTGGAACGATTTGATGATGGCATCCATGGAGGGCACTCCTTGAACACCGACGTTGATTCGAAGCTCGACCATGTTATGGTGGAACCTGTGAGACTTCGCGAAGCGGGCCTTCGCCGATCGCCAAGTGAGAGCGGGGGGCGTCGTGAGCGCCGCGTCACGTGCCTCGCCGGTGACGAACCCAACCGTAACGCGATGGTGAGCCGCCCCATTACGCAGGATTGATGAATGTTGTACGCCTAAGATCTGTGGTTGATAAGCCGCAAGATGGTCCGGCAGAGGAACTCCAGGCTCAAAGCAGATAGGAGAGATGGGCGATAGCAGCCTCGTGACGCAGGCCACGAGATCGATCTTGTCGGCATGAGTCGCTCGCGAGGCGCTCTGGTGAGACAGAGTCACTTCAAGGGCGTAATCGAAGATGTTCTCGACGGACCGGTTCGCGTTCAAGGCCGAAAATTTCAGCGATGTGGCGGTGGCGACGGGGTAGAGTTCGGCGAAGTAGATGGCCTGGACCCAGCGATCCATGCGGTTTCCGGGTACAGCACCCATGGCTTGTAGGAGGCTGCCCAGAGCCTTGGCACGCTGTTGTTGTTGTTGCTGTTGTTCAGGTGTTTGAGTCGCCATCTGACTCGCAGCGGCAGCATAGTTGGGTGCGGCGGTGGCGGGGCCCGTGACTTGCGTCTTCTTCGAGCTTATCGGGATCCGGTCGCGGGGGGGCTGGACGCTGGTGGCGGATACCGGTGGTGGCGGTGCCGGCAGTGGGGACCCAGGGTCTCCGGTAGACATCTTGTCGGTGTATCACTTGTTAACTCGAGTATCGAAGGCTGCAGTAGGGCGATTGTGAAGTGAAGTGAAGTGAAGTGAAGGCATTTTTTTTTTTTTTGTAGAAACTGTTCATCATATTGCCCCCAAGTCCTGTTCCCCCTGATTGGCCTACGGAAAAACTAGATGGAAGTCGACGATGATAACACAAACCGCCCGCAAGATGCGAGAAACGGGCCAAGTCCACCAATCCGATACTTCGGATTCAAGTGCCCCAGCCAAGCGGTTGCTCCCCCCCAGGAGACGAATGAGAGAGAGAAGAGAAAGAGAGAAAATGAAAAAGAACTGGCGTACTAACGACAAGAGGCCCACCCCGCACCCACTTCCCAACTCGGTCGAGACAAAGACAGGAGAGCGACTGCGCAGCTACCCTGACCCGCGAAATCCCAAGTCTATGCTCGGTCACAACAAGACGCGGTGGAGGCCCCTCAAAACCTCCACCTCAGCAGTCCCTGGCCCCTCAAAGCCGACTTTCTGCCTGTGTCTGCTGATCCCTCCCTTGACTCAGAACCCCGAAGCCAAAGAGCGCGAGCCACCGTCGAGTCAATCCCAAATCGCGAGCCGGTCCATGAGCAACGGAGGCAGACCTGTAATAAAAGAAAGAAAGATGAAGAAAATATATTTAGTATACAGTTTTTGTAAGAGGATGTGTGATGTGGGGTGTGTGAGTGTGGGATCGGGTGGGGGGAAATCGATTTGAAAAATCACAATTCAAAGTTTATATAGCGCTTGTTATACTTACGTGTATTGAATCCTGTCTTCGTAGCTCAGCTGGTTAGAGCGTCCGACTGTTAAATCATGTCGTACATATATCGGGAGGTCGACAGTTCAATCCTGTCCGAGGACGGTCCTTTTTTTTTAATGCGGTTCGGCGACCCCGCGAATTGTCCTCTCTTGCATGTGATGTTATTTTTCTTAGCTCTACTTGCCATCGTCGGTTCCCGTAGCTTTCTGTCATTGTGATTACTATGGTAAGGGAGGGTAAGGGTGGTTCGGGGAGCTGGGAAGTCCGGACCGTAGAAAGACGTCGGCGCACCGCATATTGCGGATCTGTCGTCTCCGAGTCAGTGTTCAGGACTCCTGTTGAGTGTTGCGTATGGCAGTAGGGGTAATGAGAAGAGCGCATGTTCCGAACGAGTGGCTGGGTCTACTCGCACGACTTTGGGAACTCTTGGGCGTGGATGCAGTGGGTGGAAAAAGGTCGTTGCTGTCGTTGCTGTCGATGTTGCGCCATCCTATAGGATCTGGGGACCAACTTTGGTCCTCGACCGCCTAGATCCTACCTCATATTTCGGGTTCCCGAGAATGAAAAAAAAATCAAAAAAATCACACTATTGTGCCCACATGGGAAGCTCGAGAGTGCCATGACTTCTCTGTAGAGGTAGCTAACCAATAATCACTGCACAACCCCCGACTTAGGCCCCGGCCGCCGACATAAACCAGGAGCCTCACCGGCTCTGTTTGTTGGTCTCGCGCCGACTTCTGCAACGTGCAACTCTACTCGGGACTCGTCTGGGCCCACTGGGCGGCGAGGTAGTATGCAAGGCGTGTACAGCAGTGCCGCCCATCTTGTGCCGTCGCTGCCTTCGACGAGTAAACGCAGCCGCTCGTCCTCCCCTGGTGGACCCGCTCGTTCGGCCAAGGTCAGCACACCAACTGCGAGTACAACATCTCTTACACTACAGCGGCTGACGACTCTTTGCCACACATATATGCGTGCCACTAGAAACGAGCGCTGTGGACGACCCACCCTCATCTGCTCAACAACGCTCAGTCCAGCGAGGTCGATCGGTCGAGTGCGCCGTGGTCAGGCCATATCAGCGCGAGTCCGATCGATTGGGTATCCATGACCGAGTCGCTGTATCTCGCTACGCCGCCCGCCGAACCCACTGAGCCGATCACGTTCGATGAGCCCGCGCAACTTTGCCACCGACCTCATCACTCGGCGGTGCTCGTCGAGGAACGGCGGAGGGTCGAGGAAGGCGACGACGACGAGGAACCTTGGGAAGCAGATGAGCACGAGCACCACGATGGCATGGCAGTCGACAACGATCATGAGGTCAGTACTGTGCCTGATCGGGAGACTGCTTCTCGGATGGGGCCCTCTCGGGCGGCGAGGACTGACATGAGACCGTGGTCCCTCCCTTATAAGATGACGGGCACAGAGTCCACGCATGATCACTACCAGACTCCGTATCGGCAAGACCATTATGCAACGGCACATCCCCACCAAGCCCCACCCCTGTATGACCATCTCGCCGGCTCTCCTTTTGCTTCCACTTCGTCGTCGTTCGCGATGCTCAACCCGATGGGTACCTCCATGTCGCGCTCGGCGTCCAATTCTTCCTCGGACCATTCTTCCTCGTCGTATTCAACCTTTGACTCGAACCGAATACAGCGGCAGCCCATGGCATACCAGATGGACACCGGGTCGGACACGGCGCATGCGAACCACCTCCACCATCGTCCCGCGCCGGCAACATCGATGAACACCGCCAAGCGAGCGGAACCGGTCGCCAACGGTTGGAAAGTGTCGATGGGGTATCGAGCAGACTGTGAGAAATGTGTCATGAGGGTGCCGGGCCACTATCTGCATTGCCATGATGGTCGGTAGTTCCGACGCGGGGAGGTTTTTCATCACGTTCTGTATATTCCTGATCTTTGCATGTCTTGTTGTAACCCTAAAGCCAATTGTAACCACCGCTCCGGTCAAATTGGATGTGTTGCTCTCGCTGTTAGGGTGTTATCATTCGTGCCAGACACCTGTTCCATTGAACCATTGCGTGCGCGAGACAAATCGCTTAAAGACCAATCCACGTGACCAAACCAGTCTTCCTGAGAGCTGCCAACCCGACTAAAACTCGGAATGTCTGAAACGAATGTAATCATGCTAGCAGTCACAGAGGTTGTCTACAGGGTTCCCCATTAGATAAGATAATCTCGCAGATATTAGATATCTATCTAAAAAAATTGGGCTCTGGCCCTTATCTATCTATCTCCCATCTTAGTCAGATATCTTAGATAGATGCCTAGATATCTAATAGATATCTAATCAAAGCGTCGGCGCAGCGAGCTTGCCAGCGATCATTTGCGGAGCCACCTCTCAGCTGAGAGTAGATTTTGCGCTTCTTTGTCCGTGGCGAACTCCGTACACACAAGGTCCTCCTCAGCAGTGGGGAGCTCATGATCCATCTTGCTTCAGCACAGACTCAGATTGATTATAGTCGTTTGGCGAGGTGTGAGAGTGCAAGTGAGCGAAGAAAGAAGAGGGAACGGCGCCGGGGTACATTGCGAAGTTCACAAAATGTCGCAATTGCACCTCCTTTCTTTGTGTGGTTTGTGTGATTAGTTGATAAGCACCCTCTGGCAGCAAAAACGTCTGAAAGCCTCAGCTCCCAAATTGGCCCGTCGGCAAGCCGTGCCGCCTCACCCGCGGTCAGCGCTTGGGCCAAACCATGCGGCACAAACATGGGGATTGAGCCGAATACGACTTGAAATTCGATGTCCTCGCTAAGGAGCAAGAACCTCCTTAGTGGAAAGTACAACTTCCAGCGCAACAGGAGTCTGTATCAGACACAAAAAAAGTTAAGATGGGGGGCATCGGTCCTGATGACAGCAAGGTGACGGCCTACGTGACATGAATATGGTGGTCCAGCGGATCTAGCAATTTATTAGATTCTGTCTTTAAACAAGACTAGCTGGAATATATGGATTAAAACATTAAAATATCCTAAAGATATCTAAGGAAACCCCCGGGCCTTATCTATCTATCTAAGATATTCGGCCCCTAGATAAGATGGCATCTATATCTTAGCGAGATATGCTAAGATAGATATCTGGACATCTAATGGGGAACCCTGGTTGTCTACCACAACATCCCTCTTACGCTCTCTCCAGCAGTCTCGCTCTGGCCGGCGCGCCTCTCCCGAGATATGCCCGAGTTGATCGGCCCGTACGGCTTCGTCTTGTGCCACACCGAATCGCTAGTCCGACCCATCCAATCTCGGCAATGACTTCCACGACCTGCACCCGCAAGGGCTGCGGCAAGACCTTCGATGAAAGCAACAACACCCAAGCCGTAAGCACTACTTTGTCTCCCGCCATTGATCACGGTACACTTGCTCCCCCGGCTTCGACAGGGCTTGAGACTGACATGGAGCGCCCTGCTCGGATTTCCTCGACGTTCCATGACGATGTCGCGCCGCGTTGTGCCGCACGATTGCGTTCCCTTCTTTGTAGGACTGCCAATTCCACCCTGGAGCTCCTGGTCAGTGCATTCTCATACGACGTGTTCGGATGACTTTTGCCGTCTGACACGACCATTCTCCGCTGGCAGTCTTCCACGAGGGCATGAAATCGTGGTCGTGCTGCGCGACGACCAACAAGCCCGTCACCGCGTTCGACGAATTTCTCGCCCTGCCAGGCTGTGCGACGGGCACCCATTCCTCAGAGAAACCTGTCGCACCGCCGAAACCGACCGTCGTCGAGAGCACGCCTGCGCCCGTCGCGACCGGCGTCAACGGCGAAGAGACGTATGGCGCCCCCGTGACATCATTACCCCCACCCCCTCCCAGGGCCGCTTCCTCTTCCTCGGCGACGCTCAAGGACCGACAACCTGTCTCGACAGAATACGTCGAAGAGCAAGACGATCCGTCCCTGACCGTGCCTGCGGGTGCTCGTTGCAAGCGAAGAGCGTGTGGGGCGACGTTTGAACCCTCGACGTCGCGACACGACACGGAATGCCAGTACCACATCGGTGTCCCGCTCTTCCACGAGGGATCGAAAGGCTATTCGTGCTGCAAACGACGCGTGTTGGACTTCGACGACTTTCTCCGGATCGAAGGGTGTCGATCGGGGAAGCACTTGTTCGTCGGGCCGAAACCCAAGCCGGGTCAGGAAGAGGAGGATCAGTTGGTCGAATGCCGCGTGGACCACTACCAATCGCCGAGGAACGTGTGCGTGTCGATCTTTGGCAAGCAAGCGGACAAGGAAAGGAGCTCGGTCAGGTTCGAAGTTGAGGAGGTGAGTAGGCTTTAATGCGCCGTGTGTGGGTGTGCACACGAATCCGATTGCCCCATTTGCTCACCTCGAGCCGGTCCGATTTGATTTAGATGCACGTCGATCTCTTGCTACCTTCTCGCAAGCGCTTCACCAAGTCGTTCTCACTCTACGGTCCGATCGATCCCGCAACCTCGACGTTCAAGATCCTCGGCACCAAATGCGAGGTCACGCTCGCCAAGGCTGATGCGAGAAGCTGGCCGTCCATAACCAAATTGAGCGAGGACGTCGGCTTCATCCCTCAGTTGGCATTCAGTGCGGGTGAGTTTCTCTCTCCGAGCCCATTCGAGCTTTCGATCTGTTCAAGAGGAGAAGGAGCTGACGCTGTAGCTTGTCGACGGCAGGGGGCGGACGAGGAACGGTGGGTGCCAAAGAGGCGATCCTCGATGATCAGAACAAGATGGCTCGATAGACGCATCAACAATTCCCTTCAAAACCTGTAGGTATGACCTAGAGCTGTGCGTCGACTTTGCAATAAGCATTAGAAGACGAGCGACCGCAAGTTGAGATGCTTTACTCTTTACTCTAACTAGTTAAAAAAAAATGTGAGTTAAGGAATGTACCTAAAATCGCTGTTTTTAACTAGGTTGCGGCCCGGAGGGCCGCATGTGGTGGATGTACCAGCATACTGTTGTGTCTGCCGCACTTGCCTGTGGTGTCCATGTTCCGATCAGAAGTCATGTACAAGCCCTGTGGTGACTTTTGTATCTTCCGCGCCGTTCCAACGAAGCTACAGCGTTCCCAGTAATTTCCTTCACTTTTTCGTTGACGTAAAACAGTGATAACACTTATAGTGTATTTAATGGACGGCAAGCGCGTGGCTTTGTACGACACTGCTTCTACAGCAGAGCTCCGCCTGACGGGCGGGGCGAGGGCGGCTGGCGTCTGTCACGTGATGCGGCGCGCCGGCGGTGTCGGTGTCATTCCGGCGGCCGACCAGCGGCATTAGGGGCTGAACAACAAATCACACCCCGTGAACAAACCCGCGACACTCCCTCTAACCTTTTCTTTTCCTCTCCCACTCTCATCGAATTTTGTGACATTCATTCAAGGAGAAACCCTCTCCACTATGCCCCGGTCCTAAGGTCGCCAGGGAGGGCCAAGTCCTAAGTGAAAAATAGTTTCTCTGCTGTCTTTCGTCATAATACCGTTTGATTCTCCTACTATTTGGAATCATCCCGTTAATTTAACGGGATCCCACTGGTTTCTGTTGGCAAAAATCTTCCTTATTCGAGCGCCTTCCGGTGCAAGAGTGTTTACACAATTCCATGGGAGTAATGGCATGGTGTTTCAGTATGAGACCGAGGGGCACAACAATCACCAGGCTGACCAAGGTGGGGGTTGTTGTGTATGTCCCCGAACTTTTTGGGTCGCTTGTGTTTATCGAGCCGTCGCTGCCGCGCTTCGATTTCGAGGCTAACAGAGGCTAACTTGAATTGAGACGGGCCTGATTGCGCGCGTAGGGAAGCCACACCCTTGCTCCGCACCCAACACAAACACGCCCACGCACGACCCCGCCCACGCTCACTCACCTCCACTTCTCTGAAAACACTCACACGATGTCGGTCCTCGGCCCCTCCCTCTACAAACAAGTGCAAGCCTCGAAGGGCCTGTACAAGTTCCTGAAGCCGCTCGCGGACCGCTACGCCTCCGTGGCCGGCTACCGAGCACACGGCCTCAAGTACGACGACATCTTGATCGAGGAGAACCCCACAGTCCAAAAGGTGCGTGTTGGGTGCTACTCTGTGGGCTGGTAGTGTAGTCGATGGGTGGACGGCGCTGGAATCTTGGGCACGACACGCCGTCCCCAGCAGTTGCGGAGGGAGCGAGCTCGCTGTCGTCGGGCCAGACCGCACACCTCTGTTCTCGCTTCCCGGCGCTACCGAACATCCCACACGAGGCGCGCAGAGTATGCAAGACTGCGACTGACTCCACCCCAACTCACTTGCAGGCCCTCGGTCGATTGTCGGAGCGAGAGTCGTATGACCGAGCGTTCCGTCTGCGTACCGCGAGCATGTGCGCGATCGCCCACCAGGAATTGCCCAAGGACAAGTGGCTCCCCAAAGACCAGGTCAGTGTTTGATCGTACTCACACGAAGGATGGTGGCTGAGTGCACGAGCGCATCCGGAGTGGTGGTAGTGAGAGAGGGTGCCGGGCAACGAGTCACGGCGGCCGCGATATGGGTGGCTTTGTGCTCGAAGAGATCCGCTGACGTTATTGCTTCAACTTTTCATTTCACTCGGTTTCTCGACGGTACCCCTTGCGCTGCTTGTGGCTTCACCTCGCGATCTCTTCCGCCAATCCGCTTGCTCCGAATGCGATCACCTGGACATAACCGAATCACATCGCTCATGTCTCGCGTCGCATGGTGTCAACTCTTTTGAACGTAACCGGTTCACAATCCTCAGGATGTTCGTTACCTCAAGCCCCTCGTCGCCGAGATCGAGCAAGAGGCCGCCGAACGCGCCGCGTGGGACTCGGTCAAGAGGGCTTGAAGAAGGATTTTGCGAGCATGAGGATGGATGGAGGCATCGATGACGATTGCAGGATGTATAGGTTTCGGGGAGGAGAAAAACCTTGTAGATGTTTTGGGGGTTTCAGCATGACAATCTTCTCCGAGAAGGAACACTTTTCACCGGTCGAAAGCGTTTTCCTTTCCTGCTTCGCACCTCTTGTGATGGCTCTTTGCACTTCGAGAGCAAGCTCCATTCGTCTTGGGTTCCGTCGAATCGTCGTGCTCATCTAGGATTGGGTATGAGTTGATGCCAGATGCGCCGGGCAGCGCGGCGGCCGGGGGGTGAGATGAGTTGGCGTTGAGAAGCGCCGGCTGAGGGCCCAGGGGGCTCAGCGGTTGGTCGTGGCTGCCATCTACGAGTAGGTACCCGGCGTAGTCCAGAAAGTGGGGTACAGTCTTCGATAGGTGCCTCTCTATCTAGCAGTGATTGAGAGGTGTTGGGTTTCTCGCCGAGTCGCCGGGGTCATTTGCGCCTGTGCGTGGCGTCGAGTTTGGGCTCGGCGCAATTTGGGCAACACCGGTTCAGCGCGCGAGTCAGGCAAGGTCAGGCAAGGTCAGGCACGGTCAGGCTGGCGCACAGCAGGCGCACAGCAGGCGCCTCACTCCGGTTGTGCCGCGCGCAATCCTGCCTTCCGCCGCCGCTTCGTCCGATCCTGTTGCAGCCAGCCATCAGCGACGAGTCAGGATGCCAGCGCCCTTGCCCCACCAAGCAGCTGTCGCATCCGTGCTCTTGGAGTCGGCAAGAACCTCGTCGTCTCCGCGTGGCCAGGATGATCCGGCGCCGTCGTCGCCCATTCTCGTTGGCACGTCGGGATCGCACGATCTGTCGAACCGATCATCGCCAAGGCCCGAGTCCGAGATGGGCGACTTCTCCCAGCTCGACAGCCGCGATCTGCGTCAATGGGAGCAGGACGCCCAGTTGGCCCAGTCGATGGCCCGACCTTCGATGCTCAATGCACTTGGTCGCACTCGCAGCAACACCGTGCTCGCGACTGGCAACGGCGTCGGCGTCGGCGTCGGCGCGGGGGCGACCCACTCGCACTCACCCGATGCGACCGCGACCCTCGATCAATTGCAGCAGCAACAGCAGCAGCAACAGCAGCAGCAACAGCAGCAGCAACAGCAGCAGCAACAGCAGCAGCAGCAGCAGCAGCAGTCACACCACACGCCCCAGCGCAACAACAGCAGTAGCAGTGGCGACCAGGCATACCCTCACTTGCACCATCAACACCAGTCGTCTGTCTCGCGCCGCCGTGGCTCCGTCTCGCACCAGGCCAACGCGATGGATCACCTCGCCGATGACTTGCAACGCGACGTGCACCATCACCGCCAACATCACCACGAACATGAGCACAGCACGATCATGTCCGTGGGTCGGCCCCCCATCACCCCCGCCGGTGGTGCGAGCCGACAACACGCGCTCTCGTCGGCGAGCCACCACTCGGGCAATAACCGATCGACCCCGTCGAGGTACGGCGCGGGGCCTTCCTCGGGCACGCCCATTAGCTTGCAGCACACCGCAGCCGCCGCGCGCTTGTACCGTCATCATCGCAACGTGTCCGAGTCGTCGCTCGATTCGCAAGGTGGCGCCTACATCGACCATCGTCGCCAGCCCCACTCGCTGTCGCTTGGGACGGGGGCGTCGACGAACGCACGTTTCGGCGCCTCGGCAGGAGCGGTGCCCGGCGCGAGCGTTCTGGAGCGAGCTGGAATGGTCGCCCGCAGCCCCGATGGCTACGGTGGCGCCCGCTTGTTGCCTAATCCGGGACGTCGACGCAGCGAAGGAGGTACAGGCGACGACCACGACGACCACGACGACCACGACGACCACGATGGGGCTGGCGACAACATGGACGAGCTTTCGCTCGGCCGAAGCGCCGGCGGCCCCCACGATTCGGACATGGTCAATTCGGTCCTGTCGTCGCGCACAGCTCGAGGTGGTCCGTCTCGAGCCCACGACCTGTCGAGTCGCGATCTGGACGAACACGCTCTCAGCATGAGCCCCGACGAACGTCACGAGCATCGCCCACGAGCCCACCTCGACCGCCACGATTCTCGTCAGTCGTATCGCTCGACGACCTCGAACCGCCGCGGCGAGGGCCACCTCATGGACGATGACGATGAGGATGATCATGATCACCACCACGACATGGGTCGCCACTACTCGAATGATGCGTCCCGCCGAGATTCGTTCGTCGGTCCCCCCGAAGACGACATTTGCTTCCCCACCCACGGCGCCGCGGCCGAAGTCGATCTCATCGACATGGGCCACCTCGAGGACCACCTGCATCACCACCACCATCACCATGACGACCATCATGACCAGTTCAACGGCGGCGTGGCGGGGGTGCTGCCCAACTTCCCTTACCCCTTCGACTTTGGTGCCCTGGAGGAATTTGCCGATCGCGAGAAGGAAGGACTGCCGATCCCGGGCGCGAAGCGGAGAGGGGTCAAGATCGCCGGCGGCCAGACGCGCGACACCCTCGGTGTCTCCCCGCCGGGCTACGGCGTCTCTTCGGCGACGACGCGTGGCGGCGCTTTCAGCTCTGGATCCGAGAGCGGCTTTGGGGGCGTGAGGCGTCAGCGCAAGCTCAGCGAGAGCGTCGCCCCGGGTCGGTACCGACGCAAGCTCGCCTTATTCGAAGGCACCGGCGACGATGCGGGATCACCTCGAGGCGCCAACACTGGTGCGGCCGATCGTGACGGCGATGCGAACGGCGGCACGCACTCCATCCTCGACACCAAGACCCCGCTGCTCGACAAGAACGCGACCGCTGCAGCGAGCGGCTATGGATCGAGGGGTGGGCCAGCGGGCGGAGGGGGCGGCGCCGCTCTAGGTGCTTCCCGGCCTTACCGTTTCTCCTTCTACTCGAATGCTCTGCCCTCGACCATTCATGCGCGGTCGCTGGCCGAGATTCCTGCCGAGAACCAGACCTTTGAGGAGCTGTTTGTGGGCCGGAGCTCGTCCCCGACAACGGCGGTCGACGATGAGACGAGCTTCCGCCAGAGCACGGGAACGATGGACCCCAAGTTGGCGTTCTCCCCGCCGAGCGGCACCGAGACGGGCACGCACACGCCGAACCACGATCATGCACCGGCGGGTGCCCACGGCGCGTCTGCCTCGGGTGCCCGACCCTCTGGCGTGCCTCATGGTGCGCAGGCGATGGCGGCCCATGCGAGGAACAACTTGATGAGGAGCGACGTCGACGCCGAGGCCAACACCTGGTGGCTCGACGTCCTGTGCCCGACCGACTCGGAAATGAAGGTCCTGAGCAAGGTAAGCTCTCCTAGTTGGCTGTCGTCGGTAACGAACAGGGTGTGGTGCTCACTCAAAAGTTCCCGATCCCTCCAGGTCTTTGGCATCCATCCGTTGACGACCGAAGATATTCAAATGGAGGAGACGCGCGAAAAGATCGAGCTGTTCCGCAACTACTACTTTGTCTGCTTTCGCTCGTTCGAGCAGGACCCGTACTCGCCGACGTATCTCGAGCCGCTCAACATGTACATTATCGTCTTCCGCGAAGGCACCTTGTCGTTCCACTTCCGCGGCACGCCTCACCCGCAGAACGTGCGCCGCCGTATCAAGCAGCTCAAGGACTACATCAACGTTACAAGCGATTGGATCTCGTACGCGTTGATCGATGACATCACCGATGCGTTTGGACCGCTGATTCAAAACATCGAATACGAGGTCGACTCGATCGATGAGCTCGTGTTAATTTTGAAGGAGGCCGAGCAGAGCGACATGTTGCGGCGAATTGGGACGTGTCGTAAAAAGGTCATGGGTCTGCTGCGATTGATGGGCAACAAGGCCGATGTCGTTAAGGGGTTGTCGAAGCGGTGCAACGAGAACTGGTCGGTCGCGCCCAAGTCGGATATTGTAAGTTCTTTCGCAGTCTGTGCATGCTAGACGACATTTATCGAGGAAGACTGACCATAGGTGCTTTGGGCTCCTGCAGGGTTTGTACTTGTCGGATATTCAAGATCACATCACGACCTCGACGCAGAACTTGACCCATTACGAAAAAATTCTTTCCCGGTCGCATTCCAACTACCTCGCACAAATCTCAATCGAGATGACGGACGCCAACAACCAGATCAACGACGTGCTGTCCAAGTTGACCGCGCTCGGTACGGTCTTGATTCCGATGAACTTGGTCACCGGTCTGTGGGGTATGAACGTCCACGTGCCTGGTGAGGATGCGACAAGCTTGCATTGGTTCTTCTCCATCCTGGGCTGCCTCGGCGCGATCGCTATTGGTGGTGCTTGGCTCACGTACAAGGTATGTCGATTGCTTGCGGAAGGGTATCAGACTATGTAGACCCGTCACTGACCCGTGCCCCTTCTTTTTGTTGGCAGGTCTTTGTCCGATCCAACTAGGGACCGAGCTCCCTCATCGACGCTCTTTTTTCTGCATCATGGATTCCTCCTTGTCCGGTCTTTCTTTTTTTCGCATTTGGCTACCTTCTTTAAATTGTTTCTCAAGCGTACCCATGGTGTTTGTGGAAGTATGGCCTAGACTGTACTTTTTATATGGATCTCGTTGCGGTGTGCTCTGCTGTGATGTACTATGCAACGGTCGACGACTTCATGCTAGGAGTGCACCAGTTTTGCCCCGTGTCAATTGTTCCTGTACCTTACCAGCATACTTACTGCGATAACGGTTGATATTCAATTACAACAACAAGGGTAGTCGCGCCCCGCTCGTGTCACTGTCTCAATCCCACCCCCCAACTTCGGTCGAACAAAACTCCTCCCATGCCTCGGGTCCCTGACTCGACCAGGTCCCTTGAATTAAAGGCTGGGTCACGAGCAGCGACATGGCCACTTGTGTTTCTTGTGCGGTTGGGTAAGCAGTGTCTGTGTTTCGATTTTGTTCGTTCGAGATGGGCTTAGGATCGGACGTGCTGGCGGGGAGCGGTGGGAATCGGATCAAGGTGTCGTTGACGAGGGATCGGACCAAGGTGAGGGATTGGGTGTAGCTCTCAGTCAAGTCCGCCAGGCCATCAGCTGGTGGTGTGTGGAAGAAGAACTGCGTGTTAGCCCTTTCACAGGTGAACGAAGTAAAAACCTTGCGAACGCTTTCCCCGACTACGAACTGCCCACGAACCAAATTGAGCCAAGGGCCACGTGACCCAGAGAGGATCCTTGAAGGCGAATGGGATGCCACGCGTTGCGGAAGCTTCCAAAAGCAAGGATTGGAGACGATCGTCCTGGATCCGGAGGGCGTTCGCAACTTGGGTCTGTAAGGAGGTGCAAGGGGATCGAGGTGGGTCAGCCCAGACGTTCGGAGAGGAAGAATTGGCGCGGGATTCAGAGCGTACGAGTGCTTCGAGGACGGCGTTGACGATACTGATGTTCTCGGAGAGCTTGTGGGATTGGGATAGGATGTAGGACGTTCGGATGATCGAGGTGCGAGTTGCCGAGGGTGCAGGGGACGAAGTAGACGAGGTAGCCTCGGCGGCGGCCGGGATCGACGCGGCGTCAATGACTTTGAGCGCGGATCTGTCCGTTCTTCGAGAGAGGTAAGCGATCGCGATGTGTGAAGAGTGGTCTGGTACGAGTTTGGACTGACTGTACTTCGGAATAGAGCTCGATCGCACTCCTGATGCGGCCGACGAGACCCCTCAACACGAGCTCGTTCCACTCCCTGCGCAGCCTGCGATGGTCGAGCAGGATCGTCCTCGTGCGTTTGTGGTAGGACGTTTCGGACGAAAGAGGGACCGGACCCCTGGTCGATGTCGCCACGGCTGAGGAGGCATGGGTCGCGCGACGGACCGGGGTCGACGACGAGGAAGGGCCATAGTCCGAGTCGACGTCGACGTCGGACGGGTCTGGGGTGTTGTAGGTCGCTTTCCGACGCGCAGAGGGCGGTGTCGAGGCGCCCGTAGAGGAGGTCTTGCCTCGTGCCATGAGCGTCTTGGCGCGGGAGTGATCAGCGGGGCCTAGGCGGTGTGGGGTGAGGCAGAACACGAGTGCGAGTGCGATCGCGAGCGCTGCGAAAGGAGCTCGGCCGGCGTCATCGGTCGCTATAGCCGGGAAGAAATGGGTCATTAGTAAATGCGCCGCGAGCTTGGCTACGAGCCTGGTTACGGGTGTGACGCGTGACGTGTGACGACCCCACATAGCCCACATGCACTTGGGAGCCGCGCGGCACCGGTCACGCTCGCCGTCCGCGCCTGTCCGCGCCTGTCCGCGCCTTCCCCCGCGTCACTTCTCCAGTCTCGCCAGCTGTCAGTCGCCTGTCAGTCGCCGTGTGTGTGGCTCACCACCAGCCGCCACCACCGACCACCGACCACCGACCACGATGAATTTCTCCTCCTTCAAAGCACTTGGCCAATCGTTGGGCGCGTCCTTGTCGGATCTCGAGGCCTCGCTGGCGCAGGTGATCCCGGACTCTGTCACAGGCGGCGCTTCGTCGTCCTCAGCCAGCGCTCAGCAGCAGCAACTCCGTCAGAGCCGAGGCACACCACAACGGCAGACTTCTTCCTCGTCGCAACCACGCACCACCGCGTACTCGACCTCGTCCACGCCCTCGCCCTCGCAGCAGCGCAGTTACGGCGATGCGTTGGCGCGTGCAACCTCTCCCACCTCTCCGCTCTCGTCCCTGTCCAACGCCGGTGCCAGTCTCCCGAGCGCCTCTGCCGTCGCTGATTCCTTCAGGGAGCGCCTTCGAAAGGGGAGGCAGTCGATCGAGTCGGCGAGCAAGTCCTCTATCGACCTCGTGCGCTCCCAGGCTCAGGCCGTGACCCGAGCGAGCAGTCCCACCGTGTTCGAGGCCGACGAGTCCCTTGGCCAGTCCAGGACGCCGTACACGGACGATGACACGCCCGTGTCTCCGAGATCTTCGAACGGAACTAACGGCACGCTCGTCGATTTCAACGCTTCAAGCTCGAGTTCGACCTCTGTGCCAGCCAGACCGATCACGCAGTCGCCACCGACGAGGAGCTCACCTCTGCGCCTCCACTCGACATCGTCCACTTCTTCGCTTCGAGCGCCGCGCGGGCCCCCCATGCCCAAGCAGGACTCTTTGCTCATCGACGTCGCCGAGCCGACAGTATCTACTCCCAAGTCCTTACTCGACGATGACGATGAACATGCCTCGAACCCCTTCTTCCCTCGGGCGTCACCTCGGATATCCCAAGGCATCCTATCCCCGACCCTCGTGCCGACTTCTCCGCCGATCGGGGGCGGTAGTCCTACCCAACAGCAGCAGACTCCCATCTCGCTTCCCCTCCCTCTACCCAAAACCGCTCCACAGTCTTCTCCAGCTCTCGTCAAGACGCCCACTGCCGCTCCCGCTCCAATTCTGCCTCGAGCTCCGGCCCCGACCCCAGCCCCAATCCCGGCACCGGCACCCGTTTCAGCTCCTGCCGTTCGCTCCAGTGCACCTCCCGCGACGTCATCAGCTTTACTAGTCCCAACTTCCACACCGGGATACGACGAGGACGATGATGACGATGGTTCAGGCTGGGGGGAATTGACGCTCGATACGCAGGAGCACGATGACGAAGAACCGGAACTTACGGAAGCGGGTGCTCCACACGTCGACAAGGTCGAACCGGCCGAGACGACTGCGCCACCACCGCTCGTGGAAGAATCGATTCCGTCTCCGGAGCCTGCTGCTGAAGCGCGCCGAAAATCAGTCACAGAGGTCCAAGAGTCCAAGGCCGAAGAAGAGATGATGCCGGTGGCACCTTCGGACCCTGCTCCCGGGGCTTCATCCGTCATCGACGACGAGAAATACTCCAAGCCAGAGGACTTTCCTACACCCCTCAATGCGCCTATGCGGGAGCCGCCTGTCGAAGAGGTTGAGGAGGTACCGGTCAAGACGGTCGAGTCTGTCAACGAAACGCCAGCCGACGAACCTGCGGTCCCCGTCGCACTAAATGGGACCGTCGAGATCCCGGAGGAGGAGCCCGTGGGCGAGCTCGAATCGACCAAGTCGGATGCACCAGCGCCGGCGATTGAGCTCCTTGCGACGCCAAGGGACGTTGAGGAATCCCCAGCCTCAGTCGAAAGCGCCGGATCCGCTTCTGCGATTGAGCGTGTCGTGCCCGAGGTCGCCGATGTGCACGCGGCCGCGGTCGAGGAGAAGCCGGAGGTCCCTGTCGAGGCCGAGGCCGAGCCTACACCGATCAAACCTGAAGAATCGGCTGTGGAGGCAGCTCCAGAACCTAGCAACGAAAGTGAGGAAGACCTCACCTCGAAGGAAGAGGAAGAAGTCGAGCCGATCGCAGCACCTCCCTCACCCCCAGCGCCAGTGGTCCAAGCGCTCAGCACCGAACCCAATCCCGCTCCACCCGAGGTGGAAAGTCTCGAGCACGCCTTGCCACAACTTTCGCCTGCATCAACTCCAAATGAATCCCTTTCGGACGTCGTCGAGCCACCTACATCAACGCTCGTTGCGGAGCCTGACCTACGCAATGCCGAAATCGAAAGCTTGGCTGTTGAAGAGCCCCAGCCAGAGCTGGAAGTCGTCGCTGAAAAGGTTGAACCCGAACCCGAGCCCGAGCCCGAGGTCAAGTCCGGGCCTGTACTTCAGGAACAGGAGGTCAAGATCGAGCCTGAAGTGGCGCCCGAGGTTCTACCAGGAATCAAGACGGCGGAGCCAGAGATCGCGGCGTTATCCGAGGTCAAGTCCGACCCCGAGGTGACCATCTCTGAGCCCGAGAAGCCGCTTCCTGTTCCCGTAACAGAAACAGAGCCAGAGCCGTTTGTCGCCAAGGAAGAGGAGGCGCTAGACGTCGAACGCGAGGAGGCGCTAGCAGTACCCATCGCGGCGAGAGTGGGAGAGCCGTTTGTCATTGACGCTGCGCCAGTATCAGAGCTGGAGAGCAAGTCCGAAGAGACGGCCCCTCGAGGTGCTGCGGATGGGGCTCGATTAGCAGGTTAGTGAGAGAGCCTCCAGTGATATCGTCATTTAGAAAGCTGACCTCTCTCTTGCTACAACTTGCAGAACTCACCTCGGCCCATGATCGACTGTCGACGCTCAAGTCTTCTTTGGACAAGGTCGTCACAACTCTCTTCCCGGCCCTCACGAGCGGTATCTCGGATGTCGGCGCATTCGAGGGACATGTCCGAGGGCTTCAAACCAAAGCCGAGAGCTCGACTGCGGAAGTGGACAAGTTGAACGGTCAGCTGAAGCGTGAGTCTCTGCAGCTTTTCAGTTCAAGGAAATCAAGTATCTAATCATTTTTTCGCTTCGCTTTATCGTGCGCAGAGCAATCGGATCGGATAGAGGAGCTGCGCGACACGCATCGCCTCGAGCAGCAATCATCCGTCGCCGACCTTGATGCACTTCGGGATTCACTCGACACCAAAGACAAGCTCATCGCTTCCCTCGAAACTCGCTTGACCCACGCAACGTCCTCATCGCAAGATGCTCAGTCACTCGCTTCGCGCCAAAATGACGAGTACAGCAAGCTCAAGCTCATCGCCAAGGAGGAAGAAGAGAAGCGCGTCAAGGCCCTGTCGTTGCTACGCGCTTTGAGGCAAAAGCTGGTCAAGGCCGAGAAGGACAAGGAGATTGCCGAAGGGGAACGGGACACGGCCAAGGCCGATCAGGACCGTGCGAATGAAACGCTCAAATCCGACCGCGCGAGATTCGACCAAGAAGTCATTTCCCTGCGTGCAGCGCAGGAGTTGCAGTTGAGCAAGATGCGATCGTCGTTTGACCGCGAGGTCGCTTCGTTACGACAACAGCACGAGAGGGACTCGGCGGCGAAAAAGTCGCAGGCCGAGTTGGACGTCATCACGCTCAAGGCTGCGCAGGCTAAGGAGATTGCGTTGCGCGACGCGAGGATCAAGGAGCTCGAAGAGACCGTCAAGGGTGTGACAGGGTCAAGGGACGAGACATTTGCGCAGGCGCAAGCGCGAGCGGCCGAGTTGGAGGCGCGTGCCGCGAGTCAGATGAGCATCGAGTCGCAAATGAAGGAGCTCGAATTCGAGGTCAGCGAACTGCGCGATCGCAATGCCGCGCTTGTGGACGAGGTCGAAACGCTACGCAAGCAGCAGCGCGACGTCTCGAGGGACGAGGGTGCGCATCGTCGCGCGCTCGCTGACGCCGAGGCTCGACACGAACAGAAGGTCAAGGACCTCGAGACACGAATTCGCGAACTGGAAACGGATCGTATAGAAACGGACGAGGACTGGGGCCGCAACCTGCAGGAACGACTCAAGGAAGTCGAACGCATGCGGTTGGCAATGGCGCAGAAAGACCTTGACTACGCCGAGTCGGTGCATCGGATGAACGATCGCGAGACCAAGATTGAGGCAGGGGAGAAGCAGAGGAAGGAATTGGCAGCGCAGCTGTTCGAGGTCGAGGGGTTGCTCAAGGCGCTCAGGGACGAGAATGAGAAGCTTGACCAAGCTGAGGTAAGCTCAGAGGACGGAGCGCAAGGGGAAGTTGGCTAATCGCTGCTGTCACTTATCGCACATTCTAGGCCGCCGCTCGTGAAGAGTTGAACGACAAGGTTGATCGAATCACGGCGCTCGAGAACCGTGTCGAAGAGTTGCAAAACAAGGAGTCATCCTTGCGCTCGAGCCATAAGGTGCGAGCGACTGGGGGCGCGAACCGGGTGCCTCATTGCTGATGGTAATCTCCTCTTGCACTGCGCACAGGCTTTGCGCGAGGAGCTTCGCAAGCTGCAATCCGGGGTTCTGCTCTCGGAGAAACAGCGTAATCCAGGCGTCGGCTTCTTTTCGAGCTTCAATCAGTCTTCAACCCCGGTCGCGACGGATGGGACCCTCCAATCGCCGCAGATTGGATCGCCTCCTTCGACGATCTCCACGCGCAGCGGACCGGCGCCGATAGGAGGTGACGAGGCGCTTAACTTTGAGTACATCCGGAACGTGATCCTGCAGTTCCTTGAGCGACCCGAAATGAGGGTAAGTCATTTGCGTGATGATGTGCGGGGATGTTGACTGATTTCAGATCGCTCCTCACGCTTACCAACAGCCGCATCTGGTCGGAGTATTGGGTGTGATCCTGCATTTCACACCAGCCGAATCTAGACGATTGGCTGCGAAGGCGGGATAGGAGGTGGTACGGATTCTTTGTTTGGACTGCGGAACAATGCTATGTCGCTCCTTTCGAGTTTTGAAGATGCAATGTGACCAATAGTACAAAGCTTTTCTCACGGGTTGATCGGCTGAAGCGCAGAATATTGATTAGTCTGAGGATTGAATAAACAGTGAAACGTATGAAGACGCATGAACGCAGAAATATAATCTTTAAAAGGTGACTAACACCGCAATGGAGATCCTCGGAGCTCTTCGCAGCTCGACGGGCTTGCGGACTTCATAAACGGAATTAGGTTAATCGAGCGAATAGCAGGGCACTTTGGTCCCCCAAATGGCAACTCTGGTTCCACATCGGAGGCGACTTTGGGATCACATCGGAGGTCATTCTTGCACCACTGCACGTTCATAGGGACTTTGGTACCACATAGTGCAGACGCCTGTATCTCTTGCAATATGTGATGTATCACTCTGGGAACAGTAGTTTGATATATGTACAGGTCTATGGTACTTCTGGCCGGTGAGATAAGGCGGACAATGCAGTCGTTGCTACATCGGGGATTCGGGGTTCTTCCCTGCAAAGGATGGCGAACTTGGGTACGAGAAGCTACAAGACCCGGGGAAAACATGCTCTACTCAACTCAAGGTGATCATCCCGGATATAAAATCAAAGGATCTTGGTTTGGGTGGCTGACATGCCTTTCTATTTCCTTCCTCCTTCGTCCCTTGTGCAGATCCTCGTTCACGCCTACGATCTTTCACGGCGCTGGTGTACACCCTCGGCAATCACGAACGACACCAACCCCCGCCGAACGTCCGACGTGCAGCCCCTTTCATTGGTGCGTTGGTGCGTTGGTGCGTCAAGAAGTCTTTCGCCAGGCCGACACGCCCACGCTCCCCTTCGAATGTGAGCAAGATCCTTTGATTTTATATCCGGGATGATCACCTTGAGTTGAGTAGAGCATGTTTTCCCCGGGTCTTGTAGCTTCTCGTACCCAAGTTCGCCATCCTTTCCCCAATCTCTTTTGCAGGCCCCCGAGCAACAATGGCAATTCGTAGAACTTCCGCAACAGGTCAACCTTTGCGGGCTGACTCCAAGCTTTTAGAAGGGTGTGAGGCACTTCTGGACGCCATTCGATCCCCACTGTCACCTCCGACGGATGTTGATGGTGAGTTGACGAGGGCGCATCACCGTAAGGTCGCTCGATGACAGCGAGACAGCGTTCATATTTGCGTGGAGCCCAGTCATGCTTCTGTTGATAGACCGCACCAATAAAAGTTAGGTCGATCACAGGACGAAACAGAACGTAGCGCAGCACGCAGCTTCGACAAACCTCAAGCTGGAAGGGGTCAAGTACCTTCAGGGCGTGCAGGAGCTGAAACAGGCTCTGTACCAATGAACCTTGGGAGCTACAGGACAGGAAGTTTGCTTACAAAATTCCATTCGGATTTCTACTTGCGAGGAACGAGCGGCCTGAGACTGAGCTCGTTGTGCTCTTCAGTCGTGAGTATCATGTTTGAGAAAAGTGCTTTGCGCGTCGTGTTCGACAGTTCGTTGTTCTGCGTGCCGCCGAGAGAGCTCGCAGCCGAGGTATGCCGCCGGTCCAAATCTTCTGAGCCAGGAGTGGTACGGAGACGATGTTGTCAGGTAATACCTCGTCTGAGCTGTCTCCTTAGACTCCATAGTATGACTCACTTGCCGAATCCTCTCTGGAGTGGCTGGAACGGTTCTTGCGAGAGCTCGAAAGCCCCGAGGCTGAGTCGGAGGTGCGAGACGTCGAGGACTCGGGGGGAACCGCGAGTAGTCTGGTCCGCGACCAAAGCTGCCGAGAGTTTCGCAGCGTCCTCATCCTCATATAGATCCGATTGATCTTCCGATAGGTATGGCTCTGGAAAGAGTGCTTTGTGTGAGGATCGTATGTGTACGAGTGGGCGAGTGGGGTGTAAAGACGAGGAGCGTACGAAGCTTCAACTTTGAGGAGCTCGTTTCAGGGGCATTCGTGAGTTTGCCGGTTTCTAACAAGGGTCCTAACGGTTGCAACGGTTGCAACGGTTGCAGGCCTTATGGAGCTAGAGCTCACCCACATGGTTTATGTGATGGCGTCAGTGTTAATGTCATTACAGTGACAGCGCATAAGGAACAAAAAGGGGGGGTTGTTCCACCCTACGATGTTTGTTGCATGCTACGCTTGCTACCTTGTCACGATCATTGTGAGGTCCCGGGATCGCTGACACCACGGGCGCGGAGCGGCCAAGCAGGGAAGAACCCCGAATCCCCGATGTAGCAACGACTGCATTGTCCGCCTTATCTCACCGGCCAGAAGTACCATAGACCTGTACATATATCAAACTACTGTTCCCAGAGTGATACATCACATATTGCAAGAGATACAGGCGTCTGCACTATGTGGTACCAAAGTCCCTATGAACGTGCAGTGGTGCAAGAATGACCTCCGATGTGATCCCAAAGTCGCCTCCGATGTGTGCCCAAAAGCCGACCTTATGTGAGCCCAGAGTGACGAGCTATAGCGCGGTCATGTCCGGGTGCACAAATAAAGTTCTTCATAAGGGCGAGTCGACGTACGGCGTGCTGCCGGTTTCGCCGCTCCCAAGCTTCGCTCGCTAGGCGCACTCTTATCACCAGTCGGGTCGAGGAGACATCATGGCACGAGGTCCAACAGTAGCAGCGGGTGTCTGGAAGAAAGACAGTGTCAAGGTACGCTGGGTATCCGTCGTCACAACGTGTAGCTGGCCACGCCCGTCGGGTTCACGCGCTGACTGGCTGACTGAGGTGACGACCCATCGACCCCTACTCGCTTACTACTACCCAGGATGTCGCAGAGTCGATAGGAATTGCAAATTTGCCGGACGAGGTAGCTTCGGCACTAGCAGGAGACGTCGAGTACCGGCTCTGGGAGATGATCGAGGTCAGCGTCGATCGCTCGCGCACTTCAGCACTCGGCGCGAGTCCACATCAGCTCACCGACCTCACCCACACACCATGCCGTACAGGAATCCATCAAGTTTATGCGCCATTCGCGTCGCACACGGCTCAAGGTCGAGGACGTCGATAACGCGCTGCGCGTTCGCAACATCGAGCCGTTGTGGGGTTTCGCCTCGTCGTCGAACCTGCCCTTCAAAAAGACCGTCACCTCCACCGGCGTCGTCTACCACGTCGAGGACGAGGAAATTGACCTCAGCAAAGCCGTCAAGGTCGACCTGCCTGCCGTGCCCCGGGAGGTCAGCTTCACGGGTGAGTTTAGGCTCGGGTGTCTCCAGGGTCGGTGACGTAGGCAATGGGATTCTAAATCAAGTCTCTCCACATAGCACATTGGCTGGCGATCGAAGGTGTCCAGCCCTTGATCAAAGAGAATCCAACACCAGCAGGTGCGCTCGTCCTTGGCTCTTCGGACCTCTCCGACTCTCGGACTTCACACTGATCCTTGACTCTGACCTGCAGAACTGGCGAAATATGCCCCCAAGACCTCGCTCGGTACGAATGCGCTGGGTTCTGGATCGACCTCGACCGACTCGGCCGCGCAGGGTGGAGCGATCGTCACGCCTTTGGTCAAGCACGTGCTGTCCCGCGAGCTGCAGCTATACTTTACCCGTCTCACGGATGCACTCGCGACGACCGGTTCGGGAGCGGGCTCAGAGATGCGTGAAGCCGCTTTGGGCAGTGTACGCAGTGACCCGGGTCTGCATCAATTGGTGCCGTACCTCATTCAATGGGGTGGAGAGAGGGTAAGTAGCAACCCGCAGGCCGTCGGCTGACGCAACGTATCGTCCGGAATGCTGACGGGTGAGATGCCCTCTATCTCGATGGCACAGATTGCTACGCACCTCAACGACCTTACGGCACTCGAACGAGCATTGGATCTGTTCCATGCGATGCTCGAGAACCCTACTCTTTTCATCGAGCCTTACGTACGTTTCGCGCGCTCGATTCTACCTCGATCGAGACGCCATTCCACTGACTCGAATCCGCTTGCTCCGACATTAGCTTCATCAATTGACGCCTCCCGTGCTCACTTGTCTGCTCACTTCATCCTTGCCTCAAGCCGGTCCCAACTCTTACCCCATCCCGCTGACAATCCGGACGTCGGCGGCTTCGTTGCTTCACCTCATTCTCTCTCGCCATTCGGATTCGTACCCGTCCTTGCGGCCCCGCATTACGCGCACGCTGCTGCGCGGTCTCGCCGGTCAAGGTCGAGGCTTGGGGGCTCGATGGGGTGCCGCTCGAGGCTTGGCGGCGATCGGTTCGAACGGGGCCACGGGTGTGAGGGAATGGTTGGGCGGTGGCCTTAAAAGCCTGGGCGAGACGTTGGAAGCGGAGGAAGAGAGTGAGGCGGGAGAGAGAGAGCAAGTCGTCCGGGAGGTGTTTGTGAGTCATTCACCAAGGCGGAACTTCACCGTCACCGCTGTGAACGACCAAGGCTGATGCAAACCATTACCTGCTCTCAAACAGAACGCTCTCAAGGCCTCACTTCTGCCGAGTGACCTGGTCTCCGCCGCGGACGGCGAAACGGAAGTGGCTTCGTTGGAGCAGCTCGAAGAGAGGTACGGGCGACTGTTCGGGAAGTGTGTGCTGGAACGATGGGACCAGGGTGGCAAGGACGTGTGGAAGTCTGTGTCCGGAGGTCCAAAGGCCGAAGCGAAAGGAGATGCGATGGAGGAGTGAAGGGTTTTTGCCAGAGGTCGGGTCCTTACGTGTCTGACGAACCTTTGTTGTGCATGTCTGTTGAGCTTCAGTCTGGCGTGTATGAAACTAAATGGTGTGATCTGCGGAAAAAATTGCGTGCGCACAGACCTGCACAAGCCTGCACAGACCTGCACAGACCTGCACAGACCTCCTCTCTCCTCGTCTTGTCCCACCGTGCGCGCGTGGCTCTATCCTCTTCCTCACTCCTCTCTCCATCCTCGCGGACAGTTGCGCTGAGCAATGGGGGACGACGAGTACTCGCCCCGGGACTACTCGCTCGTTGATGCTCGTCATCGGCGTGGGTTGTCAGTGACGTCGCCCGGTGTGGCCCCAGCCGGGGACTCGATGTCCATGTCGACGTCGCCTCTGCATTCGCCCGCGTACGAGCCACTCGGACCGTATGCTCGAGGCGCGAGTGCGACCGCGCCCCCGGAAGCATACCAGCCGACCTCCCCGCATCTGCCACCCCATCTGGGCACACCTCAGGGTGGCTACGTACCGTCAGTGCCGATGCTGCCTCCATCGGCGTACTCTGCGCGTCATTGTCGCCCCCAGCTGCCGCCGCCGCCGCCGCCGCCCCAGCACCACCACCACCACCGTCATGGCCACCGCCATGGGTCGCACCAGCCGCCACCACTCGGTCCACAAGGCTCAGTGCCACCGCCATCGTCGTCTCCATACCCGTCAGCTCGTGGTTTGCAGCCAGAGTACGGACCCATCGCAGCGAGTGCGACGCCGGTCCGACCGCATCGACCTCCCAGTCGATCGTACGCGACGCCAACGACGGCCTACTCGCATGCGCGTACGCTCGCCGATTGGGAGCTCCAGCAGCCTCACCCATCACACCCCTCGCAGCGACACCCACTGCATCAGTCCGCGTACGATCCTCTTCAGGCGCACTTTCCACAGCGCACATCCCCCATCTACCACAGCGCATCGACTTCCCCCTTCGACGAGGACGATCCTTCGACCCCTTTGGTCTATCTCTGTCGGCCCATGACGATCAAGGCCTTTCTCGCTCTCAAACCCCAATTCGCGAGCCATCTCGAGCTGCGCTTCGTCGCGTCGCTCAAGGATCTCGCTTCCGATTTGCGACAAGCCTCATTCCTCGACCCCGAGATCAAGAGATCCAAGCGGCTGACCATCGTCTCGGCCGTTGGTGGCACCGATGCTTTCATTTCTCGCATCAAGAATCAGATCACACAACGACTGGTGTGGAAGGAGGTACGCGACAAGGACCAGTTGGTCGATGCGTTGCGCGTTGAGCGAGGTGCGGTGACGAGGTGGAAGGATCGCCAAGAGATTGAGAAGGGCTACCAGCAGATTAAGGCGACGCAAGAAATTACAACTCATCTGGGGGTGCTCGTCGCGTCGTCGAATGGGCATAATGGGAACAATGACGATGGATCCGAAGAGGATGTCAAGCCTGATATTCGGTGGTTGCAAGAGCGCGAGGACGACGACGACGAAGAGGAGGAAAGAGCGTTGTATGGCGAACAAGGAGAGCCGACCAGGAAACGCAGAAGAGAGTCGAGTGGGGAAGAGGCCGAGCTGGGAAGGGTAAGACGTCCGGGTGTATTGTCCTGAACTTGCGAGCACGTGCGAACGCTGACACTTTGGTACATTCCTCAGCTGCCTCCTCTGGGACCAGCCCGACTTTATCATCTGTGCAGCCAACCTCGCCGGCGGGCGACCGAGCGGGCTCGTGCTCAAGGTCTACTTGTCGACGCCTTCACACAAAAGGTCGACTCGGAGCTACAACTGGGCGAATGGGATCACGGGGAGTGGACGCTCTTCGATGAGGTTCGTCGGCCTGAATGTTGAGCTGTTGAAAGCTCGCTCTGACCTCCTCGGTCTTGCGTCCTTACAGTCATTGGACCCCATCGAGCCGGCCTTGCAGGTGCTCATCGCTCGAGCCATCAGGGACGCCGCCTATCCGCCGCATCTGAGATTGTACGACTATCAAACCTCGCGGGAGCAGCTCGAGTATAGTGTCCCTTGGTTCACGAAGCTGCTTCGCCTCGTAAGTGACGCCGATAGCTCTCTTCGAGAATCGTCAGTGCGGCGGAGGCTGATCGTCATCGTCAAGCCCCTCTAGATCGAGAGTCGAATCGAGGTCCTGACGGCTAATCAACGATCCCCACCTTCAACATCGACGACTTCACCATCAGATCACTAATAATCGCAAGGAAGGCTCCTACATTTTGGATGCTGGGTTCTTCTCCTTTTAGTCAATGCATCGGAAAACCTCTGTACTTTCTTGCGCTCCAGCGCGGTGGTCCGTCATGGTTCTCTCAGCGCCTTGAGACCATTCATCGTCCTATTGGAAGTTCGGTCTTCGTCGACTTGCGCGTGTCATCCTGGCCAAAGCCTGTCGAGCCGCAGAAGTGAGCTCTTTGAAGACAGCCAGCAGCTCTGCGTCGATCGTTCAGTGGGAAGCGGTCCACGACACCGTGTCCCAGCACTCCACACATGGACAGGCCTGAAGCGGAAGTATGATGCAGGTGTGGAGTAACTGGTTGCTGTGAGTCTACGCACTGATCGATGTGAGGCAGATTACCGGCCGCACGGCTGGGAGTCTGGACTCAGATTCAAGTGAGAGAATCGGGGGGGTCTTGAACGGCGTTCTGCGTTGTTACTTGCTCGAGACGGTCGAGGGTCACCATCTCGCTATCGCCTTTCCCTTGTCTTATCACCTGAGCAAGAGGGTCGCGAGCTTGAGGACAGGCTAACATACCATGAGGCCCAGCGAAGAGGTGAGCACGTGAAAGTGGTGGAGCCCCTAAGTGGAGGTGACGTTTGGCTGAGCGTCGTCTAAGCGAAGCCGCACATGGCCGTGGTCGAGGTGAGTCCCCTGTTCTCTTTCGTTGTCTTAAGCGTCAATTATCCGTGTAGCTATGTGCTGTGGAAAGAAGTTTCTGGTACCTCGCATGAGTCGTCCCTGGCGTGCGATGCTGCCTCCTCGTTGTGGTCATGGTAGGTGACCTTCCTCATGAGCACAGCTTTTCCGGGTCGCACTTCATAGCGTTCTTTCTTAGGACATTCCGACGGCAAGAGAATTGGTCACAATACGAAGCGTGCGATGACGTCACCGTACAGTAGGCGCAGCGGTAGTAGAACTTTTCTGGTACTTCAAGGCTTCGGCGTTGTGTCTGGCCATGACCCGACAAGGTAGCATAGCACGAGCGTCGTCGACGAGCTCCATGAACCCATACTTGAAGCTGATCTCCAGCCATTGTTGATTCGTGCGGAATATTCAGCGAATTGGGGTGAGATTTCGTTATCTTTGAAGTAATAAGCCGTCCAGTACAATACGTCATCGAACGCCGTTTCGTCGAGCTCCGATTCAAAGGTAGAAAAGTCCCCCAAAACTCGTCGGCGCAAGTTCGGGGAAAGGTCTTTGAGCAGGTCAATCATATATCTGAGGTTGTTCAAGGAAGGTCAAACGTCGTCCGTCTTCGTCTTCTTGAGAGCAGCAATCAGTCGCAGCGATCGATGTTCCGTCTTCGTGTGCTTTGACGGGAGTGGCTGCGCGCGTGGTGCCACCTGTAGCGAAGGTCCACGCTGCTGATCGCGAGATGGAGCGGTCTGTGCGGGAGTGAAGGCACAGCATTAGTAAACGACTTAGGTGTGTGAAATAACCATTCGATGACTGCAGATCGGAAGAAACGTGTTCGTGCAACTCCCAACAAAAGGGTCAAAGACGAAAGCATTCCAGGACGGTATCGGCTCCCCCTGGATCTTTTCCGGAGATCACCGTAGTCCAGCAGAAATTAAGATTCAGCTCGTTCCATTCTTTTGAACCGTAGTCTTCACCTGTCCCAGCCGGGTGTAGCCAGGTGCTGAAGCTCACCAGGCGCGACATTTAGTTTCGACCCCTATCTCCCGAGGCGAGGATTTTAGCCGAGCGCCATCCGGAGATCTTGCCCCGCTGGCGCTTCGATTACTATAGGAAGAGTCACGCACAGCAAAGAGACATGTCAAATTTTGCGAACTCATTCGGATTTATTTCTATGCAATGAAGAATCAGGTATTACACCAAAAACAGAAGAACTAGAGACTAGTGAAGTAGATGCAGAGCGATAGGTTTTGTGTTTTTTCTTCGTCTTCGCTCAAGCCGACGAATTAGTCGACCTCCTCGACCGAGGGCTCGTCGGCTCCTGGGCCGGGGAAGCCGCCGCTCGGTGCGGCACCGGGTGCACCGCCGGGTGCACCTCCTGCAGCACCGTAAGCCTTGGTCATGATGGGGTTGGCAATGGCCTCGAGCTCCTTCTGCTTCTCGGTGTACTCCTCCTGGCTGGCCTCGGAGGAGGCATCGAGCCACGAGATGGTCTCCGTGATGGCCTTGCTAAGCGACTCCTTGTCGGCGGCGTCGAGCTTGTCCTTCAACTCCGAATCGATCGAGTTGCGCAAGTTGTACGCATAGGTCTCCAGACCGTTCTTGGCTTGGATTCGAAGGGCGGCTTGTTCATCTTCCTGCTTATATTGCTCGGCTTCGCGCACCATACGCTCGATCTCGTCCTTACTGAGGCGACCCTTGTCGTTCGAGATAGTGATCTTGTTGGACTTGCCGGTTGTCTTGTCGGCGGCGGAGACGTTGAGAATACCGTTGGCATCAATGTCGAAGGTGACTTCGACCTGCGGAACACCACGGGGGCGGGGGGGATGCCGGAAAGCTCGAACTTGCCGAGGAGGTTGTTGTCCTTTGTGCGGGCACGCTCACCCTCGTAGACCTGGATCAAAACACCGGGTTGGTTGTCGGCGTAGGTCGAGAAGGTCTCGGACTTCTTGGTAGGGACGGTCGTGTTGCGGGGAATGAGCTTGGTCATAACACCACCGGCGGTCTCGATACCGGTCGAGAGCGGGGCCACATCGAGCAAGAGCAAGTCCTGGGTCTTCTCGGACGTGTCACCGGTGAGGATGGCAGCCTGGACAGCGGCACCGTAGGCAACGGCCTCATCGGGGTTGATGGACTTGTTAGGCTCCTTGCCGCTGAAGAAGTCCGAGACGAGTTTCTGGACCTTGGGGATACGAGTGGACCCACCGACGAGGACGATCTCGTGGACAGAGGCCTTGTCGATCTTGGAGTCGCGGAGGACCTTCTCGACGGGGTCCATGGTGCCACGGAACAAGTCTTGGCACAACTCCTCGAAGCGGGCGCGGGTGATAGAGGTGTAGAAGTCGATACCCTCGAAAAGCGAGTCGATCTCGATGGTGGTCTGGGCGGCCGAAGAAAGGGTGCGCTTGGCACGCTCGCAGGCGGTGCGGAGACGACGGAGAGCACGGGCGTTCGACGAGAGATCCTTCTTGTTCTTGCGCTTGAACTCGGCGACGAAGTGGGTGACGAGTCGGTTGTCGAAGTCCTCACCTCCCAAGTGGGTGTCACCGGCGGTGGCCTTGACCTCGAAGATACCCTCCTCGATGGTCAAAAGGGACACATCGAACGTTCCTCCTCCGAGATCGAAGATGAGGACGTTCTTCTCGCCGACCGTCTTCTTGTCGAGGCCGTAAGCGATGGCGGCGGCGGTGGGCTCGTTGATGATACGGAGGACGTTTAGACCCGAGATGACACCGGCATCCTTGGTGGCTTGTCGCTGCGAGTCGTTGAAGTAGGCGGGGACAGTGACGACAGCGTTGGAGACGGTCGTGCCGAGGTAGGCCTCAGCAGTCTCCTTCATCTTGAGCAGGATCATGGACGAGATTTCCTCGGGGGTGAACTGCTTGGTCTCGCCTCGGTACTCGACCTCGATGATGGGCTTGGTTCCCTTGTCGACAACCTTGAAGGGCCAGTGCTTCATGTCGGACTGGACCTCGGGATCGGCCCACTTTCGGCCAATGAGTCGCTTGGCATCGAAGACGGTGTTCTGTGAGAATGGGCGAATGGGCAGCAGAAGGTCAGCATTGTGATTGTGGAAGGCATGCGACGAAGACGACACAAGAAAGAGTGCAACTTACGTGAGGGTTCATGGCGACTTGGTTCTTGGCGGCATCACCAATCAATCGCTCCGAGTCGCTGAGGTGCGAGCGAGCGCGGCGGCGGTGGGCGTGGCGAGCAGGCGGGCGAGCGGAACGAGATGGAAGGTCAAGGAAGAATTGCGTCAGAGCGCGGGAAAAAACGGTCGACCGAGCAGCGTGGGGAGGACGGAACAAGAAGGTGCAGGCACGGTCAGTGAGATGCACTAATACGAGGAAAAGAAAGTGTACAACGACTCACGTGAAGGCCACGTAGGAGGGAGTTGTTCGGTTACCTTGATCCTGTGAGATGGAAAAAAGTTTGGAGAGGCAACGTCAGCGAATCGCCGAGGACGGCGACGGACTCGGTCTGATTGCGGCGCTGCACCAGACGCAATGACTTACATTGGCGATGATCTCAACTCGGTCGTTTTGCCAGACGCCGACGCAAGAGTACGTTGTGCCGAGATCGATTCTACAGGACAGAGCACGGGTAGGGAAAAAAAGAGGTGGCGGCGGGGTCAGCAAGCCGGTCGGTCCATCGCGGACGAGACGACGGAGGACGACGACGACGACGAATGTGTAAAGTCACTCACCCGATAGCCTTTCCAGCGGACATGATGTGTGTATGAAGAGTAGGTAGATGTGGGGTGGTGGGTGTGAGGGCGCGTTGGGGTGTGTGTCAATTTGGTGTGAAGTAAGTGAAATGTGTGGAGAGGGAAGGAGAGCCGACGTGAACGACCGGGACAAAAGTGACGACCGAACACACACCCGCGCACGGACCGCTCCCCAATTCCTTCGATGACATTCCACCGGGCACTCTCGCGTTCCACTCGAGTCGATAGCATTCCACTCGCCTCCACGCGATTCCATGCCGTTCCACCGGGCAAGAAAAGGCGTCCACCTCGTTTCGCTCGGGATGCGGACGTTGGACTCAATCGATAAAACAGTTTGGCACACCCAAGCTGAACAAGATGATTCTTTGACAACTTCACGATCATGTACTACCACGACTTTGTTTCGGACGTCGAAGCTTCTGGATGTGCAAAACTTGCTCCCTCTACATATGTTGACAATGTACATCGTATTCTTGTGAGTGTCGGCGAAATCTCATGGCATTAAAAGCGCGCGACGAATGGCATTGCAAAAGATAGCCACTCCTTGAAAAATTGAGGGGACAGGGGCCTGGATTGAGAAGGGTCGGCGCAGCTCGTCGCGTATCGCCACGCCTCAAATTTGGATGTGATTTGAAGTACATGAACGGGTCGCAAGAGTCCTCACTCCAAACCCGAGTACAAAAGCGTTGGCATCGAAGAAAAAAGACGCTCGTGCAAGGAACCTCCTCGTCAACTCGAAGCGTCGCGCCGGCCGTAGCCGGCCGTCGCATTTCGTCATTTCTGGTGGGCTGCCCACGCTCCCTTCCGGCCCTGCCCGCAGCGCGCAGCGCCAGGACTGCGCGACGCCCAGCCTGCAGAGTCCCTGCAGCGCGCAGCCGGCGAGCTGGCGCGTCACGCGAAGCCCAAGCCACGTCCTCGCTTCGACTCGCCTCGGTGCTCTTTGAGCCACTGACAGCATGCCAGGATCCACCTCCGAGACCACCTTGGCTTCTTCGACAACACCTCAGGACCAAAAGACCGTCGGTCCTCTTGATCCAAGTAAGTGGGTGCGGAACGGTTCACCCTAGTTCTCTCTCCTCGATCGGCCACGTCCCAGACCGCCACCACCACCACCACGCGCTGACTGTAGGCGCTGCCGAACTTCCCCACTTGCGCGACTCGCTCGTCCACGCACAGCCTCGGACACTGCGTCCATCTCCGCAGCCACGAACACGTCTACCTTTCCTTCTTCACAAGAAACAGAACCAACACGAACACCTTCAATCCCCATCTCCAAGATGACCAGCACCCCTCCGGATCTGTCCCAGCCGTTCCCCGTCCCTCCCTCGGTGACCCCGCCCTCCCCCTCTTCGGGGTTCTCAACCTCGCCGCGCCATCACTTCCGCATGTGCGACGTACTTGCCTCCCCCGAGTTGCAGTCCGGGCATTCGCATTCGAACTCACTCACCAATGCTGCCGAATTGTGGTGGAAGTCCAAAGGGGACGGCAATGGGCTCGAGCGGGTCAACGTTCCCGTAGAGTCGAACCGCTCCGGTTCAAGATCTTCGGCGACAGCACAAATGCCCGAGCAAGGTCAGCCAAGCTCTTTCGTGTCTAGCTTTGCGACGTCAAATTATACTGACCCCCCAAACCAATGTTTTGTTTTCGAAAAGCCCGCCCTGCGACACCAATAGCAGCGAGCAACGATGTTGTCGTCGTCGTTGGCCAGAACGGCACGAGCGCGGCATTGCTCCATAACACGGCTGCATCACCCAACGACGAGGAAGCCGTAGGCATGAACAACCTCAGAAGAAGGGGCGGCTCGGGTTCCGATCTTTCGTGCCAGTCCGTGAACAATGTGCAGGCCAGCGAGCCAGTTATATAGCACACGCACACAAGTCATCCTTCTCTAGGCCATTCACCGTCACCATCACTTTCAGGGCCCCATTTTGCATCCTTCTGTACCCTCACTCTTCTCATCGTCACGCCTGCATCATGATTTCTCGGAAAATCTCTTGGGTACTTGTAACCTTGTAGACTGCGCAATGTCCAAGACTACCTCTCGCTCTCACCAATTTACAAGCAGCCAGCCAGAATTGGGGAGGAAGAGAGGTTTGCAAGTGTGACATGGTGAAAATTGTTGGTACACCAAAGGGAACAAAACGAAAATGCGAAACACGAATACAAGAAAGAGGACTCAATCATCGCGAGGCTCGGCCGGACCGCTCGTGATCCTTTTGAGCCTTTTCAGCATCCTTCGCGGTCAGTCTCAACACCTCGAGCTGTATTTCGAAATGGCAATTCGTGAGTGAAATGAACGACGAAATGCTATAGCACGAGGAACTGACCTCGAGGACGACCTGCTTCATCGATGGTCGTAGAGAATGGTCTTGATCCCACATTACCCCGACGAGATCGAGAATATCACCACCCCATTGTCTCCTCATCGAAGCCGTCGAAGGTCGGATACGCTTCTGACCGACCTGCTCGTAGATGGCGTGCTCATTCATGCCCTCGAAAGGGTAGCGCTTTACGGGCTGGTGCCACTGCAGTACCTCCCAAAAGACGAGACCGACGGAGTAGACATCGACTTTTTCGTTGTACTTGGGGTGAGCGACCCAGAGTTCGGGGGCTTGCCAGTTGACGGTCCCGACAAGGGAGCGGATGACCGATCGGGTCGTGTGCTTGACTCGCGCCAGCCCGAAGTCGGCCATCTTGGCGACGCCTTGGGCGGTGATAAGCACGTTCGACGACTTGATATCACGGTGAATAATGGTCGGTTTGCGCGTGTGGAGATACTCGACGCCGCGCGCGATGCCGAGCATGATGTCGATCATCGACGAGAAGGGCGGGTGAGGCACGCCTCGGATGTAGTCGAACAAGTCACCGTTGGCGCACAGCTCGGTGACAATCATGACGGGAACCGTCGAAGGCTCTTTGGGGATCGAGACGCCGATAAAGTGCACGATGTTGGGGTGACGCAGGTCGCGCAAGAGACCGAGCTCCTTTATGTCCATTTCGGTCAGATGTCCTCGGATGTCGCAGATTGCGATCGTCTTGCGTCGGTACAACCCCTTGTAGACGTCCTTGAACCCACCCGAGCCAACTTTCTCAAGCTTGGTCAATTTTTCAGGGGCAATCTCCTTGTCTTGAAGCTGCAGGCTCTCGAGGTCGAGACCGTTGATCTCTTCAGTGATGTCGTTGAGCGCTGCAGCAGCACGCGACCGTCCTCGACTATGGGGCTTGTCAGGACTTCGCGAATGGCCGTAGCGCATGAGAAGAGGGGTTTCGGCATTACTGGCCACAGAAACGGTCACGGCTCTGCGTAATGCCTGCGACTTAGTCTCGGCACGCGCGGTTTCGGTCGAGGTGTTGGTCGCGTCGGACTGAACGGTCGACCCGCCCGACGAGTGGTCAAAGTCGGCGTCGCGCTATGAGCAACCCCAAGGTGTCAGCGATGGCTCTCTGTAAAGAGACAGTGAAGAAGATTGCTCACCCATTCCAAAAGGGCCTGAACGAGCTCTTTCTTGGTCCCATCCCCCTGCAGCTCGCGTTCTTCGCATAAGCGTACCAAGTCGTCCTTGCGATGCCGCAACAAACTCTTGGACGTTGCGTTGGCAAGATCGACGTCATCATCGTGGGCCATCTCCTCGTCTTCTTCTTCCTCTTCCTCTTCTTCTTCTTCCTCCTCCTCCTCCTCGTCGTCGTCGTCGTCATCATCATCATCCCCGTCCTCAGTTTCCTCTTCCTTATCGTCTGCCCGCTTACGCGTCCGCCTCCCTCCTTTTAGGGGTACGACCTTGCCGTTGCGCAGCTGCCTCGGCGCACGAAGGTACGAAGTGACCTCGGTCGTTTCTCGTTCCTCGTCCGTTTCGGAGAACAATGCATGGTCAACGGCATAGTCGCCCCCACTTTCTTCGTCGGCGTCTGACGGAGTCGCCTGACTTGGCCGAGTCTTCCTCGAAAGGCGACCCGTACCAAACACGTCCTCATATTCATCGTCGTCCTCAAAGTCGGAGTCCGGATTTGGACCCATCCTCTCGTCCTGCGGCCAATCATCGTGGACGACCTCGCTGCGAGTCGGCCGGCGCTGGGAATGCCTCTCGCCGCGCTTGACGATCTTCTCCACCGCTTTGGCTTTCGCCGCTCTTCCGGCAACTCCGTTCGGTCGGATCGTGTCGGGCGGGGCGAGCGAGCCTCCTCGTGTCCGATGGGCGATGGGTGAGCTCGCGTAGTGAGTTTCGTCATCCTCATCGAACGTGACAGCCTTGTTCTTGCCCTTCGAGCTCTTGCTCGCGTTCCTTGTGTGTCGCAACGAGTTGTTCGCCTTGTCCTGCCCGTCGACCTCGATCGTATGCGAATGCCGACGCGTCATCCTCCTCCCCGGTAACGAAGCCGGGGTCACGACCGGGAACGCAGACGTCGAAGCGTGTGTGGGAACGACATCGTGGCTCTGCCGTCGCGTCATCGGTCTTGAAGAGGCGCCGCCGCTGACCTTGAAGTCAGACAAGGAACGACCCCGTGTCGTCTTCTTGGGAGCAACAGCTTTCTCTGCCTCGTAGTCCTCCGAGCTGGCGACAGAGACAACCGAATGACTTGTGGGCGGTGTGATGGCTCGACGGTCCTTCCTCGTTCGACCACCCCTTTGGGATCCGCTCGATCGCGCCTTCTTCCGAGGAGAACTACCTTCGTCATCGTCCGACTCGAGGGCAGGCGACGTCTCTTGGCTCGTGAAAGGCCGGGGCGAATCGCGATCCGAGTCCTCTTCGGCATCGCCGTCGGATTCGGTCGCGCAGACGGCAGTTTGGCCGCGTGTTTCAAGTAGCAGTGTGATGAGGTCGTCCTTGTGCAGTGCCTCGGCATCTTCTTCCTCGGCACCAGATGCGATCCGATAGAGGCGCACAAGCTCGTCGCGTCGTAGTCGCCGCAGATGGGTCAATGTTGCCTCGTGGATGTGAAAGTGATCGTCTGTGGGTACAGGTCGCACTGCGGTCAGCGCGCCATCGTACGAGACCAAAGCAGTTTTCCAGCACAACGTACCTTCTGGCATCTCCTCATCAACATCTTCTTCCTCGGCATCTTCCCCTTCTTCCTCTTCTTCTATCTCTTCGCCGTCCTCCTCTGCCTCGTCGTGATCCTCTTCCTCAGCTTCCTCATCCTCCAGCTCGACATCCTGCTCCTCTTCTCTTTGTTCCTCCTCCTCATCCGTCGTCTGCTCATCATAAAACCCCTTCGTCTGAGTCTTGTTCGTCGACCCCCTGCGTGCCCTCTGCTCACTCTCCAACCTCATATCTTCATCCTCCGTCTCCTCGGGTACCTTCTTCCTCTTCTTCGCCGTGCCCGCGGAACCCATCAACAGCGACGCCGCGTTCGTTCGTGTCCCTCGAGGAAGGCTCGAAGCTGTCGTTCGGTCGAGAGGGAGACCCGCTGAGCCTCGCCGCGTCATGCGCACTGCGGCGGCCATGGTGGGGAGAAGGTAGGGTAGGTTCGGGTTCGGCCTCTGATCAGAAGACGGAGGGCGGAGGCAGACAAATAGAGGTTATGAGGGGACTGGAATGCGAACAAGGATAAATGGGGGTTGTCGTTGTGTTTGTACTCGATGTGTGAGGATTATATTCTCGTCGATCCGATTGTGGTCGGCTGCAGTAATCACCCCGCGTGTGTTGAGTGACGCGCTTCGGAATCGAGTCTGGCGTCGCAAAAAGTATCGGAGCGATTCGATTATGAACGAGCAGAGGTGATTGTAGACGTATGCAAGGCTTGACGTCGTTCCAGCACTCGAGCGATGTCGCCAGGTCGCGTCGGAAGGTGATCGAAGCTTCGGGGCCGAGAGATGTAACCGACTCCGCGTTGAGAGATGGACTGTCAATGTGCTACCTGACACGACGAACTGGACCGGATGATCGAAGACGGATTTGGTGTTGGACCTTTGGAAAGTCGAATGCGGTCGTCCGATGCGTTGAATGTAGGATTACCGAACGGTCACGATCGCATTGACGGGCCTCCGTACTGAGCCGCCGGGCCTTGTGAACGAGGCGCTCTCAGTTGGATCGAGCCGAGAATCGAGGTTCGAAAGACCCGAGTTGATCCAACAGAGTTGAGCTGCGATGCAAGACGCCTTGACTTTAGATCCGGGCTCTGCAAGGTGGTCTTCACACCAAAGTCAGCAAGGGTCAAGTCATCATCACTCTCCCCCGCCTGCCCGCCCGCCCGTCGCCCATCAGGCCATCAGGCCTTAGGCCCCCGGTCATTAATAGTCACGGCCTAGGAGGACGCGGGGTCACGTCGCAGAGCGGTCGCACAGGTTGCCACTCTCGAGAAGAGTCGTCCGACACGCGACTTACGAGGATCACAAAAGTTTTCAGTGGCACGGAGAGGACCACTTGACGTCCAGCCGTCGGTGGCTTGGGGTCGTACAGAGGCGGGGGATGATCCGACCGGGGCGATGCGACAGGTCGTCGCGTCAGCAGCAGGTGCGAGCAACGCATTTCGCATACACTCAGCTTTTTCACGCTCGGACCTCGTCTCGCTCGCTCTCAAAATCGATTGGAGCTTCCCTCGGCGTTCAGACGGAGTTATCACCGGCGGACTTGTTACGTCAGACCTTAGAGTGGCGTAACACATGGAACCTCATTTCGTTACAAGGGTCAAAGCAGATGCTACCATCACCGTCCCAGTTCGTTCACGGCTTCTCGTAATCGGACGACGACTCGTGCTTCTTGGCCTCCTGCAACTTGCGCGCACCCTTCATAAAGTCATCTTGGCTGCAGTAGTCGCGGTCATCACTGAACAACAGGAAATTGATGGTCAGGATGACGACTTGGGGAATAGGCAGATCGCAAGCCCAAGTTCACCCACCGAATGGCAAACATGCCCGCCTCGGTGCACACGTTTCGCAAATCGGCACCGTTGAACCCTTCCGACAACTTGACAATAGCCTCGTAGTCTGTTCCGATAGTAAGATTTGCATCATCAGTTGCAAAGTCGACGGCACACAGTTCACACTTGACAGACGCACCAATCTCGCCCGTCTTTCGGATCGGCCCGGCATGAATCTTGAGGATTTCCATTCGCGCGACTTCGTTAGGCAAGGGGATCTCGATCTTTCGGTCGATGCGACCAGGTCGCAGCAAGGCAGGGTCAAGGGTATCCGGCTGGAGAAAGGTTGACATCGACCGGGATCAGCTCTCGATGATGCACGGGGGAATGCCCGAAATACACGAGGAAAGGGTCGGATCGGACTTACTCGGTTGGTAGCAAAGATGACCTTGGTCTTGCCAAGGTAGTCGAATCCGTCTAGTTGGTTCAAGAGCTGAAAGAACGGTACTCGACAGTAGTTAATCTCTGGAATCGCGAGCTTCTAGGACCCGCGCAAACTCACCTCCATCAGCGTCCTCTGAATCTCTCGATCGGCACTCGTTCCTTCACTGAACCGACGACCACCGATAGCATCGACCTCATCCATGAAGATGATACACGGTTCGTGTTCGCGTGCGTAACCGAACATCTCTCGAATTAAGCGTGCGGATTCACCAATGTACTTGTCGACGATCGCCGACGAGACGACCTTGAGGAAGTTGGTCGAGAGCGTCGCTGCGACAGCTCGAGCGAGCAATGTCTTTCCTGTTCCCGGAGGTCCGTAGAGCAACACACCTGTAGTGTACATCGTAGCAGCAATGGATTGTCAGACCGAGCGTGAGTCCGTGTCGGTTCCGATCCGAACTCACCCTTTGGCGGCTTGATGCCGACTCGCATGAACAGCTCTGGGTTCATCAACGGCAGCTCGATGACCTGGGGAACGTGGGCAGCCAGGGATAAGTGTGTGTCTATTCGTAAGACAGTGCTGACCTCGGACGCACTTCTCGCAACTCGCGGATCTGGTCGCCTAATCCTCCGATCCCAGCAAAGGTGACCTCTCCCGGATCCTCCATGCTCATGTTGTACACCAGCGGGTCGACTTCTCTCGGCAGGATCCTAAAATGCGTGACACACGGGAGAAAAGTGAGCTGATGCACACGCGAATGCGGTTGAAGTGCACGTGGCTGGAAGTGGAGGTGGTGACGCACCTCATGATGGTCAGGGTCGTCATGTCGAGCGAGACGCGGACGCCGTTCTTGAGCTTGTGCTTGGGCACGGCTGATCGGCATCCTACCACGTATCGAGGCCCAGACGAGGCCTTGACGATGACTGTGGACGAAGATGTCGAGGCATGAGTGTCCGGGACGATGTGCTGGGGGACCACCTTCTCCGGGACTCGGGACCCACATCGCTCCTCATCCAACTGCTTCAACACCTCGCCGACGATTTGACCGACGGATTGGAGCGCCTTGATATCATCCTCTGACTTGTCGAAATCGCGGTCGAGATCCTTGAGCGAAGCTCGAACTGCGTCAACGTCAACAGGCGGTCGTCGTCGTCAGCGCTTCTGTCTCGGCGGTGGGACTCGCTGCTCGGCTAGGGTGAGCTGGGGAGGACCGACTCTTCTTCAAGTTCTCGGTCAGGGTCTCGTGTTCCTTGAGTTTCTGTATGCAGCGAAAGGATGGGAGATCAGTCGGGTGTCATCGAGTAATGCCAGCTGGCTCCAGCTCCACTCGCGTCGACGGACCTTGCGGTAGGCCTCGATCGCCTTGTCCTTGGGAGACGGTTCGGGCGCAGGGGCGGGGGTCTGTGCAGCAGCAGCAGCAGCAGCAGCAGTAGGTTCTGCCGCGGTCGATGACGATGCAGCGGGTGCTTCCGAAGGTGCAGACATGGCGATGGGATGGCGATGACTGTATGGGTGTGAGAAGGGGAGCGTCGTTCAAGCAGTCAGTCGCTGACGACACGCGTTTGGAAACGCGATCTGAGCATGTCTGAGCCAGTCTGAGCCCACTTCTGAGCCAGTAATAACTAGCCCGAGGCTGAGGCGGAGCCAAAGCTGAGCTGATCTGAGCGCTCCCTTGCGCTCGGACCGCCTTCCGTGATCGGCGCGCCTGCCAGTCCTCGTCCTCGACTCGGCAAAGCGGAGGCGTGCAGCTTGTGTCCTTCCTCTCCCACCTCGTTCACCGTCAGCTCGGCTTTTCGCTCTAACCCCCGCCCCTCACCTCACCTCCCTCCCCCACAAGTGAGTTCACCATCTGCCCATGTTCTAAGCCTGCACTCTCACCCAACTGAACACGGTCTACGGTCGCCCCGCGCGCGTGGCAGTGTCGTCCGCGAACCGACGAATCACCAAAGAGTACGCCGAGCTGCAAGCCGACTGGCCGCCGTACGTCGTCGCACAACCCGACGAATCCAACCTTCTCCACTGGGTCAGTCATCTTCTTCCATTCAGTCTCGTATTGTGCTTCGGCTTAGGAAACACGGTCGACGAAGGGTCGTGAGGGGCTCGTGTCCGTTCCCGTTTCGATTTCGCTCATTCACTGACGTAGTGCGACCCGGATCGAAATTCCCTGCCCTGCCTTCGCACAACACGCGACACATACACATCAAATAGACGGGCACCATCACCGGACCGCCCGACTCGGCTTACAAGGGTCAGTCATCGACAGTGGGTTGTGTCGTAGTTACCCACTCATCATCACCACCTCGGTCGCTAACCCCTCAGGCGGCAAGTTCAAGATTGACATCACGTTCCCCATCGAGTATCCGTTCAAGTCGCCCAATGTTAGTCTCAAGTTGATCACAAGACTTTTTTCTGAGCAAGTACTGATATGCACTTTCCCCCCCACAGATCAAATTCGTGAGCGTTCAGTCCGAGAAAAGTCCGGTTGGAGGACTCACCCGGACCCGAGTCGTGTGACCCCTTTAGCGAGCGCTCGGGGAGCTGACAGCCCGTCGTGACTTTAAATAGGCCACCCGAATCTATCACCCCAATGTGACCGACGACGGAGCGCTTTGTGTCGGAGTGCTCAAGGTCAGTCCACATCGCCCCGCACCTTCGAGCTCGGCGCGATCGGGGCGCGCAGAATCTGACCACCGACCCCCCAACGACGACTGGGTCAAACAGGCCGAGGCATGGAAGCCCTCCACAAAAATTGATCAAGGTGAGACCGAGAAGATCGCTCTTGGGTCTGACATCGATTGCAGTCGACTGAACAGCCCGTCCGTGTGATGGAACAGTCCTTCGAGCACTCGTTCAACTGCTACAGGAACCGAATGGTCAGCCTCAATCGGGCTCGGAGCCGAGAATACCGGAATACACGTGTAGCTGATCGTCATACCTCCCCTGTTCACAGCCGATGACGCCCTCGTGGCTACCATCGCCGAGGTGAGTCGTTCGCTGCTGCTTGGGGAACGTCAGGCTCATACGACCGCCCTTGCAACCTCTTTCTGCTCGCAGCAATACACCAAAGACCGGCCTGCGTTCAACAAGACGGTGAGTCATCTCTTGATGTTCTGCAAATGATCCCCCGCACCCCCGACTCATCCAAGATCTATCTCGCTCTCTTCAGGCGCAAGAATGGGTCAAGAAAGTGGGTCGAAGGTCGTCATCACATCATCCCTTTCAGCTCGAAAAGCTGATCAGAGACTTCGCATACCCTTCTACAGTATGCATGATAATCTTTGACCGAATTCCTATTGTTCACAACCCAACGTCTCACCCATCTTGATTCAACTTTCACCTCATCCCCTCCTGCTCGCTCTTCTCCCATGTCGTAATCTCTCTCGCGCGCGCGCGATTCCGTCTTTCTCGGGTTGCAACATGATCGCATTACGATACAACTCGGCTTGGCCGAGCTCAACGACACAAGTCGTGAATACCAATATAGAACAAAGCACAGTGTCCGCATCAGAATCCGAGCAAAGTTCGCTTGTAATAAGCCGCCGTGGCTGCGATGACCAATGTCGCCATTCCGAGCCTATGTTGAGAGAACCGCGTCCAGAGGTCAGCTCTTACACCATCCTCGTCCAAAGGAGGCGAAGAGAAACGTACCTCGCATCCTTGCCCAACCCACACAGCATGACGATGCACCACCAAAAGCCCACAAACCGATCCAACACCTTGCCGACCAACTTCTTTCTCCTCCACCCTTGATCGATCCGATAAGGACTCGTAAAAGGTAGCCTCAGCCCCGAACTACCCTTGGGATGTCGAGGGAGAGCGAAGATCGCGGTGACCGGTTTGTGATCTGAGCCGGTGAAGGACATGATCGAGGTGTAGAGTTCGACTTTGGCGCCTTTGCGTTTGGCCGAACGTTCGACGACCTCACCGGATTTCAAGGTTTCGCGCTTGATGAATTCGCCCGCACCGGATTCGCCGTCGGACCAACACGAGAAGAGGATGCTGATCCATAGAAGCGATGAGAGTGGATCAGACTCGGTCCCCGAGCAAACTGCTTCGTAGTGAATTCCGACCAAACTCACCGATCGGTCCATCCCGGCACCCTCTTGGTGAAAGCCTTGTAGGTATCGACGGTGCCAACTTTGAACTTGTACGTCGGTTGGAACGTGATCTCCCCTTCCCTCAAGTGATGCAACGTACGACCCTTGGATTGTTCTTGACGCAATTGATCGTGCGTGAGCAGAGCAGGGAGGTCGTTGTGGATCTTGTGCGCGATCAATTGCTTGGAAAGGCTTTTGGGTGTCACGGTCGAGATTCGATAATTGAGATCCTGAGGGAAGGCAGCAACGTAACTAATCAGAACCTAAGCCGAACCTCCAAAATCAGTACTGCTGCACTCACGCCAAAAAAGAAGAGATAGGTCGTATCGTAGATCTGGATCCCGTCCGTCGATTTGCTCTTGATGCGCGGGAAGACGCTGCGCTGCTGTTGGGTTCGGTAGTGCTGCGAGGGCCCATCGGGGGTGAAGATGAGGCGCTCCACAATCGATTGGTAGTCCTCGTTACGTCGCTGCAGGCCCGAGCCGTGCGCCGCCAGATGCGAAGTCACTGTAGGATAACCCCTCGCCTCAGCGCTGGATCATCGACCCTAGGCTATACTGCAAAACGGGGCCTACCGAACGTAAAGACGTTGTTGCCCGTGTCCGAGTCCCCGTCCTCACCTGATTTGCTGTCCGAGCTCTCGTCGCCTTCCGAGTTCAAAGTGATGCGAACGCCAACCCCGCCTTTGTTACCCATCCTCCTGAAAATACCACATGCAGCCGTCGCAACCCGGACATCGACAACGTGGTTCGTCACGGTGGCATCCCGCGTAAACACGAGCAGAGCGATGCCGCCGAGGACTTGCTTGGCCATGAGCGTGTACGACTTGCGCTCGCCGTTCGACGAGGTGTGTTGCTCGATCGCAGATTTAATTTGGTGGTCGTGTTGATCCAACGCGGTGCGGGTCAAACCTACCAAGGCGAGATGCTGCACACGTTACCAGGTCGCCGAGTGGGATCGAAGGGAGGATGTGGGGCAGAAGAGGACAACGTTCAACGACACGGTCAGCGCTAGCATAGGAGTGACAGGCGGCAGGACACCGGACTGAACGAAATCACAGACCACAGTCCAACTCCAACTCACCAAAGGAATCATCTCTTGGAAGCCGACGGCGAAGAAGTCGGGTGCCTCGCCCTCGGCCGCGTTGCCTTCCTCCAACGTCGGCGCCAACCACGACGCCAACGAATTGAGGTCTTTATGACCCTTGGCGAGGTGGCCGTTGTAGGTACAGCATTGGACGCGGTATTTGCTTGGAGCCATTTTCGGTGGGGCTGCGACAGCGGCTCGCCTGTGTGTGCGGTACGAGGTGGGGGCGTGAAAGCTATAAGCTCAAGCTGAGTCTGAGTCTGCAGCGCTGCTGATCACGGGGAGCTTGTGGTTGCCGGCGCCGGGCTGGGCCCACCCGAGTCGCGGTCGCTTTCAGCGGCTCACCAGAAAGCTCATCACCCGTGGTCTGCAAAACCAGTCATCTTGCTCATGAGAAGCCAATGTTTTTAAGATATACTTCCGAATTCCGTGTCGTGCGCTCATATTCAGCTCCGCAGCGATTATTTTCGGCTGGAGGGCGGGACGGCGGGTCCGTGCGCGCGAGGGGGCCGGGACTTGCCTGTTTCAGACGTGCGGCCGCTGACGACGACTGGTCGAGAACCGCTCTCGGCGATGGCGTCTGAGACAACGAAAGGTCGTCGTCTCGTCACACCTCGGAGAGCCCACTGGCACTCTTACTTCTGGTCATCACACTCCTCGCAAAGGCTCAGTCTACCACCATCCACTCGTCTCGTTAACCTCGCATCATTTTGACGTTCGATGAGAGGCATGTCACCACCACCCCTCCCTCCAAAGTCGAGCGGCCTGCCCTCGGTCGGCAGGGGCCATCTGCGCAAACGCTCGCTGCAAGCATCCAACACGGCCGCCGAGGTCGAGAGTCTGATGGCTGGCCACGGCGCGAACGACATCAATCTCCGCAGTCCTCGGTCCGCCGATGACACCGTTGTCGAGTTCGGCGAGGACGACCAAGACATCTACCTCCATCATGTGTCGGACAAGTACAAGCACGGTGACAAGGGTTTTGGCGACGAGGACGACTCGGCGGCCAAAAATCCGAGGAATCCGGGGCATCTCATGTGGCAGGACAAGCAACTCAACAAGCGGCGTAAGAATGGGGCAAGGTGTCTGGGCACATTCTTGTTGATCATCAGCGCCTTTTTTGGATGGATCATCGGCATCGTGGCGCCGCCCCGATCACTCAAGCATGCTCAGCTGAGCAGCGGCCGCGGGAATGCTTTGAACGATGTCTTTGACCTCGTCTCGGGCCAGGAGCACTCTTATTCGGCGCCGTGAGTCGCTCATATGCCTCGGACTGCCATTACGGACTCTCGCTGATTCATCATCCTTTTTTGGGGGGGTTGTCTTTTCTCTAGCCCGAGTTGTAACCCCTACGACGAATACGGCATCCTGAACATTAGCACGAACATAGCAGCCGAGAACGTCTGGCAGCCGATCGCACCGCGCGAATCGTGCCAGCCCATTGACTACATGCTTCTGTTCAAGGAGGCCATTGAAAGTGGCGAGACCTCGGATGCTGTCTCGGAGGAGTTAGCTTTTGCGGTCAATCGAACAGTGGTTATCTATGGCGATTCAGTCGATCGAGAGTGAGTCCGATTGGCAACAGGCTGTAGTCTAGCGCTTTCTCGGAGTATATGAGGGGCTAAAGGCAGATCCGTCCCGCACGCGCAGTCACAATGTTCACTTTTGCTCGCTCGTCGGAGGCTACCTCGAAATGATCGGTGTCAACCACACACTGTCTCCTCCGTATCCCCCTGGTGATGAGATCCCCCCCGAAGGCTGTACGTTACCTGAGCAACGTGTGTTTGGTGATCCCTACATTCTGACCGAGGCACTTGACATTTTACGCAGATAAAAATTTTGCGACAGGTGCCCGTGAATGGCCTGAATTCGACCAGTCTCGACCGTACATCTGCCACGTCGGTCACCTTGGCCTGCGCATCCTCAGCGTCTTCCACTATGGCTTCCGCGGCCGAACCAAGATGATCGAAAGCCACCCCCATTTCTACCCACCTGCCACAATCGAGGAGCGCTTCGACCAGATTGTCGTTCCTCTCGTCCACAACTTGGCTGCGAAGCACAACGTTTCGGCGACGCCGGACCTCGTCTCCTTCACACCAGGGTACTGGGGTCTGTTGCGTCAGGCCGTTTCGGACGACAAGATGTTGCTCGAGGCGATCAAGAACGGCACGGCCGCCGAAGAAGCGCAAGCAAAGTACGACGTGTGGCGAACGATGAGTCCTGATCAACGCGAGTGGAACCGAGAGCGGATGAACGCTGTCCTTCGTCACATTGGTCGAGGGTGGCTTGATACGGCCAAGAAAGCTTCGGACGGCGCTGCTCTCACGCCGAGGATTCTGTGGCGAGCCCTCCACCACATCAAGGAGCAACACAATCTACCGTACAACCGTGTGCAAGCCGTCGACCAGATAGGGCGAAGCGTCGTCCAACAGCTCATCGCCGAGGGTCGAGCCGCCGTGGCGGGAGCGCAAATCTGGACGAGTTGGATCGCGATGCTGAAAAACTCAATCAGCGGCACGAAGCCGGACATCATTGCTAGCGAAGAGATCAAGCTCGGTTCGGAGGAGGAACAGAAAGAGGCACTCAAGATGGGCTACGCCCATCGGCTCAAGATTGATGAGTGGGGGGCGTTGATGATCGGGCAAGAACGCTACTTCCGCGACAACGTCCACCCGCTGCCGCTGCCTGGATCGTACCTCTATGGCAACATGTTGATGCAACAGCTGAAAATGCTGGTCGAAGAAGAGGACTTGCTGGTGCCGATCCAGAAGCAAGTTGTCGCGCCGATCAGAGGGCCTTGAGAAGCGTAATGGTGGAAGAGCGCTCGGCGCTGAGCTCGGTCATTGTGTCACGTGTTCGATAGATTGTTTTCCTTGTTGTACTGGTTTCGAACCTTGTTCATTTTATGAGATTGTTCACGCTGATGGAATGGAGTACGTGAGTATCACACCACCGCCTCTCGTGACGTGATCGTGGGCATTTCTGACTGAAAAGCACGGACTTGTTTTGAGCGTCAGGAAGCACTTGCCGACTCTGCCAACTGGGTCTTGCTATCACTTTCCGAATGCAATGAAAGCATCTACACCTCTGGTCTCAAGGGTTCGACTCAATTCCATACCATGCTTTATTGGTACGCAGTGTAGGGCTGCAACATCAATGTTCCCGGCCGGGTCCAATGCAGCCGCGACTCGGACCCAGTGCTCGGCTGGGAGGAGTCACGTGCCCAAGGCTCATGACCCCTGAGCCGTTCGAGGCCGGAGCCAACTCACTCAGCCCGCAGTGGCCGGCATTTAAACTTTTTCAAGCAGCAAGGGAGAGAGGATCGAGAAATGCAATCATTCCCAACTGAGGTCCAAGCCCCTGGGTTTCTTCATTGCAATGAGAAATCTCGCAGCGAGGTGGACCCGGTCGACTTCCCGTTTGTTTCCTGACTTTTCCAGATTCTCCTTTCGAAAAGGTCAGATCGAAACGCCGTCGTCCTCAAAAACTCCGGAAAGCGAACGCGGCTTCGATAAAAGGTGAAAAGTCAGGAAACAATTGTTCGAGCTGAGCTTGTCGGACCCCTCATCCAGTCATATCCCTGGGTTCTTGGGATAACCAAGCGACTCCTGAGGTATTGACCTAGAGTTAGACGACTTCCTACTTCACTCTCTTCTGGTTGAGCTACCGCGCCCACGGCATTGTACCTATGTTTCATCTGAGGTGCTGGCATCGGATCCGAGTTCAAGGCTTCCAACGAAGAAGCCGTAAAGTAGAGACTGCGTACCAATCTAAAGATTTTACTGAATTGATGCATGGCCGGCGATTCCCACCGATTGGCGGCGGCATCGAAACAGGGCATGTACCGACGGCGCGCGGCCGCACGGAAGTCATTTTTTAGGCGCCGGGCCCAAGCTCAAAGGGGCCTGCCGGGATCCTGGGACGCACTGTAGTCGGCAGCATCTCATTTCCGAGTCATTCCTTGTGAGTAGTGTCGGGTGACGAGATTCCCCCCCCCCCCTTGTCCCTCGGGACCCGGGTGGCGACGTCGGCACTTGGCATCATGGTCCTGGCTGGTTTCCAGCGGCCCGGGTGAAGCATGGTTGTTATTCCTCTCTGCACGAAAGTTTCATGTCTAGTTAAAGCAAAGGTCTCGAAACAGGTGGGCCCAAGTTGTCCGACAAGCTCAGCTCGAACATTTGTTTCCTGACTTTTCACCTTTTTTCGAAGCCGCCTTCGACAGCTTTCCGGAGTTTTTGAGGACCACAGGGCATTATTGCGATCTGTCCTTTTCAAAAGTCCGGAACTCCAAAAGTCAAACAACGGCGGGGACTCAGTCGGCGGGATCCACCCCGCTGCGAGACTTATCATGTCCATGAAGACGTCCAGTATGCCCGGGATGGAGCAAACTTGAGCAGATAACTTCGTGACTTCTTTAAACAATGTGTGTCAGCTGGGCGGGCCGGCGCGGCCGCACAAGCATGTACATGTCCCCTTTTTTTTCTTTTCGAGAGCTTTTGAGGACAGACCGAGGACATTTCTGTCTTTTTCTGGAGTTGGAAAGCCAGGAAACAGAAGGACAAGGTTGCCAAAGAGGGTTTCTGGACCGGTCATGGCATGGGACCGTGAGTTTTGTCATCGGCTCAACCAGGAAACACTTGCGCAGGTTGCCAAATCAGATCCGAATTCCACTATACGACCACATCTGCGCAGTAATGTATCAGAGTCAGACCTGAAGATGATAAAATATGCTGGAGGGCACTCGGGATCGTTGAAATGCTTGTAGCCCTTGTCAAGAGCCAAAGGAAGGCCACGAGTCACGTGACCTGCTTGCGGCCGCTGCCGCCCTCTGCCGCCCTCCGTGACCCGCCTGGCTGCTCCGGCTCATCTTTCCGGCCGAACTCAAGCCCCCACTTTACGCTCGCCTGCACTGCACCCTGCAACCCGCGGTGCTCTCGACGTGGTCGTACCTGGGTAACCGCTGGACTAGATGGACACTCCAGCTCGACCTGACGACACGGATGGCGGAGCCTCGCCCGTTGCAGCCGATGTAGTGCCGCAGGACAAGCCAGCTTCGGCAGATGTCGAGCCGACGACGGCGGTTGACAATCTCCGGCACGAACACGACCGTGACCACGACCACGACCACGACCACGACCACGACCACGACCACGACCACGACCACGACCCCTTTGTGGACCCGGAGCACGAGGACGCGTCGGTGCTCGACAACTGCTGGGGCGATTCCTCCACGCCCCAGCCGACATCGTCCTACATTCCCGCGGGCTCGTTCGACGACGTCACACCGCCGGCACCGACCTTGGACGCGTCGACCTCGACCGCTCAGACGACAACGACCACGGACGAGCTCGACCCTCCGAGCTCCCACACGAGCCTGACCAACGGCGACGATCCAGATTCCTGCCCAGTCGAAAGCTCAGATGTACCAGCATCAGCATCACCGGCCGCACCGGCTTCACTTACCCCGCTCGTTACCCCTGAAGAAGCTGCAGCTCAAGTCGTCGCGTCGCGCGAGCAGGAACAACTCGAGGCAGCACCCGTCGCAGATCTCGAGGTGCAGACAAGGGGTGATGGTGATGACGACGACGAAATTCAGATCGAGGACAGCGCACCGTCTTCTCTCGTGTCCCACCCCTCCGTCACGACACCTCGACCGTCCCGAACGATGGTCGCTCCCTTCGGCTTCGAGCTCGAGCTCCACCACGGCAATGTCGGCAGTTCGCCCGACCCGCTCGGCATGACCCCCGTCGCTTCGTCTGCGATCGCTTCTCGGCAACCGAGTCGACCCAGGTCACAGTCATACACTTCAAGGCTCGGTCGCGCTGACTCGGAACCTTTGGATCGGGCGTCAGCCTCGGCCCTAGCCACTCCGACAGCGGAGCTGTCCCCGGCCACGACCTGGCCGCACAGTTTTACCCTCGAGGTCGAGAACCGATCGATGAAACGATCGACACCGCCGTGCCATCCATCGACGAGCCAGGACGAAAGATTCCGCAGAGGTAATTCTATTCTGGCCGAAGTGCCTCCCTCGTCCCACGGCGACGACTCCGAATCCGACGATGAGCTGGGCCTTGCCCCACCTCCGAGGCAGGCGAGCAGTCTAGCAAGTCGTAAGGGCAAGGGCGTAGCAAACCCGAAACCGAAACTCAGTGCGAAGGGCAAGGGGAAGGCTGTTGTCAAACCTAGAGCGGATACCGCGTCGCAATCAGCGCAAACATCCGTACGCAGGAAATCGTCATTCAGCATCGAGGTCCCATTCCATGCGAGCCCCTCTCTCGCGACCCCTCGAGCTCGAGACACACCCCATGTCGATACTTTAGTCACCGCCCCGTCATCCACTCAGGGAACTGAGGTATCGCTGGCAACAGAAGCTACCCCTCTTTCTTCAGCGCGTGCTTGCGCACTACCACCGGCAAACATCCCGTTAGCGGACATCGGCTCACCACCAGTCGCTCCGTCTTCTGATTTGACCGTTTTGCCAAGCTCAAGGCTGGGCACTCCCGAACCACCAGTCTCGAGTGAGGTCGCGCCGATGGAGGTGGACGAGGTTGATCAGCCTCGAGCGCCTTCGCCACCCGCAATGGAGTCCGAAGCTGCGTCACAGTCCCAGAACGAAGCGGCGGGCACGATCGTCTCGCCGAGCTCATCCATGCCCGCGCCCGTCTCAGCCCAAGCCCCTACCGCTCCTAAAACCACCACACCGCCACCTTCACCGCCAAAGAAACGTGTCCCGCGCGCTTTGATCGAGCGACAAGCCTCTATGCAGAGCTTGGCAAGCGGCTCGACTTCGAAGAAGCGACTGGAGGATAGTGACTCCTCGGACGAAGACATGCGTCCGCCACCGACAAGCTCAACCACCTTCCCCAAGACGAAACGGGTTCCTCGCCCCAAGCTCTCCCAGTCGCAAACAGGATCCGTGAAAGGGAGAGAGTCGCCAAGGGTGGACATACCGGCCAAACGAAGAGCACCCCCCCTGGCCAAGAGGAAGCTCGTGCAGCGTGCGTCGAGCTCTGACGATGACGAGGAAGGGAAAGAGAACGGTCAGCATGACGATGAGTCGAGCGATCTCAGCGATCTCAGCGAGTATGCCGAAAGTCCTCGCAAGAAACCTGTGAACAAGAAGCGGCGGAGCGATGCAAAACCGCCTGGAACAAGCACAATAGCCGGGCAAAAAAAGGGTAGCAATACAAGTGGCCGAGCAGGAACGCAGAGCAAGGTCGCTACCACGACGGGGACGCAGCAAAAGTCTAAGAAGGAACGTAGTGCCGAGGACGAGGACGAGTCGATGAAAGGTGAGTCCAGCAGGTGCTCAGTTCCTCCTATCGAAGTATCCGGCTGATCATGATACCCTGCTTCCCCACAGACGCCGAATCCCCAGCGACCACTCAACCGCCGATGCCATCGCAGAGCCAGCCCGCCTCGACTAATCCTCTTGGATACGTGCTTGCTCAAATCGCGCCGCGGGAGACCGAGGACCAGCGCCGAAGCAATTGGAACGTGCTGCGGCTTGACAACCTTGTCTGGACCCTCGTCGAAGCCGACAATGGTGCCAGATTTTGGTGGCCTGCCGATGTGAGCCACCCGTCAGGAGGGAGTTCCGTGGCCCCCAAGGCAGACTGACCGTCTAACATGTTCTTATACAGATGACGAGCCCTTCGAAGAAACCTCCACTATTGTTGGCGTTGTTGCAGGACGACGAGCAGACCATTTTGCAGCTTAAACCAACCGGAGCGATCACGATCGACGATCCGCAGCCTACGAACGTTCTGACTTGGCGCACGGAAGGCAAAATTAGATTCGACAAGACGTCTTTCTGCGAACCATCGACAATCGAGGATGCCAAAACGCCGTCGGTGACCGCGTTCGAATCGGTATTGATGAAAGCTTGGGAACTCGAACAGAGACGAGCCGAGGACGAAGCTGCCGACGAGGATGAAGATGAGTCGGGGGAAGCCACAGTAAAGGCGAAATCTCCCACGGGCGCGAAAGCAAGCAAGAAAGGACGCCAGAGCGTATCTTCGTCGCCGCGCAAGGGCACGCCGAAACGGAGGAAGAATGGGAAGAAAGCAACCAGTAAGGACTTGGACGACGAGAACGGGAGCAGTGATGACGAGTTATTGCGAGCCGAGGACGAATCCGTTGGGTGAGTGTGCTTGTTCCGGCACCTCGTGTCCGAAGGATTGGCTGACTCATTTGCCCTACTTCACCGAACAGAATCGACTTTCCGGCCATTGCGTTGGGTTTCGCTGACCGAGCGTGGTGGGGATGTCAAGTACTGGACTACACTCCTGCGCCTTCGCAAGGCCGTCAAGGGCATCGAGCGAAGGGCAAGTTTTCGGTCGAGTTCATCGACGGCAAGCTCAAGAACTTGACGCGCAAGCAAATCATACTGCCGATTCAGGAAGAGTTCCTGACGGTCAAGGTCAGTGCATCGCTGACATCTCACTCGACACCGCAGCGCTGATCCTGATCACTTGGTCCCGCAGCTCGGCCAATCCGTGCTTAACGTGAGCAAAAACTATGAGCAGGAGCTGCGGCAGAACGTCGATGGGTTCAAGGACCAGATGCAAGCCATCATTGACGAGGAATTTCCTCAAGCTAAGCACTGGAATGAGGAGTATCATGGTGAGTCTCTGACGCTTTCGTTTCGTCTCGGATACGCCGCTGATCCGCCGTAACCGGTCTTCAGCTGGCGGCAATCGACGAGTCCGACTTGCAAAAGATGCATTGCTCGGCGAGCTCACACCCGAGTACATTGAGGCGGTTGTCGACCAGATCAAACGATGGGCAGCTGGCGAGGTGAGACGACACACCAGTCGGATCGCGCTCAAGTAGCTGATGGCCCCGTTGGCTTAACGTTTCTCAGGATAACGTCCGGCGCAAAGGCTCCGATCGCTACGAGGCCCTCAATGAAACAGATCGATCTCGGTACAACGCCGATGTGCTCTTACCTCTCGTGGTCCAACTACTCACAATCGATGAGCTTGATAGTCGGGACGAAGGGAAGAAGGTTTTGATGGAAGAGGATGGGATCGCTGAGCCGACCGAGGCTCAAATCGAAGACAAGGCTTTCCAGTTGGCTCGGAGTCATTTGGAAAAAGGGTCCATCATGAAAACAAGTGAGTGGGGATCGAGGCGGGTGTGGGGCGTGGCCTGTCGCGCAATGAATTAATATAGTCTCCCTTGCCGGCGTCTTCTCGCAGTCGAGGCAATTCGAAGTATGGGCCGTCGATGAGAAGATGCGTCGTTCGTATTGTGTAGCGTTAGCATACCAAATGCGATGTCGCATTTCACAGAAGACAATCATATCGTTGCATCTGTTCTTGACTGAATGGGCCAAGAGGGGGTCCGAGATCAAACCGGATTGGGAGTCTCCTCATCACTACTATCGTCACGTCTACTCTCACTATCTACAGGTTCGTCTGTAAAAAGAGCCTCAAATGATGCGGTTGAAGTCGCACCGCCAATAATACCGAAGAGACTCTGGTACGTCGCTCCGAGGAGATCGAGTTGCGCAATTACGTCCTGGATCAAAGCACCGTGGTCCATCGTCAGTGACCGGTATCAAGATGGAGTCAGAAGTCTTTGACAGGACTCACTTTCATCGTCAAAGCATACCCAAGATAAAGTAAACCCTCACTACCGCCTCGCACCAACCTTCTCTTGACCACCGGTAAACTCCTCAACCTTTTCACCAAGTGTTCACGAGCCTCCTTCGCTGGAGGGAGGAAAGGCGGCATCGGCGTCTTGAGTGTCGATGCTGAGGCCAAAAGCGAGAAGTATAAAAGAACGTTGCCGACCATCTCGCGACGTTCGGGGTTGGCGGGGATGACGAAGTCACGACGGACGGTCGTGAACCATGCTTCGCGATTCGTCACTTGTTGGATTGAGGTCAACAGGTCTAATATCGTTTGACACGAAGAGAGGATTGTTTGATAGGGAGCGATAGGGAACGGACCCTTGAGTCGAGGTTCATGGGATGTCGCCGAGAGCAGTCCTTGGAGCTGTGAGTGTTCGCCGGGCGTGAGCTCGTTGCCCCTTTCGAGCGGACTGTCGAAGGGCACCGCAACTCACCTTGATAAGCGAGAGTTGCAAGTGAACTTCCATGGCGACAAACTCATTCTCGTTCACTTCCAATTGCTCTTGAGCGTCGGTGGAGATGAGCGAGGTTCTCTCGTCGACGGTCCCATCCGATATCGGGTGCAAATGGGAGTGATTGGCCCGAGCAGTCAGAGCAGGGGGTGGTACAGAGTACGTGCGGACAATTCGCTCGTACAGATAAGCCGAGTTCAAGAAGAAACTGCGAGGCGCTCGACACTCCCATCAGCCTTTGCGGAAACAGGTGGGAAAAATCGAGACACTCACTCTGAAAGGCCTTTGCGCAGTTCTCGTCGAGCCTCGAACCTGAAATCTCGCTGTTGATTTAGCCCCTTACATACAATCGAGCCAGGAACGAAAGACTCACGGCCAAACATAAGTATTGACGATCAATGCGTACACGACACCGACCGAGACCGCTACGGTCCGATGGAACGCGATGGAACCGGGATGAGTGTCGGCTTCCCGCAGGTTGAAGGCGTAAAGACAGGTCAAGTTGAAGGTGAGTAGGACAAAGCGACTTGAGGGTCCGAATTGGGGCTGTGAATCCGAGGAGAAGGCTTTAAGTGTAGTTCGACAACTAGATTATTTAAGGGGTTACACTGACCCGAGTGACGATGACGTAAAAGCATGGGACCGAGACCAATGCCCCGAGCAATGGCAACGCGATGGCATTCTCAGGGAAGCTGACGTAGCACAGCACCGCAAGGACACCACCCGCGAGCGTGCCCAGCACCCGACCGAATGCGAGAAAATTCGTTCCGCCCACCACAGGGGCCATGATGACCATGTACGAGATGAGCGCCCACTCGCCACGCCACCTGATCCATACGGGTCGAAGCTGGGGGACAAACGCTGCAGATGCCAACAAGGCGGCACCAGCCCCGGTCTTGATGGCGAATTTCACAGAAGGTTGGCGCAAACGATAGCCGATAATCCAGAGACGTTGTTTGAACGCGCCAAAACGACTGAGTTGCGACGATGGGAACTGGTGAGACGACAATGCTCCATCCACGATGACGGGGAATGGGCCGTTGCCAGGGTCGGAGAGAGTTGCGAGCCAAGAATCTGGGAGTGGTTTGATCGCTTCATTCAGTCCGACATCAACGCACGCAGAAAGCGGCGTTACCACTCACACCAACGTCTACTTCGACTCGATGTGCTCTCCGCAACTTCTGAGCGCCTCCCTCTTCTCTTTGGTCGGGACCGGGTGCTCGTCTCGACCTTGCTGAGGCACGCTGCAACACCAGCGAGGGGACCCCATCGTCTCCGCCTTTCGATGGCCTTGCGTTCAACTATTTCTTCGGTCGTGCGAATCTCGACGAAGATCTCAATCAGTTGCGAGAGCTCTTTGGCCCACTCTTCGACGTTGAAACAGCTGCGCACCCAAAGCAAAGAACCAATGTGGATCAGCCGCAACCCCTTTTCCTGCCGGAGCTCGTGGCAGGAAGGTTTCTCACTAATGGTACACCCTGAACAGACTCTCGTTCGGCCCTTCTTCCTCGTCGTTCTCTGGGCCTCCGACACGTTCTCGAATAAAAGGCGTCTCCTCATCCTGCTGCTTCTGTAGCTCCCCCGGACCATATATCGTCTGCGCCGGCAACGACCGATACAAGATCTTGATCGCTCTTGAATGCTCGCGCTCGAACAAAACGAGTGACGAGTCAAGTTCTTGCTTAAGCGCGAGCAAGTCATCGGCGGATAGGAGGTGGGCACCGGTCTCGGGATCATCGGATCGAATCGCCTCCCTTGTAGCTGAGCCAGCTTTGGTTTGGACGAAGGAGGTGCGAAGAAGTGAGAGGGCCGAACGGCTCAAGGACTGTGACCACGGAAGCAATGACGTGTTAGGATCATATGCGGGCCTTGGTAGACTCAGGGAAACTTACCGACAACGTTTTCAAGCTAGGCCCAACGCGCTCCTTGAATTTCTCAAACACGACCAATTCCTCCATCAACCCTTTCGCTTCCTCCGCCTCGGGACTACTTGCCTCCCGCGTATCCTTCCCAAACACAAGGATTCCATCGGCTCTCGCTTTGATCAGATCGTACTGCAGGGTACACCCCGCCCGCATCCCCGTCAAGCCTTGCGCTAGTCGAGTCATGATCCTCACGACCTCGTCGTACGAGGCTGTCGTAGCTGACATGCGAGCATCGAATGTCTCGAATTTGGCTTGGGCGAGCGAGGACTTCAATGTCGTGAAGGATGCTTGGTGCTGATCGACAGCTCGGACAAGATCGACGGGCCGGGTCGTGATGTCATCGCTGCGCGTGCGAGGTTTTTAAGATGTCAGCGGACATGAGAGGCGAATCGATGTCATGGCAGCCCAGCGATCTCATATCAGTGTATCAACTCACTCAAGTAAGAATGTCTTCGTTAACATGTCGAGCAAGGTTGAAAAGGAAGCCAGGGTCTTGTTGAGGTCGCCCTGCAGTTTGGATGTGGCCGACATTGGCCACAGCAGGAAGCAAACGGCGTTGGAGATGCCTGAGCCACATGCAACGATTAGCTGCACCAGAAAAGAGATTGTTCATGTAAGTTAGAGTCTTGGGAAATGCACCCAGCCTCGAACACTCACGAGCACCTGAAGGATCGCTTGAGACTGGAAGCGACCAATGTGGAAAGCACCTTCTTTGGTAATACTTTAGGAGCGCAAGGGCTGCTCAGCCAGACCTACTTGGATGAACAATAAAGAACGATGAACAACTCACATGACTGAGGTAATGAGCGAGACCATAGAGCATGCTGTTGTGAATGAAGGCTTCTCGCGATCAGACGCACAGGGACGTTAGTGAGCCGAGCCCGTCTCGTCAAGTTGGGCTGCGAATGGCCCGGACTGACCTTGTTGACCGACGTCTTGGCATAGGCCAAAATGGTGTAGCCACCACCGAGCCAGAAGATGAGGACGACCGCATGCGCGAGTTGCTCATGACCGAGCGAATCGAGCCACACACTCATCGCCATGCTTCCGCAGCACAGGAATGTCGCGTACATTGCTCCCAGAAACATGAAGCAATCGGCTTCGAACATGGACCCGATCGTTCGAGCAGGGTAAAAGTAAACTGCTACGGTCGCGACGACATGAGCGTTGCGCACGGGTCCATCGACGTCCCAAGGGGAGCCTAACCACTCGGTGAGGAAGGGGACGAAAGTGAAGAGCTCGGCGATGAAATAAGCGAGTACGCATTTGGTTATGTTCTTCTGCAGGGTGGACAGGGGTAGAAGCTTGGAATAGACTCGCTTTATGAAATTTTCGTGGTGCTCGGAGGTGGTGGATGAGGAGGATGAAGAGTGCACAGCAGACCTTGACCGACGCAATCGCCGTCGGCTTCGCCCTCGGGGGCGATCCCGATCGGGGCCATCGTAGTCCGTGTCTGAATCTTCGTCTTGAGACGCTGGATGGTCTTGTCGCCGCGGTTCACGACGTGGGGATGATAGAAGAGCAGATTCACTCTTGGGAGTAGGATCGGGGTCTTGCCCATTCCCGTGCTCATCGTGATCGGGTCTGACCTGCGCATAGCTATGAGGTTCTTCGGTGAGAACTACGGCGTCCCTCTCGGCTGCGCTCGACAATGAAGTGTCGTGCCGACTGAATGCACTGCTGAGCCAGACGAGACTGCTCTGGCTCGCCGTCTTGACGACATTCTGACGGCTCGATTTCGATCTTGACCTTGAGTTGGACTGCGAGCGAGCCGAGGTGCGGTCTCGCTCGCCCAAGGTAGACTCGCGGGCAGCGGGGAGGGGTGGCTCCGGTGGCCCCCCACTTGTGCCTGCTGGCGCTGGGCCGCCTCCATAACCGCTGGTGGCCATGGCGGCATGCAGCACGCCCCAACTGGATGGATCGCCCTTGTTCTGTGCCCTCTCTATGGTGTCGCGGTACTTGGCATCGTGCCACGGATGTCGCGCGCTCTCGAACGAGGACGGCGAGATGAACGAGCTCGAGATGGACGTCGAAGCGTGTGGTTCGCGCGAGGGCGAGTACGACTCGAGGGGTCCGTCCTGAGCTCTTGCTGCGGTCGAGGTGTCGCGTTGATGGGTCGCGTGGGTGGCGGAAGGTATGCGTCGACTCGATCTTCGTAATGATCGAGTGATCGGTATCGGTGAGGGCGATGTAGCTGCCGTGGATGGGTCGCCTAAGCCTAGACCTGGTCGACTTTGACCGCCGTGCGCCAAGACTCCGCGGTCGTCGTTCGCCTCCGAGTCGTCGTCGGCAAGATCGCGCCGAGGTGCAGCCTGTGCTGGAGTGTTGGCTGCACTTGCTGCGATTCTAGTCGACCCCGTTGCTACTTGCTGGGTGTCCTGTCCCAGACTCATCGGAGCCGACTCGCCTGCAAAGCTTCGCAGCGGCGAGTTCGTGGGGCCAAAAGAGGTCAAAGCGCAACAGGCCGTTCGGCGCGCACGAAGTCGATTGCAATCAGAACCGAACAGAACCGAACCGAATCGAATCAGAACGACAGAGAATGACCGACGATCTACGAGCTGAGCTCATCGAGTCAAAGCGCTTCGCTCCTTCCCTCCTCCTGTCAAAAGCACCCTTGTCCTTCAGTCCCCCAGAAAACGATGGCGGCCAACTTGCAACAGCAGATCAATGCGAGGGCCAACACCGTAAGTCGAACTAGACAACCAGCCATCGTACACCTTATAGCTCGACTCGGCCCGGTCCGAGCAGCTCGAGCTTACGAAGGTTCCGCCTCAGTATGACTAACATCGCCCTTCACTCTCCGCCCAGGTCAACATGAATGCTGGTCCTTCCCCTCTGCCTCAATCAGCGCTGATCCAAGCCGCCCAGTCGCTGCTCTCCTACTCGGAAACACCGGGCATGGGCATCGCCGAGATCTCGCATCGCTCAAAGGCCTTCGAGAAAGTCCTCGCCGCAGCCAACGCCGATCTCAAACAACTGCTGCAGATACCCGGCAACTACAAGATATTGTGGATGCAAGGCGGTGGATTGACCCAGTTCGCAGCCACGGTCGTCAACCTTGCGGCGTGGTACAGGATCAAGCACCAGCTCAAATCAGAAGACCCAGTCCATGGATGGTACGCCGTCACCGGCAGCTGGTCCGCCAAAGCACTCCAAGAAGCCGAGCGCATGGGTCTCACAACGACCAAGATCGTCGATGGCAAAAAGAACGGCGCTGGAAAGTTCAAGGGCGTGCCTGCCTCCCCCGACGAATGGACGATCCCTGCCCAGTCGGACCCCAAACCGGCTTTCGTCTACTATTGCGACAACGAGACCGTCGATGGCGTCGAATTCCCCTCTGCCGGAACATCCGCGGCGTTCCCCTTTGACAAGTTCGACAAGGATATCCCCATCGTGTGCGACATGTCGAGCAATTTCTTATCGAGGCCCGTCGACGTCAGCAAGTACGGCATCATCTATGCTGGCGCACAAAAGAACTTGGGGCCCTCGGGTGCGACCGTCGTCATCGTTCGAGACGATTTGATTGGTCAGTTTTGAAGGTGTGGTGAAATGAGCGAACGATCGACTGAAACTGAAACTTCCTTCATCCGTATGCAGTGGATCTCGACGAGGCGGTGAAATACGGTGGGGGTCGAGTCCCTTCGATGCTGAGCTACAAGCACATGGCGGCCAACGATTCAATGTACAAGTGCGCATACTTCGGCTAATCGAGTGTGCATCTATATTTTGACGACGCTGATACGTGATCGCTACTCCTAAAGCACGCCACCGACGTTCACCATCTACGTCTGCTCCTTGGTCCTGCGCTCGCTGCTCGAATCACCCCCCTACCCTTTCGAATCCGAGACCGCGGCACCGCTTTCGCCTCTGGCCCAACTCGCCGATGCCAAATCGTCACTCGTCTACTCGTTGCTCGACGACGAGACCGGATTCTACCTTGGCACGGCCCACGCGGCTTCGCGGAGTCGCATGAATCCGACTTTCAGGATCAAGGGAGGGGAGCAGGTCGAGAAGGACTTTGTCAAGTTGGCGAGTGAGAAGGGGATCATGGGTGTAGGTGGGCATAGGAGTGTTGGCGGTGAGTGTTGGACTGTGCTATGTGCTCAGCTATTGCGAGCTGCGACTGACGCTGGGTGCGGTGCTCTACAGGTATCCGAACGTCGATTTATAATGCCGTCACTCTGGCTCAGGTCGAGACGCTGGTCGAGTTTATGAAGCAATTTCGAGCCGAACGGCTGTAGAGCTAGACCGGTTTGACAGGGCGTAGTATAACAGACTGCAATCCTTGTCTCCGTCTTAATTGCGCATCATTTATGATAGAGAAAACCAAATCGTAGAGCGAAGAGGGCGAGTCCGATTTCCGGCGCGGCGATCCCGACAGTTTCAGAGGGGATCGACTGCCCGGCTCGCTCTCCCGCTCTCGTTGCTCTCCCGCTGCTCCTCCCGTGCCGAGCTGCGAAGGGGGTTGCGTGGTCCATCGTTCCGACGAGGACGCCCCACCCTTCTACACTCTTCAAACGATGGCCGACTCGAACGCCCCACCCCACTCTTGGTTCGCGCCGCCGGAAGGTGCATACACGCTCGTCTCGTCGTTGAGCGTCCCTTCGTCGAGCTCGCTCAATTCGGCAACGGCCCACTTTACACAACAACTCGGCGTGCCCGTCGCTTCGGTCCTCCTTCCCGCTGGATCAGACCCACCGGTTTTCATTCCTCCTCCACTTCATGGGTGCAAGATGACGATCGCAGAGGTGCAGATGGTGTTGCCAGGGTCGAAAGGGACCGCCAATCCGGCTGCTCAAGCTCAAGCTGCCGCCGCCGCCGCCGCCGCTGCTGCTTCGACGAGTCCGATGATGGTCCCCGGTGCTTCACTTCACTCCCCTGCCCTCAACAACAACAGCAACGATTTGCATTTCGGCTTCGGCACCGGCGCGGCGAGCGGAGGTCTGGGTTTGGATACGAGTGCCGCAACGCTGGCAGGCGGGGGCGTGGGGACGAGTGGGGGCGCGGGAATGGCCCCGGGCTCAGCGACGAGTACCGGTCCGTCGACGGGTGTGATCTCGGGCTTGACCTCGCCGACCTTGGCAGAACGGAGTGGGTTTAGTCCTACCATACGCCGTAAACCGTTGGGATCGTCCTTTTCGATCCCGACACTATCGTCCCTGGCAGGTGGAGCAGATGGGGGATCGTCAGCAGGAGGGGGCAACTCGGGTACGGGAGGCAACGGTGGAGGGTCCAATTCGAGACCGAGTCGACCATTCCGGGGTACATCGAGCTCGTTCGTCCGCAGTTGGGAGGGTTTGCCGTTGCAAGGGGCGACATTGAAGGCGATCGCCGAGGCGGGGCAGGGAAGGAAAACCCTGTTTGGATTTTATACCCACGGCAAGGGGGTTGTGTGGTGCGAGATTGGCCAAGGGAGGCCCAAGGTGCGTCCTCTTACCTGACAAAGGATTCTGTGACTTTGGCTGAACCCGGAGAGACACGAACGGGATTCATCGGCCTTCACAGGAGGCGATCGCTCGGGTCATGTTCAGCATCGCGCCGACCTGCGTCGACGTCAACCGGCACACCGCGTCGCATGCGCAACTCGACGTGCTCGTCGGATTCTGCAATGGCGACATCTTCTGGTTCGGTAGGTCCACCCCCCTAGAATTCCATCCTCGCGCGGTCGCAGGCTCGATCCTCACCGAATCCCCGGACATCTTTCTACCCCGCGCAGATCCCTTCTTGGCCAAATACACCCGGCTCAACAAAGGCGGTGTCATCACCAGTTCTTCCATCACCTCAATCCAATGGCTCCCACCTTCGGCCGCTTACTCTACTTCCGAGAACCACTCGAACCTATTCCTGACCTCGCACGCCGACGGCACCCTCTTGGTCTGGGACAAGGACCGAGAAGATTGGTCGGGATTCGTCCCGACGCCCGTCCCGACCGGCTTGAACCTCCGGTCCGTTCATGGCGTTGGTGCGGCCTCGGGAAAGGAGGACGATTGGGACGGAACCCAGATCAAGCATGCTCCGAGCGATGCCGGCGATTTGGCCGGTTTAGGGGACATCATCGTTTCGCGGCCGGCGCCTTTTGACAAGAAGGGGCAAGCGACAAAGTTCAACCCCGTCTCGCATTGGAGGGTCTCGAGGAAGGCCATCAATTGTGAGTTCAACCGAAACTGGGTGACTTGAAGATATCTAGTCGCGCAGGCAAGGCTAATATCCTGGCGCTACCTTTCTTCTCATGGGGGGCCCACAGCGTTTGCTTTCTCCCCTGATTTGCAACTATGCGCTACCGTCGGCAACGACGGATGTCTGCGTATCATCAACGCCGCGGAAGAGAAATTGCTCGACACGTTCGCGAGCTACTTTGGTGCACTCAACTGCGTCTCGTGGAGTGCCGATGGTCGGTTCGTCGTCACCGGCGGTCAAGACGACCTGTGTACGATCTATGCCCCGCTCGAGCAACGGCTCGTCGCGAGGTGTCAGGGGCATTCGTCTTGGGTCACTGGAGTCGCTTGGGATCCTTGGAGAAGTGATGAGCGTACTATGAGGTTCGCGAGTGTAGGTGAGGACTGCAAGCTCGTCTTGTGGGATCTGTCAAGCGCGGCTCTGACAAGGCCCAAGTCTCACGTGAGTTCGATCGCCGTCGTCGCCGGCCCTTACTGCTCATGATGGTAGACGCTGACATCGATTGCGTTGTCGATGTCACAGGCTCAACATCCCCACGCTCGTCGATTATCGCTCTCTTCCCAACGTCTGGAATCCACAGGCCACCTCCCCATCTCCCCGAACGGTACCTCGGACCGAACCTCCCCCGTCTACCACCCCTCCCCACGCCGCGATGACGTCGCCCACCTCCAACCCGTGATGGTCAAAACCCTCTCGCACGACCTCTTCTCGAACGTCTTCTTCCTCCCCCAATACCTCCTCACCGTCTCACGATCAGGTCAGATCCGACAGTACGATCGACCGCCGGAGAGGGAGGATGGGTATGGGCATAGTATTGGGTTGAGTGGCGAGTTTGCGAGTAGTGTTGTCGCTTTGGATCGGAGAGCGAGGTGAGCTTTGGAAGGGGTGCGATGAGGGGTGGGATATACTTGGTATGGGTGGGGATGACTTTCGGTATGGGTCGACCCGCTTTTTTGTATGGACGAGTTGGAATCTCCGCGGTATCGGTTCACGAGCAGCAACCGGGGAGGAATTTGTAGATATATGCGCTGCTGGTCCCATGTTGAATTTGCTCAGTGAGGTATTAAAAGTTTGAAGGATAAACCAATTCAGAGTCTTTCCCTTGGGGCTGGTCGTCGAAGCAGTTTCGTCGCTTTCTATCGGCGAGTCGACGAATTCTGGAAGCTCCTGCTTCCGACGAGCGCGACCGAGCGCGACCCCCTCGGCAGCCCTCGGCAGCATGGCCCCTCCCATTTTAGCTCCGAACTCGACACTCCCCACTCGTCCTCCTTGCCTCGCCCCTCAGCACAACCGAGGCGATCCCCAAGCGGGATCCGTAACCATGTTCTACCTCTTGTCCCGCGTCGTCTCGTGAGTGACCCACCCTCTGGACTGCGTATGGCTCGTTGTGCTCGGAGCTTCGTAGTACGCTGACGTCCTAATCCGATTCGGTGACTCGACCCCCCGCCGTTCCTGGTTGCTCCATTGCTCTCGCCTCGCGAAGCACCACCGCTGGGTCGGTGTACCCTTGCTATGCGGCGTACAAAGCGATCAAGGCCAACGACGGCCCGTTGATGGAGGTGTGGCTCATGTACTGGGTCGTGATGGGTACGCTGATGGCGATCGAGGGCTCGGTCGAATGGGTGTTCGCCTGGTGAGTCCTCCCGCTCCCGCGCTCGGTCGGCCGCGCGCGAACGGTGCTGCGGTCGAGCGCTCGGATGGGCACTGAACTCGCAGTTCCCCTACCGGACTGGCCCCCGACGCAGGTTTCCGTTCTACTACGTTTTCAAGTCACTGCTCATCCTATGGCTCGTACTGCCTCAGATCCAGGTCAGTGCGCGTTGATAACCTCGGCGGCTCGCTCCGGCGGGCGGCCCAGTTGAAGCTGGCTCACAGCCTCGGCGACGACGACGCGTATGCGCCGCGTCGCCCCACACCAACCAGTTGGCGTGAGAACTAGCCTCAGCTGACCCATCTCGCTCCCCTCTCCCCACACTGTCGGCGTCGATCTTTGTCTGGTTCACATACGTGTATCGGCGCATCGACCTTCCTGCCACCGATTCTCATTCTCACAGGGCTCGACCTACATCTACACCGCGCACCTGCACCCCTTCCTCGCCGCCCACGAACAAGAGATAGACCAAGCCGTCGCGAACGCCAAAGACAGCGCAAAAGAGGCCGGACTCGGATGGCTCAATCGGCTCGTGCATCAGATTAGGGTACTCGTCGTCGGCTCATTGACGGCGGTAGGTCCACGTCAAAGCATTTTTCTGTTCATCGAGGGCCTTTGGTCTGAGTGTTCTTTTCAAACTCCTTCCGCTTCAGGGCGCGGCCGAGCAAGCTGGCCTCGGTCAAGGACAGGCAGGATCTTCGACATCTGCGAACGGAGGAGCTGCGGCTCGACTGCCGACGAAGAACCGACCCGACGCACCGAACCCAACCTCTGGTCTGGCGAATCTTGCTGGCAACTACTTGCGCACGTATGCACCCGCCGCGATCGCTGTTGGCACCGCCTTCTTCCACCCCATGAAAGGACGCGAGCCGACCGTACAGGCACGTAACGCTTCCGGACCTGCGACGGGATCGTCACGAGCGATGCGAGCCGAACAGATGAGGTCCCTCGGTGTAGCATCTGAAATCCCTCCGTCGGCCTCGACATCGGCCACCTTGAACAGATCGTCAGACGCTCGCCAACGCCGTCGAGCCGAGCTCGAAGCCGAACTCGCTGGCCTGGGATCCTCTTCTCCGTCGTTGGGATCGTCTGACTCTACACCCTCCAATTCAGCCTCGTCGTCGTATTCAGCCAACGCCCCGACGCTGAAGAGGTTCAACCCTCGTTCGGTCTCGTCAGGAGGGTCTCGCCTCGCATCCGAGTCGAGTGAACCGCGTTCGGTCGCCTCGTCGTTCGAAGAGATTAGGAAGGATGAACTCGGCGACTACCCTCCCGTACCTCCTACGGGCCCAAGGTCGGGACAACGATCTTCTTCAACCGGCGTCGCTGGAGGTTGGTGGAAGTGGACCGCGAATCAACCTGGTGGTCCCCCGGGTACAGGTGCTGGCTCGGACAGCCGAGACAAGGACGAATGAGCTTCTGGCCTGCGGCGCTCACCACCAACTCCACTATCTGTAGATTACTTTCTCTCCCATCGCGTTTTTTCTCGTGTATCCTTTGTTTTCGATGCCTCCCTTGGCTCCTCACGCTGCCATTGACTTTCCCCTCCACGTGCCGCCAGCCGCCTTTGGCTTGCACCGAGGCGCTGTGCTTTCAGCCTGCACTATACAAAGCTCGATGTCTTATTCGCATCTACGTCATCCTGCGTTCTTGTAACCTTGATTTGTCACACCCAAGAAAGAGGATCATCTGGTGAGTTAACTGAAAACTTTGCTGCGAGGGGCTACGGCACTGCGGAGGGCGCACACCGGGCTTGGCGGGGCAAAAGTTCGAGCCATCGCGCAGTCGGTGTTGAGCGCTCAGGCTCAGGCCCGGGTGCTTCAGGGGCTGAACTAGCCCTAGCGCGATGACGTCGGCCCTCCTTGGCACGCCCGCTTGCCACGGCGCCACTCAGCGCAGCTCATTCCGAGTCCGAACTGGCTGTCGAGATCCCAGGCCACAGAAAAAGAGGACGGGATAATAGAACCTGAACCCTGTAATGACGTAAATGAAAAGGGAGCTCGCAGTCTAGCTTTCGACCAGGCACAACATCGAAGGGTCAAACTTGACGCAAGAGTTGGGATTTTGACATCCGCCCGAAGGCGGACGCGCCGATCCGCTCCCACCGGAAAGATGGCGGGCGGTTTGGCCGGCCGCGCGCACCCGCCATCACGCCGCTTCGACTCCGCCCCTCTCTCGCCAACCACCCCTTGCTGGACAATTGTGGCCGTCTCTTCGGAGCCGACGCCCGCACTATACTGCGCAACCAATCAAGACACGATGGTCGCAATTATGGACACCCCAGCCGGACCTGACCTTCACCTCTTGTTCTCCTTCCATCCACTTACCCCCCCACCCATCCCCCCCTCCCGGCTCACTGCCCTCGACACTACCGGCATCTACCTCGTCCTCGCTAGCTTCGAGACGACCTACATTCCGCGACTTGCTTTTCTCTTGACGAGATCTGTCTTTGTTGCCACTTGACTGTGTTGATCACTTTCAAACCCCCCCCCCCTCCCTCCGCCGTCAAAGCCATCCCCCGGCTCAGTACCGCTCGAAACCACCACACCCACCAGGATGAAGTCGCCATCCTCCTCCTCGAGTGCATCGCTCTCAGCAAGCACGTTCTTGCTCCTCGCCCTCGTGCTGCCTACCGTTCTCGCCCTTCCCGCCATCCCTCGCTCGAGGTCGAACCCAACCCGAGCCAGCGCAACCGCCCGTGCCCACGCTTCGGCCACGCCCAAGCCGACCCGAGCCTCTTCCAAGGACTCGGCCGCTTCCCCGCTCTGGGTGAAGTTGAACGCCAACTTTTACATCCCCGGCCAAGAGCGCAAGGCTTCCAACTCGACGACGACGACCGCTCCCTCGGCGTCGATCCCTACGACTTCGCCCGTGGTCGAGCGACGTGAAGTTGCCATGGACGAGTTCGACGATGAGCTGCACTACTACTCGTACGACAAGAGGTGTGATTGCACCAAGACCGTCACCAAGGTTGTCGACCGAGCGGCCAAGACGACGGCCAAGGCAAAAACGTGAGTTTCTTCACTTTCGAGTGACAAGGCCTCCCTATTCGGTGCATCGACGACTGACATAGGACTTCTCTCGATCCACAGCACGAAAAAGGCGACGACAACCAAGAAAAAGACAACGACTACCAAGAAAAAGACAACGACCACCAAGGCCACAGCAACGACCCGGCCGGCGACCACTATGGCGAGCAACAAGGGCCTCGGCGATGGCCAGACGTTCTGGAAGCAAAAGACGACGTTTGGCTCGATGGAGTCGTTCGCGACCGACGTCGTCAAGAAATGGGTCTGGGGTTACCCCTCGAACGTCAAGATCGTGCAAGGTGTTCCCGCGAGCAAGTGGACCGGCGGCAAGCAGCTCGATTCGTCCAGCGCGCTCCAGGTCGCTTACCCCAAGGGCAGTCGCAACCCGAGCAAGTACCCCATCGGCGGTGTCGGTCTCTACTCTGAGAAGCGTGAGTTAGCTTCTAACTTTGTATCCTCTCTCTGATCGATAGAGGACTGATCATAGTCTGTGCCGACGCTTGACGCGACAGTCGATCTCTCGCAAGCGAGCAATGTTTCGTTCTCGTACTCGGTCTTTTTCGAGAAGGGCTTCGAGTTCAACAAGGGTGGCAAGCTTCCGGGTCTCTTCGGCGGCAAGTCGGCTTGCTCCGGTGGCTCATCTGCTCAGGACTGCTTCTCGACCCGTTTGATGTTCCGAACTGGAGGCAAAGGAGAGGTGAGTCTTGACAGCGATGCTTGTTCCTTGGAAGTATCAGCGATTGACTGGGTTTTTCCCACGCCCTGGCATGCACAGCTTTACCTCTACGCCCCTCGCGAGAAGCAAGTCTCCGCTCTCTGCAACTTGAAGCCTCTGTCGTTCTGCAACTCGTACTACGGCATGTCCATCGGTCGGGGATCGTGGACGTTCAAGACCGGTGAATGGACCGACATCCGCCAAGACATCTGGCTCAACACCCCCGGCAAGGCCAACGGTGGCTTTAACATTTGGGTCAACGGCAAGATCGTCCTGACTTCGTCCCAAGTCTACTACCGCAACTCGGCCGTCGGCAATGTCGCCACGAACGGCACCGCGTCCAACATGACCCTCATCGACTACGACGCCTTGCCCGCCGGAACCCAAATCCCCAACGGTGGTTTCTCGACCAGCGGCAACGGCACTTTCCAAGCCCCTACCGGTGTCGTCAAGGTCATCGGTGCGCACCCCACCGGCGCCAATGGTTTGCCACTGTTGCACACCCCTCGACCCAACCCCAACGACGCGTGGTTGCGCAAGCGTGGTGCCGACCGCCACAACGCCGAGCCTACCCGCGCACCGCAGATGATCGTTCGCCCCGGTGGCCAACGTGCGAGGGCCTTGGCCCAGAAGCGAGATGCCGCTAAGCTCGAACGCCTCGCGTTGGAGAAGCGCGTCTACGAGTTGGAGCAAGTTGCGAGCGACATTGAGATGGGCGCCCCTTCGACCGAGGCCGCCCGCATCGACGCCGAGTACTTTGCCGAGCGCAACAGGAGAGAGGAGGAGAGCAACCTCTCCAAGCGAGCGGCCAAGGTCACGCTCCCGACCGGTTTCATCGGCATCATGTTCAACACGTTCTTTGGCGGCAGTGATAGCGTGAGTACCCAAAACACATTTTTGGTGCTTACGCTTTTGATGCGACAATGACTGACCTTTTCCCGTGGATCTTACTACTGTACAGACTTGGAACTCTGCGAAGCTCCAGTACTCCTACTTCAATGGCCTGCGACTGGACATCAACTCATAGGCGGGTGGCGATAAGGACACCACGTAGGGCCAGGCTTGCCTCAATGGATCCACCGCACCGCACACACCCCCCCCCCCTATCCCTTCGACTTTTTCACGACATTCCTCAACTCGAGTCCCTCACATACACCCTAGAGACCGGATGCAGCGCATCTGGTTTGGTGGGGATAAGCTCGTTTGACACGAACCTTTGACGACGACTCTGTCCTTTAACGAACTGTTACGAAGCCTGGGTCGAGATGTGCATGCGGAAGACCTCGTGCAGCAGGATCGAAATAATTTTGACAATTTTTCGTTCCTCCATCGCCGAGGATATTCCTACATTTCCCTAGCATTTTGTGTTGTGTAGCCGTACCTGTGTTGGAACATTATCGAGTGCGAGGACCTTTCACCTTTCAGACCTGCCTCGCGCCTCGAGAGAACCGTCATGCCCATCTCCGAGTTGTCGATGCCCGAAGCCCATCATGATTCGGACGGCAGTTCCGAGGAAAATGAAGGCTCGCGTGACATTGCGCTATGGCCCCAACTAGGACAGCTATACTTTCTGAAGCATACAGGCTACTTTTCATGAACCAAGGAAAAGGAAAAAACCTGCCGATAGGACACTTTGCCTGCCCAGGAAGTCGGTTGAAGCTCCGGGCGCCGTCGGGGCCCGACTCGCTCCCGTTCGACGCGTCGGGGTTGGTAAGCCCATGGCACGCCAAGCACTGGTTCGTGCCCGAGCTGACAGCGCGCTCGGATCGTTTTGCACGGCAGACACGTTTGATCTGTCCGCGCCAAAAACAGTGATCAGCTCGAGCCGTCCCATTCGACTTGAGTGACTTGTATCTCTCTGTTTTGGCTTTCCTACCGCGACTTGGATTTTCCGAAGGCACACTGCACGGTGGGTTTACCGTTTACCGGTCGACGGAGCCGGTTTCGTAAGCGACGATTGTCAGCGGCCAGCCTGCCTCAATTAGCAAAACAAGTGCAAGCGCGTAAAGGCAAGGGAAAGGGCACAGAGAGAGCTGCTGCTTACAAGTAAAAGCAAAGAACGCGCGCGCTGCTTTTCGGGCTCATCACACCCGGCGCGTCCGCTTGGCTGGCACTTGGCTGGCGTCGCCCTTGCCGCTGCCAGCCGCTGCCAGCCGCTGCCCCGAGGAAATGCCCGCATCAGGCCAAGGCGCTGGCAGGTGTTGGTGTCAGATGGCTTTCTGCCTTCGCTCGCGATTCCATCCTCCGATCGACTGCGACCCGTTCATCAATTGCGCCCCTCGCCCGTCTCGTCACCTTGTTGTGGTTGGGTTGACACACCCTGCGACTTGTCGGTGCACCCTCCTTCCCCTCCCGCCGGCGCCACGATGGTCGAGCCGATCCCGACGCGCGGTCCCATGAACCGGTGGTCTCGTTCATGGGCGCGCCTCAACAACTGGAGCGTGTTGTCGGTCTTTGATCCGAAACGCCGCACGCCGCAACCGCGGTCCGTGCTCGTCAATGTACCCGTACCGTCCCATGCGACGATGATGGCACCCAAGGTCTCGGTGCCGTTCATGGCCAAGCTGAGCAAGGTCGAGCTCCCCGATGGCACGACCCAACTCACGAAGCGCAAGCGTGGCTTCGGCTCCAGGATCCGGCCCGCGCCCGGCTGGATCTTCGAATCGAACCAGGTGCTCACCTCAAAGTACAACGTCATCACCTTCCTGCCCCGCAACTTGGTCGAGCAGTTCCGTCGTATCGCCAACATCTTCTTCCTGGGTGAGTGTCGGCGGTCGTGTTCTCTGGCGCGGGATCTAGGATCCGGGATCTCGCTCTTGCTTTGGCTCCGGCTCGGCCTCGGGGGTCCTCGAGCCTGCGAGGCGGCCTGTCAGTGGCAGCGCGTCAGCGCCCACCCATTCGAGGCCGAGGCGTACGGGACGCAGATGACGACAGCTTGGGGGTCAAACTCGCTGCAGGGGCAATGCGAAGACGATGTGTTATGCCCTATCTACGGAGAGCAGCATGCATGGCCATCAGCGCAGTACGACTTGTAACTCGAGGGCGGGGCCTGCTGGTGTCAGTCTCACTGCGCGGCGCTCAGCGTCTCAGAGTTCACCTCCACTTGTGCTGGGCTTCGAGAGACGAACGATCGCATCGCGGCTGCATCAAGAACGCACAGATGTCGATCGCCAGTTCGATGGCATGGACCCTTGTTCGCACCTGATATCTCACCCCTGAACTAACCCAAATCTCTCCGTTTTTCCCAGTCTTGGTCGTTCTGCAATTTTTCCCCCGATTCACGACCGTGAATCCCGGACTATCGGCGCTCCCCTTGTTGGCTGTGCTCACCATCACCGCGCTCAAGGACGGCTACGAGGATCTCAAGCGACACCAGAGTGATCGCTCCATCAACAATATCAAGGTATGTGTGCTCGCGCCGTTTTCCTCGACCCGCGCGAGATGACCCACTTAGGGACTGGCCACATGACCCACAGGTACTCGCCCTCCGAGGCACATTCCACAACCCCAATGCGACCCGAATCAAGTCGCGCACCTTCACCTTGCCTGCCTTCATTCGCAACATCTTTGTCAGGCGATCCCTGATCCAGGAGGCCGAAGCGGCCGAGGACGAGCGACAGGCCGAACGGAAAAAGGGCTTCTGGGGGAAACGCAAGATTCGCATGCCCAAGCAGAAGAAGGCCGTTAGCACATCCGAAACCAACTCGATACACGAGCAAGAATCGAGCGAGATTCCTCGGGACGCCCCTGGAGGAGGCAACTTGCAAAGTGCGAAGAAGAAGAGCGCCGCGCGTGAGGCACAAGCCCCGGAGAGGCATGAGAGACTAGACGGCGATCACTACGCCGACGACGAGGACCACGCCACCTCCCAGGTTCATGGCGGTGACGCGCCGCATCCGGGTTCCGAGCCTCACCACGAGGGCGCTCACTTTCCTCACCTCGGCGGTCACCACTATTCGCACGCTGTCTGGGCCAAGGAATGCTGGGAGGATCTCCGAGTCGGTGATTTTGTTCGCCTGAGGGGTGACGAGCCTGTACCCGCTGGTGAGTGTGATTGTTGGATCACGATTCGCTCGTTACGGCATGTTCAAAATTGAAAGCTGACTCCGTGACCCCGTGTTCCATAGATCTGGTCATTTGTGCCACATCGGAAGAAGAGAATGTGTGCTACGTCGAGACTAAGAACTTAGACGGGGAGACCAACCTCAAATCGCGACACGCCGTTCCCGAGCTCACGCACCTGCGCACTTCGACTCTGATCGAAACCGAAGCCAGATTCACCATCAATGCCGAAGCGGCCGACGTCAACATGTTCAACTATAATGCCGCCGTCATTCTCGAGGATGGTCGGTTAGGCAAGGACGGCAAGCCGCTTAGGTGCCCTGTCAACCTCAATACGGTCCTTCTGCGAGGTACGGTCGTGCGTAACACGGATTGGGTCATCGGCGTGGTGGTCATGTCGGGCCGCGACACCAAAATCGTGCTCAACTCGGGCGGAACACCTTCGAAGCGGAGCAAGGTTGAACGCTTAATGAACCCGATGGTCTTCATCAACCTGGCGCTGCTCGCGGCGATGTGCATTATGTGCGCTATCGTTGACCACTTCCTCGAAAAGGCGCAATACCCCGAGGGCGCGTACTGGCTCTACGGCGCTGACCGAGGCGATGACAACCCCAACATCAACGCCCTCATCACTTTTGCCAACGCCATGATCGCATTCCAAAACATTGTGCCCATCTCGCTCTATATCTCGATCGAGTTTGTCCGGTTGCTCCAGGCGTTCTTCATCTACGCTGACAACGAAATCTGCTATCGCAACGGGACAACGAAGCACCGGACGATCGCTCGCAGCTGGAACTTGTCGGACGATCTCGGTCAAATCGAATACGTCTTCAGTGACAAGACTGGCACGCTAACGCAGAATGCAATGATCTTCCAGCAATGCTCGGTCGCTGGCAAGGTCTACCGGGGCGATGGCCTGGCCCCGGCCGGCACTGTTGTACCTGGCGCCAACCGAGATTCGTCGTCGACTGGGGCACCTACATTCCACGTTGGCTCGGCCAGCGATGCTGAGAAAGGGGATGCTAGCTCTGGGCTGAGCAGCGACGATCATGACAAGAAGAACACCAAACTCGCGGACACCGTTCTCGCACCTTTCCACGATGCCAGGATCGGGTCCGATCTAGCCGACCGTGACGCCGAAGCGTCTACAAACCTCTACGCCTTCTTCTCCAACCTTGCGCTTTGCCACACTGTGCTGGCTGCGGAAGAGGACGGGCTCATCTCGTACAAAGCGCAATCGCCCGACGAAGCCGCGCTCGTGCAAGCCGCAGCCGATGTCGGGTTCGTCTTCCTGGGTCGAGACAAAGACGTGCTTCGCATCCAAACCCCTCACGACGACGACGTCGTCGAGTACGTCTTGCTGAACGTGCTCGAGTTCACCTCGTCGCGCAAGCGTATGTCGGTCGTCGTTCGCCGCGTATCTGGGGAGCACGCCGGTCAGCTGTACCTCCTGTCCAAGGGAGCGGACAACGTTATCTTTGAGCGACTGGCGCCTGGTAGTGAGCACCGCAAGAAGGCGACCGATAAGCACCTCGAGGAGTTTGCCAATGAAGGCTTGCGCACGCTGTGCCTCGCCTACAAGGAGCTCGATGAGGACCAGTACGAGGCATGGGAGCGCGAATTCCACGAAGCGACGACGCTCATTGACGGCCGAGAGGAGGCGATCGAGGCCGCATCAGAAAGAATCGAGACCAACCTCGTGCTCCTCGGCGCGACGGCGATTGAGGATCGACTGCAAGACGGTGTGCCCGAAGCCATCGCAGACCTCAAGCGAGCGGGCCTCAAGATCTGGGTCGCGACCGGCGACAAGGTCGAGACGGCGATCGCGATCGGCAAGACGTGCAACTTGCTCTCGCGCGATATGAACGTCATCATCGTTCGAGGTGGCGAGTACAATATGCCGTCTTCGGCCTATAGTCAGATCCGCAACGCGCTCGAGAAGTTCTTCGATGTCGGCGACCTCGCCGACCGGGTCTACCCGCAGCCCCCTGGTGCGGTTGGGAACCTGCCACGACCTAGCGATCTTCCCGGCGGCCTCAAGCGCCACAACACGCGTCAATCGGGACTCACCGATATCGTGGGTGACGACAACGGGCAAAGGCCAGGAGGCTACGGTCTCGTCATCGATGGTGCCACGCTCCGACACGCCTTCGCAGAGCCTTACACCAAGCAGCTCATGCTCGAACTCGCGACCCGATGCCGCGCTGTCATTTGCTGCCGTACTTCTCCTCTGCAAAAAGCCCTGATTGTCCGCCTCGTGAAGGACGGGTTGGGAGCGATGTGCCTCGCCATTGGTGACGGTGCCAACGACGTCTCAATGATCCAGGCGGCAGACATCGGAGTCGGGGTCGCGGGTGAAGAAGGACTGCAAGCCGTCAACTCGTCCGACTACGCGATTGGCCAATTCCGCTACCTGCAGCGACTGCTCCTCGTCCATGGCCACTGGTCCTACATGCGCAACGCGAATATGATTGTCAACTTCTTTTACAAGGAAATCATCGGTATTGGGATCTTGTTCTGGTTCCAGTTCTACTGCGGCTACTCGGCAACGACCGTCTACGAATATACCTACTTGCTCTTCTGGAACGTTTTCTGGACGCTTCGTAAGTTTTTGACTTCATCGTTCTCTGATTCTTCTCTCTGGACTCAACGCTGACCTCGCGATCCCACAGTCCCGGTGATTGCAATTGGGGTCTTCGACCGAAGTGTCAGTGACCGAGTACTCATGCAGGTGCCCGAGCTGTACGTCTATGGCCGCAAGGGTGCGTTGTTCGGCCTCAAGCGTTTCACCTTCTATATGCTCGATGGTATCTACCAGGTCAGTCTTACCTAACCACACCCCCAGCTCGTCTGCTAACCCACGCACGATTTTGCCCACAGTCCGCGGTCATCTACTTCTTCCTGGCCTACGCGTATGACACGACAACGGCTCGCCGTGATGGGTACGACATCCAGATGTACGAGTTCTCAACCGTGATGGCGATCAGTGCCGTCATCGCCGCCAATTTGTACAACGGTCTCAACACAAAAGCCTGGACGTGGTGGGTCGCCTTTAGCGTCTTTCTCGGGCCGGTCCTCATCTTGCTCTACACCGCCGTCTATTCGGCGTTCTCTCCGTCCTTCATTTGGACCTACGTCTACGGCAACAACCAGTTCCTCTGGCCATCCGTCTACTACTGGCTGGGTTTACTGTTTACCATCGTACTCTCGCTCTTGCCCCGCTACTTGTACCGCTACTATAAGGAGAATTACTACCCGACCGACGTCGATATCCTTCAGTGGACCGATAAACAAGAACCGAAGCAGTGAGTGGAGGGCTCATCTGAACCAGCACTGTGATGCATGATCGACTTATTGCGCGGCTTGCCTCGTCCTCCTTCAGTGACTGGGTTAATGACCCTTACATGCCGCAACGTCGCGGTGCCTCTGGGCCGGCCACAACGAGTGCCCATGACATCTACCAGCACGACAATGGCTCCGCTCACGCCGATGACACGCATCCCATCTTCGCTCCTGGGCGACCCAGCCTCAACGAAGAGCCTAACTCTTTCCCGCTGGGCCATCGTCTCAGCCGACAGAGCACGACGCACGACATGTCGACGGGTCTGGCTTCGTCGGGTCAAGGCCGTGGTTTCAACTACGACGAGCAACCGCCGGCGCCGTTGTCGATTGCTCGATACACCTCGCGAACAAGCGACCATTCGTCGATTCGAACGCGTCCGAGAAAGGGCAGTCTTCGTCTTGCCGGTGTCGAGCTCAACCCGTTCGCGCGGTCACCGAGTAAGACGAGGACCGGATCGGTCTTGAACCCCTCGAGGCTGTTTAGCGGAAGACGATCAGCCATCCCGGAAGGAAACGAGGCAACGACGCCGACACGGTCTCCCATTGCGCGGTCACCGCGACCGGGGCAGGGAGGAGAGTCGACCGCCGACTACCCCATGATCGGGGGGCAATTGGGGGGTGAATCACCGTCTAAGTGAGAACGAGTTCAAAAGCTTGTCGCTCTACGCTAGTCCTTGTTTTGGTGTCGCTTGTACGACTAATATATTATCAGCTTTCACTAGAAGATATCATGCGTCCATCTTTTCTGTTTGATCCTTTTCTGTTGCTCGTTCTCGCCGCTGTTTCGTTTGCTTTCTTCGGTCTCTCTTTCAGTTCCCTAAAAGACTCTAGATACCTGGATCCTCGGCTTCCTGGCTCCTGGCCTCCCACTCTGTCGCCTCACCCATGCCCACCGTAGCTTTGACGATCACTCATGTTGCATTCGATTCACTTATTCGCATCACTCCTGCGAGAGAGAGAGGGCCAGGTTTTGATGGATATAGGATGAATATCTATGCGAGATGAGATATTCGAGGGTTGATCGCCAGGAACGAGGTCGTCGAAAAGGGACCCCTGCCAGTCGGTGGTGGAAGGCCCCTGCAAGACAGAGCAGGCACAGCTCAACAAGAAGCGCGCGCCGTCACGTGCGCGATCAAGATTTGGCTGCGGATGCACACGACAACGTCGAGTTTCCAGACTCGAGAGGCCGAGTTCAGCGCCGATCGGGGTTGGTTTGTTGGCTGTCAGGGGATGCCTTACGGCCCTTTAGTAGCGTCCGAGTAGCTATAACCATCGAGTTCTAGTTACGACTTGCTTTTAGCCTAGTCGGTCAAGAACGATGGATTGTATTTTATGCATATCTGCGGCGCCTTAATCTTACACGACTTGAGCTTGACTCAAACGGCCGAGCGCTGAGCTTTTGACGTGCATCAAGCGTCTGAATTTCCTATAAAGCAACAGCACATTGCCCCGCCACTCTTAGGTACCTCGGTACGAATGAAAGTAGTGGAAGGGGCTTCAAAAGCATCGCTCCAGGTCCGCCGGAGGAACCTTCGGAGTCCGCGGAGCGATTGGCTTGGCTTGACCCTGACGCGGCCGCGCCGCGCGCGTAGTCAGTTGAATGAAAAGTGGGCACTGGGGCAGTGGCATTATGCATAGGACTCGAGCTTCTCCTTCGGAAGTTCGCCTATTTTATGGCATTAGGGACCCCGCACTCCCAACTTGTTAATTCTGGCTCAGTAGTTATAACTCTAAGTATGAAGATATTACAGTCGCGCTCGACATCCCATCTTAAGGTAAGTTGTACGCGCCTACCACCGCGTGGCCTTGAAAAAGTATACAGTCGTATGGAAATCCGCGCGAGCTCAAGGGACCGACTTTTATTTTCCAAAGCATCGCTGTACCGTCTTCAGCCCGCCGCGTCGAGACTCGAGACCCGACCCATGTAGGTTCGGGAATGGGGCGAATAATGCCTTTATATTTGGAGGTACAAGGTAGCCGTCTAGTTCCATGCCAACTCATACACGTGTAGGTGGTCGCTCGAGTCTTACGGCGGCGCTGCTTGCCTATAACCTCGGGAAACGCACCAAACAGAATCCATGAGCTCGCCAAGACTAGGTCAGGTAAAACTACAGTTACATGGCTGGAAACTTGTTTCCGGGTTTACTCAGACCTCCTGGGGATCTTTAAAGGGCATAAGTCCACGGCGTGTTCCTATCCCAAATCACCAATGGCTCCACACGGCCGAAGACCTTTCTCGTCTTGTGCAGAATGCAGATCCCCGAGCCATTCCCCGCCGCGTGCCGATACCCGGTCTATGCTCGCCGGAGAGTGCCCGGGGCACCTGGGCAGCTAATGGGTAAATTCTTACATCAGGTAGATAAATACCATTTCATATACCCGTCAGCTGAAGCAGCATCTGGGAAGGGAATTAGAGGAGAAAATTGGTTCTGGTTCGAGACGAAGATCATCATTGCGAACACTGGACATACCTGCTGTGAACTCGGGCGGCGTGTAGAGTATAGAGCTGCCAGTTCCTCAGATGAACTCAAAGGTGCTTACGATTACCTTGCCGAGTCCAAGTCAACGTAAGAATCCCAGATGTCTTTTAGTCGACATGACTATTGCGGGGCAAACTTGAAGAGACGATAGAGAACTTATCCAAAACCAGTGCAGCAGCAAAATGGCCACGCGCGCGAACCCGCTTAAGGATTCGCCCGAGATTACGCGCGCTTAACAGCGCTTAACAGCGCTTAACGGTGCATAAGATGTGCATAAGGACGCATACGCGCGCGGCTGAATTGGGCGAACCTCATAATCCGCGCATAGCCAGCGCTGCGATGACTCGCCCTGCTTATTAAGGATCGCTTAACGCGCGCTTAACGTTTGACCTCGCTTACACTTCGCATACGTAACTGCGAAGCCTGTACTTGCACACGAGCGGGCGGATTGCTTTCTTGACCCCAACAAGTTTCTGTGCTAAAATCCCATCAAAAGGCGCTTCACTTGATTTTATTCAATGAGGCTAAGGAGCATATATTCAGGAAGTAGTTGGTCTATATAACACCGTAATTTCTACAAAAATAACTTTCCAGCAAAATCTATGAGTCCGCCACTGGAGGCCGTCGAGCAGGCCGCAATGTGCCCTGCAATGCTTCACGTAATAGATTTATGGTGAAATGACGCCCAAGGTGACGAAAAACATGTTGATCCTGGGCGAGATTCACCACAAACTCCCCATTCCATTGATCCATCACATTCCGAAAATCCAGGTCGGGTGCCAATTCCGCATGGCCTAACAACGGCTGAACAAATGCGGGGCGAGCCATCGACGTCGCAGTCGGGCCAACCGTTTCTGAGGTTCTTCTGTCGTCTGCGGCGTCGGCGAAAGAACTCTTGGCGAGAGCGCTGTTGTCTAAGAACTTGGAGGTGACTTCGTTCAGCAGCCGCTGACGTGGGTAGTACGCGGTCGAGCGGTCGGGGCCTTTCGTGAATGTGCAAATGTGCTTCGAGATTGCGCACATGGTGGAATGATCTCTGACAACCAGCAATGTTGCATCGGAATTGACTCATTTGCGAACGAGAGCCTTCATGTTCAAGCGACATCCCGAAGGCCTGTACGACGAGTCTACTGTTAGCGAGAGTGGACTGAAGCTGGAGGAAGGCAAGGGACGCGCGTAAACACAGCCTGAATGCAGGCGTATTTTCTCGAAATGCGCTAAGTTGTCCAAAACTACGCCGCGCAGCTGGCGCGTTGCGGCGCGACGTGGCAGCATAGGGGCCACTGCATATGTTGGCGCACGCTAAACCGCGCCCTAAAAAACACCGAACAACAAATGCGACGTGTCACGCGCGCTCGTTCTGTTTACCACCTTTTGACTCCCTCCCTCTTCCTCCTCACTCACTCACCGTCCCTTCCTCGCCTCTCGTCTTGTCTCGGTCGTAGCCCTTCCACCCAGTGCCTGTCCAGCGATCTGTTCACATGTCTTCTCGACCTTCTCGAACGAGTGCCACCGCGTCTGTGCACCTTGCTACAATGCGGGACCGCGACACGCCGGCGGACCGACGGGAGAGGGCGCAAGCCCAGCAAAAACGAAAGGCGGCGAACACGAAGGCGGCCGACAATAAGCGGCGGCGACTCGACGTCGCTGTCGGTGTGAGCCAAATCAACGCAGCGAAGAAGCAAGACGCTTGGCAACGCCACAAAGCCGCAAAGGAGCAGAAGGAGAAGTACGTGCAAGTGTGATCTCTTAACTCTACTGTATCTTTTCTTGAATGTAGGTGAACTGAGGCCTCGCCCGTCCTTGTTTCCAGTGCACCCCCAGCAGCCCCTGCACACGCGTTCAGGCTTGCGGTGACACGCACCTCTTCTCTTCACACCGTTCATGCAGATACCACACGTCAGCTTTTCCGTGCACAGCAGACTTCTGTTGAGCCATACAGCGACGAAGATAGCGGCGACGAGGACTCCTATATCGATCCTGCTATAAAGGACCTTGTGTTGGGTGGACAAGCCGAGGACCCCTGTGACTTTTCGGACAACGGTCAGGACGAGGCAGACTCGGACGAGGGCGAAGACTTAGTCGGACCCACGGTTGTGGATGGCGCCGATGGGGCCGCAACTGTCGCCATTGTCAACAAGGTAGCGACCAGCATCATGGACGATGATGACGAAAGCGTCATTCCAGGCGTAGTGAGTAGCATTCAAGCAGGTTTCGGTACTTGCGTGCAGGCATTCAATGGGTCGTATCAACACTTGCAGACGCCCCAGCCCAAGGCTCAGGCTCTACAGTCCTCAATCGCCGGACAAGCTTTAAGACGCAATCCACCGCAAGGTAGGGTTGCCAGTCGTACACCAGGCTCGTCTTCGTCGTTTGCGAGATCGTCGCCCCTGGTCAAAAGGAACCTCGATGTCAATGCCCCCTACGACGGGGCGCACAACCGCAAGCCAATAGATCAAGAGACTTTGGATTCAAAGCCCAACCACCGACAAGCATCCGACTTGACTCTAGAGCAGAAGATGGTCGCTGGCGCCTGGTTTCAAACTATTTTCATGCAGAATATTTTCGAGCTGCTTACAACATCTTTCTCCCTCAGGGTGGGGTCGACATGAACGATTGCTCCTTCGAGGCCGAGGATGATTTTCAGAACGACCTTCTATACGAGATCTTTGTTAAGATCGTCGCCGGCATAAGGAAAGAAAAATCTGCTGCTTTCCAATGGCCAAAGGGAGGCCTCGACCCGAACGACAATGATCATCGCGAGCTTGCATTCGCTCTTTTGACTCATGCATATGCCGGCGTAAGTTCCTCAACTGTTCAGCAATGTCCATTTCAAACTACCAATCATATCGTTACATTCTTGCTATGACGGATCAGGTTCGGTATGCCATGCAGGTCCTTACGCCGCCCCCATCGCTCCCCGAATCGTCCGACGCTGGCAGAAATGCGAATGTGGCGAAGCAAACCGTAGCGCTCTGGCACGAGTTCTCGGCCACTCACTATCAGGGTCCCGTCATGGCCATACTGCGTAGGCGTCGTAGAGAAGGCTCTGGGCCTTTTTACTCAGAAGCTATGCAGGTACGAGTCACCAATCGAGTACAGAACAGCGTGGAAGTAGCACTCCTCGAGGAGTATCGAGGGCCCGGGGTTTCTAGGCGGGGAACCAGTGACGAGATGAGGATCACAGCCCAACGGGCTTGCGACTTTGAAGAGTCTCTCTTCACTTGACTGTAGTATATGAGTGTAACATAGGTTTATGACAACAGATCAGGGGCTGCGAAGATAAGACTGCCTAAACAGCCGCTTAAAACACGGTCTGTGGTTCGGATAAAGTCGCTTTAGGACCGCTTTACGCCGCATAAGAGGGCTTACGGACCGCTTTGCGTATGCAAACAAAGCGCGCGAGGAGTCTTAAGCGCGCCGTAAGTGCGCCGTAAGAGTCCCTTATCTAGGGTACACTTAAGCGACACTTAACGCGCGCGCGGCTTAACGAGTGGTTAAGGGCGCTTAAGTATACTTAAGAGCAGCTCTAGGCCGCTTAACGACTGCTTTACGAGGTTCCGCGCGCTTACGCGCGTTTGGCCATTTTGCTGATGTGGGAACCCGTTAAATTAACGGGAGGGTGAGATTCAAATAGCAGGAGAATCGAACAGTCTACATGATTTCAACAGAGGCTAAGAAAACACACTATAAAGTACAGCAAAGAAACAGTTTTCCATTCATCGCCCAAACAGCCTGCCCGTTGCTTGTTGCCAAAAACGTCGTCGCAGAGTCGGTTCAACTTGGCTTCAAACACTCGTGCAATGAGATCCGGTCGGTTGCATGCTTGGTCGTTCGGTCCCAGTGCAGCCTTGATTTCCGGCCATTCGGGTTTGCACGTCACCGTGATGAATAGCGAAGGCTTTCCATATTTGACGGCGCACGCCATCGCATCTTGGTAATGCTGCGTGTTCTCGCGCGATCTATTCTTGAACGTTGAGCTTAAAATCACCGAACATCCAATTTGATCCGGGGTCAAGGTGATGATACCTTGGCCCGTGGTGAGGCGGAGGTTTTCTTGATGCAACTGGAGGTAAGTTGAGTCGATCGGTCTCGACGTGGGAGTATCCGTCATCACGAACGCCAGGAAGGCACGTTGGGTGCAATGCGGGATTGAGAAGTACTCGTCGCGTTTGTGCAAGTAGTACGCAAAGAATTGTGAACGCGAGACTCGCCACTTCGACCCCCTTTATTTGAGCTTCGTCCTAGGTGTTAAAACGTTACATGTCAGTCTGTGCGTGCGCCTTAACAAAATGGAACATCCGAGAAAGAGCCGAAGGCGCTTAGGTTCACCATCACCATTCTCTTCGTCCCCTTCCTCCTCGTCTTCATCCTCTTTGTCGGCGAAGGGTGACCCAGCTTGGTTGGAACTGCAAAGAGGAATGTTGGGGAGGCAGTTATCTTCTCCTGCAGGGAATAGGAGTGGGGAACGGAGAGGCATCGCAGACGGATGGAGCAAGCTAACAACTTGGTACTTGGGCCGACCGTCGGGACATTGATCACCGTGCGCCTGAAGATTAAGGTCTTGCGGTCCACGACCTCACATGTTGGCGTCGGAATCGCAGATAGGCATCGCCATTTCCGTGCTCCACGTAGGAAGGTTGTGGGTGCGTCGGTCCCGGCCAGGTGTTAGACAGAGGCGCAGGACCCATTCTTTGGCCGTAACCCAACCTGCGCGGGCTTTGGCCGATGCGAGCTCCCTCACAAAGCGATGTCCGGTGCCCAACATGGAGTCGAGCTTGGTCAAAGTAGATCTTTGTATGCGACTGTCTGCGCCGTCGGGTCCAAATTGAGTGTCGGTGGCCTCGGCCGGGCAGATGAGCCATGTTTTGGCAAAGGTTGGGCCCTGATTGACGGCAGGAATTAGGGCGCCGAGAGTGCCCGAGCCAATGGTAAAGGCGACGAAATACCTGAAACATGCGGGGTCCTTGAGTGCCTGGTCGAGTCTGGTCAAAGTGGGCAGCGAGCGAAGTGAACGACAGCGCGTTGTTGTACGACCGGGCATTCTCGCGGAACGCCGGAATGCCTTAGCTTCTGTGTAGGTGTGTCGCACAGTTCAGCATGTGGGTCTACTACAGACGAATGTCGTTGGACGGAGAGACTGACCGCTATCCGAGCCTTCAAGTAGCTGTTGAAAGTCGGGATTAGGCCGGAAAGAGGGAGGTAGCTGTCTGTACCTTGCCCTGCGAGCAGCACGTGCTGAACTGTCCGGTCGACTTTGTCCTTTCGCACTCCCAGTGTCGAGCCTTGCAGTGGGTACACACGGTCATCTGGGGCCGAGGTAGTCGCGGATGGGAACGTGGGGCTTGAGTGGTTTGAGCGCGATTCAAGGCCTGTGCACTTGCTCTGCGCGGGAAGAGGTGGTGGTGGGGCGAGCTCAGCAGTAGCTCAGCGTCGGTTCGGCCATCGGGCCATCGCGCTGACCACGCTGTCCGTTCTACAAAGCTGTACGGCGGACGCTTATACGGGTCGCAATACCAAGATTGGTTGGGTTGTTGCCATGACGCGCGGGGAGCTGATTCTGTTGATGGGAGCGGGACGAAGAGGAGAGTCGAGCAGCGGGCCCTCGAGCAACCTCGAGCAGTACGACGGTACGCTATCGTACGACAGGCTCGCGCCAAAGACTTGGCGCGGTTGTCACAAAAATTCGATGAGAGTGGGAGGGAAAAGGCGAAAATTGGAGAGAGTAGCGCGGGAGTATTCACAGCGCCCGCCTGAACGTCATGTTGTTGTTGAGTCCCTAAAACCGGTGTCGGGATGCAAAAAACACGTCACGTGATCGTCGGGGCATCGCGCAGCGTAGCCGCGCCCGCGTCCGTGCGTCAACGACAGCGAGACCACGCCTGAGCTCTGTAGAAGAAGTGTCATGCAAACCCACGCGCTTGCTATACATTAAATCCTACACAAACAGCTCAATAGTTCCCCACCATGTCAAAATTCGACAAAAATCGTAGTCGGGCTGTAGGTCGACTTTTATGGTCCAGAAAATGCAGAAAGGGTCGTACATGACTTCTGGTCGAGGTGCCGATACCACAGGCAGGTGCGGCAGACCCAATAGTGTACAGGTACATCCATCACTTGCGGCCTTCCGGGCCGTAACACAGACAAAAACTGCGATTTTAGGTACATGGGTCGCGGATCGACCTTTTTTTTTTACTAGATAGAGTAAAAGCCGAAAGGACTCGCGCGCAGCTCGGAGTCGTGAGCGTCAACGCGAGTCGTACGGCAGCGCACGGCCGGGCTCGGCGCAACGCCACCCTTCAGCCCGGCCCCTTTCTTGTGGGAACTCGCAGCAGGACTCGCTCTATCCTGATTTGCCTTTGTTCGTTGTTACCCACAGGCTCGAACATTGCAGTGCATTTTTTGGTTCCAACGTCGCTGTAGTCATCGTTATTGCTACTTTTGTCTTGTCGGGGTACCTCTTCTCATACTCAACCGCATGTCCCCCGGTGACGGGTCGACGATCTACACCCGAAAATCCGATAGTGCGAGTAGGTGCGAGTCTGTGCGAGTCTCAGCCTGAGAGCTTTCTCGACTCGATCTGAGGTCTCCTTCGCCTTTATGGCACCTCTCGACTCCCCTCCCAGGCTCCCTACATCCCGCGCCGGCCCTTTGATCCTTCCTACTACACGCATCGTGTCGCCATCGCCTTCTCCTTCGCATGCCCTTCACTTTGCTGCCCTAGACCGCCGCTACACCTTGGACCGACGCCGCCGCCGCCGCCTCCCAGCTAGCCGCCGCCGCGATGGCGATGGCCCTGCTCAGCTCGTCCCCGGCTGCACACGACTTTGCCTCGCGACGGATACCGCCTCGAATACACAGTTCTTTGCTCGCCGTACCTAGTTCACCGAGTGCTGCCTACCATGATGGCGAACTGTCGCCCACGCTGGACTCGTCTTTCGCAAGCTCCATGTTCGTTCACTTTCCTCCCTCAAGGCTGCAGCCCAGCCGCCGCCCGCCTCCTCTCCGGGTGACCACCTTGATCGCTCTCGCTTGGCCACGTCGGCTGACTAGATCCGCTATGTTTTTCTTTCGTTCTTGCCTCTGCATCCGCTGCTACACAGGTCCTTGTCGAGCGACGCGTCGCTGCCAGCTGCCGCCTCGTTCTGCTCGGCCACGACTGAGCCCGCGACCGCGACCACAACCACGACCGCGCCTCCGCCCGCGGTTGAACGATTCTCAGCCGACGGGTCCCCTGACGCGTTACGCGCGCGCGCGCCTTCCTCATCTGGGTCGGGCCGGGCGGCGCCAGACTTGTCGGGACGTCATAATGTTTTCGCGCCGCCGATCACTTCCAAGCCCAGTCATGTGTCAGCGCCGAAAGCGACTTCTTCGCTCGATTCGGCTCCGTTCGCACAAAAGTCCATCCCAGCGAACATTGCCGATGACGTCGATCGACGCGCCTTCGCGGCCCTCGCCCCCTCCCTCGGTCAATCAACATGTCCTGTAACTACATCGACACTCGATCGGATCGGCCGCGAAAATTCGCTGACCACAACAACGACATCGACAACAAAGGGGCTCACAGGGAATTCGTCTCCGAGCCCGGCGGCCGCCCTGTCTTCGCCTTCCCTCGGTGACGTCTCGGCGATGGATGTTTCTCCCGCCGCGGCCGCGATCCATTCCCGATTGCCTTCGTCGGTCGCGTCCACCTTCGGCGGTCGCGCGGCTCCCGCGCTCAATCGCACCGAATCGGGATGCTCTACAGCATCATCGGTGTCGTTCGCGTCGTCGTCGAGCACATCATCATCATCCTCGACAACGACCAAGACCAGCGAAGGCCCGTTCGGAAGCTCGGTCGCGGCCCACAGCGAGTTCCCCTTCCTGAAAAACCTGCTGTTTCGCCAGCCGCGACCGTCGGTCTCGACCGCTTCCTCGGTGTCGTCCACAGCTTCTTGCGCCGATGATGGAAACGCTTCGTATGCAGCATGGATGATCCCATCGAATAAGCCACGGTCCACAGAACAGGCCCTCGAGTCATCGCCCGCGCTCACCTCCACGGCCCCACTCTCAATTCGGCCACGGATGAGTTCCGGACAAAGTTCGCAACGCCCTTCGATCAAGCACTATGCCACTGTACCACCTTCCAATGCCGATCGCTTATTGCCGCCTTTCCAGCAATTCCATATCAACGAGTCCTCCGCTCCTAACGGACAGACCTATGGCGGCACTGACACCGACGAGGAAGAAGCGGAGGAACAGGGACCCATGGCCCCGCCGCCGATGTTGACCGCGAACCGACGTCGCCACGGATTGCCTTCCGAATGGGGTTCGGGGAACCTTCGACGTGCTTCAACAGATGGTAGTCTCAAGCCGCCGCCCCATCCTTCGCCTGTCAAGCGAGCCTCGCATCCGAACCTGGGATCGCGACGTATCTACGATGTCAACTCGTCGCCTTTCCACATGGACGTCGACGGCAGCTCACCTGCGACATCACCAGTAGCAATGCTACGTCATCGCAATCATCCACGTTCAGTGTCCGACTCGGCCGGCCGTAGGCCTTCCTTGCCGGAATGTGACAGCCAATCACCCCTGCGACCCGACATTGAGGTCATCTCTTCGGACTCGGGCGCGTCGTCGCGACTGGGTGACATCTTCGCCGATGACCTATCGCCCATCCCGCCCTCACGCAAACGATTCCTCAGTGACGAGCGCGATTTTTTGGCCGACCCAGCCTCTCCTTCGCCCGCATTGTGCGCGCCGACCAGCTTGTTTGGGCTTGCGCCGGCGATGCGACCGATCTTTGAGAAGGCCATGTCGACGTCAACGCTGCCTGCGAACGTCGTGCGACGCCAGCGTTCGTCTGCGACTCTTGGACTGAGGAAGCGTCCTTCTCTGTCGACGTTTGCTACCATGGGTCCTCCGGTCCCTGCAGGCCCGGCGTCGGCGTCGCTCGAAGCACTCAGTCCGTTCGCCACCGCGGCCGCCGGGTTCAAGCGACACGCCATCACCTCGATCACGGGGAAACCAAAGCCGATGCGGAGAGCACTCTCGGTCGCGGACGCGGCGGTTCAGCTTGTCAAACGGGAACACAACGCTCTCGACACCTCCAATCGCGCCAGCATCGCGACCGAGACCCGCGCCTTCGCCGACATTGGTCGGCACGCGGATCCCACCGGTGCAGATCTTTGCAGTGCGATAGCCTCTTCGACCAAGCCCTTGAAGGCACTGCAAGATACGGGCTCGCCTGTAACTGGCTTCCGCAGTCAAGAGGCGAAAGGCAAGGTCCTGCCGTGCTTTGGCGTCAAGCAGGACGGGCTGATGCGCATTACCGCGAGCACGCTCAATGACCTGCAATCGGGTCTCTTTGCGTCTCGCATCAAGCGCTACCTGATCATCGACTGCCGCTTCGACTATGAGTTTGATGGTGGCCACATCCGCGACGCTGTCAACATCCCCGAGCTCGCTGAAGTCGAGGAGAGCCTGCTGCACAACTCGCCGCCCAAGCCGAGTACGAGCGAGCAAGCTCCGGGGGATGGCAAAACCGTCCTCATTTTCCATTGCGAGTTCAGTGCGAAGCGAGCGCCTACGACGTGAGTTGCTTGGCTGCGCTTCACCCTCCGGACTGATTCTGACCACTGCACCGTTTCTGCTTCCCATAGTGCTCAACACTTGCGCAAGCAAGATCGACTGAAGAACCACCACGACTACCCCAACATCCACTACCCGGAGGTGTACGTTCTTCAAGGCGGCTATGCCGAGTTCTACCGGTCTTTCCCTGAGCGTTGCATCGGAGGCTACCTCGCGATGGACGATCCCGAGCACATGGCCAAACGCTCGACGCAGCTCAACAACTTCCGCCAGCGCAAACGCCAGTTCCAGCGCGCCAACACCTTCACCTTCGGTCAAGGCCAGCAGGCATCAACGATGATGCAGACCGCGACCATAGCGACGCGACCGCCTCTGCACCCGAGCCAGTCGCACAACATCCGTGGCTCGCTCGACGAAACTTTCTCGTTCCCCGCCAAAGCGTCCGACAAGCCCATGTCGATGTCGATGGCCATGGCGATGGATCAGTCCCCCTCTGCCAATGCTGGGACTGAGAACAAGAACAAGAGCAAGGCTAAGCCCGGCATGCTGGCTTGCCACGAGGATGAAAACGAGGGTGCAGACTCGTCATTTGGTACCAACGGGTCCTCGCCTTCTGGGGCCGGTGACTCGCCCTGTCCAGGAGGCAAGCTCTCGAGGCATTCGGTGCCGTTCGGTCGAAAGACGGTGCCCGACTTTGCGCCGGCATTCCGACCTCCTTCGGCGAAGCAACCTTTCGCCATTGGTGGAGGTGGCACGGCTCGACGAACCTTCGAACGAGCTCACACCTCGGCCGCCTTGATGTTCAAGCAATGAGCCCCGCTTCAACTTATCACCCCTTTTGACGTCGTTAGCATGCTACGAACCTTTACGATCATACACCGCACGACACATGATGAAATTCCCTATCCAAAAATCATGGACACGAACGCAACCCGAGGAACTTGGACCATCCGACACCGAATTCCAGGCTCGGCAGTCTCGTTCCTCCGCATGTACCGCTTTGACGACTTATTTTCCTATCCACCCCGCGACTGCCCTTATCATGCTACCACCACCCACCATCCTGTGTGGGATACCGTCTGTATATACCTGTATTCCCACTCGCACGATCCCTTCTCGGTCGTCAAGTGTGTTCTCTTCTTTTCTTTACGGCGCATTCACTTTCACGTTCTCCCCCTCAAAAAAGTCCAGTTGGAGAGATGGACGGACAGATCTTTTCCCTTGTTTATTGATTCTCAATTTCTTTGTGCATACGACTTATCCCGCTCTTTGTGCTCTTGGTTTTTCTCTTTTTTTTGTGACTAGTACTCCCCTTCACGACGAATACTGCTCCCTCTTCTTTTTCACGACGCTCTGCTTTGCATTTCACAATCCAACGAACGACTCTTCATACCATTTGGCCGACGAGAGTGGGATTGTCAGAGCTCAACGTCGAGTCTCAGAAAAAGTTCATCTCAGTTCGGAACTGAGCTCTCGATTCATCTCTCGATTCGCCCTCGATCTAGCACCAGCGCCCTCTTGAGCGAATGCTCATCACTCCATCCTCCCCACCCTAGGCATGCCCCAACACCCCCCTCGGGACATAATGTTCCTCAATCCCCTTCCTCTCCTCTTCCGTCAGAACGATATGCGTCGCCTTGGCCAGTTCCTCCAAACTTTCCAACTTGGTCGAGCCCACAATCGGCGCAGTCACATGTTCATTCCCCGCGACATAAGCAAGGGCGATTTGAGCCATCGAATAACCTCTTTCTTGTGCGATGGCTTGGATCGTTTCATTGATGGCGCGGAGAGCGGCTTGCTCGCGCTCGTTGTTGAGGCCGACGAATTTACCGAAGTTGGCGTCGGTTTCGGTACGGGTGGTGGTTTGGTCTTTCCAAGGGCGAGTGAGGTAGCCACGCGCCAAAGGGGACCAAGGGATGACGCCGACGCCGAACTGAGTACAGGGTATATGAAAGGAACATCAGCAACCTTCTCGTAATTCTGGCTTTGACGCCAATTATCAAAACTGACGAGTTTGCAGGTCGGGAACATCTCCGTCTCTTCATGGCGGTAGATGGCCCTTGTAGAAGTCCTGCATCGACACGAACTGGGTCTGGTTTTTGGAACTGGCGTAGGCCTGCATCTTGTGGAACTGATACGCGTAGCACGAACTCATGCCGATGTAGCGCACTTTGCCTGATTTGACAATATGAGTGGGAAATCGGGAGTAACTATATCGTAAGCTGTCGGGGACACTAGCAGACACCCAATCGGGATATTAACTCACGTCATGAAGAGCATCCATCGTTTCCTCGATAGGAGTCTCGTAATCGAATCGATGACATTGCAAAAGATCGATATAGTCGACACCCATCCTCTCGAGCGAGGCATCGACCGAGTTGAAGATGTGAACGCGCGAGAGACCGTGTTGGTTGACGTAGCCCTGGCTGTCCGGGTCGGTCAGCTTGGACGGGTGTGCTTTGGGGTCTTTGGCGACCGTCATGAAGACCTGACATGAGCGGAAAGGGTCGATTCAGCTTTGAATCGTGACTCTGAAAGCCACTTATAGCTGTGATAGCCAGGCGAGGCGATCTATTCAGTTAATTTTGGGGGACCGACTGGCCTTGGTTAAGAGAACGACGTCTTGGCGAGGGATGTTGTGCACCTTCAGTGCCTTGCCCACGATCCTCTCCGAGTCACCATTTGAGTACTGTTAGGTTCGTCCCATCGCCCGTTCGAGAAAGACAGGGTCAGTCGGATCAAACTTTTCCAAAGGCCCACTCAGCCGAACGAATAAGTTGCACTTACGACATTGGCCGTGCTGCGTAAATGATGGTGGAAAGGATAGAAAGGTCAGCATCGAGATCCTCATTGCCAGGGAGCTCATTCTTGGATGTGCAGCGCGAACTCACTCCCACGTGTTGATGCCGAGATCGAAAGCGGCCTTGAAGTGGGGCAGCGACTCTTGCTCGTCCAAGACCCATCCGGCCCAATCTTTGTTGCCGTCTGATAGTGATGGAATGCTTGAGTAAGCTCAGTGCTTGATCATTCGCATCGCACTTGCTCCTACTTACACGACATGCAGCCGAGGATGATCTACGAAGGCCAAGTCCACAGAGCGCCGGAATCAGGCGCATGCTGTCAGCTGCTTATATAAGTGACACACCTCCACACCTCCACATCGCGTAGGACGTTGATGCTCACCTTGGACACCTTGAGGCCCGAATTGCCGAGTCGCACGTAGCCGACCTTGGAGGGAAGTTCTTCTTTCGATGCCATGATTCGAATTGTCGAAGGATAGTAGGTGTGGTGGATGAGAGGGAGAAAGGTAAGAGAGCTGAGCACGATCATCGACGACAGCCTGCCTGATCTAATCGCCCGGCAACGCACCGGCCAGCCACGGCCTCGGCATCGGCGCGTCCCATTCAGCTCCACCTCCACTTAAATCATGAGTCTTGAGAGCCGACTGTTGATTAGCGCTCATACTGTGTCATCGCATCGAGTAGTTTTCCTGATAGGTTAGATCGGAAGCGCAGTTCATCACCCAACAGCAGCTCGTACCGTCCAACCTGAGGCAGAGTCTTCACCTTAAGTTAGACTCTTGAAGCTGCCACTGCAGCCGCTGCCGAGTGCCGACGCCTGCCGACGCACCGCCGACAGCCGCCGACGGGAAATGCCGAGCGGCCGCGGCTCCACTCTTTTCAGCCCTTCCTTGGCCTTGCTCGACACCTTCCAGGATACCTCACCAGCCCGTACTCTATACGCCAACAGTCATATCCGGTATGAGCCTCCCCCACCTGCCCAATGTGACCAAGGTATGTCCCGTCCCACTCCAGTTGTGCCCCGGGCTGTTACCGCATCGTTCGCAGACTGGTGAAGCCCCACATTCGTCTTGGCTCCGGCTAACACCTTTCGATGTCGAATCGTGCAATCTACTCGTGGTCTGGTGGCGACCTAGCTATCACGCTACGTAACTAGGATCTTGGGACAGAACCCTGGGCGGTATTCCCTTCAGGGTACGAATACGTACCTCATTCATGTCAGTCGAAACGCCGCCATTCCCCGCTCCTCCCCAAGTCGTAAGCTAACGGAATCGACCCCTGTGATGCCAACCCCTAGGACCCCGACCACCCCACCTCCCTGATCCTCCTCGACACAGCCCAGGGCATACCTTCCTACCTACCCCTCGTAACCCCCTTCCTCAGCTCTCCCTCCCCCCTATCGATCCAAATCGTGCTCTCGCACTGGCACCAAGATCACGTCGGAGGTCTGAAAGACGTGTTGGAGGTGTTGAAGGGCCAAAAGTGGACGATATGGAAACATGCTACTTCCGGTGGGGAGGAGGAAAAGGACCAGGATCGGGAATTGGAGGAGGTCGTTCGGCGGATCGTGGAAGGGGGAGACAAGGGGGACGAGTCGGCTCATTCTGCTGCCGAGACGCTGGTGAAAGGCGGTCGAATCAGGGCGTTGAAACAAGGCCAAAAACTCAAAATCGGCAACGTCGAACTCGACGTTCTCCATACACCGGGTCATACGACCGATTCCATTTCTTTACTCCTTTCCGCACCCGAGTCGGACACGAAGTTATTCACGTTCGATACCGTTCTAGGACATGGCACCGCCGTCTTTGGAGATCTAGGAGCGTATATGGCTTCGTTGAATTACTTGCTCGAGAAGATGGGGAAGGAAGGGGAGGGGGAGACGGAGGTGTATCCTGGCCACGGGGAGACGATTAAGGAGGGGAGGGCGAAGGTCGGGGAGTACCTTAGACATCGGCAAGAGAGAGAGGATCAGGTCGTCGAGGCGCTCAAGGTGGGAAGGGGGGGCGGCGGGAAGGTGCTGAAAGCAAGCGAGTGAGTTTCAGTTGCATTGATGTTGATCAGGATCTTGATGCTGACTTGTCTCCCGACTGGGTTTGCTCCAACCCGAACAGTCTGACGGAACACATCTACGCCTCGACGATCCCGGACGAACTCAAACCCGCCGCGACGAGGGGGTTGCTGTTGCATCTCAACAAGCTGGAAAAGGATGGTCAAGTGCAGAGAAAAGAAGCCCCGGGATCGGACAAGGATGAGGCACCTTTGCCGGGGTGGAATGATGGATGGAAGTGGGTCGGGTCAGGGAGTGAACGGGCCAGTCCGAATGGGGCCAAGATTTGATTCACACACCGAATGGGGCCAGGATTTGTTTCACACAGGCGCGTAATATTACAACATGATCTGTCTTGCTGTGCGAGAGATGACCGACGCGGAGATGTACATGGAGGAAACTTATGAGATGTCGAGGGAGGGGTTGCGATTCTTTTCGATCCGGGTGACTTCTTGCTCGGCTTCGGAGACGATGTCGTTCCATTGTACAAACACTTCGGAGAGGGTCGAGATCTGCGCGGTGCTCGTAGCCCGGTGATTAGCTTGAAGGCGCGACTGTAACTTGTGAGCGGACGGACGCACATAATCGTTGTAGCGGCTCAAGAGATTGTGGGTCTTGTGTTCGAGTTCTTGATACGATGCCGCAAGGGGTTTGACGTCTTGCTTTGTCTGAGCGAGCTCTGTCCTCAGATCTTGGTGTTCTGTGATGCAGCAAAGGTACGGGATGAAGATCCGATTGTGCTGATCTCAAGGGATGTAGTAGCGCCACGAGATCACTCACGAGCCAGTTCGCCAGCGCCGACAACGCCTTGATCGTCCAGCAGTGCGATCTGCCTCAGTTCCCATTCGAGTTGGCGGATCTCGTACTCGGCTTCGAGGATGAGGCTGACTTTGGAGTGGGGTGTAAGGTCATCGTGGGTTGCGGAGGAGGACGGATGATGATATGGAACAGGGGGTACGGTCAGGAGCGGCTCGTTCAGGTCGTCTGCGGTGAAGGTGGCGTGACCAGTCAATGCTCTGCTCGAAACGCAACTTGGAACAGTAGCCATACCCACAGTTGGCTACGAATTTGCGGAGGGCATCCGTTCCCGGCCCTGCTTCGAGCACGAGGTCGAGCGACGAAGCGAGCTGCGACACGCGACGGGACAACGAAGCCGGGTTCGAGGCTGAGGTCGGAGCGTTGGTCGAAGTGGACGGCCGCGTGAGTAAGGTCTCGAGATAACGTATCCGTAAATCGAGGGCTAGGTCGGGCGTGGACATGGTCGCGGCGGGAACCAGGTAGAGGCTGAAACAGCGAGCACGAGGGTTGGCGTAGTACACGCGACTCGGGCGACGCGTGCTCTCGCGTGATGCTGCGTGATGACGTTGCAGGCTCAATCAATTTCGGCTCGGACCGGGTCTTGGACTTTGCCGTGCCAAGCGTCTTTCCTCGTCTTGTTTCATCTTGCACTGGTCCTCGTACGCGTTCATCTCCTGCGGCAGCACTTGTCCTCCGTCTTTCCTCCTGTCGCCCTAGCTTCTGACCTCGCAGCCCCTTACTTACAGCTTCGCCTCGCACTTTCCATCTTTGTCGCCGTCTCGCGCCTATCCCCGTTCCACGTTCCCCGTCCCCCGTGTAGAAAGGAGGCGCTTGATCCCGACCTAATATTCGATCCGACGCGCATGCCCCACGATGGCACTGCAGATCTCTTCCCCCAACTCCAACTGGGACCTCTGGCTATCGCCCACCGTCTCCCTCTCGCTCATCATCGAGTCCGAAACCGCGGCCCCTTCCCTGACCCGCTCCCTGTCCCAATTCGTCCTCCTCGTCTTTCGCCGCACGCTCCTGCAGGAACAATTGAGCTACGAGCTCTCTCAGCGACCGCTAGGGCAAGGAGAACAGGTTGGAGCCGTGTCGAGCACGACGTTGAGGGTCGTCGATTATGCTTATCACAAAACTGTCGTGGGCGCTAGGGTCGGTGCTCGAGACTCCGAGCGAGGTAGAGGTCGGCTTCACTGACCGCGCGAGGATGTCGCCTACAGAGCGAAAGCAGAGGCACACCCATCTACCCGGAAGAACTCGCAGCGACCATCTCCACCGACCATGGGATAGACCAAACCACACCCGTCAGTACCCGACCTCGGTAGAACCGGAGAAGATTTTTATCCGAACTCACCTTAGCCCCCTTCCCACTCTAGTCCTACCAACTCTTAGTCGTCTCCCTCGAACGCGTCATGGCCATGTATCACCTCGTAGACAATGTCCTCGAAAGGGCCGACACCAAGTTCGAATCAACGCAGGAACATGGACGGGACGATCTGAGAGAACTGTGGAGCTTGTTGAGGCCGGATCGAGAGTTGCAAGGTTTGTCGGGCAAGTGGTGGGTCGATGTGAGTCCGGTTCATGGTGAAGGTCGATCTTGAGGACCTATTAACCCCTACTGATGTCGCCTGCGTGCTGGGCTTGCAGTTAGGATTCCAGTACGTGCTCGCGGAGAAGTCTTTTCTTTCGAGAGGTGTAGAGATTCAGATCTGATAGCGTCTGATTCGGGCCCGGCAGAGGAAATAATCCGGCGACAGACTTTCGTGATCTTGGTACCTTGGCGTGAGTATGAGCGCAAGGAGCCAAGCTCACGACATTCTAGAAGCTAACCCTCTCGTTTCGCTCCTCTTCCATTTAGCCTTGACTCGCTCCTCTTCTTCGCACGAACGTACGGCCATCGCGCAGTCCAAGTCGTCGAGGAATCCGTAGAAGGAGGAGAGAACTGGTCGGTTCTTCGCTCATTCGGACCAATAGGCCGAAAGCATTTTGCGCTGATCGAAATGGCTCGAAAACCCGACAGGTACCCGATGGCGCTCGGGATGATGCACATGACCGCTTTTGCATTGGATCTCGCCAAGTCGGCAAGTGTTCTAGCATCAGTGCATCACGCCTTCCAAAAGCAACAAATAGAACTCACCAAACCCTGACCATTGTTCCCGCAGCGCGACCTCCAACTCATCCTCCTGCGGTCATACCAAGCCCCGCGGTACGAACCGTTTTCTCGCTCTGACCAAGAATCCGGGAACCTCGGTCCTTTCTTGGCGATCGCGTCGGATCTGTACCTGTTGTTCCATTTACATTGGTTGAGAGGAGGGTATACGGTCATGCGTGAGTTTTGGCTAATCTCGTCTCCTCGACGGGTTCCTTCGGCGCTCTTCTCGATCGATCGCCTCCAGTGAAACGAAGAAGCGCTGAAAACGAAGAAGCGCTGACGAGAGACGAATCTTCTTGGTTCATCACTAGAATTCGAACAAGTCTCGAAAGAGTTCCAATCCGCACTAAGGCCTTGGATCCGAAGAGGGGTGATTGATTCGAGGGCCTTGGGGTGGGAAACGGGCGATGCGGGAAAGGTTGAGTAAAAAGAAGAGCAGTCGATTCGCGGGGTGGACAGAGCGGAAAATCCGTTTGATTAGTCTGGTTGCTCTTTGACTGTTGATTATAATCTTGTTGTTTTATTGCTATCTTCCCCAAACCATGGAGCGGATTGACTCTCGTACTTTGACCAATCGACCTCGTATCACGTAAGCCGAGGTCAAGGTCTCCCAAACGCCGTCCAAACCTGTCCAAACGCGTCGAGTCGCGCGACGCGCCCTCAGAACGAGAGGCCCGATGACAACCTCTTCTCTTCTCGCCCTCTTACCTTACACGCCTCGAGTCACACACCGTCGTCTTGGTAGTTTTCATCCCTCACTCCGGAGCAAAAGGTCGCGCGAGGCTCGGCCCTCAAGGTCCTTCCCTCTTCTCCGCAACTAGCAACTGGGTCGATCATAACCCCCCAGGAGCAATGATGGAACTCGTGCCCAACACTCCTTCATCCCAAACTCCAAGCCAACAAGCTGCCCCAACACCAACCACGTCCCCCGTCCGAGCTCATCAACAAATCCAGGAAGTGGAGAAGCCTGAGCACTCAAGGATCGATCATGGTGGAGCACAGGACGAGTCGTTCCTGGGAGTCGTGGAAGATTCAGTGGCGAGGTCGTTTGGGGAGAGTTATCTGAGGGATTTGTTGCCGCCTACGCAAGTGGTCGAGGAGAGGTCGAATCACAATGTTGGGAGCGGGGGAGGAGTGGATGGGGCTTCTGGTACGAAGCAGCGGATCGCGAGTCGAGGGGAACAAGCCGCTGTGCTTGTTCAAGGAACGAGTTCGGTCGAGATCGCTCAGGGTTCGTCGTCGGAACGATCAGGCGAGAGTGGTGGGATAGCATCAAGTCCGAGATATGGATACGAAGGAGGTGATTTGGACGAATCACTTCGGTCTATGCCGGGGATGGACGCTTTTCACCGTGGAGGAGATGGTAACCAGACTCGGGAGGAACGAGATGAGGGAGTCGAGGACGGCTGGTATCTTACGGGGGATCTCACGGGGGAGCTTACGGGGGAGCTCATGGGCGAGATGACGATGGAACTGACGAGAGTTGGCGGAGGTATACAGCAGCCACAGAATGGGATCGATCGATCGGGAGTCGATGACGGGGAAGAAGCGGGTGATCTCTCGGCGGCGCAGAATTCGGCGCTTCTTGATCGACTTGCAGGAGAAGACGACGAATCGAATCAGATCAAGGAGGGAAGCGGGGGAGAAGAACAGGTCTCGCCATCTCAGAAAGAGAATGTAGTTCCGTCCGTCAACATCGGTCGTCGTCCCGGTCCATCGCCGACACCCTCAGCCTCAGCCTCGAGACCCCCACCACCTGTTTCTGCTTCCGCATCTATCTCACCCGACCGCGAGGAAAGTGCCTACCCTTCCTCATCCCGCGCCGTCGCAACGAACCTCCTTGCTGGACGAGGATCGACGAGGAAACTTGGGACGGCTCGATCGATGACAGAGCCGACATCGAGTGCCGACTTCCATGACGAGGTGCTGCTGTTGCCGAGGGCGAGGAGCGTTCACGACGGGCTCTTGGAAATTCCGGAGATGGACGGACCGCCCGTGAGTTTGGGCTAGCGATATATAGAGGATTACATTGCCTGTACCTAAATCGAGTATATCTCATTCAGACTTCCACGCCAGCCCTCTCCAATGCCGCACCTCCCGACCCGCCTCGGACGATGGCTCGGCAACGGTCCTACAGTGCCCACCCGCCCCATCTCGCATCGGCTCGTCCCGCTCGTGCCGGTTCGAAGCAGCCCTCGCCTCCGCTGGACCCACCACGAGCATTGTACCAGTCCTCCGCGGTGATGCGCAATCGAGCTCCGACGCCTCCGAGAAGAAGTAGGGTCAAGGATCCGATGGATGATACGCAGGAAACACCTTCCGAGCTGGAACCCGAGCCAGAACCTGAGGCGCTGGGCACGTCCGCGCGGGCTGTGTTTGGTGTTCGAGCGGGGCACGACGATGATGGGGTCATGAATGGGGATCTTGAGCCTACGCAGGTCGAGGAGGATGAAGGAGGGGAGAAAGACATGACGATCGATGTGACCATGGGTGCCGGGCGAGAGCGATACCAAGGTGAAGCGACCGATGAGGAACCCGATCAGAGTGAGGACGGGGATAAAACTGTTTCGACGCCGCGAGCGAGTGATGGACCCCCGAAGAAAATGTCGCCCACTTTGTTGTCATCGAGTGACGTCGACGTGGACAGTCTGACGACTCGAGTGACCGTCGAAACGGAGACGTACCAACTCTTCGCACCCGCTGCACCGGGTGTGCGATTCATCACGCCCACGACCACGGGAGCCAACATCCAAGACGTGACTCTGGAACCATTGACGAGCTCGGGCGTGACTACCGAATCGAGTCAAAACGTCGATCATCTTGTGGGGCTGTCGCTTGGGTTAAGTGAGATTGGAGCGATGAGCAGTCAGCCGGCGCCGACGCAATTGGAGATGCCGGCGACCCAGATGTACGATATCGAGCGCGCGGGACCGTTGTCCTTTAAACAGCAGGAGTCGATGGGTGAGTCCGCCAGATGTCTCAGTTCTACATCCTCGAACTTACGTCGAGCTCATTTCTCCGCAGACCTTGCGCGTAGCCTTCGATCATTTGAGCACGACACGACCGAAGCCCCCAACCCACCTCGCGCACCACCTCGAGGCAGGAAACTCGAGCGTATCGCCCCACCGCCGACGCCTGCACTCGTTCGAGCGCACATGAGCAAGGGCTCGGGTCTTGACTCTCTAGATGCCCAAATGGACCCTACGCAAATCGAAACGTGCATCTCCAGCCCTGCTGTGAATCAGGCGGGTGCGGAGGCGGTGCCGAGTAGCATCGCGCCTTCGACACCATGGTCATCGAACTCCGCCACGGAGCCTCGCTCGGAAAGGGAGTCGACGAGACCCTCGGGCGATGCCGAGTCGCAAGATCCCGAAGGTCATGCTCAAGTGCTCGTACCGCCCAGTGAGGAACCGACCCAAATATCTTCTGCTGGCCCTGCTCCAATGGAAGTCGACGGGGAAGCGTTCTCCGAGGTCGGCCCATCTCTGCCCCTCAACTCTCGACCCCCATCGATCGCTTCAAGTCCTGCCGTCAAGGAACCTGTGAAAGAGCCCCAGTCTGTGGTTGTTCCGAAAAAGACACAGAACGCCGTCGTCAAGGGTAAAGGCAAGAAGAGGGCCGAGCCCCCCGTTTCGGATGGTCCTTCGAGCGAATCGTTCGACCCGATCGACAGCCTTCCCCGCGCGCGCATCCGACGTCCGTCCGCACGACTTAGGGACTCGATCGGAATGAGTGTTCAACCGGCGATCTTGAGAAACCCAGCATCGACGGACCCGGATGTGACGCTGCCTCCACTTCCTGACTTGCCGGCAACGTCTTCGCTTTCGTCCCTGCCGGAGTCAATCGTTACCAGTCACGCAGCCGTGACTGAGACGCGATCGTTGCTTTCGCCCGGTGAGCCGAATGCCAACGCCGTGTCTCGAACTGCCAAGCGAAGAAAGACGGGAACACCGACCAAAGTGAAGAAGGCGCCCGCCGGACGGAAGGCCAAGACCTCTCTGGAATCGAAGCGCAAAAGTGCTGTTCCAACCACTTCGAGGGTCACGCTTGATGAGGGCGCTCCAGCTGTCCACTTTGACGAGCGTCCAAGTGAGCCAATAGATCGAGACACATCTCGCGCCACTTCTGCGAAAGCATCAGATACAGCCTCCCGAGACGTCAAGCCCCATTTACCCAAGTCCAAGCTGCCCTCGACGGCCCCGTTCAATCGAGTCTTTGGGCTGTGGCGCGACAACTCGTGGCTCTACCCCGCAACGGCAATCAGCGTCGGTGGAGCTCGGATTCACGTTCGCTTCGATGACGGATCGAAGGGGAACCTCAAGTTCTCAGAAGTGCGACGCCTCAAGTTGCAGCTTGGCGATTGGGTGCGATACGTCGGGGCCGAGGCGGGGGACTCGGAAACTCAAGTGACAACGTTGGCGGAGGACGTGCGCGTCTACCGCATCGAGTCCGAGGTCGACGGGAATGACGTGCAAGGGCATTGCGAGCAGGACGATATTGTCGCTGTGACGCCAGCTCATGTGCCCCTGTCGGAGCAGCCCGAGTTGGTGAGGCAGGGTCAGGTCCAACGCTTGCTCGTTTGCGCCATTGCCATTCCTCCGCAGCACACGGCACGGTTCGACGATCGTCGTCTAACCGCCGTCGAGATCGCTGGCTTCGAAGGTAAAGCCCCCGTCTCGGTCAAGTCCCCGACATTACTTTCGATTCCACCGCCGGACAAGGTAGAACCGCTGATCGTTGCTCGACAAGATGGAGCGGGGTCGTTGTTCGCTCGCATGGCTTTCATCGTCACTTCGACTCGACCTGAGCAAGAGAAACGAGCCCTCCTCGAATCGATGAACGGCCATGGTGCGACCGTCATTGATGTACAACACTTGTACACCGTTGAGACTGAGAGTAACAAGGGTGGAGGAACCAAGATCAAGTTCCAGGCGGATGGGCTGAGGGACATTGACACAATCCTCCTCCTCGCCGATCAACCGCGAACGAGTCCGAAGTTCCTCGCTGCACTCGCGTTGGGCGTCCCTTGCGTTTCCTCCGTGTTTGTGACTGATTCGATCGAGCAAGTGAGTCCCAAACGTTCGACCGAACCTCGATACAAGAACAAAGCTGATCAGCATCCACATCCCTCCAGAGCGCCCGTTGCGACTGGAAGCAATACGCCATCTCGACCGGGCACGTGCAATCGCTCAACGCCTCGTCCATTTACACCCAATACCGAGCCATGTCAAGGCCCTCCTTCGATGTTGCGGCTTTGGCCCAAGCCCATCGAGAAGGCTACGGCGTCTTCAACGCTCGGTCGTTCCTCTTCGTATTACCCAAGGCGCAAATTAGGAGCGTTCTCTCCATCGTCGTCGCTGCGGGGGCAACACGATTCCATGTCGTGGCGTCGGCTGAAGCGGCTTCTTCTGCTATAGGGTACGATCATATTGTTTTGAAAGATGGGAGCAAGGTCCCAAGTGGACTAAAGAATCACTCAGGCGTGGCTTCCATGACATGGATTAAACAATGTTTGATCGCGGGGAGGTTGTTGGCACCGGCGATGATGCGACCAGTTCAAGTCATCGAGGTCGGACACTGAAAGCTGTTATTGGCGAAGGAATACATTTTGTTGTATTCTTGTGCTTGTTGTACTTTTGCAATCGCATTGCATTCATTTCCCGCCCACCATCATCCTCGTCGAGCCAGGTTCGCGCCAAAGGCTTTCAATTCGAGAAACTGGTGCAGTCATACAAAGTAGTAGAGAGGTATAAAACAAGTCACAACTGCCGCCTTTCCTCAACAATCCCTCACCACCACGCTCGAACTATTTCTCCTGACCTTGGGCAGCGAGTCGAAAGCCAGATAACTCCAACCCTCCTCATCATCAACCGAACCGAACATCTCATCAGATCCTCCCCCAGCGTCGACATGGTTAGGGGTCCGCGCTAGCATCCCTTCAAGACCTTCATCACTCGATTCGCCCTTGAAGGGTGTTATGACCGATGAAGGCCGCTTCATCACGACCGCTTCCACGACGAAGCGTTCCTCGTTCTCATCATCGCCCAGGATTCTCGGACGATGGGAAGGGATGGATTCGGTTAGGACAACTTTGGGACGAGTGGGGACTTGCTGTTTGGTCGACTTGGGTGGCCGTCGCGTAGGCGCATGGGTCCATTCTGGAGTCGAGCCTGGGACCTGCCCCGTCGAAGGACGAAAATTGCGCGGCTGTCGAACAGCTCCTGCTTCGTACTGACGCGTTGCACGAGCCTTGTTGAAAGTCGACGATTCCATAGACTCCATACTGGGTCTCGGATACCCCGTCGCGACGATGTCTCCCCCAAAACTCTTCTGCTTCACTCTTCTCGCATCTCGTTTGTTTCGCTTGAGAGTGGCTCGTTCTTCGGGCTCACGTTCGGGATGGGGCGGAGTCGGTTGCTTGATCGTGATGGGTGCAGTTCCAGGATAGACAGGTTCAATCGCGGTGGAGCCAACATCGAACGACGTAAAGCCAAGAGTCGAAGAGGAAGGAGTCGTATCCTCTTCACCTGGAGGAGTCGTGCTGGAGGTCTCGCTACCTCCGCCGGCACCACCGAGCAAAACGACCCGAGAGATGCGAACATAACCTCCTCCGAGGTGGGAGAGCATGAGACCCAACGTATTGAGCGTTTCTTGCATATCGGCTCGACTAAGTCCGACAAGCGTTCCCGCATCGAGCACGCCGAGTTCGTACACGGCGCAGCCACCGCCTTCGATCAGGCGCCACTTGAGCTGGGTCACCAATCGCGCCAGTCGATGCGGGGTCGTCGGGGTCTTGAGCACAAACTTGTACTCGATGTGACCCGTCTTGTCTGATTCGGGTCCGATCGTCCGTACGCCTTCGGGAAGCTCCTTTCTGGCTTGCATGATAAGACCATGGCCGAGCGAGAGGCCGTCAAAATCTTCCTCGAGGCCGTTGGACAGGAGAGTTCCAATCGAGTCGCTTCGAAGGATATGCGGAGGCGACGGCTCGAGTGCCCGGTCGTCAGGCGTCCCCGGAGCCGAGGTCGAGCGTGAGGAGAGAGATAGTGGCGAGTGTGATAGAGACGAGACGGATGACGATAAATTCCTCCAAGGCTGTGGGGGGGTTCGAGATGCGACCGGCGTCAGGATCAAACCTCTAGTACCACGGTCAGAGAGCGTCGGCGCATTCCGTCGATCGCGGCGCGGTGGGGCCGGAGGGTGAAACAGCCCCGCGGTGACGGCCCCAAAGGACTGGGCCGTTGCAACCGAGTCAAGGCACCCTCACAAGAACGTACCGAGGCTAACCGGGGAGACTCGCACGGTTCTTCGCCAAACATGGTGGGGATAGCTACCTGGGCTCTGTGGGGCGTCAGATTGGGGCAGCGCATGGTGTGAGTCATCGCGAATACCACACCCGAATGGCCGACTAAGTTGCGCCGGCTACCACAGTAGGAGCTGCACCACTACCAGTCCGACAACGTACGACAGTGATCCGAGTCAGATACGGTTCCCTTCTTGGCAAGTTCGTGACTTATGTGGGATGGGAACGTCTGCAGGAACGCGTTCGACCTTCCGGGGCGGAGGGGCGGATGAATGCGCGTATATCGAGCTGCAGCTGCGCGGTGCGGGGGACAGCCGGAGACTGTATGTTGGGCGGATATGGAGAGCAATATGAGGCAAGGCGTGTGCTGATTCAAGTTGATATCCGATCAATCATTGGGAAAGGTCCGTTGATGCGAGCTGGTCGAGACTTGGCCGTGGTGGGTGGCGGAGGGCAAAAGCAGCTGCTCGTCAAGCGAGTCACGTCCATTATCGCGTCACGTGCAATCTCGTGCAATCAAGCGGGCGAGCACGTGCAGCTCGTGACGACGAGCCCAGTTCAATACACCCAGTTCGGAGGCTCATTGCCAGGACATGAACAAACAAGTCTCCAATTCAAAATAAACTACTAAGATTACTGCACGGCAATAGGAGGCTAAAGGGGTATATGTAAGGTATATAATCGTCTGCTCGAAATTGGCTTGTCCAGAAAGCAGCCTACGCGCCGGAATCCACAATAATTCGACAGAGATGTGATCTAGTGTCCAGGTCACTGCTTCCTCCTCAGTATAGGAGCCTTGAAAGACATCAAGCTCTCAGCCCGATGCAGTCCAGCGAAGCCGGCCGTGGTCGCATCGCTGACCTCGGACCTGATCGAGTCCCCTCGCTGCAGCCTCGACGACGAGTGCGCGCCGGCATTCGTCACGGGGTCGCGCGAGAGGAAGGACGAACCTTGCACCGTACCGGCCATGACGTGCAAGGTCGCCGAACGGGTCTCAAGAGCGGCAACCTTGTTCCTCACCGAAGGTAGCACGGCCGTGGCGGCGCCGGTTCGGCGAGAAAGCACAGGGGCTCGAAGGTCACCCATCGAGCGAGGCGAACGAAGATTCGGCGATGAAGGGGAGTGACGCACTTTGCGGGGTACAAGGGGCGGAGCCATCGTCGAATGGCGCGAGCGAGGGGAGTCAATAGGAGCCACAACAGAGATCCTAGGCGACGGCAAAGCCGAGGTCGAGGAGGTGGGATGGTCCGCAATACTAGTACGCGGCGAGGGTGCGAGCGACACGCGTGCCTTGACCTGCCCCGGCGCCACCGAAGACGTTTCGTAGGCCTCGGCCAACGATTTGTTTGATGCGCGTCGAACAACGCCCGGAGAACGCTTCAACGACGACATGGAAGCCTTCTTGTTCAGCTCAGCCCGTGCCATGGATGCCTTGGTCGGACTAGCGAGCGTAGAGCTCGTCGCTGTCGGTCGCACAGGAAGGGGTCGGGGTCCTCGCGTCGCTTTCGTTTCGGATTCGGCTGCAACTTGTAGAGCCGCTTTGGACGGCTGGCGACGTACCGGAGACCGAGGGGAGGCTAGTGTCGGTGCAATGACCGTCGGCGCGTCGAGTTTCGCTTTGATCGGGGAATCGAGCGTGGCAAAGGCGAACACGTCGGAGGTCTGAGACGTCCTTGCGGCGGTAGTCGTGGGCTTGGTTGGGGATCTCGATCTCGTCGATGGCTCGGTCAGACTTTCAGGTTGGCGGAAGATGGACTCTTGCGTCGTGAGGTCGAGGACGGAGCGGGGTCGAGCCGGACGATGCGCGGCAGTTGAGTGCGCAGTCTCGGCGACTTCGTTCTCGACATCCTCCGCTTCGTGGTCCAGCTCGTCGTCATCGTCGCTAAAGTGGGACTGTTTCTGTTGGTGCATGACCGCGTTGAGCTCCTTGAGCTCTTCCTCTGAGGAGAATGCGTCTGGCAGTTGGCCCAGCGGGCCGTACATGTCGTCGGGGACTTCGTCGAGATCGTCGAGTTGGATGCCATCCTGGGTGTTGTGAGACGCCTGGAATGGATCGGAAGGACCATCAAAAAGTTTCTCGCCCCCACCTGCGTAGTAAGGATCCTCGTTCTCTTGCTCGTCTTGGTCGAGGTCGCCCGTGTCCTCCCATCGCTCGATCTCGGCGTAGGATTCGACCGAGCGCAGACCACTCTCTTGGCGCTGATGTCCTGGGCGACGAGCAGTAGCGGATGCGATGGCTGACGAGATACATTCGAGTGACATCTGATGGGTGAGTTGGCGTTCGATAGCCTTGCCCACAATGACTTGGCCTCGGCGGACAGGGGGTTCGGGGGCCTTGGCAGACTCTTCGGCCTGAGGTGGGGCAGGGAAGTCCGGTATGGGTGACTGGGCTCGAGACAGGCTTTCGGTGTCGATCGAGTCGACCGAGGGGACACGAGAGAGCCGCGGTCGGGCGATGGTGCGAGTCGCTGTTGGCCCTTCGATCAGATCCGAGAGCTGCAAGGAGTCCACGCTGGGCATCTTGTGCGCCGATGGTCTGGCCCCGTCGGTAGATGCCCGAGGCGCCGCGGCAGAGGTCTCGCTCAGACCCCAGTCCTTGGCTAGCGGCTGTCCTTCTGTTTGTGGCAGTGGAGATGCAGACCCAAGATGGCCTGGAGGCGGGTCGAGCGAGACAAAATTGACGATGCGGATCGGAATTTCGGCAGACACGTCTCCGGACAGCGAACTCCCGGCGGCAACCTTGAGCACAAAGCTGACCTCGAGATGTCGCCCACGCGCAATGGAAAGCTCGTCATTCTGTTTAAAACATCTGACGTAAGAATCTTCCAGCTAGGTGATTGGATCTTCTTGTGACGCTTCGGCTTACCGGAATTATGAGCGAATGCGAGAAATCAGCCGTTTCACCCGCTTCGACGCCGAGCCAATTTCCTTTCGCAGTCACTCCCTTGGAACCCTTCTTGCCCATCTCCAGTGTCGTTTCGGCGACCTTTTTCCGCGTAGATTGCGATGGAAACGGGAGCTCTGCGAAACCTTCACTGGAGGTGGAGGCTTTAGCACCCGATCGCAAGACGACCGTATTCCGCAAGAGACTCAGTGTCAGGGATTTGATCTGGGGCAGAACCAGATCTCGTCAGTTCTATCTCCCGTGTGAATTTGCCAGGAATCTCATCCAGCTGCGGCTTCACCTTTCTGTTGGACTCGTTCTCGACTCTGATTTCGACATAGCATCGTTGTCCAGCGACCCATGTCTGCCGGTGAAGGCTCGCTTCCAGGTTGACCTTGCCACTCCCACCCATGAAAAGACTCTTTGAGGCTCTAGCCGTGTGGGGCTTTGGTGAAGGTGCCAGGAGGATTGCTGGGTTGTAGTAAGGGAAGATGTCGACGTGTCGGTAAAAATGAGCGATCGAACGATCAGAGCCATGCTTGGACTTGAGCTTGACAGAGGCGATGACGATGTAGCGGACTACGCCTTGTTTGCACTTCCAGCCGCCTTTTGCGCCCTTCCCAACGGGCAAGCTCATAGCGAACGGAACCGCATGCTCGCCCAGTCGCCCCTTGTGGAAGCCCTCGTCGTCGCCCAAGGGGTCGCAGAAGGGCAACGATCGGTCCTTCGCGATCGTTGTAGACTCGATGTGGGCGGCATGGTGGTAAAAGACGTGCCGTGCTTCTCCACAGGCCAGCTCTGTTCGAAAGCAGACAAGCGGGTATGAGCGGGTCTAGTGCAAGGTACGGTTTGGCCACTACAGCAGTTTGACTCACCTTCGAAGCCAACAACGCGGACCTTGGGCTTGCTGATATAAACCTCGTTTCGACGCACACGCACATCGACTCGTCCTTTCATTAGTCCGCCTTCGACGAGGAGCGACGAATTGATGAGCAAGTCAAGCTCTACTCGGGGCGTCTTGGTCGAGCTCTTGAGGCCTTGCTCAAATTCCGCTGGAGCATCGACAACCAATGCAGAACTTGACGTATTGGACCGGGCACGAGGCCAAGCCGGAGACGCAGCACTCGACGTGGTGAGGCCGCTGGAGAGGGCCGGCGAGTCGGCAATGGTGGCAAGATGTGGGATGGGCGCTGCTCGTTTAGAGCCTGGCGCGAGCAAGCGATCCAGCTCCATACTCCGGCGGAACGGATTCGCTCCGGCGGTCATCAAGGTCCCCTGTCGTTGGAGACTCACGGCAGTCGACTCCAGGCTGTCTTCCATCACTGTTGCCGTCGTGACATCTTCTCGTTCCGCCGAGGAAACCGTTCCTACACCTGCTCGTGACGCATCGGTCGCATCAGAATCTTCGAGAGATCGCCGACGGGCACCCATGTCCGACTTGCGCAAGTCCGAAATCTTCTGTTGCTTCAGCTTCTCGACCACAGCTTCGACTTCCCCGCTCGGGAGGCGATCCGTCGCCGACATCGACTTGGATCGCAGTCGATTCGCTTGCGTTTTGAAACTTGTGGGTCGACGCGGAACGGGTGGACCTCTGTCGTCATCGTCGACGACGGCAGTTGACAGGCGATGTGATCGCTCCCGCTCAGTTTGTGCAACGATGTAGTCGTGTTGCTCCTTCAGACGGCGCTCGAGGTGTCGACGCTGCAGGCCACCGGCGCTGCTGGGCACACTTTCGGGCGAAGCATTCCCTTCAAACTCATGCCGCTCTTCCTCATCGATGGCTTCGTTGGGGTTGAGGTGGGAGGGCTCTTGCTGCGCGTACCTCTTGCCGAGTTCGACCATTGATTGCGCGCGAGTCATCGCCTGTCGTCGGATACGCTCCTGCAAGAACTGCGGCAAGCGAGACGGGGATCGGGACCCAGGATAAATCTCGGCCTCGTGGCCATGCTCCATTTCCATATCATGCCTGGGATGAGCCCGCAGGTAGGGCACATGCTGTTTGATCGGCACAGGATTCGGCGCCGCTCGAAGCTCAACGACGTGGGGTGGTAGCCACGGTGCTGAGAATGGTAGCGCCGACATGCTCTGGGCATGCCGGAGTTGTGGGTGCATCGAGTACCCCTGATCGTATCTTGCTGTATACTCCAAGCCCGAAGACGAGGGAAGCGACGACAGCGACGAAGGAGAGAACAATTGTGAGTCGGAATCCGAAGCTTCAAATTCGGACATGGGCGACAGATATTGGGCCGAGACCTGGGGGGCGTGAAGCCCATGCATGCTGGGAAGGTGATTTGGTTGATGCAATTGTTTCTGTTTCTGATGATATTGCTGATGGTGGATAGGGATGGCGTTGGGCCTCGGATGCTGATGTCGGTGATAGGAGGGAGCTGAGCCGGCACTTGAGTCGCCAGAGTCCTCGCGTATCATGACCTGCGCAGCCTGGGAACCGGTTTGGAGGTAATACTGATTCATACCTCCATCATAAGATACCGATCCTCTCACGATGCGCTTGAATTGCGGCTGGGTGAGCCGGGGGTCCTGCAATGACGCATGCGATCGAGCATCGGGATATTGTTGAGCGACGAAGACGGCGGGTGGATTGTTGGCAAGGTGGTCTCGAAGGGCCGAAGGATCAGGTGATGGACAAAAGGTGATACCAAGCCCCGATATGGCTGATGAACCCGATGAAGATGCGGGCCCCACCATCTCCATGCTGCCGTCAACCGAAAAGGACCGTTGCCGTCAGTTAAGCCATCTGCATCCTGCCTGGGCTAGGGGGAGCAGTGGCGGAACCGGAGCCCGATCACCCAGTTACTCTCACGAGTACTTACGCTTCGAGATGCGGCGGTCGATCAAGCCGAGTAGGGGCGGAGTTGTGCTTGATGGCCCCGGATAGAAGTTGCGAGGTCGGGGCAGAAACGATCTTACGAAGGACGCAAAGGTGCGAGCTGCGAGTGCCGAGATGAAGCGAGACGAGGACCGTCCTTTGGCGAACGAGGGCGAACGCGACGCGCCGCCCAGTGTAGAAGAGTGTAGATCGGTCCTCAAACAAGGCTAGCGCGGAAGCGCAGCTGCGACCGGCAGCAGCTCAACTCACTGGCATCACTGGCACTGTCTGCCCTGGTTTAAGTGTAAGACCTACCCATGCCTATCGCTTTGAAAATCGGGAGCTGTGGGTCTAAAAAGCTCATGTGGTCAAAAACATTGGTTTGGACAGCCGCACCGGAGGGTTTAGAATCACTGGCAATTCAAACGATGACGTCGCTGAGTGGCCTTCTCACTAGAAGCAACTGGTGGTTGTTTTCGTATGTTGACGAATTAACGAGCTTATTCTGTTAGAGAACCAGCGAGAGGGAAAAGGGTTCAATGAAAGTAGGACAGAGCGAGCACTGGTCAAAGTCTTCCGAAGACTTCCGTCTCAATGTGAGTGTGTCCGCTTTGCAACCTTCAAGCTTAATATAAGGCAATAGGCAAGTCGGTCGCATGATGGTGTATTGACCACAGAATCAATCTTACGCCTTTTACTTAAAATTGCCGTTGTTGATGCACGCCAACGCTCTTAGTCCAAATATTTCTCCTTCCCCTCCCTCCCTCTCCGGAGTGACCTGATTTTAAAAAATGGCGGATGATGATGATGGTGCGAAGGTCCTGGCTCGGTCAAATCGAACGACATAGTTGGAATTTATAATGTAGTCAGTAGAGCTGGACGAAATTGAGCCTCAGTGAGCACTTTCAGAACCACGTCGTCGCCCCTCAGCTCCAGATGCATGAAGTGAGCTTCGCGCTCCAGCGCTCCAGCTGTTACCGGCAGGCACGGGTCGGGGCGCCAACACACCTGGTTCAGACTCCATACTCTGACTTGAGCTCGGCGTGACGCCCGGCCCCCACAGAGTCCTGGTACTCTTTTCAGGCAATCCAGCTTCCACGGCCGTCCAAGACCTCGCGTGCCTCGCTCTTCTCAGCGAAGCACTCGAGCTCGCGACCGAGTGACACACCCAAACGAGCCGATTAGCTTGCCGGCCGCTTGACGGCGCACTCAGCGCAGCCACAAGCTACGGCAGCCCGCTCACTGATACATCGTCGCTACGTGCGGTACTTTTCACAGCCGGTACGGACCTCAAGCAAGACTGTTGATCAGCTCCGATCCATCTCGCCATGCCACAAATGCGAACTGTCGTCCCGTCGGGGCTCAACGAGGTGCTCGCGTACAAGTTCCCGCCAAACGCCTACCGCTTCGTGCCGCGCGAACGCCTCTCCGAGTCGCGCCTGACGACTCCAAAGCCTAGTTCGACTAGCCTCTCGCGCTTGACCACGTTCCGAAGATCGCCGGGCGAGGAGCTGCCTCGTTACCCCCTCACTTCTGCATCGCACGATCCTTCTCTCGTCGATCGGGTTGGCCAGGGCCTGAAGCGAGGGCTCCAGAGGTCCCGGACGGGCCTAGACACGCCTCTTCCGTCTTTCGTCAACTCTTGGTTCGACGACTTTCTGCATTGGCGGCCTCTTACCCTGTACGAAACGGACAACCACTGCGCAAAGAGTCATCTGGGGGATCTCATAAGGGGCGTCATCCGAGAAACTGTCTCTCGACTAGCGGATCGCGAGGTCGCAAACATGCAGTTTTCTTCGATTCACAAATACCTCGGTCAAGAGGGACTGCCGACCCTCACTACCTGGGTGCGCGGGGACAGTTTCGATAACAAGATCGCTCTCGAGATCAACTCGGTCGGCAAACTTGAAAGCCTTCACGACGTTTTATTTAGAGCACAGAAGCCGAAGCTGTGGCTCGGTTTTGGGTCAGGGTGTCCGATTGACTTGCGCATCTTCGACAGCAATGGTCGCTCGATGATGCTTTCGGAGAACGAGGGCATGAGGCTAGCGAAGGTGAGACTATGGAACATCGGGCGGGACGGAAACATCTAACTCTTCTAAATGCTGGTGTTGGCGGTTCTCTCAGATGTCTCTCCAACTGTATCAAAGCAACGCTCGATTCGGCGTCTTTTACGCCCCTCCGTACTTCGTCCTTTGCGAACTCGGTGAGTATGCCTTCCTACTATTGGACTAGTGGCGTACCCATATCTTGGGGGTGACATATTGCTAATTGCGGATGTTTGCGCGCGCAAAACTCATTGCTAGTCATTGAGAATGGTCGCACCCACTTGTTGACCAGTGAAGTATGCTCTTCGGCCCTCTTGCCTGACGAGGACTTGCCCTCCGGCGCGGCGCCAAGATCCGAAAGCTTCTTCTCCACTCTTGTCTCGCTGTTTATGAGTGTGCATGCGGATTACCCGATCGAGGGTCCACCCGAGGAGATCAGAAGCGCTCTCAGGCGAACGACAGAGAAGCTAGAGAGCACCCCGTCTGCACCTGTGCAATCTCCCCCGATCAGACCGACTCTCGATGACGTTGCAGGCCCGTTCCTTGTCGATCAAAATGCTCCGGTGTCGCTGCGTCACGTCCCGGATACTGCAGTAAGCCTTCGCGTGCCTTGCTCTCTCTCTCTTGATTTAACGTATCATTTTGGGCATCAGCTTACTGCCTCTCTCACACCTTGGCAACGAGCAGATCATCTGTGGCTCGGAAGCGAGCAAGGACACGGGTATGTTTGCTACTAGGGTCGAGCTTGAGTGCGATGGCGATGTGAGTCGTGCCTGCCCTTTCGGTCATGTGTTACAACGACGGTACTTCACTGATCAGTCCTCTTTCCACTTACTGCAGTTCTTCTCCGCCGACTTGGATGAGAACAAAGCAGCAGAGATCTTGCCCTGGGTCAGGACACCTGTCGGGGATCGCGCTCGTCTGGATCGACTAGATCTCGTCACTGAGCTTGGCAGGGGTCGAACTGCCACGGGATGGACGGCTCGATGGTCTCGCCGGTCAACGGCCGGAGCTCCGGACGCATCGGCCTCGAATGATGCTCCCGCTCGAATGCAGGGTGGTCTCGTCGCCAAGGTCGTCTCGGCAGAATATGCACCCTCGATCGCGCGAGAGTACTTCATCTATACGCAAGCTGTTCCGTCGCTCTCGACCGCTGCGCAAGCCTACTTCCCCAAGTTCCATGGCCTCTACCGCAGCGGTTCAGATGGCCGCGCCTACGTCCTGTTGTTGGAAGACGTGGGGAGCACGGTCACCCGGGAGCAGTGGGAGGCGGACACCGAATTGAGGCGTAAAATTGAGTGAGTGTACTCCGAGGCGCAGTTCGTCTGATGCGTTAACACTGCGCAGTGGCTGACTGAACGCGGTTCTGCGTGTTCCTCGTTTTACCAGTGAGGCGTTCCAAGCCCTCGAAAATGAAGGCGTCTACCACGATGACCAGAGGTATCCAAATGTAACTATCCGTCCAGACGGTCGCATTTGCCTCATCGACTGGGGGCTGGCGAGTTTTTATTAGCGATCGTGACTCCGAACACCACTCAAGACTCGACCTTGTGAGCGAGCTTGAAACGATCCGGGGTGTCACGGTGCGGTAACGGGATTCCATCGGAATGGTCATTTCAAATTGTCAAGGCCAACAGCAGTGATAGCGGCAGCAGGTCCCGGGGCAGCGGCAGCAGACCTCGGCTTGGGCGCCTCAACGACAAGACACCTCGGGCGATTGAACAGGTCAACGACAGCAGCTTCGGCAGATATCTCTCATCGATAAAGCGCTTTCGGGTAAATTCAGTACTTTGATGTCTCAAGGGTTACCTATCAACGATAGTGCACGCGGCAGAAATGCACACGGAGGACCGGGTCCGGCGGGAGAAAGGCGGCTAAAGACGGCTCACGGGAGGAAGAGGAGGCGATCGTGAACAGGCCTTCACTTTTGCGCCGCGAGAACTCGGAATACGACGAGCAATGGTGCGTAAAGTAGGGCGGATTCGGACGGAGGACCGGGACAGACGAGGGAGAAGCGGGAAGAGCGGCTGACTGAGGGAGTGAGGCGGTGAAGGGGAAGGAGCGGAAGGGAACGGAGCGGTTCGAATGACTAGGACGTCTCGAGGGCGTTGGCTTCTTGTTCCCAGGTAGAACACTTCTAGGATCCAATCCAGCATCTTAACTGGCTCTCACTTTCTGCGCGGCTCAAGTCTCGTTCGGCATCGTTCTCCAGTTCCAGTCTTAGCGTTTCGTTCTCGTTCTCGGTCTCGTTCCCGGTTCTAACCCTCTCCCACGCTCTCTCCTCTCGCCCCCTGCCTCTAGCCCCTTGCCTCTCGACCGTTCCGGTCACATTCTCCGTCTCTCTCATCTTGGGCCTCCTAGGGGTCTCGTCTCATCCCTTGTCTTCATATCTCATCTTTGATCGTCCGTTTTGTAACAGGAGTCGACGAACGAAGCATGCTCGCCCTCCGTCAAGAATACAAATCCTTGCTTCGGGACGGAGCGCCACGCTCTGGGGCCTCTTCATCTTCATGGTGAACGCCCTTCTCGGCAATCATCTCGAACGCGCCACTTGAAGACATAGTGCCCAGGTGTGGCACTTGGTCAGCTGCGCAGATTGAGAGTCAGCAAGAGTGCAAACCTCATGGACTTCCACTTCACTCACCTGATCTTGTCATTGAGTTCCATCTCCAAATTACAGTCCTCTTCCGAGACGACTTGGGGACCACTTTGGTCACGAGATCACCTCACCTTCATTACGATGGAAGGACGAGTCGTTCGAGATGAATGCGCCAGGCCATGTCAGCAGAGCACCTGACCGTTGGTTCTTTTGGAGTACCATGTCATTATCATCTACCGGAGGAGTTCGAGACATGTGAGGGATTGCCGCGGGAAGAGGAGGGACTGCTGAGCCTTTGCCTCCTGTGATCGGCGATAGCATGGGAAAGGGCGGCGGAGTCGCACCGACAGGAGAAGGGTCACAACGCCGACCGGCCGACGAAGACTGACTCGCTCTTCTCAGCTGTATGTAAGTCGGCGCGTCGTCTCCGGTTATAATCCCTGCTACACTATATCTGGAAGATAGTAACTACTCAACTCCAGGCGTCTACAGTTGCACCAAAGCGATCGCCGGCATAGCGGTGATGACGCTCGTCGATGACTGGCAACGTGGGAGGCGTTCCCGAGGTCGGCAATGCCACGGCCTCCGACGGCCGCCACTCCGAGTCCACCTTTGGACATTTGCTCACTCACCCTTCAGGGTGTGTACTTCCCATAAGAAAGCACTCAATACAGTTTTGTGTACTTCCCACTCCTACCTCTCTCCACCCTGGCTGCCAGATATGCCTACACGTTCTTCCACCCGACCGTGATGAAATGGCAGTTCAAGACCAACGGCGCCGTCGACGAGTCTTGAGGCAACATCAAAGGCTTCAAGTCGTGCCTCATCGCTGAACCATGATAAGACTGGCAGTAGGGTGCCGGCATTGACCGGGCAGTTGAATACCTCCTTCATCGTCACAGGGTAGAACTTGGGCGAGTAGTACTGCAAGAAGAGCATCTCTGAACCGCATACACCTCTACTTCTCCCACGCTGAGTCGACGTTCAATTCGAGAGGAGCGAGCTACATCGGCACGGTCGAGTGGTACCTCAAGTGCGTGTCTATCCTCATGAATGAACTTGGCATTGGGGCGAACGCGGCCCGCCTCCTCAACGCCGAGACGAACCAGGATAGGATGCGCGATCAACACGACTCGGCTCGTGAAGCGCCGAGAGGTGACCCCCTTGAACGGGTGATCTCCGATAAGACAGAGGCCAGTTTTTCATCATGCCCGACACCACGCAGCAGATTGTCTAATGTGCTGACCACATATTGCAACTACAACCCGAACATTGACTGGATTCGTCATATCCGAGCAAGATGACGGAAGGCCACCGCGAGGCTGCGGTAAGTCGAATCCTTCACGTCATCTCTGCCCCCATGGCGAGCAAACTCGCTGACCGTCCCTTCCGGTGGTTCTCAGGCCTCGCGTTCCAAATCTTTAATCACCCCGTGTTCAAGGGTGGCAAAACCAACTCGGTCTGGTGGGTTGGTCTGCCCGACAACTACTGGCAGGTCGATAATAAGTCCGGCGAGGCGACGATGATCTTGTCGCGGAGCTTCTCCTTCAATTTTTAGAACCCTGAAGCCCAGGCACGAGATACGTGAGTATGAGAGCCGAAGATGATAGTAAAGATAGTTGGAGAAAGGAGAGAAGAGCTACTGAAGCGCGCGCGAGGCAGGCTCGAGGCGCCCGAGGCGACCAATACCAACAACTAGTAACTAATCATATTCGGGAATCCAAGTGGGATGAAACAGTACTATACTCTCTGACATCAATGACCCCAAGGCGATCATGAACTGGCTCTGGTGCGAAGCCGATGTTTACAAATCCCTTGGTTTGATCTTGCATGCGCTTATATATACCTTAGGCCTCATTTATGTACCTTGGAAATGGATGTGTAGGTAGCTGTGAAGCTCAATCGCTCACGCGGATCACCGCTCGCAAAGACTGCTGTGCCTCTGATGCCTGTTCCGATCCCATGGTGGTAACATCTGCATAAATTACATCTAAACCTTCGGCGCCGCCAGCAACCATTGCCACAGCCCGTCTATTTGCTTGTAGTCATGATGTGCGACCGAAACGAGCCACCTCGTGTCCGCTAGCTCGCGAATGAATCTGCGCGAGGCCGAGTTGGCCGGGTAGAGATGGGACCATTCGAGCCAGATGGCAAAGGCTTCCTCCTATGAGATCAAAATACGTGATCCCGTCAGTGGATGACTCAACTGGATGCTCGAGTCGGAAAGACACTCACACTCCATGCCTTGAAACTCATCTCCTCAATCAACGTCGTCGTCACGATGTCCTGGGCGTTGAACACGCCCCATGTGACGGCGTTGACATTGTCCTTCTTCATGTTGCTCCTCAACCTGCCCTCGCGATTCCCAGCGTACCACTTGATCAAGCCTTCCCCCGCGTCCTTCTCCTGTCTTGCTTTGGCATCCTCTTCGGCTCGTCGTTCCAATTGATCCAACTCTGCCTCGGTCAAGAAGAACTCGACGAAGGCTTTCTGGTAGACGTATCCACCCTTGGCACCGAACCCATAGACGGGATCGCCGGAAGGTGCACCGTCAACGGCAGGTTGGGATCCGACGGTCCACCAATGGCGTTCGTCGTTGAGTCGGATCAGGTGTTGCGCGATCGTTTTCGTCTCGGCTCGCAGTGCTTCTTCGGACCATGGGATCGAAGCTTGTTTGCCGGAAAGATAGGAAGAAAAGATGTTGGAGACGTCGGCGAGCGTGGTGGGAGAACCCCATTGTCGAAGTGCCTCAGCAGGCTACGAGAAGAGACCTTTTTGTCTCAGCTGCAGTCCCTCGACGTCATGGAAGCGAATAGCCGAAACTCACAGTGAGCTTGAGTCCCACTCCGTATCCGTCCAAGTCACCATAGGCTGGACTGCGGGCATCACCGAATCGACCGTTGGGGAACTCGTCCCAACTGGTCGGACTATCCTTTCTCGCGCCTTGCCCGTCCACACCCCCTTTGGAGCCTTTCGCTCTCAATAGCTCAACCTGTGAAGGCAACAGCGAAGAGGGTTTGGATGTGTCGACGCCATTCGCTTGTGGTTCCTTGATCAAGGGTGATGGTGGGGGGTGCTCGACCCAGTCCAATTGCTCGAGCACTCGACTAACGGACTTTTCCAAGTTGAGCGTGCACAGGTGATAACCTCTGATCCCGGCTTGCCAGAGTTCTCGCATCATCGAAACGGCTAGTCGCACACCGTAGTCTTTGACCGATTGATCGTCGTGCTGCGAGCGAATGTATGCTGGAGAGTCAGATATCACCTCAATTCGAAGGTCACGAACGGGCCTACCTGAATGAGCTCGAGATCCTTGACGATCTGGGGTGGGATGTGGCTCTTGCACAAGTTCGTCATGCGTCGGAACGATTGGTAGTTTTGAATGGGCATAATTCCCGGTAGTATGGGGATGGTGATACCTGATACGAGCAGAGTCAGAGCAAGGTCCCAAAAAGGGCTTACACCCCTGTGGCAAACTCACCTCTGTCCCGACACGCCTTGTGCCACTTGAGAAACGTCTCGACGCAATAGAACAATTGGGTGACGACAAACTCGGCACCGGCTTGCTGTTTCGCGAAGAGGTAGTCAATGTCGGCCGACTTGTCCGCCGAGTCCGCGTGTCCTTCGGGGTAGCCTGTCGGTGACCCCATCGTCTCCAGTGTCAGCTTCCCGTGCCAGGGCCGCCTACTGACCTCGAAAGCGAATGAGAGAGCACTGACCTGCGACGCCGATGCAAAAGTCGTTTCCGTGGTGCTCTTTGATGTACGCGATCAGATCGGTCGCATGCTGGAATTCGCCGTCCGAAGCGACCCAGTATTCCTCTCCTCTCGGTGGATCTGTGAAGAGACAACGACTTGGGAAATTAGCGATCGGAGATACTCTCGCTCAGGCATCAGTTTCGAATCGACTGACCTCCTCGTAACGCCAACAGATTCACCACACCCAGCTCCTTTGCCCTCTGTTGTCATCAGAACCACCGGACCGCATCAGCATTCGGCCCTTCGCACGTCGTCTCGGCCCGCGACTCCCGAGACCTGCTTCGTCTCGCCCAGAAGACCGACCCCCGGTCCGCCGTACTGACCTTCAACGCCTCATCCAGTACACTCCTCTCCATGTTCGTGCACGTCAAATGCAAGCATGCGTCCAAGCCGAGTCCATTCGTCTTGGAAACGATCGCTTCGGCCAATTGTAGAGAGGTCGAATGGGTCGATCCTCCGGCTCCCCACGTGATGTGAATCCAGGACGGGTTGAGTGATGACATGCGGGATAGTCGTGAGATGAGGTTCGATACACCGGGTGAGGTCTTGGGTGGAAACACCTGGGTGAATCATGGGCAAGGACGGTCAGCATCGTCGCTCGTCGCCTCAGCAGATCGACGGCGGGTGAGGATGGAGTTAAGCGCGGAGTAAGCCGAGAGCGCAATGGAGGCCTACCTCGAACGTGTAGAAGGGTTCATCCGGCCCAAGGGATGCGATCTTGTCTGTTATCCGTCGAGACATGATTGAGATGCGCCAGATGCGGATGCGATTGGTGCGAAGCCGGTCACAAGTCGAGATGGGAGCCCTAAGTCGAGCTGAAGGCCAACATCACGGCTGCGCAGCCGGGTCCGGACTTCGGTCAATCGCAACATTCAACGACGCCCGACCTCATTCGGTCCTCTCACGGCAAGGGGCAAACACACAGTAATGGGAATCAAGCACAATTCATACATTTGCCAAAGATAGGTAGTAGGTAGACCAGAGCGGGCGCCAGTTGGAGGTACCTAGCAGCAGCAGCCAGCACACACACACGCCTCAAGCTAACAAGAAGGAAAAAGACGACGCGGTGCAACTTGGGGGGCAAAAACGGTCGGTTGGATCCGGAACCGTGCAAACGATCGAGCTTGCACAGGACGAACAGTCCGAACGAAAGGGAACAGAGGAGGTGGGCGAGCAATATGTCGAGTTGGTGGGTAGGCAGGTAGTTGAGCAAGGCAAGGCAGGTGGAGCGGGTGGAGGAGAGGGTCGCACAGAAAGATTTGCAAAAAAAAGCAGATGCGCATCGTCCGATTAAGCGATGTAACGCGGAGGCCAACAGGAGAACAGGCACGCAAGATCGAGAGAGAGTCGAAAGTGGGAAGGGGCAGAACATCAACGCCGGGTAGAGAGGTAGGAGAAGAAAAACGAGCTGGCGTGCACGACGGACTGAAGATCGACAGAAGGTCGCAAGGTGGGGTCGGGCAACAAAGAGGGTGGGTAGGCGAATTGGGAAAGGTGAACAAGGGCGAGTAGTCGGTCGACGGCGAGCTCGTCAATTGGGTCGGAAATACATTTTACAAGATGCTGCAAGGCTTCTTCTTAGTCTTCTTCGTCGACGGTTCGAGCGCTGCGCAGATGGCCTCGTCAAAGACATTCTTCAACTGTATATGGCGTGTGCAAAGGTCGGGATCCAGTCGCAAGTCAGCCCTGTGCACTTTCTTGATGACGTGCTTCTCGAACACGACTTACGCCCTTCTGCGTCAGCGCGGAGCACTCGACGTATTTGACCGCGCCAAGTTCTCGCGAGAGGCGTTCACCGGCCTCAGGAGCGACGGGCCTCTGCTTTTGCCGACCGAGCTTCTCCAGGACGGCGGGATCGTCCCGCAAATCGACTTGGGTACCAACGATCAAGCAAGGGACACCGGGGCAGTGGTGGTGGACCTGGCGTGGGGCCAAGAGCATCACTCCTTGCACAGTCAGCTAGGGCGGTGGGCGGGACGGTCGATCGACACGGTGTCTGGTGACAGAAGGGCCAGGTCGCGAGGGAACTCACCTCAGGGAACCACTTCTCCTTGACGTTCTCGAACGAGGCAGGGCTGGTGACGGAGAAGCATACGAGGAACACGTCGGTTTGCGGGTACGACAGCGGCCTCAGTCGATCGTAATCCTCTTGACCGGCGGTATCGAACAAGCCGAGCGTGTAGGGATCGTCGCCAATCATGACAGTGACGGCCTGCAAGGGCGTATCGGCGCAGAAATCGCGAGTCAGTTTTAGGTCGTTGCAACTAGTGTATCGGGGCGGAGCGCAGATGCGAAAGGCTAGGGACTAGCGACAACATGCGGGCCCAAAAGTTGAGGGGCAGGGCCAAAACGCGAGGCGGGGGGGTGCCTATCGCTGAGGTCCATGCTCGGGAGATGCGGTGGGGGCGAACAGCTTACATAGTTATCGAATACGGTCGGGACGTATTCGGACGGGAATTTGTTTGTTGTGTACGAGATGAGGAGGCAGGTCTGCGATTGGACGGCGGGTGACACGCGCGACGGGCGGGCGAGGGTGCGTGCGTTAGTGACTGGACAGTTTCATCACCGGTACAGTGGCTCAACACGAGTCGGCGGAGGGCGTCCCAAGTGCTGAGCCCGGTGCAAGACGGGCGGTCGACACGGCGCAGGGGCTCACCTTTCCAACAGCACCATCACCAACGACCTAGAGATAACAGCAGGGCCCAGAGGAGGATCAGCCTCCGTGGAGATCATGCCTAGAGCACGCGGATGCGGACCAGGCTGGACGGGAGGGGCAGTGGGCACATCCCCCCCTCCGGCCGGGTGCGCCGCTGGATGCGTGATCAGATCGCGCCGACTTACGACACATTTGATCGTTTGCATCCTGGCAGGTGGGGGTCGAAGGACACCGCAACGTGTGGGAACAGAGTCTTGCTGTACGACACAGGTTAATCCAAAGGGAAGGCAAGGGCAGGCACGGCGAGATCGTCAGGTCAGTCAAGAGCGCGAACGAGATCGGCGGCGCAAGGCTGGAAGGGGGAACGCGGTGTGCTCGTCGCTCGACAGTGGACACTGCTCGACACGCTCGAACCCTCTCGAACCGCGCCCGACCCCCTGACCGGGGCTAGCGGCCAGGCTCGGAGTCGAGCCGAAACCAATTATAAATAATCTTCCAACCGAAACGAAAGGAACCCGAGCAGCAACTCGAAAGCAAGCAGAAGAGTGCAGGACTGCCAGAAAGACACGCCGAAACACCTGATTCTGCGCCTTCGAAGCAAGGCGTCGTCAATAGGCCCCTCGAATTCGTGCTCGTCTGTTCGACGTGTTCGTGATAACGTCGTCGTCGGTCTACGTCGGCAGTAGTGGCCGCTTCGGCGGCGACCGCGACGCGCATGCGTAATCGGAAATTCGAGGGTGTTCAAAAACCGTCTCAACGGGGCAGTTTCTGAACACCCGCGCCCGCCACGCGCAACATGCAGCAAAGCTAATGGCGCAAAAACCCGGACGATAGAACCCCCAGCCGCGTTTGTATTGAGCCGGAGCAAAGGGCGATAAGGACGGGCTATTGACGTCTTCTATTGCCCTCTGAGCCTGGGAGGCGCTGGGGATCCCCGACCGTGAGCCGGTGGGCCCAGCAGCGGCCCAGCAGAGGCCCAGCAGAGGCCCAGCTCGGCATACAGTGCGGGGGTCTGCGGGGGCCGGGGCCGATACAGCACACAACGCGAGATCAACGGTCGCCAGAGCTTAGGCCTTCGAGGTTGCAGAGGCATCGTAGAGCATCTTCCGAGGTCGAGTTGCGTCGCCGAGTGCATGCGCCGTGGCCATCAATGATCATCGACCGACTCGCCGTCCGGCGCTCTGGCGGCAAGGCATACGGTCGGGAAAGCAACCGCCACGCAGCGGCCCATCCAGCACCAGTGCACGTCGGCGCCTTTGACCGGAGAGATGGGTCGATCTCACGCGGACAGCCCACACCTGTCGTCGCCGGCGCATGCACACACTGAGCCACGACCACGACTAGAGCCCATTGCTCGAGAAAGAAGCACAATAACCCACCAAGAAGTGCTTTTGACGGTGCAAGACGGTCAGACAGCTGGTCGACGGTCAAGCTGAGCAAGCAATGGGGCCCAACGCACACGGTGCGAGCACGGGGAGAAAAATGCGGTCGAACGGTCGAGTCGACGAGCAGAACGATTGGGCTTGAAGGGAGCAGCGTTCGATGGTCGCGGATCGAACAGATAAACGGTATGGAGTGTTGCGGGAAGGGGAGAGGGGAGGGGGGAGGGGTACGACGAAAGACGAGGCCCGTGGATAGCGACCGTTCCTACGCTAATAATAGACGCTAATTGGACTCATTGAAACCCACCCGCCGCAATGAGCCGGTAATCTAATCCGCAGGCGCGAGCGACTTGGACGTTACTAATGCGCAATAGATCGTGAAGCGGCGCCCGCGTGCCTGTCAGGTCGGTGACTCCCGTCGACACTCAACTGCTCCACTTCGCTCAAACCACCACGACCCAAACGCGCAACGACACCATGGCGCCTCGGAAAACATCGGCTCGAAAAGCGTCAGGAGCAGCAGCGAAGAAGGGGAAGGCGACAGTCGTCGCCGAGTCCACTGCATTGGATCATGATGTCGAGCAACCAGCACCGATTCCAGTCGCCGAACACGAACACACACCGACCACGACAAGCCAGGCCGAGGAGCCCCAGGCGTCGTCTTCCTCCGTCTCAGCGTCAACAGAAGCAGCAGTAACAGAAGCGGCTGATTCTACAACAGCAGCAACTGCATCTGAAGGAGGGCAAAGCGCAGCAGCAGCACCGACGCCGTCGCTGACACCAGAGGAACGTCTCGCCAAAGTCAAAGCATTGAGACAACGCATGGTCAGTGGCTGTTGAGAGGCGAAATATGGCAACCAAGTGTCTCAATGGGACACTGACGGTATGCTATGTCTGCACAACGCTCCGGCAGACCGAATCGGCCAAAGCGAACAAGCAAGACCTCATCACCGAGTCGAACCAACGCCGTGACTCGGCTCGGAACCTCGCTAAACTCGAACGCAAACGACAGCAAGCCGAAGCGATGGGAGAGAAACAGCAGGCCCTCGAGACGGGCGAGGATCTTGAACGGAAGCGGGCTTGGGACTACACGATCGAGGACAACGAGCGGTGGGACAAGAAGGTTGCGAGGAAGAACCGGAGGGCAGAATTCAGCTTCACTGGTGCGCCAAGATTTGTACAGTATGCCACGTTTGATTCAGCTTCCTGATGATGTCATTCCTCCGGTATCGAGTAGACTACGATGACATCGCTCGCCGCAAGTACAAAAAGGTCCGCCTTGAAACTTGCACCACCACTGCCTCCGATATACCGAGCTAAACCCTCCGCCATCTCTTGATAACGTGTTATTACAGGATATGGACGTCTTCAAACCCGACCACAAGGCATACAACGCGCAACGTGCCGCAGCTCATGATGCGGCCGCGCTCGTCGCGTCTTCTTCCTCGAACCCGGACGCCGGCGCACTTTTGGCCGCGCAAGATCTGTATCGAGATGCCAACTCGTTCGTCTATGCCGATCACAAACCGAGCGAGGATGCGATCGATCGCGTCATTGGCAAGATCAACCTTGAGTACGCAATGCCTTTTGTGCGAGCTCCGGCGTCTATGCGCAGCTGTGCTGAAGTGATCTTCTCTACCGTGTGCAGTCTAAACGCCAGGGAGAATCGCAGTCGGGAAAGGAAGAACGAGGTCGAGGGGGATATTACGTACATCAACGAGAAGGTATGTTGGCTTCAGATGTGGTCCTTCGTCGGCTTTGAGTGGCACTGACCAATTTCGTTCCTCTGATCCTTCCATGTGCAGAACAAGCACTTCAACAAAAAGGTCATCCTCTGCTCACTTTCTTCGAGTGGCCTTCCTGATACTGATACGTCTATTGTTCGTACAGCTGGAGCGCTACTACGACGCCGTTACGAAGGACATTCGCGACTCGTTCGAGCGTGGTACCGCACTGTAGTCTCCTTCGGGGACCATGCCCTTACCGTAGCATGTTTCTGTAATCCTGACTGGTTGTATGCTGTAGTGGTGCACGGAGATGCTAGCCAATTTGTCGGCGAGCTCCTTTTTCCGATCGCTAGGAGACGCGTCTCCTGTCCCCACCTCGAGCCTGCCTCCCCGCTGCGCCATTTGCCTCTGGATAACCCGCGTTTCTCCACCATGTGCCTTTATGTCACCTTTCCATCACTCTCTTCCATTGGCGAAGTATGTAACCCCCCTCCCGTTGAAAGTTCGAGACTCGCCTGAAGATGACCATCACTGTTTTGTCCCAGCAGCTGCTCGTCCCATCTTTGTACGACCCACCAGCGCGATGTCCAAGCGACCGTCCCGAGCATCGACGAGCCACGTCAAGTCATACAATGAGGACGAGCTTGAGTTGAGAGGCCGCATGGTTGGTGGTCGTGGTCGTGGGGGTGGTGAGAGGATGGGCATCAATGAGAAGCAGGGCGGGCCGCTACGAGTAGCTGGTGGGGCCGCCTGGGGAGTGCCCGTTGGGGATGCTGAGGATGACGACGACGATGACGAAGACGAAGGAGATGAAGAAGATATCAGGTCCGTACCAGCTAGATGGCCTACGTCAGATTATCGACCTGACTCTATTTCTGAATGTCATGCCTCGGCGAATTGCACAGCTCGGTCTACCTCCAAGCTATCCGAGTACACCACCGTCGATCCTCTTCTCTGGCTTGGTCTCAGCTCGGACTGATGCATCAGTAACTTCGACCTCACTCTAGGCATACGAGAGTATGGCGTTGAAGAAGGACCAACGACGAGCGGAAAAGGCGCTCAAAGACGCTCGAGCAATCCTCACCGCCACCTCCAACGAGGTCGACAGCAATGTACGAGTAGCGATGGCGAAAGCGTGAGTCGGCCTTGATCCGTCGACTCGTGCGACATCCATGTTGATAATCGTAGGTGGCTGGATTTGCGATTACGCTCTCAGGGATGCTATGATCAAACAAGCCAGCGAAGCTGCAGCGAAAGCCACCCGCGAATCTCAAGAAAACCCTTCAGCGCAGTGGGCGATCGCGTTCAGCTCGCAACATGCCGTCGCCGAACAAGTGACGCAAAAGTTTGACACGGTGCGCGAGGACCTCAAGTCCAAGGACGGTCAACTGTTCCAAGAGATGATTGAAGCATGTGAGTTCGCAGCTGAACAGGTCTCCTCTGTCCAAATCGTCTTCGGAGGAGCCGAACTGAGCGCTCGCAACGAGAATTTGTTGATACTCACTCGATCAGTTACGGAGCGCTCCTCGCGCAACAAGAAGGTTTTCAAGAAATTCAAGCAAGCTGTAGCCGCCCAAGAACACGAGGCGATCGAAATGGCCAGGGTAAGAGTCCCTCTTTCCCGAAGTTGTTCCACCGCTTGGGGTCATGCTCACACGAATGGATGATCTTCGGGCTTTGGCATGCTCAGATGTACGAAGAGAGTGCAAGGGCCCAGATCAGATACTTCAAAGCAGCTGCAAAAGCTTGACGTGGAAATTTGATGAGAATGTGTCTGTGAAATTTTAAGATGAAGTGTGCCTGCCGTGAAATTTCCCGAGAGCTGACCCCAGGTTTGGCGGCGGCAGCGGTCAAGGCGTCGTCCACCGGTCCACCAGCCTCCAGCTCCACCAGCGAAGTACCAGCGACCCCCTGTTTGTTCAGCCTGTGCGAGCGGCCCGCCTGTCGCGCCTCTGGCTTCTGACTTGTCTTCCCCACCTCACGATCCCAAGACTTAGCCACCATGGGTCGCCGAGCTGTTCGTCCCACACTTATGGGTGCCGTCTGAGTATTCTTGAGCTGACATGCCAGGTTGTACCTCTCCCGTGTCCGGCCACAGGAAGTCCAGCGCAAGCTGCTCGAACAGCTGATGGGAGCCGGTCAGTCCTCGTCTCTGCTCGCTAACGTGTAGCACTACTGTGAAGTGAACCTAGTACTGATGCGACCCACCTTGACCACTGCTCCAGAGTCGATGGGTATCGTCACGGTGACGCCGTCGCTGTGGGATCCCAAGGTCTGCCGCGCTTTCGTCACAGGTATATGCACCCACGATCTCTTCACAAACACTGTCAGTGCACCCTTTGACTTCGTTTCAGTCTCACTCACCTGCAAGCTGACCCTGGGGATATGAACTTTTACTGGGCCCTTGCGCTTGCGTGCACACTCTCCCTCTCCTTGTCCCTCCTCACGCAACCTCATGCACACGCACCTTCAACCCCGCGAATCACGACACGGCTCATCGTCGGCACAGAAAATGGACCTAGGCACTTGCCCTCGCGTGCACTCACCCAAACTCAAGAACGAATACGATGCTCTGCGAGCCAAGGCGGAGGCGGAGGAGGATCAGGTCAAGATCAAGGAGTTGAACCGCCTCAGGCTCGACTTTGAGCAGCAGGTGAGCTCCAGTGTAACTACATAGCGAGAGTGATTGGAGCTGACTTGTAACGACTGGAACAGACCCTGGCCTTCGTGGAAGAGTGTGATCGCCGCATCCGAATGGCCCAGCGTCGTTTGGAGAAGACGCCCGAAGAGAACGCCCGATTCGTCAATCTGGTAGGTGCAGAGCTCACTGATATGTGTTGGTCAACACACTCAGAGGCTAATGGCTGCATTCAACAGATGCGTGAGATCGGCGAGGTCGAGGGCGCCTACCAAGCCGCGATGGCTGAGGTGGAGTTGCTCGGTCCGTTTTGAGCTTAAACAGTGGGGAGCTTAGGATGGATTGCTCATCAATCTCTATCTCACTATATCCGACAGGATCGGAGGGAAAGGTCGAAGAATCGCTTGCCCAGCTCACAAAGGCCGAGGCGTTGAAGAGCGAAAAGGAGGAGAAGGAACGCGAGCTGCAGAACCTGTCCGAGACCGCCGGTGCATCGGGTCACCAGAAGCTGCGAGTGTGCGATATTTGTGGTGCCTATCTTTCGTTGCTCGACTCGGATCGTCGTCTTGCGGATCACTTCGGTGGAAGGGTAAACTTTCCCCCGCATGCCTGACCGAACTTTGCTCCGGTGCGGATCGAGCTGACGGTCCCTTGCATTTTGGTAACGCACAGATGCACTTGGGATATCACCAATTGCGTATCATGATGGACGAATGGCGTACCCGAGGACCTCTTGCAACCGGGCCAGCACCTCCGCACAACGGTGGTGCACTGAACGGATCTGCGCACCCCCCTCCTTCAGGGCCTCCGCCTTCGAGCGCATCTTCCGGTCCTGCGTCGTACCGACCACCGCCTTCTGCTCCCCTCTCGCGACCACCCCCGAGTGGACCGATGGTGCCGTCTGGCCCTCCCGCCCCCGGCTTCGTTCCCGCCGCCGGTCCTGCGAGCGCGACGTCTTCGGGCCGCGACCGCAGTGATCGCGACCGCAGTGACCGGGACCGCGACTCTTACCGCAGTGATCGAGATCGCGAACGCAGTTCGAGGGACGAACGAGACAGAGAGAGGGACGGTGGCGAGCGTCGTTCGGAGCGTGATCGTAGCGACCGAGACCGTGATGGGCACCGCAGCTCACGAGACGATCGGGACCGAGACCATCGCGGTTCTCGGGATGAGCGCGACTCACATCGCTCTTCACGTCGGTCCGAGGATGATCGGGATCGAGGCGATCGTCGATCGTCGAGGAGGTACGATGATGGTGATGAGTCGAGACCGTCGTCGTCGAGGAGGATGGACGATGCCGAGGATCGTTTGGACGGCGATAAGAGGAGGAAGATTGAGGCGTGAAAAACCGGGGACCCGACCCAGAGGAAGATTGGGGCTTGAAACTGACCAAGGGCTTATCGAGAACTTGCCTACGGACTCATCTCATAACTTAGCTATTCTTTCTAGTCAAGCTGCGAATTGAATGTATATCTACCACATGCTTGCTCAGACATGGCGAGGCGCACGGGGAGATGTTCGAACGACCCGTGCCATGAGGCTCAAGGCTATAAAACGCGCCGCGACGCGCGCTCCAATGACCTGACGACGCGTTCATGAGCAAGATATTGCCTTTCCGTCGGCTAAACTCAGAGTAGCCTTGCCGACGATATGAAATGATCTTCTAGACCGACCGGTCAATTGTTTTTCAAAGTAAGCCCTTATGGCTTGGACGAGTAATCATGCCGTATGTCAAAAAAGCTCTTGAAAGCTCGAATTTATCTCGCGCGCGTCGGGTGCCGTTGCAACGTCAGCCCGGATCGCTTCCGCGACCAGTGACGGCGGCTCCTCTTTGCGACAAGCTGGCAGAACTCCTCACGTTGCGAGCCAACCACAAAAGTGTGTTCCAAGCAACCGTAGATACTATCTCAATCCCTTGCATTTCTGTTCAACCGAAAGCAAAGATGTGAGTCTCCTCTACCCCTCTGACTCGGCCGTCCACGGCGCCGCCATCGTCCAGATGCGGAACGCAGCGCATCGCATCGGCATTACTGCCTGCCAGCATGGCAGATGATGAGAGAAGACTGGGTTCGAGCGCGCGTACTGACGCACTATGTATCATCCTAGGGCACCACCCGTCATGTCCCAGACGAGCTTGGCGGACCGTATCGCCCGACTGAACCTCGCCGATGGTTCGAACTCGTCGTTGTCGGACAATGGTGGGGCCTCGATTTCAGCAAGCGCAGGCGCCTCGTCCCAGCTCCGCACCACAGGCGCAGTCGGTCGTATCAGCGACAAGATCAGTCGATTTCAAGCCAACGCCGAGGATGCCCCGCTCGTACCCCTTGGCTCGTTCGGTTTGGGTGGCGTGCGGCGTGAACCGAGCTCCGGCATAAGTGGGGCCGCGAGCGACCGTCGAGTCGCCAGTCTGGGTCTCGGGCGAGCCGCTGTTCCTCTGGCTTCCGTCACGCCAATTAGGAGCGTCAGCTCGGGTGTTCCTAGCAGTTCTACGACCCCCAAAATCGGTGGAAGCAACCTCAGCACGAGGTCGTCCTCCCCTACCGCGACCTTCTCCCCGACCGCTCCTGGTCTTGCTTCAATGACGAGCACGACCGACGCCAGCAGCCAGGAGTCGGCCGGTGGCGATGATGCGGGGTCGAGTGCTGGTACACCTACATCATCAAGGGCATCGTCGCAGTACGGGGGCCTCAGCGCCGACCTCAAGTCGTCCTCGAGTGGCGGCTCGGACATGTTGGCCCACGATCGAGGCTTGTTCACACGGCACGATTCTTCGCTCAGCGTCGCGAGCAGCGAGACCACCGCCGCCGGTTCCGAGTCCTCTCTCAACGTCGAGACAGGTAGTCTCATCAGCGAGCTCGGCCCCGACCCCAAAAGCATCACCATCGCCGACTCGCTCACGGCCGGCGTCAACTCACCCCTGTCCTCCCCTGTTCTGTCGGCACTTGTCAACCCCGTCGAAATTACCGTCGACGAACCCGAGGTCTCGTCCCGCTGGACAACGGCCGGTGGATCACCTCGTGCCTTCAACAAGCCTCTCAAGGGCCCCCTTGATGCGCTCAAGACGCCCTCTAGATCGCATTCGAGCGTGTCTGTGTCATCGATGCTCGTCGAGACGGGCAGCACCGCGAGTGAGGATAGCGATGGTCAAAGCACGACGAGCGGAGGACCCTTGACACCCCGCGCCGAGGACGAAGAGAAGCCGTTCCCGACGACCGTCGGCCCTGCAGACGATGAGGAGGAGAGCTTGGGTATGGCGACGCCGAACCGCAGCGAGCAGGACGAGGAGGCTCGAGAACAGGCGACCAAAGCCGAGTTGGAAAAGTACGAAGGCGAGGAGTTTGACGCGGTTGCTCCTCGCTTCGCGGAAGACGAGGAGCTAAAGTCTTCGGTCGAGACCCCGGCCCCGGTGGTATCGGCTCAAGCGAGTGATTCTTACGGCGACATGCTCGACGACTATGGCTCGCCAACGCCCGACGAGCCCAAGAGCCCCATCTCGCCGATGCCAGGAGGCATGCCCATGGTCAAGTGCAGCGATTGCGGTACGAACGTCGATTTGATGGAGCTTGTTGACCACGTCTGTGAACCCGCATCCTCGGCCTCGCCCTCTGCTTCCATTGCGCAGACCCCATCGAGCAAGTCGTTCCCGGCGCCTCCGAAAGTGTCTGCGCCACCCTCGGGTCGAAACGCCGGCGCCATGACGCCTTCGGCCTCGCGTGATGACGTTCGACGTGTCACGAGCGATCGTTACGACTCGCCGTCGAGTTCACCGACGCGAACGCGCACCGAACCGAACGCCTTTATCCCGCAGACCGAGAGCCTCGTCCCCGATGACATCCTTGACGCTTACGATGAAGAAGACGACGACATCATGGACCCGCACGCCGCTCGTCCCGCTGCTGCGACCACGACCCAATCTTCCGGCGCCGACCTGCCGGATGATGTCGGCCTTGATCATGATTATGATGACCTTTCCTCGCCCGTCCATCTGCCTCCTCACCCCTCTGTCGTTCAATGCGATGTTTCCGACCTACCCGAAGACGTCGACGAGGATCCCGATCCCCTCGCGAGCTCGACTGCAACACTCTCTGCGTCTCCAACGACGAAGACAAGCAAATCCGACTCGTTAGGCCGAACAAAGTCGGCGCGACGCCGAGAATCGCCCAAAAGCGTCTACGACATGGTTGGTGGTGCGACGTACGACTCGGAAACAAAGTCGGCGCGACGCCGAGAATCGCCCAAAAGCGTCTACGACATGGTTGGTGGTGCGACGTACGACTCGGACGACGACTACGAAGGCGGCTCGGCGCAAATCGTTTCGGTCACTCACGCGTCTCATTCACTGACCATCCCTAGGAAGTTAGGTCCAAAGCCCTAGACACCTTTGAAACCGCCACGAATTCGGTTCTTTCACCGAGCATCTTTTGTTACGACCCTTTCCTTCCTCTACCTAACTCACGCATCCCTTTACGTTTCCACGATGACTTTTTTTTCTTTTTTTCCCATTTGGTTCGACGTGTGCCCGAAAAAAAAAAAACGCATCTCCCCACCTCTTCCTTTTGATGAATAATTTTTCTCTTTTTGTTTTTCGAAGTGTGCAATTCGCAAATCATGAGTTTTGACAAGAAATCCCTCTCATTAGCTGGTCAGAGCGTGTCCCGAGTCGGGCCGGCGCGGGCGTTACTCTGACAGCTCTATCTCACTTCGCACGAAGCCGACGTCCGTTTGGCTCGCGGCGTTTTGTTTTCTCGGGCATCAATATGGACAAGTCAAATAGGAATGCCCCTCCCACGACGGCGACCCTATTACCTGCCGAGTTCGCGCAATACCTTTTCAGTCAGTTCACGAGTCGGGTCGACTGACGACGACGACGTGCTCGATCGCGGAGGGATCGCCGTTCGTTATCGCCGCGGGTTGACTGACCCTAAAGAGTTACTGTCCCGGGTACCCCATCAAATTACTCGTAATACCTCGCTCGTTTCATGTCCATAAGCACATCGCAACCTGTTCGCCGCAGCCACAGCCTCCTTCGTCTCGACGATCGCCGGCTTTCCGCTCGACAGCATCAAGGCGCGCATCCAGGTGAAGCGGTATTCGGGCGTACTCGACTGTGCTCGCCGTACATTCGCAGAGGAAGGCGTAGCCGGCTTCTTTCGAGGGGTAGGTCTGTGGGAGTCGGTTACGGTCGCCCGTCGACGCCCTTTTGCTCGGGTGCAGAAGAGCGCAGTTGACAATTCGAGACCACTTTTCAACGTCCCCCCCTTTTGCTCGCCCACAACCCCCATTCCCCGTATTTACAGGTTTACATACCACTATTGACCATCACCGTCGTACGCACTGCGTCCTTTTCCATCTATTCCGGCGTCAAGGATCGGCTAGTTAAGAAGAGATGGGTCAAAGAGGGGTCCGTCAAAGGGATAGCTGCTTCGGCTTTTGCGGGTTCGTCATCGATGTTTTGGTTTGCCGTCTGGCGTTGGAGGAACAGAGGCTGATGGTAGCTCTTCTCTTCTCCGTTCAGGCGGTGCGGCCTCGGGGATATTACTCAGTTGCGGCACGACGGCGTTCGAGTTCACAAAGGTGAGTTCGGTCCGAATCTCACACCGTCGGGAACGATCGGGCATGCGGACTAATTGTATGTCTATTTGGTGCATCAGATTAAATTGCGTAAGTTTTCTGCGGCGCGAGAAGTAGATGGGTCACGTTGATGTCCGACTGCAGCTCTGACCTTTGCGGAAAACCTTGTTCGTCGGGGCAGAATTGGAGTATCTGATAGCGTTGAGTCGAGATTTTTTGATAGTAGAGATTGGCGATTGGCTGACCTCGGAATCGACTGTGATCATTGCACAGAATGAAGAAAGGGATACCTTACGAACCTAGAGGGACCATTCGAGGATTCCTGGACGTGAGCCTTCTCAAACGCCCGGCCTGAACGAGCGAAACATCACCTGACCCTGGTCCTCCTCCAACGATCACAGCTCTACCGAGCCGGGGGCCTTCGATCCCTCTACACCGGATTTCCCCTCCACGCCGCACGAGACACCGTCGGCACAGGGTTCTACTTCTGTTTCTACGACACCGCACGACACCTCTTCGTCGACAACCCATCGATACCCGTACCGCACGTCATCTCGACTTTTGCCTGTGGTTCGACAGCGGGTATCCTCAGTTGGGCCGTCATTTACCCCGTCGACTTGATCAAGTCCAAAACGCAACGAAATGCGTTAGCGGGGAGTCCGTATGAGAGTCCGATGAGTATCTTCAGAAGGTTGAGTGCGGGAGGGGTGACGAAACTTTATCGAGGGTTGGGCGTCAGCGCTTTTAGGAGCGTCTTCACCCATGGCTTGATGTGTGAGTTTGTACAAGGCTAATTCATCGAATGATCGCGAATATGGGGGAAACTGATTGCTCTGATGGATGTGCATCATGACACTCACAGGGACGGTCTTGGAAAAGGTCCGAGGGGAGATCACGGTTCGGACGGGGCATTCGATCGCGGAGGACGTAGAGAATTGAGCAAAGGAGTAGTGGACATTCTAATCTATAGCATGCATACACGCCTTGGCTGCGACTCCTACCCAATTTATTCGACCCTTGCTCCCTCGTCGTCCAAGGCGGAAACTGTTCGAGAGATCGTGGCAGGACCAATGCTGGGTCGGCTACTAATAATACAACAACACGTGCAAGATCACGAAGCTCCAGTACGGGATATAGAGGAGCTAATTGCTCGATTGAGGGAGATCGGCAAGAGTTGTGGTCGATTTGATCGTCCCACCTCCTAAACACCACGTTCCATTGTAGAGCACGACGGCTTGGCCAGGTGAGACGCCGATCAGGGGTTCGTTGAGCTCGATTTCGAGCGAGTGATCACTGTATACAGAGGTGCAAGAGTTTAGTTGGCTTCACACCATTTAGCTTTTGCATGCCCGGCATCGAAGATTACCTTGCTCTTCTGACCACACTTCGGGCCAACGACCGTTCTTGCAACGATCGAGTTTGAGCATCGACCTTGAAACCCTCGGCAGAGTTGATTTCGCTCGGTGGAGGATGGGAGGACAACCACTTGAAGTCTTTGGTGGAGAGTTTGACAACCCGAAGGATCGATGAACTGCAGGGACACAGAAGATAGTGCCGCTTATGTTGGTCAGTCGGAGCATTGTACATGAAATCCTTCTAGATGCGCAGAACTGACTCTTCAGGGACGACAACGATCTCGTTCCTCTCCCGAACTTTTCGACCGATGAAATGTCGTGAAGGAAGACCGGGTAATCGAGCACCTTCACCGATGGTGTATTGCCATAGTCCTTGGTGCTGTCCGACGATCTTGCCGGAAGTCAGGACGATATGGCCGGGCTTCGGAGGAAGGTAAGCGTCTATCGAACAAGTATGCGACAGATGCGGTTGAATCAGCTGCCTAAACTCATTAAGAGAAAAAGAATTCCTTCTCGTACCCAACCAGTGCCGGAATCTCTTCCCTTTCTTGCCGACAAAGCAGATCCCCATCGACTCCTTCCTCTCTGTGATCTTGTCCGGCAAGCCCCACTTTCTCGCCATTTCTTTGACTTCATCCTTCCTGTACTCTCCCAAAGGGAACAAAGTCCTCTTGAGAGCTGAAACGGGTGATGTGGAGAGGTAGTAGGATTGGTCCTTGAGGGGATAGGCACCTCGGTGCAAGGCTGGCTCGAGGGGGTCAAGAGGACTGGGTGACAGACGAGCGTAGTGACCTGTGGCTAGATAAGCGTTTGGGTCCTTGTCGAAGAGAATTGAAGGTAGAGCTCGGAATTTGATCTCCCTGCGGAATGGTGAGACTTTCGGGTTCAGCCATGCGCTTGGGGCGAAGGGGTTGATGTCATTGCTCTTGGAGGAAAATCCTGCACTCGGCAAAGGTGAAATTGCTGCTCAAACGTACTGATTGCATACGACATCCGGATTAGGCGTTACACCTCTCTCCCATTCCCCCAATGACCTCTCAAACACCTCATTCCAATACTGCTTTGACAAATCGACCAGCGTCGGCTTGACCCCTCCCAAGCTCTCTTTACAAAGCACTTGCACCTGTTCCCAATCCTTCTCCCATTCGCATCCACCCGAAGTTTGGTTCTCGTCCAATGTGTCCCAGTTGCGCATATATACGGGTCGTATGTCGTAGTCCCTTTCGAGGAGGAGGCGAGCGGTGACGGATGAATCGATGCCGGCTGAACAGGCGACATAGATCTTGCTGCCCCGTGGAGGGAAGTTCCATGCCGTCAGTGGTGGGTAGAGTGATGCTGGATTGGGCTTGAACCGTGCTAGGGTGAAGCGCATCTGCAGGACGGGGAAGACACACGAGAGAGACGGAATCAAAGCGGGATCGACCTATGCGAACTGGTCTCGATCTGATTCGCAGTGAGTCACGTGACATGAGCTGAAAAGAAATCCCGGATTCGAAGTCTCGTTTGCTTCAAGGGTGATATGGTCATAAAAATGGGGATGAATTGCGGGCGTTTACTGCTACATTGTTCACCGGATAATTCTCCTTCACTCAATCATCCTTGCCCTCGGTGGTCGGGTTCATCCTGAACCACTCCTCCCTCGCCTCCTCCTTCCTCCTCTTCTCCTGCTCCCACTCCTGCGCTTTCCTCGACAACTCCCTCTTAGCTCCCTCCCCCAGCAACTCAAATACCTTGAACGGTGTCTCGGCCCCCTGTCCCACCCCCCATCTCTCCTCATCCCAAGCGATCCCGCTCCCACTCCTCACCACGGCCCATCCTTCCAATTCGCGCCTCCATCTCAACTCCTTGTCCAACCTCTCCTTCCTCAGCTCACTCTCCATCTTGGGTGGGTACTTCTCCTCCGCCTTCGTAAGAGCCCTTTCACCCGAATTGATCTCCCTCGCCGTCTTCAACTCGGGCGGCAGATCATCCTTGTAATAACTCCTCTTGGCGAACTCGTGAGCGGTCGGAAGCTTGCGGTACGAACGACGGAACTGCAATGCCGTTTCATCCGTTTCGGCGAGGAAGTCGAGATCGGGCGAACCGGTCAGGGCTTTGGCGTCCTCGATGACGGATTCGTGTTGTTCGCCTCGTCGGATCGCAGCGACTGTTTCGTCGTTTAAGCGCGCTTCGGGCTGGAGGGCGGTAGGGGGAGCGTGGAAAGGTCGAGTTTGGGCCCAAATGGCCGCCAAGGCGTATTCTCCACCTTGTCGGACGTCGGAGCGGTGGTTGAAGAAGTGGTAGAGCTTGGAAGGCCATTTCTGAATACCGAAAGCGTACGAGAAGGGGACGAGGAGGAGCGGAGGTTGTTCGGGGATGGTCGAGGGAGGAGGCAAGATAAGGGGGGTCTCGTCATCTGTCGGCTCGAGCGATGGCTTGGTTTTGCTCGAAGTGTTCGAGGTGATGCCGATCGCACTGTAAGGGGTGTAGCTGAGCGAGCCTAGACCCGGTGCCGATGTCGTCGACTGCGCCTCCGAGTCGTTGACGCTGTTCAGCCCTTCCGGGGTCTTGACATCGTCGAACGGTCCTCCCAAAGGGTTCTTGGCATCCTCCTCCTCCAACTCCCTGACCATCAACTCTTCCTCCCTCTCCCACCTCCCATCCTTTCTCCTCTCGTTCGATCCCAAGCCCAATCCTTCCAATCGTGCCTCTTTCCTGAGATCGATCGTCTCGTTGTACCCCTTCTTCATCGCCCACAAATACTCCTTCAACGCCGATCGACCCAACAGGATGATACCGCCTTCCTTCTCGTGCAGACGTTCCTGTTCCTCCTTGGCCGAGAGGACGAGCTCGACGTTCTCCTGCGCCGAGTTGGTCGTCGAGACGTTGCTGGTCGAGGCTTTGGCCGAGGCGATGGAAGGGTCCTTGGAGGCTTCGGTGATGCGTCGCGCGCGGATCTCGGCGAGGAGGGTACGCCCTAGTCCTCCAGGGTTGGTCCCCGTTTTGATGATGTAGTCCGTCCCACTAGCGACCAAGATGGGCTGAGGAGGGTGCGGTGATGAGTATTGGTTCATATCGGTCGTGCATTGAGATACGCGTGACTCACCCTCATATACCTCTTGAACCATTTCGTACTCCTCTCCAACTCGCCATCATCCGGAACCCTAGCCCCGTAAACCTTCAATTTTCTCGCGTTCTGTTCGGACCCCATCGTCTCCTCCGACATCCACTTGACCTTATCGATGTATTCTTGTTGTATCCTCTTGCATTCCCTTCGGTCGTACACATACGCTCCCGTTAGGGTTACCGTCGTCAGTAGGAACACGGACATTTTGGGTCCCGGTCGTTTCGGTCGCCAGTCAAAGACCGCTTGGGGAATACCGAGGTAGACGAAGCTGTGGAGAAGAACCGGGGATGAGTGATCGAGACCCGTGAGATGAGTTTGCTTGGATACTCACGGATTGGTCGGTCGCTTCACGGGCGGAGGGAGGACTCGAGGAGCTGCCGCGACTTTGGGTGCGGGTGCACTAGCAGCCACAGGTGCGGGTGTTGCTTCCGGTACAGCAGGGACGACATTAGGTGTCGAGCCCGAAGGAGCCGGAGGTGGTGGTGGTGGTGGTGGTGGTGGTGGAGTGGACATGTTTGGTGGAATGAGGATTGAGCTCGAAAGCTCGAGGGTCGTTACGGAGAAGGTCACGATCGTCCCGAGCTTCGCAAGCCCGCGCGCGAGCCTCGGCCGGGCGATCGTTCCAGTATCGTGCCCGCTTGGACCTTCCGCTTCGAATTCGTTACTATAGGGCGATCGACTGGGAGCAGACACTGCAAGAAATTTTGCTTCACACTTGGGTTGTGAATAGTTTTTTTTTTTAAAGAGGTCGAGGTGAAAGACGGCTACCGTGTTCGTTAGTGGCTGAGAGAATTAGGCAATTTGATCGCTCAGCAGATATCTGATCTGTGCATCCACGCGGCCGACGGTCGAGCTGGCTGACCGATCAGGCCAATCTACCGAGTTCTGCAGTGTGACACTCCAGTTCTGTGCCCTTTGCCCTCTACCTTTCTTCTCCAACAAACACATAGAGGAGACCGGCTCCGCGCCCTACCTCCTCCTCCTTCCCCAAACATGTCCTACCGCAAATACACCCACCTCGATCCCCTACCCACCACCTTCGACACGAGCTCGACTCTCCCCGAGGGAACGAACCCCGACGGCAAATCCCTCGCCAACGATCAGACCAGAGCGAGTCAGAGTCCTTGGTATGAGAATTACGATCAACCCTTTCTGGCGGATGGGAGTAGGAGCGATAACGTGTTCGAGTGAGTGATAGCGGTCGGGATCCGTCACCGGAAGGTCCGGCATGCATGTGGGGGCGGACTGCGCGCCGGGGGTGTCAGGCCGCGGCTGAGACTGAATATGCTAGGCTGGGACTGAGTTACGGCGATTTGGGTGTTATCAGCTTCCACATCTATTACAGCTTGGGCTCGAAGACTCAGGTACGTCCCAGCTTTTCGCGCGTTGGCTGCCATTCGTATGCAGTGGACTGGTGCGGCGGCTCTCGGGTTCCGCACGATCCTCACTTCTCGCGTGCCCAGGCTGGCTAGTCATCTGACTTGGCGCTACAGACAACGCACGATCCCTCTTCTCGGAACACCCTCATAAGGACGAGTCCACTTATACTTGTCTATCACTCTGCTCTCGAGCAGGTCGAACACGCGAAAAAATTGCACGAACGCATCCGCCGCGAGTTCCCCGAGTTTCGAATCTACAAGTTCTGGGACAGGGCGGTGGGGTCAGTGCGATCTACCTGGGGCATGTCCTGTTGTTCGGATCAACCCCACTGAAATTCAGGTGAAATCCTCCCTTTCAGCCCCCACCCGATCGCCATGTTTGAAGTCAACGTTTTTACGCCCGTCCAAGTCGGCGCTCTGTTGGGCTTTCTGGTCGCTTACCGAGGACCCTTGTCCGTACTGTGAGTCCCTATGGATCTCGTCCCCTTGGGTCTTCAGGTAATTGATTGGAGGATGAGAACCTACAGGATCCACCCCAACACGAGCGACGCTCTGAGAGACCACACCGAGCGAGCGACCTGGATGGGCACTCCTATTCCGCTCATCACCGAATTCCTCGAAGTGGATCACTAAGCCCAGTGTATAATCCCAGCCCAGTACCCAATTGTACCTTTGTGTTCCTAGTCAGTTCCTACAACCCCTCTAACCTCCTTCATCGTCCTCTCCGCGACCTCTCTCGCCTTCTCCGCCCCTTCTTTCTCCCTCTCCATCAACCAGCCCGTCTCTCCTCTAATCCTCGCAAACTCTTCTCTGAACCCTCTCAAAGCTTCTATAACGACCTGCGTCACCTCCGCCTTCAAATCCTGTACACCCCTCTTCTCGAACCTCTTCGCGAGACTCTCGATATTCTCCCCCGAATAGCCCGAATGAATCCTCAACAATCCCGCAATCCCAGGTCGATGTTCGGGATCCCACGTGATGGAAGAAGTCGAGAGGGAATCGGTGACGGCGGATTTGATCTTGGAGGTGATTTCGGAGGGTGTATCGGTGAGCAGGATTTTGGAGGAAGCGTTCGGGGACGATTTCGACATTTTTTGGAGGGGGTTCCGAAGGGATTGGATGCGCGGGTGTTCGGCTGGGAGAAGGAAGGTTGAAGGTGCTTTATTCTTGTCAGTGGTTGTGTTTAGATGATCGTATCGAGGAGTAGAGGAGCGTATTCGGACGTACTCAGCATAACCTCGGGAATTATAAATACCCCTCTGCCCTTCCCCTTTTTTCCATCCTTCCGCGCACCGGGATAGCGTGCATTCCAACTCTGGGCTGTATCCCTTGCGAGTTCAAGATGTTGTGCTTGATCATGTCCTACGGGAACATGGGTCGTTCTGCGCAAGCGGTCAAGATGGGATGAGTCCATTTTATCCGGTGAAGGAAGGTGAGAGCTGGCACGAAACTTGTAGAGCAATACATCCGCGGCTTGAAGGACCGGATAGGCCAACAATCCGAGTTGGAGTAGCGAGTCGTCGACTTCGTCTTCCGAATTGGCGTTGCGTAAAGTCGCCAACTTACTCTACAAGATGGGATTCCGTGGGGGCGGAAGAGATCTTCAGCTGTTCATCTCCACTTGGACCCGAAATTTGTAGCTGAACGGGGGGGGGGGGGGTGGAAGCTCACTTTCCAGCTCGTCATCCTCATCAACCTATTGACTGGAGTGATGCAATTGAGGTACCAAGCCAACTCGGCATGTTGAGGCACCTGGTCTTGGTGGAATACGGTCGCGTGGGAGGAGTCGAGTCCGAGTCCGAGCGCGAGGAGGACGGCGAACATGTCTCTTCGTTCTTGGCGCAGTTGGCTCGGGTCCTGGTGGGGGAAGAGGACTGCTTTCTTTGAGTGGCAAGCCGGGAATCGGGGAGAGCAGCTCTGACTGACCTGAGGAACGGTCAGGGCGTGCAATCCGACGACGGAGAAGAAGAGCTGGTCCCTTGCTTCGGGTGGTTGGGTCGACGCTTGTTGTACGAGTGTTTGCCATTGCGAGAGAGCTCCGAGGTGATTACCGATCTAACGATCAGGGAAATGGGGAACAGCAGCTGCGGTCAGTGCTTGTAGGGAGATGCAATGGTTGACTTTGAGCGGTGGATCGCGGTGTGGAGTCGAGTGCGAGTGCATGGATATGGATGCAGTGGGTGTACTTGCATGAGGTATCCCCGTCGGCTGGATGCCGGAGAAGATGACGCGGCCTGCTTGTTTGGCTGTTGTGGCTGCCATGATCTGGGGCGAGGATGTTCAGGTGTGGTGGCGCCCGAGGACGGCTGCGAGAAAGTGGGGTGTGCGAAGCGCGGCTTGACGATCCCAAGTGACTGGAGGCGGTCCGAGCGCAAGACAGCGCAAGCAAGCCAGCGCCCCCCCCCCCCACCTCACCGGCCTCACCGCCCTGGCCTCCCCTACGCGCTTCCCTCGTCCACGCCCAGCGATTCTGTCCCGCCCAACCGGTCAAGCGTGGCATGTCGTTCTGGAAGCCAGGTACGGTCGCGCCCGGTTCGTCGATCGACCGGGATGGTGACTCGTCCGCGGCAGAGGGGGGAGCCGGTTCCTCCGTGGGGGCCATCACGGGCAGAGTCGCGCACAACATCTCCGTCGCAGAGAGGAGGTATCGGTTGCCTATAGCCAAGCAGAGTCAGTACATAACATGGCGATCTGGTCCACCGCAGCGCTGTGAGACCCGAGCGCTGATCCTCCCCATGTTCACCCCCCACTTTTTCTACTCGATCGACTCTGGTCGCGACCTCGGATCGGCGCGAACACGCATATGCAGAGGACGCCTTGTTGTACCTGTTGGAACATCATCCCGTCGTCGTGCTGCAGTCGCCCACCGGAACCGGCAAGAGTACTCAACTGCCTCAGTTCTTGCTCGAAGCCGGATGGGCGAGCGAAGGCAAATCCATCGGCATCACACAACCGAGGAGGTGAGACAGACACACTTCTCAAAAGCTCGATCCTCTGCACCAGAAACTGACCTCAACTCGATTGCCATGCCCCAGGGTAGCCGCCGTGTCGGTCGCCCAACGCGTCGCCGAAGAAGTCGGCTCCGTGCTCGGCGACCAAGTCGGTTACTCGATCCGCTTCGAGGCATTGTGCAACCCCGAGACCAAGATCTTATTCCTCACCGATGGCATGCTCTTCAGAGAGATCTTGTTGGATCCGCTCTTGTCAAAGTGGGTCTGGCGAGCATGACGCACTCCCTCAGAGGGTGACTTATGATCCCCAAGCTCGTTTTGATCACACAGGTATTCGGTCATCATGGTCGACGAAGCTCACGAGAGGAGCACCTATACCGATCTTTTGTTGGGCGTGCTCAAAAAGTGAGGTCAAGGTCACTCCTCGTCCTGGTCTGATGTACTAATGCTTCCTACTAATCCCCCAGGATCCGCCGGGTTCGACCCTCCCTGCGCATCATCATTTCCTCCGCGACCATCGATGCCCAATCCTTTGTCGACTACTTCAACACGTTCCCGCCTTCCTCATCCGTAGCATCATCAGGCATCAACCCCAAAGACGACTCGCACCTCCCACCACCGGCGAAAAGGTCGAGGTGGGACGATAAGCGTAAACCAGCCAAGAGTGAGGCGGTCATGGTTCGACTTGAGGGAAAATCATACCCCGTCGACATCGCCTACCTTGATGAACCGGCGGCCGATCTGGTTCTCAAGGTCGTAGAGACGGTCTTTGACATTCATCTGAAAGTGAGCTTCGTCGCACGTCGGCTCCCAAGGCGAGATAAACTCCGACTGACCGCTATTTCTCACCGCACTAGTATCCACCGGGCGACATTCTCGTTTTCTTGACCGGTCGAGACGAGATCGATCGATGTCTCCAGCAACTGGCGGACAACATGAATCGGATGCCGAGTGGTGCAGCTGATCTACGAGCACTACCTCTGCATTCGGGCCTTTCGACGGAGGCGCAGATGGCCGTGTTCCAACCCCCACCATCGAGAACGAGAAAGGTGATCGTCAGCACGAATGTCGCCGAAGCGTCGGTCACGATCGATGGGATCAAATATGTGATTGATTCGGGCTTGGTCAAGGTTCGTTTTCGAGTTGGACTTGAGCTCAAGCTGTCTTTGCAGGTGCTGACCGGTGACGCTCCGCCATCCGCAGCTCAAATCCTTCAATCCTCTCACTGGCATGGACGCTTTAGTTACGACCCCGTGTTCCATCGCCTCTCTCCAACAACGGGCCGGACGAGCTGGCCGTACTTCCCCAGGAAAATGTTTCCGCTTGTTCCCCTCCTCCGTCCTCCCCTCGCTCCTCCCGACAACTCCACCCGAACTCACGCGCTCCGACCTCTCCCTGGTCGTCCTCCAACTCCGTCTTCTAGGTATCCAAAATGTCCTTCGGTTCGACTGGATGAATCCGCCTAGTTCGGCGATGTTGGAACGAGCGCTCGAGTTCTTGTTCTGTCTCGGCGCGTTGGATGACGAGGGCAAGTTGACCAAACCCTTGGGGGAGAGGATGGCAGAAATGCCGATTGATTGTATGATGGCCAAGATTGTGAGTGGAGGTGTAGGTCTTCAGGCTGAGATGGCTCAGACGCTGATGCGACGTGATCGTTTGCGGTTCACGCAGTTGCTCGACTCGGCGGAATTCGGTTGCTCGAATGAGATCTTGACAATCGCGGCGATGAGTAGCGTTCAGGTGAGCGACAGGCTGACCGTATAGATTCTCAAGACTTTTCCTCAGCATTGCTGCCACGTTTCACAGAACGTCTTCATCATGGACGAAGGCGACTCGGTGCGCCACGAACTCGAACGACGCAAATTCATCGTCGAAGAAGGCGACCATCTCACCCATCTCAACGTCTACAACGCCTTCGTCAAACACGGTCGCAAGGCATCAAAGTGGTGTCATACCCATAGGCTCAACTTCAAAGCCCTGTCGAGGGCGTTGAGTATCCGTACGCAGTTGAAGAAGTATTTGCAGAGGTTCGAGATTCCATTGATCTCTTGTGGAACGGATCATGCGAAGGTCAGGAGATGTTTAACGAGTGGGTATTTTAGAAACTGCGCGAGGGTGCAGCCGGATGGAACGTATCGGAGTGTCAGGGAGAATGCGGTGAGTCTTGGGGCTTGGACCTACTTGGACTGACCCTTCACGAGGGTTGTGGCTAATTGTTCGGATGCGCGTTGGCTTGGATAACAGCTCTTACACGTCCATCCTAGCTCGGTCATGTTCACACGAACGCCCTTGACGCCTTATGTCATCTACCACGAAGTGATCGAAAGTCAGTCACGGCTTTGTCTTGAAGGACCACGCGAAACAAACAGAAGCGGTGCTGATGTTGAACTTGATCCCCTGCACCCAGCTACGAAGAGGTTCATGCGCGACGTAACATCCATCGAAGTCGAGTGGTTGACGGAGCTGGCACCTCATTATTATTCGTTCAAAAAGACCGAATCTGCCGTGTAGTAGGGTGGTCGACAAGGCTTCCACCGGGACGCGTCACACGCTACATTGTTGTTGAATTACGGAGGTTTTTTTGGGTGAAGTGAATGTAGATCGCGAACTCCACGGACCGACCAGGCTTGATGAGCCCAACACATATCCTCTCCAGATATAAGGGGAAGTTCAAAGTCACTCACTTCTTACGAAAGGAGTTCGTCGATTCAGCCGAAAAGGTCAAAGCGCTAAGCCCGGAAGCGCTTAGGCCTTGGGCCCTCTCCGCTTTCCCCACCTCAAAGCGGAGATTGGGTGGCTCCTATCGGGGGAGGTTTTGAAAGGCGATCTAGGCTAGCGCCTAAGCCAGTAGCTGAGGATAAGCGCCTCGCAGTAAATGTCTATAATAACGTGCTAGGGGAGGATTCGTGATTCCTGAAGAGATCTGAGGTCTCGCTTTGGGGTTTCTTTGTCTTCCTTCCACCCCCTCGTCCCCCCGATAAGACTTCGTTGGTTCGGTCCTTCCCTTTTCGTGGTCGCCCACTGATTACCATCTTTGGGCAACGATGAAATACGAGCATGGAGGACTCGGTGAGTCTCTCTTCTCGGCCACGAAGCACCCGCGCGCCACTTTATCGCCCTCGCCCAGATCAAGAACGTGCTCGCTAGCTGGGCCTTCGACCCACGTCACGTGGACCACGATCACACACCGAGACTGACATTCTTGTCCTGTGCTGTCCATCAGATCAACTTGATCCGAACCCGTCCAAGCTAGATCAGCATGGATCTTTTGATCGCCGCAAAAATTGTGCTCCTCGGCACATTGCTCCCGACCCGGAAACACCCCTCTCCCCCGCCTTCGTCAATGAACAGGGGCCCCGCATCGGGGCCGAACTTGACCGCTCCTCCGCCTCCCCTCAATCAGCTGACTTGAGGAATGAGATGGCGCACCTCAAGCGGAGGATCCAGTCTATGACCGAGATGTTTGGGAGGATGGAAGTGGAAAGGAGGGAGACGATGATGGAGGTGGAGAACCTACGTCGGGAGGTGGCGTTGAGTAAGAGGAGGAGGGGGCAGGGGTCGAAGAGTTTGGCGGTGGTCTTGTTGTGAGTTCAGCGAGCCCTTGCCCGTGGCTTCATGAATTTGGTGTTGATATAACAACTTTATCGCCCAAAGGGACTTTGAACTCGACATGTTCGACTCCGCGCTCTTCCGCCGGCCCGACGAAGCGGGTCGAAATGCCGCTCGAGGATTGCGCAACAAAGTTCGGTCGTACCTACCCGCAGAGAGAGCGGGCTGCAGTGTGATGGTCTATATCTTTTTGTGGGTACTTCTCCTATTGCTGTTCTCCTTCCGTGTTCTGTTTATGCTTGAACTGTTTTTTGTTGGGTGTCGAGCAGATCTCGGGACTCACAACTCGTCGCGGATATGTGCGCTGAGGGTGTAATTAGCTCGGAGAGAGAGTTGGACGAATTTGTGAGCATAGGTTGCTTAGTACAGTATGTTCACTCTGCTTTAATACTGACTGCAGCACTTGAGATTCCACCAGGTGGCCTCGTTCAACAAGGCACATCCTTTGTTTCTCCTCGTATCGTCCGATGCACCGAGGAACGAGACACTGCAGCGCTTACGAGGTTGGTCGAATGCGCCGTTCACTCCCTTCAATTTCTCGAAGTTCACTAACTGATCTCAGATCTTGACCACCAAGGCCTAGCAGCGCTCTATTCCCGCCTTGACTCTTGCTCGTCGCTCATCCTCGGTCGTTGGGCCCTCGACCTCGAATGCGCCAACATGATCTGTTCTGGACCTTCAACATCCGAGGAAACTCCGAGATACCTAAAAAAAATCAGCTTTGTTGAACCTGTTGTCGGAACTTGGGTTCCTCCCGAATTGATCCAACGCTCTCCTGTTATTCTGGACACTTCGGGTTTGCTGAGGAAGACATTGCTGCGCCGAAATAAGGGGGCGGTGAGGGGGTTGAAGCTAGATGAGTATAGAGTAAGTCCATATCGGATGGCTTTGATGGCTACTCGAGCTGAGCTCAGAATGGGAAGAATGGGATTACAGTCACTCCTGGATCAAGCCCCTCCCATTTGCCTGCAGCACTATCTTGGAGAGCTACCGTGCGCGCTCGACAGCTGCGCTTTCAGTCATGCCTATACAATTCCCAAGGTAAGTCCTTTCGCCTTGTCTGGAAGATTGAAATAAGAGTTCCAACATCTGCGTTTTCATTCCAGGACAAGCTCGACACACTTCGCCACAGTCTCCTCTCCACACCTTGCGCACAAATTCTTCAAGGCACCGAATGTGCTCTAGCGGACGGTTGCTTCTTCGCGCACGTTTGTCCTCGAGGATTGAGCTGCTCTCGACAAGGCTGCGCCTTCCCAAACTTCATGCATCCGGATCTATCGACGGTGGTCGTTCCTAGGCTCCGTACACCCCTAACCAAGCCGACGACCGATCCGGGGAAAGAAGCACCTTGGCCCCAATTCGTCAAGCGGGCTGAACTTCGTCTCCCACGGTCGTCATTTGTCGTCAAGCTCAAAGAGTCGAAAGAGAAGATACAGTCCCAAGCGATCTCCTCGATCATGCCTCATCTCTCGAAGAGCCACTATAGCGTCCTTCCCGACTCGAGCGTGACCGATTCCCTCGTCGTTGCTCCAGCCCCTCTGAAATCATCCAAACCATCTCTCATTCAGCCATCTTCCTCGAAAACGATCGATCGCATAAAGAGCGGGGACAATATCAACAGGGCCGCGATTCAACGTCTTGGAATTCAAACGCTGTCGAATGAGGGTCACGGTCCTGGTTCGAAATCGGGTCGCGCCGGAGGCCCGAAGTGGTGGCAGGTGCGATGAAACTTGAAGTCGCGCGGCGAGAGCAAGGGGTTTGTACATTCGAGATATCCTACAGTACATCAGTATGAGCGGAGCCATTGAAATCATAGATACGATTACGATTAAAATATGATTGGTGGACGTGTGGAGATATAAAATGCTGGGGAGGTGGACAAACAGGCGCATGTCTCGGGGCGAGAAGCGTGCCGGGGGCCCCAGCGCAAAGCTAATCTGGGGCTCCCTCTGGACTGATGCAAGCCGTGATGCTGCCAAGGAAGATACTTGACACAAAGAAGGAGCAATGGGTGATGTCCCGCTGAAAAGAGCTATCCGGAAGTCGATAGATGCTGTTATTGCTGATGTCCAGCTAGTTCAGTAAGCTTGAGGAGCTGAGCCTATTTCTGGAGATAGGGGGGCTGGAGGTAAAAAACGGGTGACCGCGAACGAGAGCAATTTGGACAGGAGGCCCGTGCGAAGTGTGACTGGCAGTGAGGTCAGCTCGAGCTCAAATTCACGCGACTCGCGTCACTCGCCCACCTCTCGAGACTGACTCTTGTGCCATCCACTGCAGCCACTGGTCTAGCTGCGACCCCCTGTCCCCAACCTCCACTTATGCCCGCCTTGGCAGCCAATGATAGTGAGTCATCAGCCCATTTCACTGTTGTGATCGTAGACCGGCCCAGCTTTTGCCTGTCAATGTGGGGTGGTTGTGCTCCACCTTTCGCTCCGGAGCGGCAGATAATGCAGCCCGACTGTCACCCGTCACGCGTCTTGGCTCACCCCACCTCGAGTTTGGCTCGGCTGTCTCGACGCGCAGTTGCCAGCACGATTGCCCAGGACGCGCGATTGTGGCAGGTGAGTCGTACACTTCGGCTCGAAGGTGATGAGGTACATTCAATCTCACAGACAGCGAGAAACGGCGATATTCAGTCCCTGATCGCGCGCCAGGACGAGTTCGTCGCCGACTTGCTATCGCGCCTGCTCGTCGCCTCAAGCGAATCCGCCGCGGCGTCGGCGTCGGTGCCAAACCCGTCCCACGTCGCACCGTCGCCCCCGCTAAGCTCGGACTACAACGCCGACGACCGCGATGACCTCAGAGTCGCTCGACATGCCTGGGATGCACTCAAAGCCTATTCCGATTCCCTTGAGGAGCGCGTCAAGGTGAGCTCACGAGATGGCACCGGTGATGATCGGAGATGGGGGAGGTGGGGCTTTGACTTCGCGTGTGTGAGGCAGCCGCGCTAACTCGACTTGGAATCGGCAATTTGCTTCTGCTACTCGCTAATCATTCCTGCTGCAGGTCATCGACGAAGAGCGCAAACAAGCTTTGAAGATCGTCGCCGAACAAGAAGATACGATCGCTCAGCTGCGACTAAATGTGAAAGAACGAGCCCCGGCGCACTCTCCTATTCTCGTCCCGCCGGTCAGCTGCATTGACAACGGCAATGGAGAGCGTGCTCGTGATATCGCAGCGCTCATTTCGGATTCAACTCGCCTTTCGTTCGTGATTGTGTTCCTCGATCTGTGAGTTGAGGCGCGCTGGCTGGCCTGTCACATTCTAGTGCTTACCCCTGGGCAATCGATTCAGAACATCGGCGCCTTTCTCCGACGCGCTGATCAGCCAAGGCAAGACCGGCGGTCTACAAGCGGCCAGCCAGCTTCGGTGAGTGTCATATCCGTTGAACAACGAGAGTGGTTCAATAGGCTGATCGAGAGCTGCAATGGGTCAGCTGGGAGATCGAAAAGGATGTTCGAGGTTAGTGGGTGCGCGACGAAATGGAGACTTCGGGCAGGCGACTGACGCATCAGTTTCCGGACAGCCATCGGCGTCGATCAAAGTACAATATCCAATGAAGAAGGCAAAGAAACCCAAATTATCATCTTCGCCTACTACGACAAGACGTCGCTGGCTTCGATGCTCCTCAAGGTCACCTCTCGCCCATTATGAGCGGCATAAGTGGAGCGCCGTGACTGACAGTTCTTATCCGTCGATCCTCAGTGCCGTGTCATTACCTCTGGAGCCACCTTTGACGAGTTTTGCATGGCTTTCAACTCGGCTGAGCTAACTTCGCTGGTCGACATCGGCCGCGCTCCCGTCGAAAGCAAGACTGGGCCCATGCTCATGCTACTCGGCTCCCTAAAACCGCTCAAGAGGATTTACATGATCGGAGTCCATCCTGACGCCGTTGGTTAGTACATCTTCTCCATTCTCCAAGCCACTTGGTAAATCTCTTACCTTCGGTCAGGTGCACAGTTTCGACTTGTCCTTCGCTTTGCCCTGGCGGGGACCGTCCACGAAATGAGGTTATCACCTCCAAGCTTGTAGCGTACGTCACATTTTAGCGGGCTCGCGGGCTCGGACGAGCAATGGGACTGAACAAATTGATTTTGCTTCTTCAAAGCGTGAACTTCCTCGAGGATGAGGAACATATATCCGCTTTGGAGTTCGTCGGCTGGCGCACGATCACTTTTCAACGACTGTTTTCCCACCGTATCGTCGACACATCGTGCTGGAAGCAATGGGCTTCTACTCCGTACGAAGAAGAAGAGCAGGATTTGTACGACTATGATAATAGCCATCAGGATGATGCCGACTCTAGCCAAGGCGAATGGTCCCCCGTCTTTTCACGCATCTCGTCAAAAGCGCACTCTCCCAAAGCCCCCTCGGCGGCGGCGAAGTGGAGGAGGATCAATCCAGCTGTGCCTGGAACGAGATTTCGCGACGAAAAGAAAGCCGGTCTTAACCCCGGCATGCGTCCTCTCGACACCAACCGTGGCTTCCTGCAACAGAATCCCCAGATCTGCGTGTTCCACTATCTCAGCGGTAACGGCTGCACTGCGCGTGGCACTTGTGGTCGTGCCCACGACTACGATCTCAACTCGAGGCAGATCAAGCATCTCAGGGAAGATGTCGCAAGGCACCCTTGCAAAGTGTCTTTTGTTTCTTATAATTTCAGGTATCTGGATGTCGCCCGAGCTGACAATGCCTGAGTTCCGCACGTTCTGCAGGAGCTGCGCAACACCGGTCGCTGCACCTGGGCGGAAACCAACAGCGGCACCAAGTGCATGTATTCACATGTACGCGCATCTTCTAGAAACCATCGCGTTCCGTAGGTAGGATGTACTCATGTGATCGGTCCATCTTGTAGGATCGGGCCAAGTGGAAGCGATGATCTCAAGCTGGCTTTCAAAAACGGAACTGCGCAGCACTCCCAGTCCCAATAGCAGCTTTCAACCTTCTCTTCTCCTCTCCATGCTTGTGCCGCTGCCGCCGAAGGTTTTGTGGGTGCAGTAGAGTTTTCCGCCTGGGCCACAGCTTTGATGAAACATTGCAAAGGGGTTCAAATAGTATTGGTGACAAAGAAACAAGAAAGAGTGCTGGATTCGGCTCAACCGCCCCAAGCTTAACCGGAGTGCTCGACCACCGTCGTCACGAGCTTGCCATCGACCACGACCGTCTTGAGCTGCTCGGGCACGGCTCGCTCTTCAAACACACCATCGTCCTCGCCCTCGACGGGAAGACTGATGTTCAACGCCGACGTCTTGGCCGTGATGATCTCGGTGCCCAAGCTCTCCTTCGAGAGGTAAATCATACCCCCGTCCGTGCCGTCGACCAAGATAGTAGGGACCTTGCCCAAGATCTGGACAGTGAATCCAGGGCTCGAGCTGATGCTCAGAGCCGAAACGGTCGACTCCAAAAGAACAGACAACTTGGGCGAGTTGACGATCGAAATGGCGTTGACCTTGCCCTTGACTTGCAGTACCGAGGCTTTGCAGTTGAAGACGTTGACGGTCTGTTGGATCGACGTGTCGGTGACGGAGATTTGAGGGTCCGAGTCGTAGTTTTCGACAAGCCACTTGTTGCCTTCCAGCGCGAGGATGGGTGGCTTTTTTTGAGCGATCGCCGATGGCTTGGGAGGCTTTGTGGGACCTTTGCCAGCTGATTGAGAATAGAAATGGAAGCTGTGGTCAGCCATCGGGCTCCTCGATTTCGCTTCTATGGAGGAAGCGCTTACCAGCTCCGACGGCAGAGACGACACCTCCCGCCCTGAGTTCGGGGTTCTTGTGCGTCATCTCGCTCTTGTCGACCTTCTTCAGACCCGACGTGATGTCCTCGCCCTTGTTGAGAGCCGCAAACACACCGCTCATGTCACCCGATGCGGCGGCAGCTGCCTGTGCGGGTGCCGTGGGAGCGGGAGGTGCTGCGGGCGGCGCTGGTGGGGGTGGGGGTGGAGGGGGAGCGCCACCCACCGCGGCGGAGGCGGCAGGGGATGCCGAATATTTGGCAGGGTCGATACCCTGTGACATCATCCGTTTGCTTCGTTCAGCGATCCGCCAGATGGAGCACGTCTTGTACTTATCACCAGAGACCTGCTCACCTTGGGGTTCCACGTCAGACCGGTTGTGTGGTTGGCCATGACGTACTTGCGCAAGGCATCCAGGGTCGCGCTGAAGCTGCGAGCCCACTCGACTTGCTTCGGGTTACTGTGACGAGTGAGGAATGTGCACATGGTCAGTGTAGCGCCTTGTCAGAACTGGAGAAGACTGCTCGGGCTCACGTGTCCTTGAACGCCTTGACGATTCGGTTGACCCAAAAATCGGCCGAGTCCTTGTATTCGCCGACGTGGGGGCCAGGTTTGCTATCCTATGGGATGTCCAATAATCTGATGCTCGTCAGAATCTGCACGAGCCTCGAATCCTCTCATCCGCGCAGGTGTGCTCCCGAAAAGGCGAGGAAACGACTCACGAGGGTGACCCAGCCCAAAGCCGGGATACCCTCGGCCACGACGGTCAATTGGTTCGCATCGGGGCTCGCTCGATTCTTGTCCTTGATCTCGATCGTCGACATGAGCGCCTGTTGGGTCGCTTTGAGCAAGGTCATGTAGGAAGGGTCTGAGGCTTGGATCTTTGTGCAGGCGCTCGCCATAAGGATGAAGGCGCGTTGAGCGTTGAACGCGGCTTGAACGTGTTTAGACTGAAGTGGAAAGAGACAAAGACGACACACTGGGGTCAGAACGGTACAGCCGGCAGATGCTGACCCGTGCCGTTGAAGCGGGGCCCCGGGGCCTTAGCTCAGCTCAACTCGGGTCGGTGGCCGGACGTGACTCACCTGATCGGCGATCAAGCCGCCCAGCCCCTTACTCAACTCGAGGTACTTGGCCAGCGCGCCCTGGAGGACGTCTTCGTCAAAAGCCGCAACCGAGCGAGGAACTTCGACTGCTGGACCTGCAGCAGCGGCAAGAGACGAGCCGCCCGTCGCCGAAGCCGCCGCGGCCGCTCCACCTGCGATCGCGCCGGCTCCCGCACCGGCAAGCGTGGAAGGTACGACGGCGGATGCACCACTTGCGACGTTGAAATGGGGTCCGCCACTCGCTGCCGAGGTGACGGCGATGTCCTCCAGTCGGGCGGTCGCGGCTTCAAGTCGTCGGAGCAACGTGTTGAGCGAACCGACACCTACAGGCAGTGTACGTCCACGTGGAATCGCGGGGATGAGCAAGCGGTTAGACGCAGAAGATAGCTCTGTGTGATCGTCAACTAACCGGTGGCAGGGATACCGGCGGGTGTGCCTTGGGCTGAGGCGGTATTCATCGTGTCGAGTGGCCGCGGCGATGACGACGATGATGATGTGGAGCTGAGCGCCGGCCGAAAGACCAAGTACCAAGTCGCTGTCTGTCGCTGCCCTTCGCTGCAGCTGGCTTTGTTCCAGCAAATTCCTCCTCACCCGGCGTTCCTCATTCTAATTGTGGCCACATCGGACGAATAATGTACGGTCATTTAATGCTTTGCCGTTCAGTTTTGAAAGCTTGAGCAAATCACTGTTTGCGACACGGTATATCAGCAAGTTCTTCAAGTCGGTATAGACCGAAGTCGAGAAACAGAAATACCCGGAAAGCACAGCCATGTCACTCTGCGTTAAGCCTGATCAAGTCACGGACAAACACTCATACTTTACAAAAAGGGCAAAACCATTCGGTTCGGTCGATGCGACCCTCACCTTCACACAGAATCACAAACGAGGTAAAGAGGGCTGACGGGGGTCCAAGCGCTCGAGCTCGACGAGGCGGCTATTACATGGGTCGAATGCAATTGAGGGATAGGCGGGTTCATCGAGTGGCGTAAAGGTCACAATTGACGAGCAAAGAGAGCTTCTCCCCAGTCAATGATGCAAATGCGACCGTCTGGACGGATAGCCACATTTTGAGCCCTCTCGTCTCCATGGTAGACGCCTTCCTTTCTGAGTGCTTTGTACGCCTCACTAGGAGGATTATCCAGCATGGCGTCAAGTCAGCGACTATGAAATGTCGAGGCACCAGATGGAGCCAGGCCTCCTGTCACACTCACTCAATCTTGCGCCTCAATTCGGTGTCGCCCACCCACTGCTCCTGGGTGACGGTGCTCCCCACGTCTTCCAGTAACAGGACGTAGGCACGGCCATCTGAACCGCTTCGATAGAGGCCATGAAACTTGGGGAAGTAGGCTTGCGCGGCAGTCGAGAGCGACGGCACAACTTGCGTAAAGATGAAGTACTCTCGCGCGATCGAAGGCGCATAGTAGTCTGCCGAGACAACCTTGGCGACGAGATCACCTTGAAGTCGAGCGGGAGGATCACTGGCGGCCGATGCTCTGGGAACTTCGGTGTCCGGGCGGCCAGACCATCGAGTCGTCCATGTCGTGGCAGTTCGCCCCCTGCCAATCTCTGTGAGGAGATCGAGTCGATCGAGACGAGCGGGATCCCCGATGGGCGTCGTGATCCAGGGCAAGACATTTGCTTCTCCTTCTTCATCGAAGCTGACGGAGAAGAACTGCAGTAAGTAACAAAGGGACTCCCGATCAGCGAAATGACCTTGTATACACGATTGAAGCGAGGAGTAATTCACATCGCCCTCGCAATCAAGCTCGACACCAATTGCCACCATACCCGTGTCCTTGTTCGCCTCCGAGTCACAGATGATCTGCTCATTGTGGGGTGAGGGGAATCTCATGAGTGCATGTGTCGGTCATGAGTGAGCTTCGGACTTAAAAACACTTACCGCGGTACCCGGAAGGTGACGTAGCGTTACCTCAAGAGCCTTCGCGTGCACGAGGAAAGGGCACGCCAGTGCGCTATCGAGAGTTTCGATTGGAGGTGACAGCAAGGGTGTCAACCGAATGCTTTCGAGCTCATCTGTAGTTTGCCTGAGCGCGATTCTCATCTTCTCGGGAGGACCTTCAATCGAGTAGTCTGCATGAACACTCGAAAACAGGGAGACGAGGATGGCGAAGAGGCTTTCGGGTCTTGGTGCCACGACAGGGGCAAGGTCCTCCTGAGCCCAGAGAACCGATGAGCAAACTTCATTGGTTAACAAGTGAGTTCGACCATTCTCAACGACTGACAATGAGGGCAATGCCAACGAACAACGCCAGTCAGTGATGATTCTTTGTCAAGATATGGGATCCGCAGTCAGCATAAAAATGGACCAACGCCTACTCACCGAGTTCGCAAAGGACGAAGTACGGAGGTGCGAAGTGTACGCCGAATCGAGCTTTGTGTTGATGTAGCTGCAGAGCCATCTGGCCGGGCAGACGGCGGTCAGCGGTTACAGCGGTGAGAGGTGTTCAATCTATCCAAAGTTACATCGATGGTACTGGATGTACCTTGGCTAGCCTGATTCCCTTGCTCTTCGAATGCATCACCGATCGACCATTGCTGTCGAAGACGCGCAAATCGAGCGGCGTCCCTGATCCATAATCAGACCAGAGATTCGGCATCTGTAATCCAGGATAAGACTCATGCGCACTTTCGAGATTGCCGACGTTGTTAGTCTCGAGGACTACTGTGTTTGCAAATTCGTCTCCATCTAGCACCGAAGTGTGTAGAGTAGGCAGCCCGTCTTGACCGAGGTATTTATGAAATGAAGGCATGTAATGTATCGCGACCGGGCGATCTGTTAGGCGAGAGACAGTGTGTTGGGTGATGTCCATGAGATCCAGTAGATGGAACGTTACGTTCGAGTCGTCCCATTCGTTTAAGGTGACTGGCCAATGGTGCAGAAGTTGTCGAAGCAGAACTTGACAGACCTCGGAAGAGGCGCATCGCCCGTCCCGGTTTTCTCGAGCCCTCCCTTCAGACCCTGAACAACGCGACGGACGAGCGAAGGATCGGGCGAGGCAGACGTGAGGGCGTGACGAGGTAGCGTTTCGCCTGGCGATCTTCGGAACTTGATGTGTCCCAAAAGGGCAGAAGGCTTATGAGTGGTGGGGCGACAGACGGTAATGCGATCGCGTGGCACAAAGCGGTAGGCATTTGACGGGAACTTGAACGCTAGCAAGTCACTGAGCACCGACGGGACGGCAGTTCGGCGAGTTCGCAGATGCATCGGCGTCGATCGAAAGTGCTGCGTGAGCTTCGTGTCCTGTTTGTATGGTAATAGTACTGGATGCGACGATGTGCTGCAAGTTGTCAGCCCAGCCAACCCTGAGTTATGCAGTGGTCGGGCCTTCAAGTTGGCATGGCAATCGCGGCAGGCTGGCTGTCGCCGCTACGGCTTGAAGCAGTGGAAGGTTTAGGTAAACCAAGGCAAGCAATGGCGCCGGGCGTCCTTGAGTGTGTGAGGAGCTCCAGTGCTCTACTGATGGAAGAAGGGGCGGGAGGTTCAAGGCTGGGTCAATGATTCGAAGGGTAGGAATGTATGAACTTGATGTCTTTGCAGTTCGAAGCCGCGTGGCCGGGCTCAGAGAGGGCTCAGAGCGGGCTAGAGCGGGGCAGAGCACTGCCTGCCGCGCACAGCACCTACTTCCGGGCGCGATCTGGGGAGATCTGGGGTGTGGACCTCCTAGGACCTCCATGGACGAGTCTCGAGCCCCATTCTGAGTTCACGCAACCATCGGAGACTGTATGTTGAAGTACAGCCAACATCCGAGGACGATGAGCTATGAGGTTGGGAGCGGGGCACCGCGCAACCCACTTCCTACATTGAGAGTCTGATTGCTCCGAACGTTGGGATCTTCCTCAGTACCGAACAGAAACTCGACATCATCTCAATGGACTTGTCGCCCGGACCTACGGACAACAAGGCGATCATCATGGCGATGACGCCTAGCTCAAGTCCAGGTTCTGTAGTGGTCCATTCCCCTTTCAGCTCGCGTTTCTTCATTCTTTGTTTCGAACACAAACTTCCGCTCGCATCCTTACTGAACATCACAAAATCCTTCGTACTTCCGTTTGGCAGTCCGTTCGGTTCCACTCGGTGTTTCCGACTCTGAGTTTTGGAAAGCTGAATGAGCGCTCAAGATGAGCTGCTATTTCATCACTTCAGGGATATCCAGAGCAAACAGGTGTAGAGGTGCAAAAGTGGAAAATCATCGGAGGCCAACAATCCTTTGGACAGACCCGCTTTTGATCCACTCCGAGTTACCACATCTCCACTAAGCCATGAGCGTGTGCCTTCTCGCCGTCACACCACCTCCACTCCCATTACCCCCTTCAAACCCCCCTCCTTCTCATTCCGACCCGTCAATGACGAATCCTCCTCGTCCAAATCCGACATGGCTTCATTCTCCGAGTTGGCCATCGAAGCTCGACCTCTCAAGCTCGTCAAGGACGATTTCGTCCGAAGGATATGGGACGTCGCTCCTGATACTGTGGCGACGGAGGGGCGAGAGGACTTTCGAGGATGGGTATTGGTCACGGGAACGTAGTCTTCCGGTCGACGCATCTTACTATGGTTGAGTGGGCATCGAGAGGGATCAACTCGAAGCTCGTGGCGGGAGATGGGGAAGTGACTTACGTGTTGAGTTTGGGAAGGGCGTAGTTGACGGACTTGCGAGCGCGACGACCACCCGCTTCACCCTCTTCGTTTCCTCCGTTGGCGAGTATAGGGTTGGATTGAAGGACCGGAGGGGCCGAAGAAGAGGGCATACCACGAGGTTGAGATGCATGCGAGACGGGTGCCGAACCAACTGGTACCGCAAAACGGAGAACGAAGAGGTGAGCGCTGATCGGATAAAGACTGAGGCCACAAGACAACTCACAGTTGCTGTCCTGTTCGTAGTCATACTCTTGTTCCTGCTCCACTTCCTGCACTACCTCCTGCGACCCCGCTCTCGTCGCCCTCCGTTTTCCTCTCGCCTTGCCCAACGCCGCCTCCACCAATTTCTTGGACGGCACAAACTCCTCATCACTACTTTGCTCGTCAACCTCGTACGAGTTCTCCTCGTCCTCGTATTGTTTCTGCTGCGTCACTAATTGTGTCGAGATGGATTCGCCGACCCGTTCATCGTCTTCCGACGTACTCGACGTCGTTGAGGTGTCCTTATTCGATGAAGAGGTCCTCGCTTCCACAGCAGCGAGTGTCGATGTTCTCCTCCTCGACCCAACAATAGCCAGCATCTCCTTCGGACCAAGCGACTCAAGCTTGAGCAACGTCTTGCGTTCGTTCCAATAATCCTCCTCCTCCGTAGCCTTCTTACCACCGCTCGACGAAGTCGAAGAGGTCGTAGCAGCCAAAGACGAATTCGAGACCGATTTTCTCCCCAACTGTCCAACAATGCTTGTCCTCTTCCCCGTGGCTACAGTAGCAGTGGTTGCAACTGGCACATCACTTTGTACGGCCCCAAGTTGCCCAGGTTGAGGTTCCGGCGTCGGAGCTTTGACGATCCCCGAGACTCTTCGAGCTGGTTTCTGTTGCGAGAAGGAAGAGGTGTTGGCGTGGGCTGAGCGAGCGGCGGGAGGAGCCGAATGCGTTGCTCGGGCTTTGCTGGGGAGTGGTCGAGCAGTAGAGGCGGAAGTAGAGGCAGATAGTTGAGACGAGGATGTTGTAGTTGACGTCTCGGAATGAAGGGACAGAGGTGCGGAAAGAGGTGAGGATGTAGGTGGGGGGACGAAGATGGGTGTGGGTGGTCGAGAAGGCGATGCCAGAGTTCGAGGTTCTTCTCGTAGTCTGTGGAGAGGATTCAACGGGTGAACAAATCCAGCCGACAGTACATTTGCTACATGCCCCTCGACTTACCCATCGAGGAGGGTCCCTTTCCAAGCCGATTTCATCGGTTCTTCATCGCCTGAATCATCCTCTTCGTCATCGTTGAAATGGCTCTGTTCGCCTCCTTCGCTGATGTGCGAGAGGTCAGGGTTGCGTTGGAGAATGATCGAGGAGGGTCGTGGTGCTCTTCCGGCGGTGGAGCCTCTTCTCGAGACGGTGACGTTGCGGTTGGCGTCGCCCGAAGAGGAGGACGATGAGGAAGCGGAAGGGGTCGGAGGGGATTCTATTTGCAGAGTTACAGAGGATGGGCCTGTCAGGCTGCTGCGGGAAAGACGTCGTTGACTGCATCGACCTACCTGTGACGGTGGAAAGTCGAGGGTGAAGGATTGTCGAGGATGGGATGGGTGGTGGTGAACAGGGAACATCCGAGGTGGCCTCGTCCGACATGGGGCCGGAGCAGGATGGAAGTCCGGCGCCGAGAGCTTGAAGGGCGGTCAAGGCGTTGACGTAGAGCCGTTGTGTCATCTGTCGGCATCATCTGATGATGATCAGCGGTAGTGTCCTCGGACTCGATAACGCGCATCGCTGATGAGGCAGACCGACCTGGAGCTGTTCGTGATCCCAGGGGGATATGCCTGCGCTGACGGCTTCCCTCGCTTCGTTGAGCTGGCTCTCGGTCTGTTGCAAACTCATGCGGAGGTTCGAGTTCTCGCACTCCAAGTGAAAGAGGCTTCCTTTCAGTGCGAGTCGTTCAGCACGGAGACTGGTGACGGTACGTTCGAGTTCCGAGTTGGATCTGTGGTAGCACATCGTCCGAGGTCAACGCGGTGGTCCGACGAGTTGGGTCAACATGCCAGACACGCGTCGGCGCGCGCGCTGCTGCTACGCAAAGAAGGGCGGCAGAGTACTGACTTTGATAGTATCGAGTTCTTGTGTATGATTTCCTTGTTCTGCTGCATATGTTTCTTCTTGACTGTGCGCGACGACGCCAAGACGTATGCAGGTGGGCGGTGGGCGGCGCGTCAGTTTCGACGATCGTTCAACCGGACAGCCCCGACAGGGCGCTGATCACATGAGTTGCGGGCGACAGTACCGGTACTGACAGGCATCGTAGGCTTCAATCATGGGACCCATGCCATTGTTTCCCGCTGACGAGGCACCCGAGAGGCGACGGGTCGTCATGGTCCGTTGTGCGTTGTCCGTCGTCGGCCTGTGTCGATCCCGGGTTGGGTGGCGGATTTCGCGAAGGTATTTAAGCCGTGGGGCAAGCCGCAGGCCAGCGCGAGCGGCGAGCCAGGGAGACGGCGACCGATTTCACAATGCAAGTCAGAAATTGCCAACGTCAGCTCGCTGTTTGGAAGGCACATTCCCAGCCAAGGTACACCAGTATTTTTTGCTGGGAAAGATAGAGCTCAAAACATCCTTCCTCAGTCATTGAATGGATAGGCTACGAGTAGATCTAAAAGCTCGGGTCGCCGAGCATGATCATGGCAGGCCGACAAGGCTGGTCCGAGCAGGTCCGAGCTCAGGCTGGGTCCGAGCGCGGAATTGACGTCGCGCCAATATGATCGTGAACTGACGCGCCCGAGGGCTTGTATTGGCCTTTGCGCTCATGCTCCTCATCCCGCCCCACAGCACTTGCCCGGCCAGACAACTCGTCAACACTCATCATCATGAGGCAAGTACGAGCGAATGGAGCTCCCCTCCTTCACCTGCATCCCACTGACTAGTCGTGTGGTTTGATACAGCGCGACGCGAGCGGGCTTCACCGCGCAGGATTACGACAACGCCGCCGCGTTTCTCAAGGACTATCCGCAGCAGAAATGGCATGTATGGAGCGTTCAGAAAGCCTTGTCAATAGCCGTAAGTCGAAAAGGCTCGCCACACTTGATATATCCATCACGAGCTGCATCTCAGCTTGTTTTGGCTTGGCTCGCCCAAACCGATCGGGCGCCTCAGGCTGACTGGGGGCTGCTCTCCGCTCTGGACCCTTGCGCGTTCACCCCTTAGCATCCCGAGGTGAGCAGTGTTAGTTCGCATAGTTGGGTTGACTAAGCGAAAGACTGAACCGTTTCTCACGACCGCGAGCCATCGCAGCATACCCAGCAATCGTGGCATTCCCATTGGCGAGCTTCGAACGGTGTAGGCGCGGCCGAATTATCCCAGCGCATAAAGAAACTACGCGAAGCCGAGCGTCAGGCTAGAAAGAAAAGCACCTCGGCTGATGCAAAGACATCGTCTGTCGCATCGACATCGAAAACGACCGGATCGGGGCCGAAGGGCGATCCGGGCCCCTCGGATTCGGACGACTCGGACGATTCAGACGACTCTGATGATTCCGACGACGACAAGAGCAACATGCAAGCCGCTAGCAAGACCAAGTACACCCGACAAGACCTGTACAACCTCATTCGTGAGATCCACACGGTAACCAAGTCCGGCGGTCTGAAAAGGGACATTTACGTCAACCTCGCGACCAAGGCAAGTTCCGACTCGCCCTGGTGGGTCACGTCGCTGCCTTCCTTCGCAAGCTAATCTTCCTTGTCCTGCGTCACCCGCCTTCGTTCGATTGAGTAGTACCCCGTACACTCGGCGACTTCGTGGCAAACCTACCACCGAGACAACCGTGCCGAGGTCGATAAGTGGGCCAAAAATCTAATCAGCGGCAAGAAGACGAGGAGCGACTTGCTCAATTGGTTGAACAAACAAATCGAGGCCGACAAGCACAGGAACCCAATATCGCAAGGGACGCAACGAGCATCACCACCACCACCATCTGCAGCACGATCACGTACGAGCAACTCGTCTTTGACGCAACAGGAAGAGACAAAGCCTTTTGCCAACGTCGATAGGAAGGGCAAAAAGCGGCAGGCGGCGCAGGGTCTCGAAACCGACTCTGACGATGACGGCGACGCCAGGAGGGCGCGTCGAAAGAGCGATCAAGCTCGGAGGAAATCGACCGAGGAGACAGCGACACCGCTAGCATCAACTGCAGCTTCGACATCGAACACTGCAAACACCGCGGTGTTCACAGACGCCGACGAGCGAATGTTGGTGCTGGAGCTGGCTGTCATTGAGAATGAGGACCGAGAGCGATCCGAAGCGTGGCCCGCACTGGCAAAAAAGGTGACTCTCATCTCGTCCCTATTCCTGCACAGAGACCGATGCTCATCTACTTTTACTATATTTAGACTTCTCGACATACCGCACAACGATGGAAGGAGTACTTCACCACCAACAAGATCCGATTGCTTCCCCGAGTAACGAATGCGGCGCGTGATCTTATGCTTGGCCGAAAACCGACGGTCGAGAAGGAAGCTGCACCGGAGCCAATACCCACTTCAAGCAAGGCAGCAGCAGCATCCTTACCGGCACTAGCACCAGAGCCGATAGTAGCACTACCAGATTCGGCACTCGGCAAGAGTGAACCCCAGAAGAGCGCCCTGCCAGCGACCAAGCCCCCCGGCAAACCGCTCGTGCCTTTGTCGTCTCTACACCTACCAGCAGCGGAATCAGCAACACCAACTCTACCGGCGGTAGTATCAGTATCAACATCAACACCATCATTAGCACTAGCTCCAGCTGCTCCAACAGTGGAGCAGCTGCAGAGTCCCGATATACCACCCGCAGCCACAACGAGTGCTCAGAGCCTTCCCGCATCGGGACCGAAACAACGCGCACAGACACCCGAGGTCGATGCTGTCGTCGCTACCTCGACCGCCTCCCCGATGAAACTTTCGCAACCCAAAGATACTACGAAATCCACTTCTCTTAAGACTGCTTCAATGCCCTCGCTCGAAACCCCCGTGCCTCAAGCAGAAGACTCGACCGGACGCCCCAAAACAACGACACCGGCAATGTCCCCCACGAAGCAGGTCACGGTACTCACAGCGCCGGTAACACAACCGACGAATGCGACGACTGAGGCATCGCCTGAACTCGGAGGCTCGGATACGGGACCTGCACCTGGCCCGACACAAGCGGGTCCGTCGACTCAAGCCAGGATGGATGATCCCCAGCCCTCGCCTCCGACCCCGAGTGCCACTCCTCCTCCTTGTGTGCCGCATGCCGATTTCAGTAGAGACGTATCTGGTGATGCGCTGATGGTAGCGTCGGAGGGCTCCCCGAGACGGCCGTCCCCTTTCCTCGGCGAAAGCCAAGATTCGGTGCCTACTCTTTCCGCTCAGCTTGGTCCTGCACCTGCTGGCTCGACGACAACGGTTCAAGTTGTCGAATTTGAATTGACAAAGACGAAGTTGACCCAGACGACAGTGACGAATGCTTCTAGTACTGCGGTCCCTATGGAAGTCTTGTCACAGCTGCAGGACGAGGATGATCGAAGGATGGACGCACAATTGCAAGCTGCTGCTCTCAACGGCGTTCATCGACCGCTCGTGCTGCTGGGGACGCCACAACCCGTAGCCGGGGTCAACTGGACGTCCACCACCGGTCCCAACTCGAGTACGAAACCGTTCGAGTCACATCAAGCCGAGTACGACTTCCTCGAGACGTATCTCGACTGGCGACAGGTCAACTGGTTCGACGACGCCGAGCAAAAGTTGGAGGAGAGGGAGAAAGCCAAGGCTGCGGTCGAGGAAAGGGAGAGGGAGAGGGTCCGGCTCGCTGCTGAGCAGATGGTTCGAACGGCTCAGGAGAAGCAACGACGCGACGAACGGCTGAAAGCCCAGAAGGCGGCGGAAAATAACCGACTGGTTGTGAAGACGAATCGGGAATACGAGGCGCGGATCGCGGCGGAAGCGGCTCAGGAGATGGCCTCCAGGGTCGCGGATATGGAGAGGAGGAAAGCGGCCGAGGAAGCTGCTGACGCGAAAAGGTCTTCTCCGATGCCTCTGGCGAGGAGGGCGAGTCCGATGTCTCAGCACCACAGCCCAGATGCGATGCGATCTCCTTCCATCTCAAGATTTGGCGGCGAGCCGATGTCAAGTCGCAAGAGACCGAGGGCAAGTCTGGAGCAGACCTCATCGCGAAATGTTACCCCACAACATCAGCCGTCTTCTCAAAATGGTACACCGAAACAGCACCCACCCTCACGTCTCCTACCGGAAGAAACATCGAACGCAAAGCGTCAACGACTTTCGTCGACCCCCCGGCCCTCCCACAGCGGCCCCGCCCCTTGCGCCGCTACACCGCTGTCACCCAAAGTCAAGGTGGAATCCGACCCGGTCGCAGAAACATCTGGAGCCGACACCGGGCTAGAATTGAAGGACAGCATGAGGGTTTTCGCCAAGCGCTACGGCCTCAAGCAACGCCGCGCCTGCGATTTGTATTTCGCCATCTCGGCCCCTCCTAACTATGAAGGCCTCGATCTCGCGTGCCAATGGTTCACCCGAAGGAAGGACGGGACGTACCCTTTTCGACCTGGACCCGGGACGGAGGATCATGACCTGCTCAAGAGATGGATCGAGAAGAATGCGTGGAGCTATGATGATGATGTCATTGTTTTGGATGGGACGCCTGAGGCGCATGCGCAGATTGATCAGCGGAGGGGGAAACGTGCGGCGAGGTACAGGAGGCAGTTCTTAAACGAATATGGCGTCTTTTCCGTTAGGGACCTTGAGAAGCGATGGCCGTTCCTTTGAAATGATAAGTAATGAGATGGAACTCTATTTGTTCATGTGCCTGGGCCGAGGGCACGATGACGGCCGTGACGGCCGGAAGGGAGGTCCGGTGGTCAACAACTCTCGTCACTGTCAAAATGTCACCTTGTGTCCGACGCCGTCACCAAGGTCCAAATCAATGCTGACGATGCCCCGAACGATGTTAACAATATCCATAACGAATCTTGTCAAAATGTGAGCAAGACCCAAGTCTTGTTACTTTCGTCACCTCTGTCACTTCTTGTCACTGTTGTCACCTCTGTCACTTATTCTTGTTACTTTTGTCACTCACCAGTGCGAACCCGTTAAATTAACGGGAGGGTGAAATTCAAATAGCAGGAGAATCGAACAGTCTACATGATTTCAACAGAGGCTAAGAAAACACACTATAAAGTACAGCAAAGAAACAGTTTTCCATTCATCGCCCAAACAGCCTGCCCGTTGCTTGTTGCCAAAAACGTCGTCGCAGAGTCGGTTCAACTTGGCTTCAAACACTCGTGCAATGAGATCCGGTGCTTGGTCGCTCGGCCCCAGTGCAGCCTTGATTTCCGGCCATTCGGGGTTGCACGTCACCGTGATGAACAGCGAAGGCTTTCCATATTTGACGACGCACGCCATCGCATCTTGGTAATGCTGCGTGTTCTCGCGCGGTCTATTCTTGAACGTTGAGCTTAAAATCACTGAACATCCAATTTGACCGGGGTCAAGCTGATGATACCTTGGCCCGTGGTGAGGCGGAGGTTTTCTTGATGCAATTGGAGGTAAGTTGAGTCGATCGGTCTCGACGTGGGAGTATCCGTCATCACGAACGCCAGGAAGGCACGTTGGGTGCAATGCGGGATTGAGAAGTACTCGTCGCGTTTGTGCAAGTAGTACGCAAAGAATTGTGAACGCGAGACTCGCCACTTCGACCCCCTTTATTTGAGCTTCGTCCTAGGTGTTAAAACGTTACATGTCAGTCTGTGCGTGCGCCTTAACAAAATGGAACATCCGAGAAAGAGCCGAAGGCGCTTAGGTTCACCATCACCATTCTCTTCGTCCCCTTCCTCCTCGTCTTCATCCTCTTTGTCGGCGAAGGGTGACCCAGCTTGGTTGGAACTGCAAAGAGGAATGTTGGGGAGGCAGTTATCTTCTCCTGCAGGGAATAGGAGTGGGGAACGGAGAGGCATCGCAGACGGATGGAGCAAGCTAACAACTTGGTACTTGGGCCGACCGTCGGGACATTGATCACCGTGCGCCTGAAGATTAAGGTCTTGCGGTCCACGACCTCACATGTTGGCGTCGGAATCGCAGATAGGCATCGCCATTTCCGTGCTCCACGTAGGAAGGTTGTGGGTGCGTCGGTCCCGGCCAGGTGTTAGACAGAGGCGCAGGACCCATTCTTTGGCCGTAACCCAACCTGCGCGGGCTTTGGCCGATGCGAGCTCCCTCACAAAGCGATGTCCGGTGCCCAACATGGAGTCGAGCTTGGTCAAAGTAGATCTTTGTATGCGACTGTCTGCGCCGTCGGGTCCAAATTGAGTGTCGGTGGCCTCGGCCGGGCAGATGAGCCATGTTTTGGCAAAGGTTGGGCCCTGATTGACGGCAGGAATTAGGGCGCCGAGAGTGCCCGAGCCAATGGTAAAGGCGACGAAATACCTGAAACATGCGGGGTCCTTGAGTGCCTGGTCGAGTCTGGTCAAAGTGGGCAGCGAGCGAAGTGAACGACAGCGCGTTGTTGTACGACCGGGCATTCTCGCGGAACGCCGGAATGCCTTAGCTTCTGTGTAGGTGTGTCGCACAGTTCAGCATGTGGGTCTACTACAGACGAATGTCGTTGGACGGAGGGACTGAACGCTATCCGAGCCTTCAAGTAGCTGTTGAAAGTCGGGATTAGGCCGGAAAGAGGGAGGTAGCTGTCTGTACCTTGCCCTGCGAGCAGCACGTGCTGAACTGTCCGGTCGACTTTGTCCTTTCGCACTCCCAGTGTCGAGCCTTGCAGTGGGTACACACGGTCATCTGGGGCCGAGGTAGTCGCGGATGGGAACGTGGGGCTTGAGTGGTTTGAGCGCGATTCAAGGCCTGTGCACTTGCTCTGCGCGGGAAGAGGTGGTGGTGGGGCGAGCTCAGCAGTAGCTCAGCGTCGGTTCGGCCATCGGGCCATCGCGCTGACCACGCTGTCCGTTCTACAAAGCTGTACGGCGGACGCTTATACGGGTCGCAATACCAAGATTGGTTGGGTTGTTGCCATGACGCGCGGGGAGCTGATTCTGTTGATGGGAGCGGGACGAAGAGGAGAGTCGAGCAGCGGGCCCTCGAGCAACCTCGAGCAGTACGACGGTACGCTATCGTACGACAGGCTCGCGCCAAAGACTTGGCGCGGTTGTCACAAAAATTCGATGAGAGTGGGAGGGAAAAGGCGAAAATTGGAGAGAGTAGCGCGGGAGTATTCACAGCGCCCGCCTGAACGTCATGTTGTTGTTGAGTCCCTAAAACCGGTGTCGGGATGCAAAAAACACGTCACGTGATCGTCGGGGCATCGCGCAGCGTAGCCGCGCCCGCGTCCGCGCGTCAACGACAGCGAGACCACGCCTGAGCTCTGTAGAAGAAGTGTCATGCAAACCCACGCGCTTGCTATACATTAAATCCTACACAAACAGCTCAATAGTTCCCCACCATGTCAAAATTCGACAAAAATCGTAGTCGGGCTGTAGGTCGACTTTTATGGTCCAGAAAATGCAGAAAGGGTCGTACATGACTTCTGGTCGAGGTGCCGATACCACAGGCAGGTGCGGCAGACCCAATAGTGTACAGGTACATCCATCACTTGCGGCCTTCCGGGCCGTAACACAGACAAAAACTGCGATTTTAGGTACATGGGTCGCGGATCGACGTTTTTTTTTTTACTAGTTAGAGTAAAGTCACCGGCGCTCACTTCTGTCACGGATTCTCGTTGGCAACTCCTGTCAACAACATCCTTGTGACCAATCCTCGTCACTACCTGTCAACATAATCCCGTAACCATTATCCCCTATTTTTGCACTTATGTCATTAATCATTGTCACTTAGGTCACTGGTGTCACTGATGCCACCAAAAACATGGCATCAATGCCACGACTCACCATCGTGCCGCCGGGCGCCGAAGCTGCCACTTGTCACTAATGTCATGAAGAAGTTCGGTATGATCCGTCATCTATTCGATCACTTGTTCATCGGACTGTCAATAAATTGTATCTAACTTGCGGTTCACATTCAGTCACCAAGGGGTGCCCATGTCAGGAATTGGTAAAGAACTTGTCAACAAGTTTTCCACTCGCATGGGTCAACAATACTGTGTCAATAACGTCACCAAGGTCAACCATCTCAACGCTAGGTCAACAATGCATCAAAACCAATGTATAAAACCTGTCAAACTGCGTCAATAATGTATCAGTAACGTCAACAACGCAACCGCGGCGTCAACAATTTCAACAATCCCCTCCGAAGTGTCGACAAACTGTCGACAATCTCAGCAAGGTTGTCGACGATGTCACCAAGCCTGTCATCCCTAAGTGTGACGTCATGTTTCGCGATCGTGTATAGCTTGCACTTCAAGTTCTATTTCATACAACATACATTCAAAGCACCAAACCCCACGGTTTAGATATCCATGCTGACCTCACTTAAATCCCCCTCTCCTTCCCCCGCATCGGTACTGACATCCGGACCCGAAGCGAAAGGACTATCCAACCCCGGCGAGCCCGAACGGGCAGGACTCGCACCTTGATTTTCTCCACCTTGCCTCCTCGATTCGAGATCCGCATTCGCGCCAGCTTCTTCATCCTCGACATCATCTTCGGATACTGAAGAAGCGGGTTGGTCGGCGTCCTCGATTTCGGCGTCGAGGTCGACTTCGGCGACTTCGGCCATAGCCTCGTCGATCTGGGCACCCGTCGCGAGGGCGCCGTCGGTGTCCGAGATGAGAGGGGGTGAGCCTGGGGGTGGGGAGTTGGAATAGGTTGACTGAAACATGCGAGGAAGGGGTTAGCCTCGTTTCTTAGGATGGTGAAGTTTTTGATTTCTATGCCGAGGAGTGCCGAGGAGGTGGAGGACATACCTCGAGATCTTCTTCCTGTGTGTTTTGACGTCCCAACGGTACGAGCCAACTGAAACCAAAGGCTCTGATCTCGTGCATCTGCGTGTGGAGGAGACAGCCGACCGAATGAGCGAGCGCCAACGAGTTGAGCGTCAAGGCATCGGGTTCGGACGCACGGAGGAGAGGTGCTGTTCCTCGAGGTAGTCGAGTTGGTCCAGCTCATCCTTTGGGCCTCGAAGTGTTCATGAGTTCAATTTGGTCCAGCCCAGTTCATCGTCCTGCATCGACGCACCTGTAATGTCGGATACAGCGTATCTGCGAACCGTGTCGAGGCCGGCTGTGCGGACGGGTTGGCGACGCGAGGTGGACGAGGTAGGCGGGTCAACAGGGGTGGATCTAGCCTCGGATAGGCGGAGGGCGGGAGCATGTAGCTCATTCTCACGCGATGCTGAGGGGGTTGGGAGGAAGAAGGAAGACGTGGAAGGGGCGAGCTGGTCCGAGCTCCAGTGGATGACGATCAATCCGAAGCGAATCCGAAGCGCGTCGCGGCGCGCTGCTCCACACCGTTCGCAACGTTCAGCGTGGGCCAGCTCGTGGGCCTTTTTGAACCGTTCTGACCACTCTCACCCAAGCTTTCAAGAGCACACTCGTCTACGACATGTCAGGACTACCACCCTCGATGGATGAGGAACGGCTCAAAGTAGATATTGTCTCTACGGGCTCAGCTCCGCAACCCGCTGCTGACAGCGCTGATACACGCGTACCCACCTCCTCCAGGCGCTGTTTGAAGCCTACGTCAATCCATCGGGAGGTCGTACCCTCGAAGAACTGCTCAAATCCAAGGACAAGCTCAAAGGTGCCGAGGCACAACGACTACGTGGTCACTTCTCGTCTTACTGTCTCCACCCTGCAGAGTGAGAGCTTCCCTCGTCCCCCACTTCAAGTCCGGCTGAACTGAGTAATCCCCGTCCTTTCCACACTGCAGCTGTCAAGACCCCATTTTTGTCGCCAATCTCATGACGGGTCGACTCAAGGCCTTGCAGCAACGATGGGAAGACGATATCAAAGAAGCCACAGGCTCGGTCGAAGCAGCTCGCATCGAATGGGAAAATTGTTGGTCCACCTGGAGAAAAGGCGAACACGCCAAAGGCTTCTCTCGTGTTACTGACCGCGAACTCAATCTCTCCCTCCACCAGTCCGAGACTCGCCCAATCAACTCCCTATCGTTGATATCCTTCAAATCGGAGCTTGGACCCAGTTGAGCAATGTCAAGTCGATCCCGGAACGATATTACGAATGCCTCGAGTTCCTGACTCGAAAAGTCGGCATGTCGGTCGAAGGAACGGATATAGCCGGGTGCGTGTTAAGAGACAAAACTGTGTCTCCGAAGTCGAGAGCAATGAACTGATTAACCTTTTCCTTCGGCCTCTGGATGACCATAGCTACACCGCCTTACAACACTCGCTCACGTGCACGCCCCTTTTACACGACTTCAAATGGTCCTCGTTCCTCCTCCAAGCCTGTCCCGACCCCATCACCGCCATCAATCACCGCAACCGCTACGGCACAACCTCGATGCACGAAGCCTCCATGACCCTCATGCGACCAGGGGAAACTGAAATTCGGGCCAACGTCCTTCGATGGCTTTTGGAACACGGCGCGAATGCCGACGTTTTGGATGGAGATCATTGTTCCCCTCGGTCGACGGGGGGCAGAGTCCCGCAATTCAAAGAGATCATTCAGGAGTTTGATCAGGTACAGATCAAGACTGAGGCGTGCGGATTCTGTAGGAGGGGTGGGTTTGTGGGCAAGGGGAAAGCCAAGGATGCGAAGTCGGCGTCGGGGGAGGCCAACTTGAAGGAACGCACGCAGGGAGGGGACGAGGAGGCCGTTCCGCTCAAGGCGAATTTGAGGTGTGGGAGATGTCGAGCGAGGAATTACTGCGGTGCGGCGTGTCAGAAAATGGATTGGGCGGCGCACAAGAAACAATGCGTTGCGTTCGCATCGAATGCTCCAAGTCAAAGGGAGGTCGAGGCCAAGGCGACAAGCGAGGGCAAGAAGGAAGAGACGACGTCATAGATCTTGATGCTATCTTATCGTGTGCAACTTGAATGCACATCCCAGTTTGAGTGGGAGTAGTTTGTGAATGCCTGGGGCAATGAATGTGTGAGACTTTCGCTGGGGTGGCCATCGGTGAGCATCATGTGACGACAGGTTTTACGATAGCAACAGAGGTCAAAACAAACAAAGCTGGAACGGAACAAGGTTTACAAAACAATGAGCACGGGATGAATTTATGAAATGAGGATGTTGCCCCGGTAGCAAGGGGTACACATGCTGCAAGCTGCGGGTTGCGTTGAGCCGAACCCAGGAAAAAACCGAATCAGACCGTGGCCATGGGCTGCGGGACTTCAAGAACAGGCTGGAACGTCTCCATTCTAGCCCTTTGCGCCGCACGACCATTCGGAGGCGTCGAGATCTCCCCCGACAGGGACATGACATCCTCACTTTCGGCGGCTTCGAGCGCTAGAGCAGAAGGCTTGCGTTTCCTCCCCGTCGTTCGAAGGTCCGTAGAAGCGACCGGTGTCGCCGTCTCGATGGGGCCAATTAGAACGTCCATCGGCAACTTGCCGGCCTTGTCGGAGCGTTGCTTGACGCGAACCAACATGCTCGACAACGTCTCGTCCGAGAACTTGAGGCGAAGTTGCAAAGGATGCTCGGCGTCGACGTTGGTGATGGACTGGTAATGGTCGAGGCAAGCAACTTGCTCCATGTCGTGTGAAAGCACTTGCGAGAGGTAGCACAATACCTTGCATTGCGCGCATTGGTACTCCTCTTCGTCCAACTCGGTCGGATCGACACCTTGAATGAGACCGGGGAGCAATCGACGTAGCTTTTCACGACCCGCGAGTTCACGTTCCACCATCTCGCGATATGAAGGCAGCAGCCAACGCGAGGCTCGGGGCCCCTTCTCATGTTGCGAGATCGTGACCAGCAATTCGTCGTGTGAAAAGACTGGGTTCTTGCCGATCAAACGATACCTCTCGACGCAAGCGATGCCCGTCGGGAGCCAGTCGGGCAGAGCGAAATTAACGGCCTCGTTGAAGTTGAAGCCGTGATTGAAACCTGAATGATAGGCGCGCGGGAAGGTGATGACGAACTCGTTCGGCCGCTGATCACAAGCGCAGACTCGCACACCGTGCTTCTTCAGGCGACCGGGCGACATGAGCGTGACGAGCTGCCACATCAGATCGGGGTGCTGGTCGAACAGCTCCGGGGCTGCGAGCTTCATCGCCGCCTCGAGCTTCTCGTCGTCGTCACCGGGGATGCCGTACCACGTCTTGGTGTCGCCAAAGTGGTGGTAGTTGATGCTGATGAAAGCGAGCACACTCGTGTCAGACGAAGTGATATCTCAGCTACGACAGACAGTTAATTAAACTCACGAGTAGGTGTAATGATCCTCCTTGTGCCAGGCGAACGTCGAAAAGACCATCCCGACATAGATCCAAGGAATTGTCATGCCCGAAATGTCCGACTTGATGTACCTCAAGAGCGACCCAGCAAGGATGGGCAAGTTGTTGAGGTTCCATCCATCACGCGAGTAAGGATCACTCGAATGGATCTCAAGATTCGGCAATCCACCCCCATCATTCGTGTGGTTGACATCCGCGCCATACTCAATCTCGACCGTTTCATGGGGTGATTCGACGAGGCGCCAGAATTCGCGTTCAAAATGGTCCTCGACTGCGATCTGTTCAGTGAACTCGTCCACCGGTGGCGGTTCGACCGCCTCGCCCTGCGCATTGACGTACGCGTACCCTTTGGCCGGTGTAAAGTCCTTAGCCCTAGCCTTCTCCTTCGGCATGGGATGTTCGAGCAACCACTTGCGCTTGAAAGCATCCGCGCGCTTCTGGAACGAGTACAGGCTGTGCTCCTCCCCTTCATCGAATCCATAGTCGGCTCCGTTCTGCAGCAGGCACGCCTCGCAGAAGAACTGCGATTTCGGCACCTCGGCGAGCGGAGGCGAAAGGCAGTCGAGGTGGAAGCCGTGGTCGCAGCCGTCGCACAAAACGATACGATCCGGCTCCTTGTGTTTGGAGCAGATCTCGCATGCTTCACCCGGCGTCTCATTTTCCGAAGCCTTCTTCTTGGGCGATTCGCTTGAAGACGGGCCGCCCATTTTCACGTCGCTCCCATTCTCCGCGCTCGCTTTCCCCTGCGCCTGAGCAGCCGCCGTCGTCTCCTGCATCACTGCATTGAACATCTCCGAAGCCGAGGCGATGACGGAGTCGGCAACACTCCCTTCGGCGGGGTTGGCACCATTCGTAGCCGGTACCTCTTCAGCAGCAACACCATTCACGGGGATCGTCGAAGTAGCGCTGGCGGCCGCCTCGAAAGGGTTCGTCGCGGCATCCACGTTCACCGCGCTCGGATCTGGTGGTGGGGTCCCACCACTCTGCTTGACGCGGTTGACGTAGTCTTCGAAGGGTAAAATGATCTTGGAGTAGCTCGTCTTGATTTGCGAGCAGATCGTATTGTTCAGCGAGGTGTTGTAACCCATGGATTTGCCGACATAGCTCCACTTGCGCTGGGAAGATACGGCGTGGTAGCCCCCAAGCATCGTCACCTCTCGCTTGAGTTTGAACATGTCGATTGGCTTGCCTGCAATCGTCGGAATATGGATGCCAACCGAGCCTTGTTGACGATGGAAGAGGTACAGTTGTTCAAGGAAGTTAAGACTCGCTCGTGCGGTCGCTTCCATCGAGTTGAGCTGCTGCAGCCGTGTCTTAAAACGGAAGGTCTGCATTTGCGGGGAGTGTGTCACAAAACGCGACGACATATTAGTACTATACTCCGTCGATTTGTAATACGTACGTCCCAAACTGACCTCGGTATTGAGTGCAAAAGGGGGTCTCCACCCTTCCGGTGGGACGACTTTGCAAATGCCCCACTCTCTCGCCTCGAGCGCAATCTTCTCAATGTACTCCATCGGTTTAGCAAACTCCTCGATCGTGGGATGGAATACGGGAGCATGTTGGAGACCAAACATGCGAGCAGGGCGCGAACGAGGTCGAGCCGGTGGATTTGGCAACCTCGGCGCATGGGTGCGGATCGTCGAAAAATCCAGAGGTGGGGCGCGGGGCAACTCGGCGGTATACTTGCGAACGGGGTTCTTGGACCTCGATGGTCCACTGCTGTGATGGGCGTCGTGTGAGGTCGAGTTGGAAACGGCATCGTCATTGTCCGAACCGGCGCCGTTCTCCGACTGAGCGGGTCCCGGGTGACTTCCTGAGCGAGCCGCGCACGCGCCAACACCACCACTAGGGCCGGCGCCATTGCTGCTGGTCCCGCCGCCGTAGAAGGAAGCCGAGCCGATCGCAGCCCCTGTCGAAGCCGAAGCGTTCGAGTCGGAAGCTTTGACGGGTGAAACGATGACTGAAAGGGCTTGGGCTTGTTCTTTCGCCATTGCGAGCGCGGCCAAGGCATGGTTCTTACTGGCCCGGCCTCCTGCCGCCCCCCCAGCGGCCAAGGCAGCGGCAGGGGGAGCGGCGCCACTTGCGGCTGCGCTGCCGTTCGTCGACATTGTCGCCGCGCTCGACGAGGGATCCGCGAAAGATTGTGAGGCCGTGGCGGAGTCGTGGGAAGGTAAAGGCGATGTAGGACCTTTGGAAGAGCCTGGTCGAGCACCATGGGCGTTGTGGTCTGTGCTCGTTGCACCCTCTGCTCCGGATGCAAGACCGCTCGGATCGACGCTCGCGCTACCAGGCTGAGGGCCAAAGCGGGTCGAATCATCGAGCTTGATATCGAGCGACGAAACGAACGTTTCCCTCGGACGCGCGTAGCCAAACCTCGACATGATCCCCTTGTTTTCCGATCAACCACAAGGCCAAACTCGAAAGTGAAAAGCACAAGCCCTTCGCCGGAAAAAGGGAGCGAGGGCGTGAGGTCGCTCGCCAAAGCTAGAAAAGACTTGAGAGATGTTGGGCCTGCCCGAGTGAACGGCGGTGGGAAGGCGTAAAAGGGAGGCAGGCTCGCTGTTGGTCGTCGTCGAACCCGCAAAAGCTTCGAGTCGCCACGAGTCGATGCAACACCTTTGGACGCCGGAACGGGGGTGCGATCGAGTCGGGAGATGTTTTCCACGAGCCAGGTCCGGCTCGAAGACGTCCAAAGTCGATGCAGAGTGTTTTTCTCTGGGCGGGGGTGGGAGGTCAGAAGACGAACCGATCGACCGGCGAGCGGGCCACGCGATTTTCGAGCCCGGCCTGTCACTGGCAGTCACTGGCCCTGTCACGCCCAAACTCTCGAGACAGACATTTCAGCTTTGGACCGACTCGACCGATAAGGACTCGGACCCTACAGCACCCAAAACACCCTACACCCTGGCCTGTTGAGATCAAACGCGTACTCTGATAGCCACAAGCCATCCTTGTCGGACCAACAAGCTTTGCAACCTCCTCTCTCTGATCGCGTCGCGTGGTTGCAGGGTCCGCTTCGCAAGCATGCTCCGAGACCACGTCACCCACCTAGCTGGCACGGAAGGTGATTTGTGGACACTCGCCCAGAGTAAGGTACTATAATTGCAACAACAAGACGACGAAATTGAAAGCTCTGTTCAAGCGAAGCCGAGTCCCGACTTTTGAGATACCCCCTTCTGAGCCCACCAGTCGCGCCCGATGCCCACCTTCTCACAAACCTGCAGAAAGTCGCTGCGCCGCAAGCTCGCGTCGACGAGGGGGACGAAATCCTCCATTTGTGTCAGGCCGAGTTCGGTTGTGGCTAATGCTGAGGTGGATGGGTCAGGTCGAATCGTCGCCGTGATTCTGTCACAGCGGTTGCGGCGGAGAAAGAATCGAGCGTCAGTCGTACGCTACGCCGGACAGGATGAGGCTAGCAAAACTGACAACACGGGACCGAGAATAGCTTGCTCGGCCGTCGTCGTGCTTTGGTATTCAGACCAACACCCGAGTCGGGTCAACACCTCCATCGCGATCTCGTTCTTAAGGAAGGCATCCGAGCGTCCGATCGAGCAGTAGACGTGCACTCGCAGGTCACGAGGGACGAGCTCGTCCTTGATCGTCTGTGCCGGGCCACCGAAGGGCAGATCGATGTGACGCTTAGCTCGCTAGACTCGTCTCGATAATTCGCCTTTTCTCGTTTACTGACGAGTTGTATCGTAGTGAATCGCGAAAGGTTGTTCTCTCGCCTATGGGATCGTGTGATTGCAGGCGTTTGAGCGCTCTTCTTGGAATCTTGCAGGTGACACCGGGACTGACTTGAGTTCACGGAAGATGGTAAGCGGATCAAAGGTCCTGAACGCGGTGCGGTTCTCGGTCAAGCCAGCCAACCGGTGTTGTACGACGTAGTGGCACTGTAAGTATGAAAAAGTGCGAGCGGTCAGCCTAAGCACGCTGAGCATGGTCGAGAGCCGGCACGAACGAAGCAGCAGAGATGGTGCCCCACATTGTGTTCCGTGTGGCATCCAGTGGTGGCAGAGTGCTGGAACGCATTGAGGTGGCCTGTTTAGAAATAGGGGAGCAATGAAACCACCCTGCGTTGGTGACCCCACTACTCCGCCCCGAAAGGCACGCCACTCACTCAAGAAGGTCGACTTCCATCTACCCCTCCTGATATGGGTGTGCTCGGCGTACCAAAAATCGACCTCGTCCACCACCAGTTCCAGCTCTTTGCGAACGAGGCTTATCGCAAATCTCCCTCTCGCCATTACGCTCCAATCGTTTGAAAGTAACCTCGGCAATTCCATCTGGAGCAACATGCCCCTCGTCAACTGGGACAAGACCTGGACCCAAACCGCCCTGGGGACCAACCTCCCGATCGACCAATCGTAACCTGCGATCCCACCCAACATATCCCATTCGCGCTCATAATCTTCGGCCGCACACACCTCCCTGGGTGGATCACCGACGTAGACGACGTTGGCTTGGCATTCGATCGAGCAGCGCAAGAGAGGGAAAGCCCATTGCATCGAGTGCTTGAGTGTGTGACGAACCCACGATGACGTACGTGCGAGCGCGAGCGAACTGGGTAAGGTGCAGAACGAGAGGATATATGCCAGTAGCTCTGGGGGGAGGTCCTCCAGATGAGAAGGCATGATGGGGGTGAGGGTATAAGGAGCGACAGGTAAGAGTAAAACAAGGAGCGGTAGCCAACTCATGGCATGAAGCTCGTTCGGTCATCCGAGACCCGGCCTGATTTGGGCACTACCTAGGTTTATCGGCGATTAGCACCTCATCGAGAACAAAAACATCTCAAAGGTGCTGCGTATTTGGGAGTAGGTACTAGAGATGGGTATATGGCAAGGAAAGAAAGAATCCGGGGAACTACACTACCGGAAACTACATGATGTGGCATGATGAACGCTCAGAGACCCAAAACCTGAGCATCGACGGCCTCGGCCTTCCTAGCGTACGAGACCCAGAGCCAGATCAACCCAACCACGACAATGACCTTGAGGAACCCCGACCCAGGCGTACCCTCTCCTCCTGCCCCTGCCCCTGCTGCCGGTGCTCCCGAGAGTGTATGTCCTGACCCAGGGAATACGGGTCCACCTCCTGCGGAAGACGAGCTGTGTTTTCGGATCGCGGCTTCCAGACCGGCTGCGTTGGCGCCTCTGATCTCGTTCAGCTTGGAGCCGTTCTTGGTCAGGACGAAAGTTGGCACTGATTGAGATATTCTCATGTCAGCATAATGCCCTGTGCGCTGTTGCGCCCCGATTCGGAAAGAAAAGTCGACGCCGAGCTCGGTGGGACGTGGCGGCTCAACTTCGGGCTCGGGCTCAGCACCCGGGGGTTCAGGAGAGGGCGAGCGATGTTGTCTCAAGCGACGTACTGGCTCGGATCGAGTATTTTTGAGCAATATCCTTGGCGGCATCGACGTCGACTTTGCAGAAGGTCGCGTCGCGGTAAATCTTGGAGAGCTGGTCGAACTTGGGTGCGATCGCATGACAGGGGCCGCACCATGTTGCATGGAAGTCGATCTGTGCGAGAAAAGGTCTGGAGAACGTCAATCTCACAGTAGAGGACGTTTTCGGCATTGGCTAGCTCATGTGATGTGCACATGTTATGCGACGATGCTGTGCTGGGGCACGCCAAGTGTGAAGTGGGGAGGCGGCCAGGATGTGCTCAACGCCAACACTTACGACGACGAGCTTGTCCTTCTTGGCTGCGATCAAGCGGTCATGTTCGGCGAGCGACGAGAGGTGGGTGATGAGGGACATGGGGTGTGACGTTTGTGCGTTTGTGCGTATATGCCTGTGCGAGAAGTGGAGTGTAGGCGGTCAGGCCGGTCAGGGCCCAAGCCAAGCCGATCGTCGCCGCGCTCGGGCCCCGCTGCAGCCCGCCGCTGCTTTGAACGGCCCAATTTGGTCACCGCTCACGCGACCGCTCTTCTCCCCCCACCTCCGAGGAACAGAGTGGAACAGAGTGGAACAGAGTGGAACAGAGTGGCACAGAGCCCGCAGATTGAACTCCTGCGCCACTCACCACTCCATCGCCGATCAAGCCGTCTTTGGCTTGTCACTCCACCTCGATGGAGTTGCTGCTCACCCGAGCCGAACCGCGGCAGCTCATCTTGGCCACGGCGTCGCATGCGCTCGTGCTACGTGCCGTCTCGTCCGGAAGCGGCGCTGCGGTTGGCGACAGGGGCACCAAGACTGCGACCGCGTCCGCTTTGATCGTCGTCGAGCTGATCCCGAGGGACCAGGTCTCGAGTCAAGCGACGCTCATCAACCCCGTCATTCATGGCTGTCTCGGTTTGCTCAGCGTAGGCAATGGTCAGTCCCTCCTCATTACCCACACCGACGACGTCGCTAGGGCCGACCTGCACCCACCCCGTCGTGTGTCCGACAATTGGATCGGGACACTGACATGAGCTCCTTGGAGCGTGAAACAGAAACCTTTGTACCCATTGTCACGCACTCGACCACGCTCGGCACCTCGCATCGCTCCCTTGCCAATTCGCTCGGATGCGAACCCGTCTCGCGAATTCTCTCGGTCGAATTCTACTGCCTCAACTCGGCCGCGTACGACTACTATCATGACCCGGCAGGTGCCGCGTACTCGGCTTATGCGCGGGGTGATCATTTCCCTACCAACTCGGCCTACCGTGCTCCTGGAGATGCTTCCGGTTCGATGGCCGATTCCAACTCTTTCGGCCTCGGACGAATCGGCTCGTCGGGGATGGCGATGCACTCTCCTTCCTCGACGACGAGCGTCGGGGAACCTCTCGAGCACCCCTGCGCGCAGATGAAGAAGATCCTCTGCTCGGGTAGCTTTTACTTTTCCGGTGGAGGCGTCAAGACCTTTGACCTTTCGACGCGGCTGCAAGCGAGGTTGGCCAAAGCCGAAGCAGAGAAGCACAGGGGGAATCTCGACGATGACGATTCCTTGCTCGGCGGGGGTAGCGCCGGCGGCGTCAATACTCCACGCACGATATATTCTGCAAAAGGAAAGGAAGCCGTTGTTGAGACGACATCTCTGGACTCGTCGATCGACAAGCGCTTTCTGTGGAACACCTTTGCCATTACCCCATTGCTCGAGTTTCGCGACTCGTGGCCGTTCGAGGTCCGGCAGCAGCTCGATCAGCAGGGGTTCCTCATTCTTGCCATACAGGGTTACTATGGCACCTATGATCTCGCGTTGGGCGGACAGCCAGCGACGGTCAGCTTGATCTCGCGGTTGGGGTGGAAGAGGGCTGGAACAAGGTTTAACGTCCGAGGCATTGACGACGAAGGCAGCGTCGCCAATTTCGTCGAGGTCAGTGCTCCTTCCTGAGCCGGCTGAGCAAGAAAAGAGACTGACCCAATGATCTTACCTACGTAGACGGAGACTATTTTGCGAACATCAACGATGTGCTTCTCCTTTGTCCAAACGCGAGGCTCGGTGCCGCGTAAGTCACTTCCTCTCGGGCCATTTCCCCAGCGGTGAGCTGATCGCTTGCTGTTGAATATCCGCGTCCAGTCTTTTGGGAAGAAGGCGGTGCCAACCCACTCGCCCCGAAAATCAGCATCACCCGACCCCCCGAAGCCTCTCTCCCAGCTTTCATCCGACACTTTGAGGAACTCGTCGACACCTACGACGCAGTGCACATCGTCAACCTCCTCTCGCATCGTGAGCAAGAAGCGGCCCTGACGGACGCGTACGCCCAGCACCTAGCGACGGCGCAATCCCTCGACGAGAACATCGGAGACCGGGTTGATTTGACGGCTTTTGATTTCCACTCGAGAAGCAAAACCGGTGGGATCGAATCAATTCGGAGCTCGTTGAGTCAGATTTTGGGGAAGAAGGAGGAGGAGTTTGGGGCTTGTATTGTCACTTTTGAAGGGGACGGAGCTCCCCAGGTGATTACGGGTCAACGGGGGGTGTTTAGGACGAATTGCAAAGGTTTGTCGCGCACTTCCTATGTATAGGGACGAAATCACTGACTTTTTTGCGGTTTGCTCAGACTGCCTCGATCGAACGAATGTCGTCGAAGACTTCATCTCCCGCTTCGCCCTCGAGGATTTTGTGAGCAAAAGTGGACCAGCAATGCGAGGCGGTGACGCAGCGCTCTGGTCCTGCCATGGTCAGCTCTTTGCCGAGAATGGCGACGCCCTTTCCAAAATCTACGTCGGGACGGGAGCGATCAACACAAGCTTCACCAGAAGTGGCAAGAGCGGGTTTGCAGGTCTGTTGTCGAATGCGACAAAGTCGGTCGGGAGGATGTATCAGTCGCAGTTCGTCGATAGTGGGAAACAGAAAGCGATCGATGCCTTCTTGGTGAGTCGAATTCAATCGTCACCATGAAAACATGCTGGTGCTGATAATGATTCTTTGTCTGACTTGTAGGGTAATTTGGCCTCGTCGAAACAAGTGCGCGTTTTTAACCCCGTCAATGATCTCATCCGAGCCCGACTACGCGAGCGCTCCTCGGAATACACGACCTATGAACCCATCACCTTCTTCGTCGGGACCTACAACCTCAACGGCAAACCCCCGGGCAATGAATCTTTACTCCCTTGGCTATTTCCCATCCCCGACGCCCCCGAACCAAGTATGATCGTCATCTCGTTCCAAGAGATCGTCCCTTTGACGCCTCAAATGATCATGGCGACCGATCCGGAGAAGAAACGCAAATGGGAGGCCCATCTGCTTAGTTCGGTAGCGCAGAGATCGAATCCGCAGGGGGATTACATCCTTTTGAGGTCGGGGCAGTTGGTCGGAACCGCGTTGATCGTGTTGATCAAGAAGGAGATTGTGCATGAGATCAGGGGAGTTGAAGCGGCGGTCAAGAAGGTCGGTGGAATTTTCAACCTCACTTCCTGTTGATTTTTCTTGACACTTTACTTCGATTGCCTGTTCTCTGAGCAGACGGGCCTGAAGGGTATGGCCGGCAACAAAGGCGCGGTGGCGATTCGCCTCCAATACCGCGATACGACGTTCTGTTTCCTCACGGCGCATTTCGCGGCGGGTTATTCGAATGTCGACGAGCGCAACGCCGACTTTTTCACGGTCGAACGAGGCTTGCGTTTCAGTCGCGGAAGGACGATCGCGAGTCACGAGTGAGTTTGGTATGAATTGTCTATATCCAGATGAGAGCTTGTCGCTGATTGCGTTTTCTCGCACGCCTCGTACTCGTGCAGCAACGTCGTCTACGCGGCGGATACGAACTACCGCATCTCCTTACCCAACGACCAAGTGCGAACACTGGCCGAAGCTGACGACTATACGACGTTGCTCGAGGCCGACCAGCTGGGTCAAGTGATGCGCACACGACATGTTTTTGAGGGCTACTCGGAGGCTCCTATCCTGTTCCGACCTACTTATGTGAGTTGCTCGACGAGCTTTCCCCTTCTCGTCCCTAGGATCTAGGACTGAAATTTGAGCGACCCCCAACATCACAGAAATACGACAATTATTCCGACACTTATGATTCTTCGGAGAAACAACGCGTCCCCGCCTGGACCGATCGAATTCTATACCGCGGACGAGACCTCGATGTCACGCGCTATCAACGCGCCGAGCTAAAGGCATCAGACCATCGACCCGTATACGCCATATTCCAAGCCCGGATCCGATCGATCGATCATTTCATTCGTGCGACGTTGAGGAAACAGCTCTCGGAGGAGATTATGGCGTTGGAGAAGGGGAATACGTTGGACGACAAGTTGAGGAGGTTGACAACAAGGGATTCGGAGACGCCAGCGGAGCCGTTGTTGGTGGATGGTTCGCTCCCGGCGAGGTTGAAGGGGTTGCCACCGCCTTCAGATGATAAGCAGGCTTGGTGGAATGATCGAGGTACGTGCTGAGGACCCCGGCGTCCAAATATGTGCATCATCGCGGAGCTCATCTCTCTTCGCTCGAATATTCGGCAGATGGCAAATTGAACCTCGATACCGTTTCACTTGGCTCAAACACAATTATCAACGGGACGAACCCATTCGCGTCTGGCTACTCGCAGTCGAGTCCTCAGATGACAGAAAGACCCACCGTGCGACGGAAAGCCCCACCGCCGCCGCCGAGTTCTCAGCCGACTCTGAATACGACGCCTTCCTCCACGACGACCTCGACCATCGCGCCTACATCGTTCGATCCTCTCACGTCGGACAGCCCTTCTTCGTCGGTCCCTCCGCCGATCCCGAGGCGACCTAACCAGGCACCGCCGAGCAAGTCTTTGCTGGATGATGACGAGACGATGGCCAGTGGAGAGGGGAATGGGTGGCAAGTTATCGAGTGAGGAAGTGCAGTTTGTTTGAGTAGATGCACATATAGGTGTTTCTTGTATCTTGTTGTTGCAATTGCGAGTGCGAGGGTTGACCGCGGACCTAGATGCGGCTCATGAGGGACAGTTGTGCCAGCACCATGACCGCCTTGCGCTGGGACCGGACCGTTTGGAATCCGGCGGCGCGGAGGTGCGAAGTGGGTCGAACGTACGGCGACGGCTGTTCTCGCTGTGTCCCCCACCTTGCCGCTCAAGCGCTACCCTTACCCGCCACAACCATGCTCGCTCCATCGTCTCGAATCGTCGGGCGACTTGGTCTGCCCATGACACGGTTCGCGTCCCATTCGAGTGCATCTACATCAGCAGCAACAGCGCCGCCCTTGCCCGGCACCTCGAACGACTCGTCCCCTCTGCCCGCCGCATTCCGAGCCGCTGCACCGACTCCAGGATCCTCCTCCTCGAACTCGACCCCATCTTCATCCTCCACGAATGCCCCCTTCAACATCCGATCCTCGCAATCGAACCCTTCTTACCGGCCGCTTCCAACGCTGCGAGGACAGCGAGCACCGATGCACAAGTATCGCCTCAGCGTCTACTCAACCCGCAACAACACCATCCTCACCCTCACCACCAAGATTGGCACCAATGCTTCCTCCTCTTCATCGGGTCCCTCCACCTACTCCGAGGAGTCGTCGGTCCAAGCGATGGCTGACGCGGCGATGACGACCGATTCCGTCGTCGCTTGGGTTTCGGCCGGTTCAGCCGGGTACAAGGGAGCTTCACGAGGCACCTACGACGCCGCGGTCGAAGTCTCGATCAAGATGTTCAACAAGATCCGTCAACTCGTCGACCCCGTCAATGCGGTCGATGCGGGGATGAGGAAGAAGAACGCGTGGCCGCAACCGACCGAGCTCGAGGTCGTGTGGAATGGTTTTGGCCAAGGACGAGAGGCCGTGTTCAGGACGCTCATCGCTGGCAATGGGGATCAGGTTCGCGAGTTGGTTAACAGGGTTACCGATGCGGTCCGTACAGCTTGTTCTCTCTTTGAATCACGCAAAGATCGCTGACAAGTTGCGCATTCACTCGATTCAGACCCCGCTCAAGGTCGGAGGAACGAGGCCGAAGAAGAGACGAGTGTAAGTTCCCGAGACCTCTCCGTCCCCTGTCGAATGCATGGGCCTCATGTCGCTGACTTATGGGTGACCTGTTCTCTCTTTCTATCACGCGCACAGTATCTAAGAAATCCCTCGTACCATCGAATGCAATTTGAACTATCAAAGCTCGAACCAAAAGACAAACCGATTGCAAACGAGAGCGAAGGGATCAAGAGGAGAATCATAAGGCCGAGCTCGGCATCCACTGGACCTGACTGCCACGAGAAATGTCTTGCAGCGCAGGAGAGAAGGGTAGAGGGAGAACGAAAAGAGAATGGACAAGGAAATGTGGGTATCGAGACCGAACCGGTCAATCCCACACGAGAGGGGGTCTTTTGGAGCGATACCGCGGCTATATTACTCGCTAGCTTCTTGAACGCTGGCTCGCTTTCCGACACCGAGTCTATCCTTGGCGGGGGGTTGCTGGGAACGTGGGCAGTGTGGAGAACGAGTTTCCTCTCGATCACATCCGGTAACTTCGTTGAGGCCCTTTGGAAGGGAACCGGGATGGACCACTCGCTGATTCGGAGCTGTGGCATGGGGAGACGTCGGTCACCTCGTACTTCATCGGCACAGGGGGACCCGCCGCTTCGATCGGGTGGCGTGGACGGCAGGGTTCCTCGAGTCCAAACTGAAAGGATCAAACGGTGTATTTCGCAGGCGAAGAAAGACTACTAAAAGGACTAAGGTCAAGAGACGCTGCGGCCCCGCGCGCGAGAGCAAGCGTGAGGCCGCTGAGGTTGGCTCGAGGTCGTCGTGAAGCGTAAGCGGAGCGGCGCCTTACAGAAAGCAGAGAGCGACTCCACAGCGTCTCCCGGGCACAGCCGAGAGAGCTTAGTACTCAGCTTAGGCAGATGAGACTGTTGAAGGTTTCAGTAGATCTACCACTGATATCAGGAGCCTGATAGCATAGAGGGTCAAAAGCTTATTCAATGAATGGAAGCGCCCCCAGGTTCGACTCCTGGTCCAGCCGTTCTCTTCTTTTGTCGATCATGTCGGGATCATTGTTGATTCCAACAGAAGTGACAACCGATATTTGACGCTTGGATGCCCATGTGATCGCAGATCCCGCCATGATGACTGCATAACCCGAAGTTGAACGACGTCCGGACTTCTCCGCCGCATGATCGGAGTGGCAGTACAAAGTGACGTTGATCCATAAGTGTCTCTTGTACCGAAGTCGACGGTCGGTGGTGCCGCGGAGGTAGGGGAGAATCCTTCGCATTTGCCTGAAAAGTGTTCTGGCTTCGGATCGACGCAGCCTCTCGACAGCCTGTTGGGTGACCGCGTAGGAGATGTCGGGCCTTGTGTACCCGGAAACCCAGAGAAGCTCGTCCACGACTTGGCGACAGTTGAGCTTGAGATGAGAGGTCCCTCCATTCGCGTGCAGGTCACTGTCGGAATTCCGAGTACACACAGCGGAAGTGGTCACGAAGCCATGATTGGTCAGGATGGTCTCGATCTGGTGGCATTGGTCGAAGGTCATGATCCCTGATGCTTCATCGGTGGCAATCTTCATGCCCGAGAACAATTCAACTTCGCGCACTTGAGCTTCAACTGTTGATCAGATTCGCTAAGAAAACGTTGGAGATCGTCGTCGCCGGCAAGGACACTGTTGTCAACGTACGTAGATGCCAACAGAGTCACACAATCGACACCCGATCTTGCGAACGCTTCGATAGACGCCAAAATATTTCTCCATGCGGTGGAAACCCCGATCAATGAACGCAGTGTGGTACTCGGAATGCCGTCGGATCCGTCATTTCAAAGTGTCAAGGTCATGACCGGTTTCGGTATATCTCTTGACAAAGCGCTTTCGGGCAAATTCAGTACCTCGGTGTCTTAAGGAGCACTTACCAACGACAGTGCACGCGGCCGAAATGGGGAACCGGTCGGACGGACGAGAAGCGGCCAAGGCCGCTGGAAGGGTGAAGAGGAGGCGATTCTGAACGAACCCTCCGCTACTGCGTCATGAAGATTTGGAGAACAAATCGCAAGGGCGGGAAGAGTGGTTAACGGAGCGGATGAGACGGTGAAGGGAGTGAAGGGCTGTGAAGGGTGCGCAGGGGTGCGAACGACTAGGACGTCTCGGGGGAGTTGGCTTCTTGTTTTCAGGTAGACCACTGCTAGGATTCAATACAGCATTTTATCTAGCTCTCACGGTCTGTGTGTTTCCAGTCTCATTCATCGTCTCCAGTCTCCAATCTCAGCGTCTCGTTCTCGTACTCGGTGTCGTCTCCTCGGCTCTACCCCTTTCTCGCGCCCGCCCCTCTCGCCCCCTGTCTCTCGGCCGTTCCAGTCGCTCTCTCGTCTCTCTCACCTTAGATCTCCGAGGAGCTCTTAGTTACCCCTTATCCCTGACTTTCTTATAATATCTTTGATCGACCGCTTTGATATACCATCGCAGCGTGCGTATCCCACTCGCGTCCCAGCTGTCTGAGGCCGTACAAATATTTGCGCAGTCGGTGTGGAACCGACCGGCAGCTTGACCTGAAGAATCTCGGTGATGTGACCACGAGGTTAAAGCTGTTGACGTCGAACTGAATCCGCCGATACCCTTTGACGTGAGCTATAATGTTAAACATCGTGAGGGAGGAAATGCGAGCGGTCGTCGAAAAGGTTTCTCCACGATGCTTCTGGAAGGTCCTCTCCTCACGGTCCTCGCCAGCCATCGCCTGCGTGGACGTCGGCTCGTCGGGACTTCCGGTCCAGAACTGGTACGCCTCGAGCTCCTTGACCCCCTTGATGCCTTTAGTGACTCCCTAAACGATCGAGGAACGGTTCGTCCAACCGCCGTGTTTCTCGAGATTGACGACCATGTTGAGGGCTTGATCCCATTACAGAAGCGCGTTGAGGGGAATGACGTCGCCCAAGATGGTCCCACGTCGACGAACATGGCTTGCTCCTCTGCCCCTCCTCGACGGCGGGACCCTGCGGGAGCTCTCAAGCGCTCAACCAATTCGGACATCCGCTCGGTCGTAGGCACCACCGGCTCGTATTCCTCTGGAGTCTGAGAGGGATCAGGTGGATTGTTGTCAGCGTCATTGTCAAGGTACGGAGATGGGCAACATTCGGCGACCGGAGCTGGGACTCCGAGACCATCGGCAGCAACAAGACTGGCAGGTGCTCGACCGTCGCTGGCGACGGGCACCGACTCATGCTCGACGATCGTCGGTGCCAACCTTCATCAAGTCTGGACCGAACTCGTGCGCACCCGCACCTACGAGACAAACACAGGCCTGTTCGTAGGGACCAAGACTCTACGCGCCCACTAGAATTTGCGCTACGAACCCGGCACGAGTGTCTCGTCGTTCATGACCGAGGTCGAGCCTCGTCTCGGGGAACTACTCATGCAACCGCCAGGAATTCGCGTTCTGGAAGCAGCACATCGGCATCGGAACCGAGGAACTCCAATCGTTCTACGATACGATTGTTCGAGCCCTTGTACAAGAGCGTGGCGAAGCCCTATTGTCGAAAGTACTTCACGTCGACGATTTTGCGTTCAAGACCGTCCACCGACCGGCGGCCCGGCAACGATCTATAGGGCGAGGCTCGGACCGGTCGGCAGTGTCTCAGCCACTTACGAGTCCTCGGTAGTCCCAGGTCTCATCGATCACGCTGTGAACCAGAGGCGGAATGTACCCATCCTCGTCAAGCTGTAGTGCGGCGAGGTAGAACTTCGAGCACGGCGTTGCGGTCACGAATTACGACGCACATGGTTCGCGACTCCGACCTTGTGCGGCACGGCGCCACCGATCCCCAGTTTTACTAGCCACATACTCGCCGGTCGCAGTAGACCTCATCAGATGCAATCAATTTTCTTGAGGAAAAATAGCAATTCAACGGTTGTACAGCAATCATGGTCGTCATTATTATGGTATGGAAAGCGTAAGTGGCTAAGGACTGAACAGGGGACAACGAAGATGGACAAGGAGCACAACGACGGGGAAAGATGCGAAGAAGCTATGGACAAGACACATACTGTGTACAAGATAGAAGTTGCGAAGAAGACGACGCAGGATGATGTACCAGTACGGACGGGCGTTGCAAATGAGCAGAATGGACACGGGCCGGGGCGAGGGTCACTCGTCCTTGCGGGAGGGAGACTCAGGCCGATGCCAGTGAATGACCTATCATGGCGTGCAAAATAGACAATCAGCACGATTGGTAAAATGGCTTGGGGCCTATGCAAAGAACTTACCTCCACGGCGGCACCTCTTGCGGTTGCTCGGACCTCGGTCTCGTGCTCTTCCTCATCTTCTTCGTCCTCATCCTCATCCTCCTTTGTGGCGTCGCCACCATCGTCGTCTTCATCGTCATCATCGTCATCGTCATCGTCATCGTTCTCATCAGAACGCGCTCCCTCGTCGTCGTCTTCCGCCACCTCTTCGTCTTCCTCCGCGACCTCTTCCAGCTCATCGTTAGCGTTGGCCTCTTGTCCCGGCTCAATCTCGACAACCTCCTCGTGCGAGTTCTTTCGGATAGGCTTGACGCGTGCCGCAGCCGTGGGTTCGACGAACATCGGCCTCTTGCTCGGATTCAAGTTGAGGCCTAAAGGCCTCTCGCCCTGCTCCATCAACGGCGTCGTGGGCCCCGGTCCCGCGGATACGGGCGAAGCGGCACCTGTCGCTTTGGCAGCGGCTTCCCTCTCCTCCTTCCACGCTTCTCGCTCCTTGATCCTGGCCATCTCGATCTGCAACTCGCGTTCACGTTCGCTCTCGTGGCGCTCGCGTTCGCGCTCTCGCGATCCGCTTTCGTTGCGATCGCGCGATGCTGAGATGCTGGGACCGCCACTGACGGGGGAGACGCTGCCGGGTAATTTCGAGCCTTGGATGTAGTGCACGTTGATGGCGTCACTCGACGTCTGTCTCGACATGGCGGGTGAAGTGCTGCCGCGACTCAGACCGGGTCGACGAGAGGGCGAGGGCGAGGTGGAACGGGGTGCCGATGAGGAGCGCGACGCCCGTCGACGGCCAAGTGCTGGCGAGTTGCGCCCTTGCAGCGAGAGGTTGCGCAGGGCTGAGCCGAGTTGTTCACCCATTTCGAGGTGGAAAGGCTCGTCAGGCGTGTCTGCGAATGTATCAATTCCGTAATCATCGTAGTCAGTAGTCGCGTTCGGCACCAGTTCGCGGCTGAATCAGAACTGCGAGGCGAAGAAGGCGCCGAAGGATCACATTCGCTCGGCTGCGACGGAGCCAAGCCCCCTCGCCAGAAGAACGGACGGAATCATCCCTCAACGCGAAGCTCGCGCAGGCTCGACGGTCCAGTCTTCTCGATGGCGATCACCGAAATGAAGGCCGTTTCACTCCGTATATGATCGCGATCCCCACTGCTGATGTCCACGCAAAATCCACCCGAAAACTCACCCGACGAAGGCGTGGCCACATCCTTACTGACAAAGGGCTTGACCCGATTGGCGGCTTGCACCGACGAGTTCCTTCGTGCAAGCGGACGGTCTTGATCTCCAACCTTGGGCAAAGGAGCAAAATGGCAATGCGGGCTCGAACTGCGTCGGTTGTACTCTTGCTGCACGTCGGTGAGCGCATGGTTCGGCCCACCAGCGGCGCCGCCCGGGCTGTCACTGATCAAGGGCGACACCGATCCAGCGGCACCGCCGACATTCGCGACCGGCTTGAGACCGGGCGAGCTGACAGCCGAGGAAGGGGAGGTGATGGTGTTGTTCGAGTCGGAGAAGGCGCCGGCCGAGACGTCGCTGGCGGTGCCATCTGGACTGTTCACTCGAGCGATCGCCGCTTCGATCGAGAGCTCGGACGTAGGCGCTTCGAGCGGCTTGGACTTGTTGAGCAGGATCGAAGACGGCGTCGAGTGGTACGCCGGTGGGGAGACCAAAGGTGTCGTCGATCCCGACGAGGGCGCACCAGCAGCACCCGTGGCACCCGCCGCCGCGGCAGCGAGGTTGCCACCAGCGGGCGCGAAGTAGGCCGAGGTCACAGGAGGGCGTGCGGGAGAGGCCCGACGAATGATCGAGGGAGGGGGCATCGCTTGCACGGCCGACGCTGGTTGTTGACTAGGGTTCATGGCTGAGGGAGCCACGCAAGGACGGCCAGTCAAGCACAGACGAGGATCGATGCCGAGGTCAGGACAGGCGATGCAAGCGACAGGACGCAGCGGCGGAGGAAGAGGATAAAGTGAAGAGGGAAATTGACGGCCAGCGGCGGCGGGGAGCCATGGCCCCACCCGAGCCCACCCTACCAGTACCCTACCAGCGTTTTGCTGGCGGAGCAAGACGACTGGAGCAGCGTCATCGCCGTGTCAGAGTCAGAGCGTGACTTCAAAGCCATTCGGTGACCGAGCCGAGTTCATTTTTCAGCGAACCTGAGAGACTGTGCCTGGAATGCTTATTTGATGGAGATGTTTTTGTAGTGCAGTCTTTAAAGATGTAGATAGATTTGCACTTCCGCCTCTGTCCTACCGAGTCTGCAGTGTGCACACACCGGCCTCATGTGTAGCACAGAGACTTGTTGCTCTGAGCACCTCGCCTAGTCAAACATCTTCGTCCCTCAGTGGGAAGACAGCTCGTGTGACCAAAACCGAAACATTGATGTGCGTCGGACTCGGCCGGCAGGAGCACCCGAACTTCAAGCCGTGTTCGCATGAGATTAGATAAGCAACAAAATAATAAAAACTCGAATCCAACCAAACGAGAAATGACACAGATAAATATTCTACGATAGCAACTAGAAGAGCGATACAATATGCGAGCTCGTACACGACATTCTTATCCTTCCCCGTCGTCTCAAACTACGACGACTGCGTCGGTCTGCCTCCGAGCCACGCCCTTGCCCTTTTGCGCGCTCGTCCACGGCTGTGGCTCTACTGTCAAGCCCGCCAGATGGAGGTGAGCACCATCTTCGGGTGTCTGAGGTACATCTTCGGTACCGAATGTCGAGTCCGAACCGATCGAACCTTCTCGAGGTCCCAAGTCGAGTCCGAGGGCCTGCGCGCTGGTTTTGTCGTCCTCCTCTTCCTCGGAAGCGACCGCCTCCTCGTCCTGGGACGGCTCGTCCTCGTCGGCTTCCTCGATGTGTTCAATCTCCTTCGATTTGCCCTTGGCATCGGCCTCCATTCTCGAAGCCTCGGCCGCTGAAGAGGACGAAGTTGTCGAGACACTCGAGCCGGAGCGCTTGCGGACCTTGCCCCACAATTTCGTCAAGCCCTTTTGTAGATCCTTGTAGGTGTAGATGTCCTCGGGCGTCTGCCCGCCCTGTTGATACCATTGTTGTGGACCTAACAAGGATAGTCACACGACGTCAAGCAAGGTAAGTCACCTCTCTCGAGCCTCCTCGAATGATAGGGCAGGGAAGAACGGACCGGCGTAGCGAGCTTGCTGCATATTGGGGCGAGCGCCACCCCCTCCGGCACCTTGATTCGACAACATCCTCGCCCTCGACGCCACACCAATAGAAAGCGAGTTGGATCGATACATGCGCCGCCCCGGTGGTAGCTCGGCGAAGCGCAATCTCGCCTCGCGACTGCACGAGGTCGTTCTTCGACCGAAAGCGGCACCGCCAATGTCCTCGACGTCAGCGCCTTCGAACGGATTGCCCGCGGTCCTGAGACCGGTCGCGCTGCTAGACCTCGACTCAGGCTGCGCATGTGGAGGGTGTGACGAGATCTCAAATTCGGGGTTGTCGTCGAGGAAGTGCTGAGGCGGAGCTTCGGTCTCGATCGACGCGATCCGGGCGACGATGGACGGTCGTCGGCCACGAGAATCAACAATGCGGGGCACCGAATCGGGCGAACCCGACAACGGGGGATCGTCGGCGCTGCTGCCCGCAACGCCGAGCTTGCTGAGCAACGCCGTCGTTCGAGACGGGGGCGATCTAGACGAATCAGCGGGCTTGACGGGGAGAGGGTTCAACAGGATCGAGGGCGAGGGTTGAGCCTCGGGATCGTGCAAGGGGAGATGCTCGACCGAGGAACTGGCCGAGGAAGGCGGGGTCGGATCGTCCGCGGCCGTCGGGGTCGGCGCGGTAGGGGTGCCGGTGCGGCGCGGTGTAGTAGCAGCATTCACAGAGCTGATCCTAGACTGCGAGCCATTGCGTGAGTTCGTCGTCGTCGTTGACCATGCCGGGGCAAACATGATCTCGTGGTCCTGGTGGTTTTGATACACGCTTCGACGCGGATGGGGAAGGGGAAAGCGAGCTCGGGGGCGAACCTGGCAGGAGCGGAGCACGGCGGCGCGAGCCCTGCGAGGAGCCGCAGAGCGGCCGCGGGGGGGAGGGAGCGGGGGGCGGGCAGCTGCGTGCAGAGCGGGTGGAGCCACGCCTTTTGTTGGGACGGAGCGAGCCCGATCAGCAGCCGACGGCCCGCCGGCCGGGTCGGACATGATGGCTATGGACAGCGTCACAAGTTTCAGCTGTAGCTGCAGCACCGGCAGTGACGCACGACAAAAACCAGGGGCTACATTCGATGCACATCTCGAGTTTCGATTCGACACGACCAACAATCCAGGCTGTGGCGGATCGCCAAAGCGTTATGGAGTCTCGACATTCGACTCCCTTCGAACTTTGGCATGTCTCAGGAGCAGCGATCTCGCGTTCCAGCGGGACTTCCTGTCAGAGTTTGTGTCAGTCACAGTCGCCTTGCTCAACTAGGGAGCAGAGACTATTGGTCATGGTCCGGGAGCACACCAGAAGGTGATAGCGAATCCGGCAGATCGAGGGATTTTCACGGCATATGCGCAACGTAGTATCAGGAGAGTGCCGAGTTGTAGACTGGTCACAAAAGGATATGGTCGGCATTACACACGACCCGAGAATGAAGAACTGTCTGAGGTAAATAATCAGACTTAGTTAGGATGTTGACAGCTGGGAGGAAGGTGGTGCAGCCGGTGGGGCGCACGCCACCCGAAAGGTCCAAGCGCAAGCACGGCTCGGAGTCGCTCTGGTTTTGGGGCTCGGCGGCCAGGCGAAGCTCCGAGCCTCCGACCCATTCACTGCAGTTGGCAGCAGTGTGAGAGGTACGGTGCTACCAGTGATCAGCAATCATCAGCCGTTGTGAAAGTCTTCGCATAGCCTTTTCAAGGTGAAATAATGATGTTACTTCGAGTAAGACCAAATTGCTATAAAGATCTGACCCTGCCAGTCAGGTCGATGTCTCACAGGTTGAATGAAAGGGCGTGCCCTCAGCTGGCCAGAGCGGCCTCGACGGCTTGAATCGGCTCACTTTGTAGCGCCGCATATTCTTGACGCTCCTCCTCCGGATCTGCGCTGTGTCCATCAACATCGCCCCATCCGTCGGTCTAGTCAAGGACAGCGGTCTCTGTGTCATCACACTCACTCGACTCCGACTTCGGCTCCCTTTGACCGCTTCTCTCTTGTGGACCGCCTTCGCCGCTCTTGCTGCGGCCGTCGCTAGCCGTCGCTCCGGAAGCCTGAACCCAGCCCGTTCGTCGTCCTCGCACGGGTCCCTCACCCCCTGTCCACCTGTACTGCCTTCGACCTCCAGTCACGAACCCTGCAACATTGCTACTAATCGGTCATAGCCCAGCATGTCAAGTATCACCCCCTTGTCAATCATGTCGTTCGGTGCCTCGGCCGATGCCGACCCGACAAGCCAGGGCCTCGCCTTGCCACCTTTCGCTTCGAGGATCGTTGAAGCCGTCAACGACGATCCGGCTAGCCTGTCGATGCAGCACATCGCACGCACAGTACTCAAAGCGAAAAGGGTCGTCGTCGTATGTGGTGAGTCTCCCGCTTCTGTTGCTCCTTTCCTTGGGCGTCATAGCAGTTTCATGCGAGCACTGGGACCAGGGCGGTCGACGACGTCAACTGCAAGTAGCGAACGGGCCGGGCTCGGCAAGGGCCGATATCCCCTCGGCCTTGGCCCTAAGTGTCGTCGAGTCCTATGCCAACTGCGGCCGGCAAAGCAAGCGAAGTGAATGCACGATTTTTTCGGTTACAGCCCATTTCATTCACTCTGCGTAACCCGGAGTCCGGCCTGGCACCCTTGCAACGGCCAAACCAAGAAAGAAGCGGAGTTCTTCGTTCAACCTGGCTGACCTAACCCAAATTGTTACCCCTCCCCGCTGCCTTCGCTACGCCGCTCAATCCTCGAATTAATGACCGCAATAGGCGCTGGGATCTCGTGTGCATCTGGTATCCCAGATTTCCGAAGCTCTGAGGGTCTCTTCGATTCGCTCAAGCGGCAGTACCCTGAGGCGAGGCTCAACACGGGCAAGGATTTGTTCGATGCCTCCCTCTTCTCGGTACGTCTCGATCAGTACGGCTCTGTGAAAGTCGTCACAATGAAGCCCTGGCGTTCTTCTTATGTATCCGTTTATTGTACATTGATCAGTCTGAGCAGAACGCCTCCATCTTCTATACCATGATTGCCGAGCTCAAATCGATGGCCGATGTCGCTCAACCTACTGCTTTCCACTCGTTCCTCAAAGCGCTTGACGACGAGGGAAAGCTCATGCGAGTGTACACACAGTAAGACTTCATCGCTTGAAATTCGACGAGTTCTGCAGTGCTTGAGCTCTGCCTGCTCTCACTCACAGAAATATCGATGGGCTCGAGGAAAAAGCTGGCCTCTCGTACGGTCTCGGCGACAAATCCTTGCCTCTCCCGCCTCGACGAGCGACTGCTCGCTCGCTCGGCAAGACGTCGTCAAGCCCCTCCTTCCCGTCGTCTTCGAACCCACATCCGTCCAAGCAGTCCAGCCCGTCAGCCGCCTATCCTTCGCCGGCTGCTTCGCCGCCCGCCGATGAGGTGCCCGCGCCGCCGACACACTCCGAGATCCCTCGCTGCATCCCGTTGCACGGTCATCTCGGAACCATGTCGTGTGCTCATTGTTCAACAACGGTTCCCATCAACCCATTCATGCCAGCACTTGCGCAGGGAACGGCGCCGACCTGCCCCTCGTGTGAGTCGATCGATCTTGCGCGGACGGTCGCTGGCGATCGGTCGCGAGGCGTGGGCCGTTTGCGCCCCGACGTCGTCCTTTACGGCGAGGAGCACCGCGATGGCGAGCGTGTTGGAGAGATCACCCACCGTGATCTGATGGGCGCAAGACCCGACCTCCTCCTAGTCGTGGGCACGACACTCAAAGTGCCCGGTACGAAGCGCCTCGTGCGCGAGTTGTCCAAAGTCACCAAGCCGCCCGTGTACGACACCGAGGACGATGAAGAGATGGAGATGCCCGTTGCCAGCGGTAGCTCAACCTCGTCCAACTCGAGTGGCACGACCTCGTCCAAGACGAAGCGACCGAAACCCGCGCCCGTTCACGTCGTCTACCTCAACTACGAATTCCCCAAGCCGAGTACGGAGTGGAAAGACGTGTTTGATGTTTGGCTTCGCGGAGATATTCAGGCGTTCGTACAAGCCGTGCACGATGAGAAGGACGAGGGAATCCGCCGCGAGATGGTGCGACAGAAGGAGAAGGAACTTCGCGAGTTGAAGGCGCTGGAAAGGGCCCGCGCTCGAGCCGAGCAGGAGGTTGCGCTCGCGAACGTAGAGGCTGCCGAGATCAAGAAAAAGAAGATATCGGACAAGGCCAAGGCCTCACCTTCACAGGCGACCAAGACGGAGCGAAAACCAAAGCTCAGAGCCGAAGCCGGCCTCAAGGCCACCAAAGCCAAGTCCAGCCCTGAGCCCACGGCGGTGCCCGTCGTCGCACCCCCAAAGAAGGCGCGGACAAGTGGTTCGACCGCGAAGCCGCGAACGACAAAAGTCAACAAACCCATGACGCCTCTCCCGACCCCACCCTCATCGCAAGCCGCACCAGCACTGACACGGCAGACCGCTCGTGTCGCCAAACAAAACATTCCGGTCGAGAGCATGCTCTCCCCGCTCAAGACGCGATCGGGGACCGTCCGTAACACGGCGCCGATCAACAAGCTACCGTTCGCGGTCACCAAGCTGTCGTATACCCAGGTCACCTCGGGGCCCTCGTCCAAGTCGACACGGACGAACACCCGATTCTGACGCAGGTAATCATGGCGAAGTCAAGCGAGCGTGAAGCGTGTCCCCAAGCTTGCATAGATGATCCATCGGAGTTGTAGCAGTATATTTCGTGTTCGAGTATTTTCCTAGATGCCCGTAATGGCCTACATGTTGTCTTTTGCTTAATTCGAGCCTCCCCCCCCCCCCCCCCCCCCCCCATCCCCCACCCCCTCTCTCTTGCGCTCCTGTGAAGGGTGGTCCCGCCTCTCCTTAGGATGTCACGATTGATATAAAAAGTCAAGATTCTCATATACCACACTAAGAAGATACATGTGTGCGATTACTAAGTCCAGGAGTGCCGAGGCGGATATAGAATGAAAAAAGGTGGTCCAAACAGAGTGTAGGTGAAATGCGAGACATGCGGGAACCACGCGCCGGTGTGCTAGCCGCGATCATCTCCTCCTACTTAATGGCGTCGCCCGCCGACCGATCTTGCCGGTGATGCCGATACGACCGCTGGTGGAAGGCGATGTTGTTCGTCGTTGAAGGCGCAGTTCGTCCTTCCGCATGCCTGCAGGTTGCGAAGAGACAGGGCGAAGTTCGTCAGTCCCCAGGAAGCATGCCCCCGCTGGCTAAACCTTGAACCTTCCACCGGGCTTGAGGCCGGGCCCTGGCCAGAGCGAGGAACCTCGAAAGATCGAAAGATGACGTACTGAGCCACGGGGGCAGCAGTGACCATAGCAGCACGTAGGATCCTCGCAGGTGACACCGTTCTTGAGTGCGTTGCAGAGGTGGAACTATGTCGAGCGAGAGGGAGCGTTGCAGCGGGTCAGTCGATCGATCGTGGACGAGCTCATCAGGGGTCATCCGACCCGGCCGAGAAGGCCGCGAGGCGTCTCGTGCGAAGCCAGACCCTTCTTTTCTTTTCTCACCTTAGCACCCCGTCGCATCTCTTCGACTTGGGCGGGTGTAAGCTTGTACAGGTGTGAAAACTTGGGCAAGAGATGAACGCAAGGGATATTCAGGTCGATCAGCAATCGGGGTTTGCACACGCGGCGGCGAGATGGCCGACCGGGCGATTACCAACCGTCGCGGACCGCCAACTGACCTTGCATCGCGGTACACTGCAACTCCCATTCAAGTAGTGGCTATTGCACGGCGGGGGGGACTGCTTGGACATGTATTTTTTGGGGTCGATCTCGGGTGTTTTGGATCGTGCTGGGCTCTCTGACCGTCGCTCGACAGTCGTCGTACTCCATGCTCGTCGCGAGCTCGAACTCGACGGCTCGGGTGGTTCGTCGAACGGGTTGAATGACGACGAGATCTGCGGCGGTGGCGGTGGGTCCAACGGTCAGAAGTCAGGTTTCAGTTGATTTTTTCCCGAGCAATTGCAAAAGAGAACCCACTGTGGATCCTGGTGACCGAGCAAACGCGATCTGGCCCTCCATTTCGAGATTGATCCTAACGAGACGCGCGACCTCCTCTTCGAGGGTCTGGCACCGGGCGCTCCAGGCACGTTGCATCGTCTCGTTCTCACGTCTGGCCTGCACGAGCTTGTGCGTTAACTCGTTTATTTGTGTGTGCTGGTTCCACCATTGTTGTCGTTCGGCCACCGCTGCGCTCGACGTGCCGGGTAAGCTCGTCAAAGATAATCCCGAAAAGGACTGCCCGAGTGAGTCGAGCCGTTGAAGCGGGCTCATTGGGCCGGCAAAACCGGGCGAGTCGCAGCACAGCGAGGAAGCCGACGTCGACGCGGTGCTGCCACTTGAACTCGAGTAACTCGACGAGTACGCAGACATGTGAAGAATCCCGGTAGGAGGTATGACCACGAAGGGTGAACGAAAAGAGAAGACTGTGAGAGAGAGGGTGTACACGAAAGGACGATAGCCTGCGTTTGTGTCGCCCATCGGACTCCGTCGGACAGCTTCCCTTTCTTAACCACCCCACCGACGAGCCGCGAAGGCTTGACCCACACTATTTTTCGCGAAACACCGAGCCGGGCGTCGGATTGATGCGCCGCGTGCCGGCGCACCAGAAGGCCCCCGGGGGATCAGCTGTGCAGGCACCGGCGTTTGCAAGTCAGTCGGCGGATCGCACCATCGCCTGATGATCCGAGAAAGTTGGAAAATGAAAGGCAAGGAATTACCGAAACGAAGTCCTACTACTATGCCTTCATCTTGCTTTACCCTCTCTCTTAAAATACATTGTCCATGCAACACTGATCCAAGATGTTTGGTTCCGCCGTGCATGGAAACGAGCATCGAGTAGTAATTTGTGATTGACCTGCGACTCGCGATGAAACCAGGCACCCGGGGCGGCAACGCTTCAAGAAGATCGCCACCGCCGACGATGGTTCGGACTTTGCGGCGTCCATGTTCGGGCCCTTTTTCAAACACGGTATGAGACTGCGATGTATTTCGCCTCATCAGGGGGTACGAGCAACATTTCAGGCATAGACGAGTCTAAAGGAACCCGGTCCCACGCCGTTCACGTCAACACGGACTCTCGGCCTTTCGGAGCGCGGACGCCGATGGGGCTCCGGCGTGCGTGCGGCTCTGATGACGCGACCAGCATTCATGGGGAATGGCACGAGATGGGGAAACAGGAGAACTTATGATCATACTTGCTAGTTTCTGAGCCAAGTAGACGCATAGGGGTTTATTAGTGCTTCAGGGCCTTAGGCGAGGATGCAAATCACCGCTGAAGAGGTTTTCGATCGGCGATTCAACTTGAAGTAAGCTTTCCGCGGATGTCGAAGCGCCAAGAATGGGGAAGCAAGACCGTGAGATGGTTCAAGGCACCTACTGTGGGTGTATGAACGGAGACCATGAATAAACATTTATACGCGGTCTTTTCACAAGAAGCGAGCCGCAGTTGTTGCAGAAACGACTCCTGTTCTTGATCCGACTGCGCCTTTTCAGTCCGGCGCGGTCCTTACTTCCTCTCGGTAAAGGCACTGGGGGCCAGACGCGTCCTGTGGCGCCCGCTGCTGGGCCCGCTGCTCGACTTTCCTCTTCGTCCCGCTCCGATCAACAGAATCAGCTCCCCGCGCATAATGACAACAACTCAACCAATCTTGGTATTGCGTCTGCAGTAGGCCCGCATGCTGAACTGTGCGACCCACCTACACAGAAGCTAAAGTATTCCGCGAAAACGCCCGGTCGTACAACAACGCGCCGTCTTTCACTTCGCTCGCTGCTCACTTCAACCAGACACGACTGGGCACTCTAGGACCTCCCGTGTTTCGCGTGTTCGGTCGCCTCTATCATCGACTCGGTGCCCTGATCCCTGCGATGAATCAACGCCCAGCCCTTGCTCAGACATGGCTCATCGACCCGGCCGAGGCCACCGACACTCGACTTGGACCCGACAGCCCAGACAGTCGCATACAAAGATCTACGTTGACCAAGCTCGAGTCCAAGTTGCGTACCGACAATCGCTTTGTGAGGGAGTTTGCATTGGCCAAAGCTCGCGCAGGTTGGGATACGGCCAAATAGTAGTGGATCCTGCACCTCTGTATACCACTAGGCCGAGGCTGACGCACCCACAACCTTCCTACGTCAAGCACGGAAATGACGATGCCTATCTGCGATTCCGACACCATCATGGGAGATCGTGGACCGCAAGACCTTATTCTCCAGGTGCACGGTGATCGATGTCCCGATGGTCGGCCCACGTACCAAATCGTTAGCTCGCTCCGATGTCTCTCCGGTACATACTATTCTTCCCCGCGGGGGAAGATGGCTTCCACCCCAACATTCCTCTTTGCGCGTTCAACCAAACACTCTTTGCCAAAAGATCGCGACGAGGAGGAAGGGGACGAAGAGAATGGTGATGGTGAACGTAAGCGTCTTCGGCTCCTTCTCAGGTGTTCCATTCTGTTAAGGCGCAAGCACAGACTGATATTGAATGTTTGAACACGTAGGACGAAGGTCAAGTAAAGGGGGCCGAGGTGGCGAGTCTCGCGTTCACAATTCCTTTGCGTACTACTTGCACAAACGCGACGAGCCCGCATGGCACTCAACGTCCCTTCCCGGCGTTCGTGATCGAAGGATACTCCCAGGTTGAGACCGATCGACTCAACTACATCCAGTTGCATCAAGAAAACCCACGCCTCACCACGACCCAAGGCATCAACGGCTTGACCCCGAACCAAATTGGACGCTCGATGACCTTGGGCTCGACGTTCAAGAATAAACCGCGTGACATCATGCAGCGATACCAGGATGCGATGGCGTGCGTTGTCAAACATGGAAAGCTCTCGCTGCCCATCACGATGACGTGCGACCCCGAATCACCGCAAATCAAGACTGCACTGGGGCCGAACGACAAAGCATGCAACCGTCCGGATCTCATTGCACGAGTGTTTGAAGCCAAGTCCGGCAACAGGCGACATGCAGGCTGGGTCGGCGATGAATGTAGGATGAATAGATTTCGTTTATTTGCTGTACTTCGTATTGTGTTATTTTAACCTCTGCGCTGAGATCATGTAGACTGTTCGATTATCCTGCTATTTTTGAATTTCATCCTCCCGTTAATTTAACGTGTTCCCACTGGTGTATACTTATTTCCAACCAAAATTTCCTTATGCCACGTAATCTATTCCAAGGTTTGCAGGCATCAACCCGGACGATCCCATGGTGCTTGACCGAGATCGAGGGGAAACTCGAGAAGACATCAGAGGGCGTCTCACCGATCGAGTCTCGAAACTCACGCACCTTCCTAATGACCTGAGGAGAATGAAGCGATTCTTGACCGTGAGAAGACTACTGGCAGGTTTCAAAAAGGCCTGGAACTGTGGTTCAGGAACCGAGGTATCAGGGCCAGGGATCCCCAACGTCAATTAATTGTGGACGTCCCATCCAAAGTCTGCTTTCCCGCAGACGGCCGATTGGATGGTCCGTGCGCGGTATCACCGAGGCGCCGCCCCACTTGAGCTTGAACCTTCAGCCACCTTCTCTTGGCTCCAGCCCCGACCCAGTCACCATTCGCGCTCCACCACACTCTTACATAGAGCGGAGCTCCGGACTGTGTTGAGGCTCAGATCAAGTTGTCGAGCGCTGCTCCGCCCTGCTTATCATGTCTCGACGTGATCGCACGCGGATCGACTTCTCATCCCTCGAGGCCTCGACGAACGACCCATCTTCCACAACGCAATATCGCATCTCGGCGCTACTCCGAGGACACACCGATGACGTACGCGCTTTGACGAGTGCTCCCGATGGGACGCTTTACTCTGCGTCGAGGGACGGGACCGTCAAGAGCTGGCGAACGACGGCGAAGGAACCGAATGGACAGCAGGGGAGATGGGAGTTGCGCAGGACTTGGGAGGGATTGCACACGGGCTTTGTCAATTCTGTTCGTTGGGTTGGGAAGGAGCGCTCGGAGACAGGTGAGCTCGTGTTCAGACAGGTCGTGAGCGCTCCGCCTGGTCAGGCCCGTGATCACTGCAAGTGGAGCCCCGATTGTCGAGCTGATTCAGTCCTCACCTTTCGGGTGACGTTGCCCAGGCCTTCTCTGCACCGGTGGTCAAGATTCTTTGATTCAAGTCGTATCATTGTCCACCCCTGATGCACCACCTCGTACCTTGCTCGGCCATGGCCACAACGTATGCTGCCTCCACGCTTCGGCAGACGGGAAGCGACTCGTTTCGTACGTAACCAACATGCCTCGCCAAATCGGTGCGACACTCAAGGCTGAAAGTCTCCTATTGCTATTGTCCAGAGGAAGCTGGGATTGTACCGCGCGGATATGGGACCTCGACTCCGGGGAATGCCTTCAAGTCTTGACCGACCACACCGCAGCCGTTTGGGATGGGCTCTGCATCGACGTCAAGGGGTATGAAGGCACCGTGGTCACAGGTGAGCAATATCTCGTTGAAAATTTCACGAGGGAAAGGTCCTGATCCGACGTATGTGATTGTTGCAGCTTGTGCCGACGGCTTAATCCGATCGTTTCGCGACGGTCAACGGAAACAGCTTTTCAAAGGGCACGAAGGGCCCGTTCGAGCGTTGGCCAAGATCACCCCCGAAGTCAACGATGGGTTGATGTTTGCTTCCGCGAGCAACGATGGGTGAGCGAGAGGATCAGGTTTACTCGGTCTTAGTCTTTCGCAAGGATGTTGAGTGGTTGTGGAGTCTCGACGCGCACAGTACGATCCGGATCTGGCACCTCGACGGCACCGAACTGAACGTTTTGGATGGCCATGACTCGTTTATTTATTCGCTCGTCAGTATACCTTCTTCCTCGAACGGAGGGTTGGCTTCCTCTGGCGAGGATGGGATCATTAGGATTTGGAATGAGGAGGATGGGGGATTGGATCAGGAGGTATTGGTGCCGCCGCTCTCGGTGTGGTCGTTGACGACGCTTGCGGATGGCGATTTGGCTTGTGGGTGTTCGGACGATTGTATTTGGGTTTTCACGAGGGATGAGGTGAGGAGGGGAGCGGATGAAGGGACGAGGGTAGCGTATGAGAGTGGTTTGAAGGAAAGGGAGAGGATGCAGAAGCTCAAGGAGGGGATGGACGATGGGAAGAATGAGATGCCGAAGGTAGGAAAGGTCGAGGAGTTGGAGAATGCGGGTACGAAGCAGGGCGAAGTCAAGCTGGTCGAGACGGAGAAGAATGGAGTGCATGCTTTCATGGTGCGAATGCTCCTTTGGTTTGCTGAGGATTTCACCTGGAGGGCTGATCCCTTCGTTAGATCACACCGAAACAGTGGGACGGAACGACATGGGAAGATGTCGGACAAGTCGTCTCGCAATCCTCAAGGTCACCAGCCTCGAAATCGACTGAAAGGATGCAACACGAAGGTGTCGAATATGACTACGTCTTCTCAATCGACACCAAAGACGATGAACCTCCCCTCAAATTGCCTTACAATATCGGAGGTAAGCTTGTTCTCCATTCTCCTAAGCGGTGAACATCTCATTGAGTTGCTCGGCTAGCAAACCTGTACTTTCCTCCACCAGATGATATGCAAGAGACAGCCGTGGCTTTCGTCAAGCAGCATTCTTTACCAGAGTCATATACGTCTCAAATCGTCGACTTTATCAGGGCTTCCTCTTCGTAGTAGACCCCTAAATAACATAACGCTACACAAACTGCGATCCGCCCCAAAAGTAATACAACCCAAAAATGATCTACCCTCCCACGCGCAAGCAGAACAACCCTACGCAGTGCCTCCCCGAACAGTCTGCGGCCCCCTCTCCTTCCTCCGATCGTCCAATTCGCCCGTCCTAACCCAACTCTCCACCCCCAATTCCTCCCTCCCGAAGCTCAACGCCATCAACCGACTTGCCGTCATCCTAAACACCAAATCATCCTGCGTCATACCCTGCCCTCCAACGGATTTGGATCTTCGGTCGACAAAGTCGGCTTGAATCGTTTCGGACATGCTTTCCGGGACGCTGAAAGGGTCATGTTTGAAGGTATGGAGGAAGGAACGCCATTCGGATAATTTGACGTGGGAAATTTCGGGAACTTTGAGCGTCGAGGTCGTCGTTTGGGGTTGTACGTAGACGACACAATCCGTAGGGATGATCGCCTTCCCTTGTGAAAGCACGACGAAGCCCAAATCCGTCTCGAGGTCGAAACTCGCATAAGGGAACTCATACGTCAATTTTTGTTGCGCGATCGTCGTGGCCAAATGGCGGAGATTCTTGACGCCTGTATCGACGAGTTGACCTTGACCGATGGAGAGGGTGTCGACGAGGACGAGGGTGTTGGAGGCGAGTTGGAGGGCGCCGGCGTGTAGGGATTCTTCTATTGTTCGGGGGGCTAGGGGAGTTGAGGAGGAGTTGAGGATCGGGATTGTGATGGAGAGGTGAGTGGAGCGTGGAACCAGGGATGAGATGAACTGAATCAGGTGTTCGCTCGTGTCGGGAGCGATCGTGCCCAAAGGGTAGGCGAGGTTCAGCGAGAGAGATCCGAGGGCGAGACCGGTCGGGTGTCGCAGATGACTGTTCAACGGAGAAAGACTTCAGTCGACGGCTCAAGGCCAGAATGTCCATCCTTGCCTGCGACTCACATCCGAGCCAACAGAGCGAGCAAGAGCCACTCGGCCGCATCCGAATCACCCTGTAAGAGCGTGGTGAGATGATCGACCAGTTCCTTCCTCAGCGTGAGGTAATCCGTAGCTTTGTCGACGGGGGCGATCGGGTAAGTGACGGGGAGGGTGAGAATGACGTGAAGCGCGGGGATTGGAGCCGAGGGTGCGACGGCGGCGCCTGATTGCGCAGCGAGCTCGTCGAACGAGTCCGTGAGTCTGGACGAGGTAGGGTTTCTCGTCAGTCGTTGACAGTTGGGTGGTGAGATTTCCCCACTCACTGTGTCTCGCCAAGGATGCCAACAAAGTCATAGACATCGGTCGTCTTGATCTTGTCTGCTGCCTCGCCGTAGATCTGTCGGTTGGAATGACAATCTAAGTGACCGCACCGCCCACCTTTAACCACAGCAATTCCAACGCACCTTTGCAATACATCCGAAATGGCGTTCCGAAGGGATAGGATACTTGTTGGGCAGGCCCGAACCTGTCTCAGCGGAGCCTTCTTGGAGTGAAAGCGAGGCGACGCTGTTTTGGAGTGCTGTTGGAGCAAAACGTAGTACGGTCCGATGAGTTCCTGTTCCTTCTGACATGTTGGTTTCTTCTGAACTCACGTTGCTTATCCGATGCCTGGTGGTGCAGAAACAACCAAGAAAAGTCACGCGGTCAGGATTTTCCGTCCACTTCTCGGCCAGCGCAAGTGGAAAGGATAGGACTGACAAGTTTGACCCATTCGTTCTCTCCCGGAACAGAGACGATGTAAAAGCTCTGCCGTTCTTGCAGATTCGTATAATCCTCCTCCTCATGAACGACCTGTGCGCGATGCAACCATAGTCAGGTGTGAATTTCCCCCGCCTTCGATACGGGATCAACTCTCAACTCACGCCTCCGGATTGGTGCGTGTTCACCTGAACCTCGTCCCTACCAAACATGACGACCATTTCTTGACCATTCGACGTCGATCGTGTAGCACGGTACAGCTCGGACCCGTACCCTGTGTCTTGGACCATGGCGCGGAAACGGACGAGTGAACCGAGCGCGGGCAGGGTCGATGGAGTTGTGGTGGAGGTGATGAGCGGGAGCTGGGGTCGTTTCCGAGGTTCGAGTCAGTATGGTGATTGAACAGTGTGTGGATTTGAGGTGGCATGGGGGGGCGATGATGCCGTCACCGATGAGCATTTCATCGCCCGAACCAGGTACACCACTCTACACTCCCTACTCGAACTACCAAGTCAACCCACCTGATCAAGATTCTTTTCTGCTTCAAGCAAGTTGGCGAAACGCTCCTGTACGAGCTTGTCGAACGCACTCAACGCCAAAGTCGACCTGGGCAAGCGCGACGTCGAAGCTGAATCTCGCTGGCTCGAGCTTGAGCTTGAGCGGAGTTCATCTTGACGTCGTTGGTACAAGGTGTCGATGAGCTCAAAGGGGGCCGTGAGGGCCGTGTGCAGGTCGGCTAGCATGATCAGATTGCGGGTGCGGTGGGTGGGTGGGTGGAAGAAGAGACGCGTCCGATCGAGACGCGTCGAAATTGGTCACGCGCGTCGGGAGAGGAAAAGCTAGGAAAAGTCTCGGATCCATTTACGCGACGTCGGCCACGCTCAGGCGCTCAGGCAGGGCACATTGCAGCATGCGACACCTCCTTTCCAGCTGTCACGCAGGGGCATGGACTACTTGTATCTCTCGACCAGTACACGCTCTCTAGCGAAGCAGGTCGCGTCTCTCTTCTACGTGGTGTCGTGACAGGGACAGCTCCCTTCCTTGTAGCATTTCATGGGGCTAGGGGGGCTCAAGAGAAAAAGAGTTTATAATACAAAGACCCAACCACGTCAAAAGCGTAGTAAGAGTTTTTCTTTGTTTTTCCGAACCGCGCAAAACAATACATCAGCTCTTTTAATCCAGAGGTGTTTTCTTCTTCTTCTTCTTCGTCATCTTGATCCGCTTCATACGACGCCCAGATAATCTTCCTTGATGGTCCCGATTGCGAACTGCAGAGTCGATAGGTGCGGGTATTAGCGACGAATCATGTCATGGCCGTCGTCCGTCGTCGATGCTAGGACCTACAATCTCGGTCGCGTCGACCCGTGTCCCGACAATCTTTAACCGGATATGCGCTCCTTTTTCAATCGTCAACTGTGGGCACATCCCGGCGTCAGGATCCGGCACGTTGTGTGATCGAACGAGCCGAACAAACGCACATTCTCTTCTGCACTTGTCAGACATGGTGGGTTTGCGTTGGGGTCGAATGCGAAATCGGATGGAATCAACTGCGAGGAGGTCAAAGAAGGTAAGATCAGCTCGGGGCGCATGTTTCCTGATGCAGTACGAGTGTGGCTTGCATGTGTCGAGATGAAGCATTGTAACGGTCCAACATCCGCAAAGACGCCCATCTGCATGTGGAATGATCGCATCGGATCAGCAGCCCCACTCCATACGAACGGCGTTGGCGTTGACCGAGAAGGAACGGACCTTGTTGACACTCGCGACGACCCCATCGACGACCTCCCCCCTGAACGGTCTATACACGATCGCCTTGTAGGATATCCTGAACTCTGCGCCACCTTCGATGACCTTGCCTCTGCCGATATCGTCGATCGAAAGCACGGATATGATGTAGCCGAGTTTACCTGAACATGAGCCTTCGACGGTGTCGCGTAGCCGGGTGTGGAGGTAGTCTTTTAGAGCGGGCGTGAAGTAGGAAGGGTGCAGGGTGACGACTTGGACTAGTTCCTTCTGCGCAGGGGCGAGGATGGGCGGTGTGAGTGGGGGATAGGGGGTGAGAAGCAGTAAGAGCAGGAGGTTACTGACGAGGAAGAACATTCCCACCGCGGTCCGACGACGACGAACGAGACGGACAAGGACCGAGGGGGAGGAAAGAAGGTGCACACACCCGACAACGACGACTACTGTACTGGATCGCTGTACCCAATCAGCCGTACTAGCTACCTAGCTACGACCTGCTAAGTTGTTGAAGGGGCAGCAATCCAAACCGACGGGTGCAACTCGAGACCTGGAGCGCACAAGAAGGGCACGGTGACGCAAAAGGAGAAGAAGATGTTTAGCGAACCGAGATCGTTCGACTTTGGGGTACAGTGTACAGCTGCTGTTTCGGTTCCGTGTGCGTGCTCCGTCTTCGCTGCTCCGTCTTCCTTGACTGAACCCGGGCGCCCGGGTTGCCCCCCCCCCCCCCCCGCCTTCTTTCGCCGCTATGCAATCCAACCCCATCTACAAACGCAACGCACGACAGAGAGTGTGTGTGTGGGTGTGCCTCACCCCGTGTATGCGATGCGCAGACCGCTGTCTATCGAGTGTCGCACACCCCGTGTCACACGATGCACGCCTCAGCCGCGAGTCTTGACGGAGCTGGCGGTGGTATATGATCCTTGCGGGTCGTCGTCGTCCAGGCTGTCGTATGCAGCAGTCCTGCTCGACTTGACGGGCGAGGTCGGTGTCGAGCGTGTGCGGCGCCGTGACAGGGTAGAGACGGTAGGTGGTCGGGCAGAGTCCAGAGGCCAGAGGCCAGCCGTCGGTCGGGTGGCCCAAGTCCACGCCAGAGTCATTCAATGGGTCGACCAGCGAGAGCCCGCGAGGTAGCGCGAGCTTAGCGTTTGCCGACGCACAATTGATCGAGGCTAATGCTGGCTAATGCAGGCTTAATGCCCAGCGACTTGACGCCTCGCGCTCTGATCGTCGTCTTGCGCTTCTTTCTGCCTTGTTCGCTCCGATCAGTGTCTCCCTCGTTTCCTCTCCGGGATCGGTTGTGGTCGTCGCCGTCTTTTTCGTGGACGCTGCCCTTGTGCGCCACCATGTCGACCTCGATCGCGATGCAACGGCATACGCTCAGGTCGGTCCTGACGATGGCGATCCCTTCGACTCGACTGACGCGGCCTCTCCCAGCCGCTGTCTCCACTGCGGTAAGCACCCATGTCGTGCATCGTGGTCAGTCATCGCCCGAGCTTACCCTCTTACGATGTCGCTTCCCCAGCGTACCTCGAACGCCCTGTCGTCGCAACGGGGGATGTCCCGACTCGCTTCGACTTCGTCGTCGAGCCCCTCAGCATCGAGGCGTACTTCTTCCTCCTTGTCCTCCTCGCCACTATCGTCGTGGCAGCGAGCTCTATCCAACAGTACGAGTCAAACAATCGCTCGCACCTCCTCCGCTGTACCCACAACAGCCACATCCACAACACGGCACCCCTTTTCCACCTCGGCCCTCGCTCGCGCCCAGGCCACATCCTCCGCATCCTGGGCTTCACCCTGGGGTCGTTTCAACACCCTCTCCTCCCTACGCACCCAAGCCTCCAACGACCCTTCCAACCTCCCACTCCAACGCCAGCTCTTCACCAAGCTCCTCCACTCCCCCAAACCCCAAGACCAAGAAGAGCTCATCGGTCGCTACGAAGAATTGTCCGGATTGTGGATGGTCGAACCGGCGCCTTCGACGACGGCGGTCACGACCGAGCAACAGCTGACCTTGCTCAACGATGACGACCTGTTTGCGGCTTATTTGAGGGCCTTGGCGGCGAGGGCAGCGGTCGAGGGTGATCCGTCGTCATATTTCGCCAAGCTCAATACGGCTTTGCCGATACGACAGGGCAAACTCGCCTCTTCTGCGGCGGCAACACCAGCTGCTCCGTCCACCACCGAGGCCGCAGCCGCCTCGTCATCAACACCGTCGTCACCTTCGTCAACGGCATCCGCACCTACCACCACACCGGCTCTCACCCCCGCCGCACTCGTCACAGCTCTCTTCTCCGGCGCAGCAAGTCGAGGCAAAGGCGGCGATGCCAGAGTCGTTTCCGGAGGTAGCAGTTGGCCTTTTTCGTCGGGGTCGTCGTCGACTAGTTCAGGTGGCCCTGAGCCCATTAGGGTCGTCGTCGAAGAGGTCAAGAGCCCTTTGGCGTTGAGGATGCTGCGCTTCATCCTGATTACCGTTTTGTACTCGTTCCTGCTGTGAGTGCACGAACGGAGAGCGAAATGTTGATTCTCAGTCGGACTGACGAACGGGAGTGCTCTCTGCCATGTAGTCTCTCCCTCCTCTCGCTCTTGCTTGATTCATCAGGCATTCTTCGAGCCGGAGCGGCCCAAACTACCCCTTTCCAAACTACGCCCCCACCCGACCCACACGACCCTTCAGGACGAGGCACGACCTTCAAGGACGTGCACGGTGTCGAGGAGGCCAAGGAAGAATTGTACGAGATTGTCGAGTTCCTCAAGGATCCCGAGAGGTTCTCCAAACTCGGTGGTCGCCTACCGAGGGGTGTTTTACTTACAGGTCCGTTCATCGAGCCTACTCAAGGGAGACGATATTATTGCACTCACAAAAGGCTGACCTTTGGTAAACATCCTGCTGGACGGACCAGGCCCTCCTGGAACAGGCAAGACCTTGCTCGCTCGTGCGGTCGCGGGTGAAGCAGGCGTGAGCTTCTTCTCCGCCTCCGGATCCGAGTTCGACGAGATGTACGTCGGCGTCGGCGCTCGACGTATCCGAGAATTGTTCGCGACCGCTAGGAAGAACGCGCCTTCGATCATCTTCATCGATGAGATCGACGCGATCGGTGGGAAGCGATCACCCAGGGAACAACATTACATCAAGCAGACCTTGAACCAATTGTTGACCGAATTGGATGGGTTCTCACCGGGTGAAGGCGTCATCTTGATCGGAGCGACCAACTTTCCTGAATCGCTCGACAAGGCCTTGGTTCGAGCCGGTCGATTCGATCGCATCGTCGCCGTACCACTACCCGACGTTCGAGGACGAGCCGAAATTTTGAAGCATCACATGCGAAACATCCAATTCGATCGAGCCCAAGTCGATATCACCACTTTGGCCCGAGGAACGATCGGTTTCTCCGGCGCGGATCTACAAGCCTTGGTCAACCAAGCCGCGGTCAAAGCCTCGTCCGACCACGCTTCGGCCGTGCGCTCCAGTCATTTCGAATGGGCCAAGGAAAGGATCATGATGGGTGCCGCAAGGAAATCGGCTTTCATTTCAGAAACGGATAAGCTGGCCACGGCGTATCATGAGGGTGGCCATGCTTTGGTCGCGCTTTATACGAAAGGGGCTTATCCGCTACAGAGTATAACGGTCGTACCGAGGGGCAACGCGTTGGGGTATACGTTGATGCTACCCGAGGCGGATAAGAACTCGCATTCGCTTTCAGAGTATAGAGCAAAGTGAGTTCGCTCGTGGGCGATTTTTTTTAAAGTAACTTCCTCGAGCTCATCTCGAACTCGAACCCCCCTCTTCCTCCCCAGATTGGACGTGGCGATGGGCGGTCGAGTCGCCGAAGAATTGATCTACGGTAAAGATCACGTCACCGACGGTGCCTCGTCCGACATCTCCAACGCGACCTCCATGGCCTCCAACATGGTCCGTCGCTTCGGATTCTCGGACCTGATCGGACCCGTCGCGCATTCCAACGATCCGGATTCCCAAACGTCGCCTGATACGCAAGCGAAGATCGAACAGGAGGTGAGAGGCTTGATTGAGGAGGCGCAGAATAGGGCGAGGAATTTGTTGCTGGAGAGGAAGGAGGAATTGGATAGGCTCGCCAAGGCGTTGGTGAGGTATGAGACGTTGACGTTGAAGGAGGTGGAGAAGGTTGTTAAAGGAGAGGAGATTGAGAAGGATCCGTTGGATTTGGTTTGAACGCAGTCATGGAAGGAACTAAAAGAACCCCAATTCTGTAGGAACTGATGTGCATCTCGAGAGTTGTAGTGTGGAGCAGTGACTCTATCTCTCGATAGGGTTTTACGGAAGTCTAATTTTTGAGAGCAGCTTTTGACTTTTCAGAACAGCAACCGCCCAAGAGGTAGACTCTCTTTCCGTTTTTCTCTAAAGAACAAAAAAACAACTTACACAGCCTCTAACAACCCCTCAAGCCTTGGCCCAAGCGACCCCCTTGCTACCCGTCGTCGAAGACTTGGGTGCTTCACTGTTTATCTGCGAAGGCTTGGCTGCCGATGCTCCGGCGTTGTTTCCGTTGGGGTTCTTGGGAACGGGTAAAGGTTTGTTCTTGAGGTTCTCGTAAACGTCAGAGAATTTGAGGCCGTGGCGGAGGAAAAAGTCGCCGTAGCGGCGCGAGGTCGTCGACTGCGCGACGGTGAGATGGCCCTGAGGAAGAGAGGAAGAGACGGTGTGGGGTTAGCATCGCTTCGTGCTCTGATTGTTATTCAGGGGGAGACTTACCTCGTCGATGCCAAAGTTGATATCACTAACGCCAAACACCTCGCCTTGCAACAAGGACCCTTCGGTCCAGGTCAACTTGCGTGCCGCCCCCTTGGCGACCATCAACATCTCCAACACCTCGTCCTCCTCGACTTCGAGGAACTTGGCCAACTTGTCCGTACCCAAGGTCGTGTACAATCGCAAAAAGGACCTCAACGTCGATGTCGATAATTGACTCTCGACCGAACCAAGGAAGATGGTTGTTTGGTGGGCCGAGGCGTCGGGCAATGCGGCGTACGAGGTGAGGGCGTCGTTGGATTCGAGTTCGTAAGGCGGTGGGTTGGGGGAGATGAACCTCGGTGCACCGAGGGAGAACATCTCCTGGAACGCAGGCAGAGATTCGGCACCCCCTCGCGCCATCTTGGCATGTTGGTCACCGAACTTGTCCTTCACCGCGGTCGAGATGCCTTCGTCGACTTTGGTCGGGCACAGGGCCTGACAGATCGCGAGTAAGGCGTACATCCGATCGGCGGTCTTGTTGATCTGGTCGAACTGGGAGCCTCGTTGGAAGTGCTTGAGACGGAGGACGAAGAAGAGGATGTGGGACAAGGCACGGATCGCATCGGGGTAACGACCGAGCATGAGGTACGAAAAACCGACGTAGTAGTAGGTCGCAACGTGGGCCGCGGTGACGCGCGTGAAGAGCGCCTTCTTGTTGAGGTCGATGCCGTCGAGCATTTGCAAGGCGAGGGTATAGTCGCCGAGCAGAACGTGAACGCGCAAGAGGCCGAGGATGGAAAAGTAGCCGAGGTGGTAGTACAGTCGGATCGAACCGAACTCGCCGGCGATTGCTTCGACGTCCTCGATCCCTTCGGCCTGGGCCGCGAGTTGGTCCTGGATCTTGCTCTTTTGGATCAACGAGTACAAGACGTTGAGGACCGAGTAGCAGGACCAGACCTGGCTCGATTCGGCAAGGATCTGCTTCTCCTCATCGGTCTTGCCCGTAACCTTGTTGCGCCAGAGCGCGAAGGAGGTGTACTGGTACACGAACTCGTCGACGATGTTGTAGAGCCAGTCGATGGGGAGCGACAGGGGGACGGGACCGGGGGAGTTGAGGATGAGGTTGAAGAGCTGGCAATAGTTCTCGTACGAGGCGATGCGGTCGTCAATGTCGGGTTGGAGGCGCGCATAGACGTGTCGGAAGTAGAGCTCGCGGTAGAGCGTCAAAAAGACCTCGTCTGGGGGGAGCGAGAATGGTGTGAGGTGCAGAAAAGGGATGATCAACAGGAACACGCGACCGACCATGGTTGACGAGAGGGGCGATCGTCTCTGCCTCGGGCCATTCGGTCTTTGCAAAGAACTTGTCGGTCAAGCGGGCCCAGCCTTGCTCGTACGCGGCCTGGATCTCGGGCAGGGACGGGGACGGGGCGGTGACGAGGTTGAAGAGGTGCATGATGTACTTTTTTACGGGCTCGGGCACGGCGGCGAGTGCCTCGGCCTGTTGGGCCTGGTGCGCGGCGGCCTCGGCGACTCGTTGCTGTTGCGCGTATTGTTCTGGGGCGAGGTTACAGGGGGTCAGTTCACGCGTGGTCCTCGGTGCTTGAAGCTCCGTGCGCGCTGCTCAAGCTGTTGGTCGTCGGCGTGGAGATTTCCGGTGTGATCAACATGTTCATGAATGCAGTCGCTGTGCGAGGTGGTGGGTGGTCGCGATCAAAGACACAAAAGTTGGCGTGGATGCGACGCCGGCAGCTGCACGACTTGCAGAACCCGAGCCACTGGCGGGACGCAGTGAGTTCTGATGCGCGGATGTACAGGATTACGTCGAGTACGCGCGCATGTCGCAGCTGTACGAGTACCTGCTGGCCCACTCCACAGACGAGGAACGCGAGGACTGACCTGCCTCAGCTTCGTTGTAGTTGCCATCGTAGTCGGCGCCCTGGATACCGAAATCGGGTGCACCGTCGTCGTACAGCTCTTCCTCCTCTTCGCCGGTGTAAGGATGCGCCATGATGATGTGAAGGTGAGGGTGAGGTGGGTTGGGTTCGAGGCGACGGGAGAAGGCGACAGAGCGGCGAGCCACCGACGACGACCACTTTGACGAGGAAAATCGCAGCACGGGAGAGCACGGGCCTCGGCAGTAAAGTCTCGCGCCCAAAAGCCAAGAGGCGTCGGCCCGAAGGCGCACACGGGCGCACACGCCCACGCGAGATCTGGCCCAGCGCGACCGAGAGCGACCGAGTTGGGCTTGGGCGGCTCGATGGCCCATAGTGGCCCATGGGCGTGGACGTCCCTCGACCACACGCCACCTCGCACCACCACCACACTACGCCTCGTCCTCGTCCCCAGTGAGCACCGGCCATGTCGGTCTCGCAATACCCCTCGCTCCTTAGGAGTGAGCAGATGAGCTTGGTCCAGGTCAGTCCATCCCTTTGCCAGTGTCTGCGTACAGCGTGCAGCGTGCAGCGTGCAGCGTGCAGCGTGCAGCGAGCAGCGTGCAGTGTCATCCCCGCCAACCTTCCGCCGGCCCCCTTCCTCACACGCCGTCATCGTGCGCCGCCCCGTTCTCGACCCAACAACTGACCGATCCTTCTCCACCTCCACTCAGCTCTACGTACCCATCGATGTCGCCCATCGAACGGTCGAGGAACTGGCCCAGCTCGAACGCGTGCAGTTCAAGGACCTCAACCCGGACGTGAACCCGTTCCAACGCACCTACGTCGCCCAGATACGTCGCTGCGACGAAGCCGAACGCCGTCTGCGCTTCCTCACTCAACAGATCGCCGCGCAACAGATCCCGATCCGTCCTTACGACCAGACCGTCGCCTTGCTCGCCGCTCGATCCGGACCCCAGGCGCTCGACGAACTCGATGGCCGTCTCGCCGAGTCCGAACAACGCGTCGCCGCCATGAACGGGTCCTACGACAGTCTCGAGAAGCGCGCCCTCGAACTCGAAGAGGCTCGGCAGGTCCTGAGGGAGACCGATGTCTTCTTCAACGACGCCCGCGGTCGTACGGCCGAGATCCGCTCCAGCTTTGACGAACCCGACGCTCCCCTGTTGGGCGATCTCGAGTCCGCCGCCGCCAACGAGTCGGGCTTCGGTGGCTTCGAACTCGAGTCAGTCATCGCGACCTGTGGTCAGCGTCATAGAGCAGCACGACTGACCGCGTCCGTTTGGCCTCCGCCCGCCTCAGATTCGTCGCCGGCACGATCGACCGAGCACGCATGGCCACCTTTGAGCGAGTCCTCTGGCGCGTACTCCGCGGTAACCTGTACATGAACGTGCGTGAGAGGCAGAATGCTCGACTCGCGATCGAAGTTGGCTGCTCATCGACATACTCGATCACCCACAGTACGCCGAGATCGACGAGTCGGCCTTGCCCGTCCCCGCTTCGGACCCCGGAAGCTCCGCCGGCGGCGAGGAGAAGAAGCTGCGCAAGAACGTCTTCATCATCTTTGCCCACGGACAAGACTTGCTCGACAAGATCCGCAAGATCGCTGAATGTATGTGCTGGTCCCAGTTTCTGCCCTGCCTCAGCGATGGCCTAGAAAGCTGATCCCTTTCAATCTCACAGCGATGGGAGCGACGTTGTACCCCGTCGACTCGAATGCCGATAAGCGAGAGGACAAGCTGCGTGAGGTCACGTCGCGCATCGAAGACCTCAACTCGGTCCTGCACAACACGAACCAGACCCGTCGCGCCGAACTGATCAAGATCGCCGAGTCCATCTCGGCATGGTGGGCCGTCGTGCGCAAGGAAAAGGTCACCTTTTCGACCCTCAACCTGTGGCTGTGGGACCAAGGTCGCAAGACTCTCGTTGCCGAAGGCTGGGTCCCAACGAGGGACATCCCCAACGTTCAAGCCGCCTTGCGTCGCGCCTCTGAGAGTGCGGGCACCTCGGTCTCGGCGATCCTGCACGAACTGCGAACGCACAAGGACCCGCCGACGTTCCACCGCACCAACAAGTTCACCGAAGGCTTCCAGAGCATCATCGATGCGTACGGTATCGCCACCTACCAAGAGGTCAACCCCGGTCTCTTCACCGTCATCACGTTCCCGTTCTTGTTTGCCGTCATGTTTGGTGATATCGGTCACGGCTTTATCATGATGTGCACGGCCTTGTCCCTGATCTTGATGGAGAAAAAGTTCAAGAAGGGTACCGGTAACGAGGTGAGCCCCGTGGAAGTGCACCAGACCAATCGCTATTTCAAACTGATCGCTACCAAGCCCATCACCGACCTCACAGATTTTTGACACGTTCTACTACGGTCGCTACATAATTTTCCTCATGGGTCTCTTCGCCATCTTCACCGGTTTCATGTACAACGACATCTTCTCACTCTCGCTCCACCTCGCGCCGTCGCAGTTCCGCTGGCCGACCGACTTTGAACCGGGCACCGTCGTCGAAGGTATCCAGACCTCGCACCGCTACCCGTTCGGTATCGATCCCGCATGGCACGGCACCGACAACGCCCTCATCTTCACCAACTCGCTCAAGATGAAGATGTCGGTCGTGATCGGTGTGATCCATATGTCGTTCGCCATCTGCCTCCAAGTGCTCAACCACCTCCACTTCAAGAAACCCGAGTTGATCTGGGCCGAGTTCCTGCCCCAGATCCTATTCATGCAGTCCATCTTTGGTTATCTCGTCGTGTGCATCCTGTACAAGTGGTCGGTCAACTGGGAAGAAGTGGGACGCAACCCGCCCAACTTGCTCAACATGCTCATCAAACTCTTCCTCTCGCCCGGGAGCGTCGACCCCAACGATCAACTCTACTCGGGCCAAGCGTTCGTGCAAGTGTTTTTGCTCCTCTTGGCGCTCGTGTGCGTGCCTTGGATGTTGTGCACCAAACCTTACCTCTTGTACCGCGAGCACAAGAAGATCGCCGAACAAGGGTACCAAGGCATCAATGGTGTCCATGGCGGCAATGCCGAGAACCACACGCTCGGCACCGACGGCGACGACGAGGTCGATGAACAAGGGCATGCCATCGTCGCTGAGGAGATGGACGAAGAACACGAATTCGACATGGGCGAACACGTGATCCACCAAGTGATCCACACGATCGAATTCTGCCTCGGTTGCATCTCCAACACGGCCTCGTACCTCCGTCTATGGGCCCTCTCCCTCGCCCACGCCCAACTTTCCGAAGTCCTCTGGTCCATGACCTTGGAAGGCGGGTTCGAAATGGAAGGATGGGTAGGGACTCTTGCCCTCGTCTTCCTTTTCGCCATGTGGATGTCCCTTACGATTGCGATTCTGATCGTGATGGAGGGTTTATCGGCTTTCCTCCACGCGTTGAGGTTGCATTGGGTCGAATTCAACGGCAAATTCTTTGGTGGTGCGGGGACCCAGTTCGTGCCTTTGACGTTCCAGGGTTGCGACGAGATTCCTGATGGAGTCATCGCTGCTTAGGTTGGAAATTCTCCCAAATCGTGTAGCCACTTTTTCCCGATTGACTATAGATGGAACCTTCCCTCCTTTCCCTTCCACTTGCTCCCTCTCTTCTCTTGCCCTTTAAATCATCGTTTGTCAAGTGAACCCTTTCCAAAACTTAGAAGCGTCTCTGTACTGGCATTACCTTGCACACACGTTCTGAACTACGCACGCGTGGCCTCGTTCCTCACTTCGACGATCGATTCGACGACGTGCTCCGCTTCGGAATAGCCTAGGATCTTCTCAATGTCCGAGCTGAGAAAAAAGCATTCAGATCGGCGAGGGTTACTTACGAACCGCCCTGGTAAAAACTCACGACCTCAACCCTTTAACCCGATCAATCTCCGCCGAATTGTAATTCGTCAAACCCCTCCCAAACTCAACCACTTCTTCCCCTTCTTCCGAACCCAAATCCAAACCCGAACTCGAACCTGCCCCGCTCCCCCCCACCGTACTTGTCGAACCCCCTTCCTCCCCTCTACTCCTATTCACCGAGACGCCTCTCCGACTCGCCGATACGGAAGCATGACGACTCTGACTTGCACTTGCACTACCCGGGGTGAAAGTCTCGCAACGCGATTCGGTCGTGCGTCCCCTTTCGGCGAAATGGTCGGGTGAGACGGGTCGACTTTGAATCGATTGATTCGTCGAAGCCTCCAACTCCCTTCGTGCAAAGGAATTCACCCCTTCCTTCTTCACCTCTACACCCTCCCGTACAAAGGTAGAAGAAGTACTCTTCTTCTTCTTCTTCCTCCCCTTGATCACACAAACCCTTACCGCCTGACCGGCCGCGAAGACCCCCTCGACCCTCACGACCCCAGCCGCCAATAACCTCCCTCCATTCCCACCGCCGCCTCCATCCCTTTCGCCTCGGGAAATGACGCGATAGGCCCCTTCGTCGACGTAGACCGTTCCCCTCGGTGTGAGACCATGCAGGATCCAGAAGCGACGGGAAGTGAGGGGTCGTGGACGGGGCGTGAAGAGGGTGTAAGGAAGTGGGTCGATCGCGAGGGCGAATTCGACGGCTGGGAGAGGGTCCGTATCGGTTGAAGAGGGAGGAGGTAATTCGCTTGCTAGATTGGGGTGTGAATGGGTGCGTGATGTGTTGGAAAATTCGGAAGGGTGGGTTGTAGCTAGGTCGGGAGTGGCGGAGGCTAAATTCGTCGTTGAAGATGGGGCCTTAGGTGGAGACGAAGGATGGTGCTGATGATGGTTTTGTACGATCTCGACAATTCGATGCGGGGCTGAACCGAGGGTGATGACGGTGGCGCATCCCGCCCCGTTGGCTAGTTCGGCTGCGATCAATTTGGTTTCCATGCCGCCCGTTCCTAAAGAAGATCCTAGCGTGGCCGTCGAAACTTTTTTTTGTTGGCGCAACGACAATCGTCAGTCTTTTTCGACAGGGACAACAATTCGGATCGGTCTCTCGCTGAACTGACCCATCTTTCTCACCACTTCGATATCCCTACAAATCTTGACCCTACTAGCGCCCGGTACTTTCCTCGGATTATCCTCGTACAAACCGTCGACATCGGTCAAAAGGAACAAATAATCGGCACCACACATCCCCGCCGCGACAGCGGAAAGGGTATCGTTGTCGCCGAATTTGTTGATGTGTAGGATCTCGGAAACGGATATGGTGTCGTTTTCGTTGATAATGGGGATCACACCGAGGTGCAACAAGGTCGAGAGCGTCGTCGTCGCGTTCAGGTAACGGGATCTCTATGAGGGTGTCAGTTCCTGAACGTTAGAGCTTTTCCGCGAAAATAATCAGAGCTCCTCCCTGCGGTTGCCACCCACATCGGCAATATCATTCCTCGTAATCAAGATCTGCGCAATCGGTTGCTGCAGCATACCAAACAACTGATCCCACAAGGCGATCAACCTCCCCTGCCCTATCGCCGCGAGGGCCTGTTTCTCCCCTATCGCTCGTTTCTTCCCCGGGCCCAAGGCGGGTAACTGCATGCGATGCAGGCCCATACCTATGGCGCCGGAGGAGACGATCACGACGCGGTGACCGAGCGAACGCAGCTTGACGCACGTTTCGACGACCGCGGAGAGGGTCGAGACTTGGGGGAAGTGGGGTCGTTCGGGGTGCAGGATCGAGGACGATCCTGAGGGAGAGGTGAGATCAGGGGTTTTAGTTTGAGGGTGTAGGTTATGGGTGTAGGTTATGGGGTCATGAAGCGTCTTGGATGTACTTGCCCAGCTTGATGACGATTGTGAGCGGCGCCATCGCGAGTGATGCTGCGTGGAGATCGAGTCAGGAGCGGAGCAGTGACAAGCTGCCAGTGTGTCGGAGCTGCGAAGGAGTTTGTCAAGGCGATCGAGCGAACGTGTTTCAGCGCAAGTGGTCAGGATGGAGACTCCTTAGGAATCAAGGCGAGTGAAATCGCTCGTAGCCACTCACCGGAGATGACCACGCAATGTAGGAGACACTGATGTTGCGAGCGAGAACGAGGCGACCGCATCAGATCGGATGAGCGCTTCGGAAACGACAAGTCGGCCCGAATTTATCCCCGAACAAACCGAATCATTTGCAGACTTAGGTACATCAAGAGATTTTTTCAACAGGTTTTCCTTTCTACCAAAAACCTATAGCATCATTACTACACGTGTGCATACGAGATTTTGTGCCATGTCCTACTTTACAAATTACCCGGACCTCCCCTCCGTGCACGTTACGTGTATCCACAAGTTGAGCCTCTTCCCTCCCAGCCCCACACCTCACCGGAACCATGTCCTCCTTCTCCAGCACCGAGCTGCTCTCCTCCCTCTCCGAAATCCAATCCTACTCCGGAATCCAATCCTACACGGTCCTGCCCGCTCACTTTTGTTCGTCCGCGAACGAAAGTCGCGCCGAGATCAAGTTGCTCGAAAAAGGGGATACGGCGTTGATCGTGTGTTCGGATAAAGGGTGGGGTATTGCGTTGAGGAGTGTGGTCGATTGGAAGGTGAGTTGTTGCAGTGTCGGCATTCCGGTGGGGAATGTGGTTACGCGATCGTGGGTGGTGGGTGGTGGGGGAAGACGATCCTACTTCGAGTCGGACATCTAGATACCGTTCCCACCCCTCAGCTTCGCTCGAAAAGCAGCTTTGCTAATACCTCCCAACACGAACTTTCATCCCAGCGCCTTCCCCCCGACTCGGCAGCAAAAGACACCGAAACTTTTGAAACGCTCGAGAACCTCTTGGCTTATCTCAGTCCGGCATTCGAAGCGAGGAGGATGCAAGTCTTGTCGGACAAGCTGTCGGCCGTTAGGATGGAACGTGGGGAGGAAAAGAAAGAGGAGGGGAAAAGAGGGGCCCGGTAGAGGAGGGTATAATTTGGCGTAGGACAGAGGAAAGGATTTCAAAGGAGAGAGCATTCGCATTCTAGCAAAGTCACTTCAAAAAGCATAGGTGCTTGGTAACGAGTGAGAGCCCGGTTCACGTACCTTACTCTCTCTCGTGTCACATGAAGCGCAAAGCGGTCTATAGATGAAAGGTCTCTTCATTGCCCAATTTCATACCGGTCACCCTACAAGCCCGTCGCATCCTAATCCTCAACCTATGACCAACCACCTGCACGCCATACATATAACTGCCCCCGTCTCATCCCCTTTGCCAACAGCGCCCGAAAGTCCGACGAATCGATCGGAAAAAAGTTGTCAAGTCGAGATGACGGAGAGAGCGAAAGACAAGCGACCAAGTCGATTGAAGTTGAGTTGAAAGACGGAAGAAGTCGAGTCAAAGAGATCACAGCAAGGAATCGAATATTGAAGAGTGCGCCATTCCGTTTTGGTTGTTGTGGTTGCGGGTGGAAGAGAGACGACGACGAAGGAAAAGGTGTTTAGGTCGATCCGGACTTGCCCTCCGGGTTGGGATTCATTCGGCGCTTTCCTCCGGGTGCGAGCGTGACGTTTACGAATCGGCGGTTGTAGACTGAGGAGGGGAGTGAAGGCGATGTCAGTACGTCTGCGTAGAGACGGGAATTGGGGATCGGGGAACGCACTGATGCGCTTCTTGGCACGGCCGCAGACCTGAGCAAGGCGGATCGAGGAAAGAGTAGTCAACATCTATATCTACAGCGCTGCGAACGATCGTGGATCTGGCCCTACCTTCTTCTTCTTCTCCTGGGGTGCGACCTTGGGGGTTTGCGACCTAACCTTTCCGGCACGTGCCAAAGATCCGTGGACTTTTCCCCTGTGGGATGAGAGAGTGGTGACATGATCAGTTCCAAGTCGTGGAGTAAAGGTAGCTGCCGTGTGTGGCGGTCGAGGGTCGATGGTCGTCGTCACGCGATGGGCCGGGCTGAGCTTGGGCGGGCGAGGCGTAGGCGCCGGGCGGGGGTGTGGGTGTGGGTGTGGGCCCCAGGGCGCGCGCATGGCCCACAGAAAGAGCGTCGCACGCATCGGGCCAGGGTGGGTCAGGTCACAAGCACGAGTACACAACCCGTCATTCACCGCCCCTGCTGCACCTCTCTACGGCCATCCGGCCGATCCAATCGTTCCCTTCGCCTATGCCCCCATCGTACCAATACGACTATAGATCGAGGGGGATGGCGGTGCGGTGGCCAGACGGCTCGAGGGCGCTCGCTCGCTTCAAAAATGCACCAGCCGACCAGCGAACGACCGCCCAGCCAGCCGGGCCAGCGACCCTGCGACCCTCGCCGTCGCCACACCTCCCATCTCGTCCCCGGAATCGCAGGGGTGTAGGGCGTGTACAGTCGAGAGGGCGCGGTCGAGCGGTCGTTCGTAGAATCCTCAAGAAGTAGCGGTGCGATCCTTACATGTTGACGTGGTATGTGAGACGAGAGAGCGGAAGTCAAGTCAGCCCCAAGGCGCAGGCGCTCAAGCCCACCTCCCTCAGCGCTTGCGATTTTTTTGGGCCTCGGCCGAGCGCAGGCGCACGCCGAAGCGGAGGCGTTGGCGCCGGGCGGGCTTGCTTTGGAGGGGTGCCCTTAGTGGGATAAGAACCACCGTTCGAGACTTGTCTATCGAAAAGTTGTAATGCGGAATCGATTCAGTGAAGAGTTTGGTAAACGGTGGGTCTGATCTAATGAATACCCTAAATTCAAATGGCGCCCTGGAGTGAATTTACATCACAGCTCACCTGGTGGCTAGCAAAGACTGCGATCCTTCGCCTCAAAAGGTAGAGCAGTCCGGCACCCCCTGTCTTTCGATTCAGCGCGCGGCAAACTGGTCGCGCGTGTCGGACAGCACGCCTCGCCTTCCGCCCACCCTCATCCTCTACCTTGCCCTGTCGCACAAATGGACGAAGAATGGTCCTCGGATGCTATAGAAGCTCTGCAACTTCGCTTGGGTCAGTACCTAGCAATTATACATCTTTTCACGCTGCAGTTCACGACGTTGCGCGAAGGAGACGCGTCGCGACGTGCGCCAGAGCGACACCATCGCGTCGAACGAACGCGTTCCTTTCGTCTGGAGCGCAACTCCACGCTCCCACGAAAAGAGCTGTCATGTCATTTCCGTAACTCCAATCGAGCCTGTACTGACTCTCGTTCCACTCCCCCACAGTCCGAGCCAAAGCTGACGTCGCCGTGCTCGAACAGGGCGAGACGGACCTGGTCGATGACTTTCATCCGACGTTCGTGTACCCCATCTTTGGGCAGGAGGAGACCATCTTTGGGTATAGGAACCTTGAGATTCAGGTACGTAGGCCTGGGATGAGAGACTGTGTGTGGGGTTTCCTGGATGGGCGAGCAAAATGAAACCCCGGCCTGATCCTCTCTCCCGTTCAATCCCCATCAGCTCCACTTCAGTTCCGGCGCTTTGAAGCAATACCTGCACGTCGATTACTCGTCCAAATTTCCCTCCACGACCACCGTATCCGCCGACGACCCCGAAAAAACCCTCTACGAATTCATACCCCCGACCTACTCCAAAGACGAAGCGACGTTCCATTCGATCGTCGAAGCGGATTCCACAGAGTTCAAACCTTTGGGGAACAAGATCGGGGCGTTCCGCGAGAAGTCTGAAGAGGAGATGGAGGAGACGACTGGATCGGGCAAAGGGAAAGGAAAGGCCAAGAGGAGTGGAATCGAGGTTCCTCCGAGACCTTGGAAATTGGTTGAGCCAGGGGATGAGGAGGAGGATGAAGAGGTGCTTTACGAGGCGTATCAGACGAACTGGGATACCCCTGGTTTCAAAGAGTACCATAGAAGGATGCAAATTTTTGTGTTGCTCTACATCGAGGGAGCGCAGTACATTGATGAGGAAGACCCGAGGTGGCAATTTGTCACACTGTGCGCTACCTTTTTTCCTCCTCTCCTTCATCTCGGGGTTAGTACTCATCATCCTCTGCCATGCTTTCAGATTCGAGAGGAGGAAGCGACGGGACGGATCATTTGGATATCACTTCGTCGGCTTCGTGTCGTTCTACTCTTTCTTTTGCTGGCCCGATACCAAACGATTGCGACTGGCGTGAGTTCCCCTTGCCGGTTTTACCAGGAGACCGTTGACCCTTCTGACCTTGAACAATGTTCTTCATGATTACTCTCAGTCAATTCGTCATGCTCCCGCCGTACCAAGGCCAAGGTCATGGATGTGAGTCCAGCATCTCGCCAGCCAGCGCGGATGGAGTGAGAATGACTTTGCTGATCATTGCTGGGACCCCTCTTCCACAGCGGCCCTCTACACACTCTGCTACAACAACGTCCTCTCCCGACCAGAGATCAGTGAACTCACGGGCAAGTCCAAACGCGACAAGACTAGAAAGGATGACGACATCTTTCTAACATCAGCCTCCTCCCCTCCATGACGTTTTCCAGTCGAGGACCCTTCGGAGATTTTCGAAGACATGCGCGACAAGTGTGATTTGCACACCCTCATCACGTCGCATGAATTGGACGATCTTTCAGCTCCTTTGAACAAGCCTGCTTTGGAGGTGATTAGGAAGAAGTACAAAATCGCGGATGTGAGTCTCCCCTCGACCGAAAAACTGACTCGGCGCGCGTGGGAGCTTCTAAACTGAACCTTGTCTTGTCTCCCCTTCCTCCTCGATTCGTGTTCCACCCACCGCAGCGTCAATTCTACCGCCTCATCGAAATGCTCCTCCTTTTAAACCTCGACGAATCCAACGCCGTCCAAGTCAAAGCCTTCCGTCTAACGGTCAAACGTCGTCTATTCACCTTCAACCGAGAGACATTGACCCAGTTGGAGGAGCAGGAGAAGAAGGACAAGTTGCATGAGACCTATACGGGCGTGAAGGCGGATTACAGGAGGATCACGGCCAAATTCACTAGTGCGGCTTGAGAAGGTTCGAAGTCGGGTAGCTTCGAGGTAGTTTATGTCCAGACGGATCTCGATAGCTTTGTTCTTCTAGTGCATGTGGGGTATTGCAGGAGAAAAGAAGTAGACTTAGATGAAGAAAGTTGAGCTCCTGCTGTTGCATAAATGAGGACACTCCCCTCCCCAAGAGGGTATCTAGATACGCGCTTCTCTACAACTCGGAGTGAGCAGGGGACTTGTAGACCAGGGCTGTTTCGAGAGCTGAAAAGTGAAGGAAGCGGATGGTCAGTCGACGCGCGAGAAGAGTTCAACCTCTCCACAGTCGAGCGCAACGTACCTTGTCTGAGCTTGGGCGACAACTCGGTTGGGAAAACAACGACGTACTCGACGTACAAATCCCCATGATTCGACTCGTGATAGATCGGCAAGCCCTCCCCTGCCACGACCTGCACGAACCCCGGTTGCGTGACCCCATTCCTCTGCAGCACGATCTTATGCCCATCCAACCCCACCACAGTCTTCTTGAACCCCAACAAGGCCTCCGCCAAACTCAAAGGTTCCTTCCAATACAAATTCGAGTCCTTTCGCACGAAACCCCCTGCCTTGCGCTTCGAACGGACTCGGACGATCACGTCCCCTGCTGCGATGTCGGGCGATTCGTCGGCTTCGCCTTCGAAAACGACTTCCGAACCTTCGGGCATGCCTCGGTCGATGTCGAGGGTGAGCTCGACGGAGGAATCGACGATGCGGTGTCCGCGGCAGACGGGGCAAGCGTGGAGGGTCTTTTTGCCGCGGCCGGCGCATTGGTCACCTGTTTGAAAAGAGGGCGGAGAAAGTACGGGATCAGTTGCCGTTTTGTAAGAAATGATGAAGGGTGGATCACGTACAGTGCATTTGGACTTGTTGGTAGATCCCCGGTGCGAGTTGATGGCGCACGAGACGGATGCCTCGACCTGACCGACGCGAGAAAGAATCAGCTTCCAGAATCACCAACCTCGTGAGCGTTTCGAATCCAAAGCGCACCTTCACATGCTTTGCACTCGACAACATCCTGAGCCGACCTTGCCCCTGATCCTTCGCATTCCTCGCACATTTGCTTTCGAGCAATGTTGAACTGGCGATCGACGCGAGCACGAACAAAGCGTCAGCATTCCCAGTCCCCTGCGACCCCTTTGCGTTCTTCCCCCTCGTTCCGAATACTAACGTTTATCCTATCCCCAGAATAAATCGATTCTAAATCGACCTCGATATCGGCGATCATATTGTTCCCCTTCCTCTGCTGTTGTTGTCCGCCAAAAGCCTGACGGAAGACATCGAACGGATCATGGAAAGCACCCCCACCACCCTGTTGTTGCTTGAGACCTTCTTCACCGAACCGGTCGTAGATTTTACGTTTTTCCGGGTCGGAGAGGGCTTCGTACGCGTGCCCGATCTCGAGGAATTTGGCTTTGGCGGATTCTTCGGGGTTCTTGTCGGGGTCTGAGAGAAGGAATGCGAGCGTGCTCAGCTAGGGACATCGAGGGCGGACTCCGAGGGCGGCCCTCGATCTACGTACGATATTGCTTGCTCAATCTCTGTAAGAGAACCAAAAACAACAACAAACACTCTGTGTCAGCGCTCTCCCTTTCTTATTCGCAGCACAAATGATCGGTCCTCGGTGATTCCCCGAGCGGCTAACTCCAACCACGAACTTACCCGGTCTGTATAACAGACAAAGCCAATTTCAGCTCAGTAACCCCGAGCCACAACCAACCCTCTACGATCAAGTCAACTCACAAGCCTTCTTGATCTCCTTCTCACTCGCCGTTTTGCTCAGGCCCAAGATCTTGTAGAAGTCGGCCCCGGCGAGGACGTGGCAAGCACAAAGCAACAGCACCAGTGCTGTTAGCAACGTCGTCGTCACGGATCCATGGCTTGAACTTGTCCGCATGGTGGGTGAACCGAGAGCAAAGGGATGGTGTCGCGCGGCAAGAGAGGGAAGAGAACGACGAGAACGACGGGGTTGACGTGGCCGTTCGTTCTGCTCGCCTGCCAGGCTGACTGCGATTGCACGGTCCAGGCGCGTCAGCCTGTGTCTCGGCCTGCCTCGGCTCACCAGAGAATGAGACGCACCCCGACACGTTGGAAAGCAAAGTCGAGGCTTTTGAATTTGTTCATAACGACGATACAAGGAAAGAACGAAGAAAAAAAGAAATCCGCCAGACAGAAATTCGTACACCCCGAGAACATATCCTTTGTATCACAACACGCGATCCATCGAACGAGAAAAACGACCCGAGGTAGATCACTGATCCTCCTCTTCGTCCTCATCATCCTCTCTCCCCATATCATCCTCACCCTCTTCCACTTCCTCATCCTCCTCCTCTTCCTCCTCCTCGTCATCTTCCATCTGTTCTTCCCCCTCAGGATGTCCCATAATACTATTCCTCAGATCGATCCATTGCTGCTCCGTATCCGCGATCGTATCCCCATTCAACTTTTCAGAGACCCGGCGCGATTGCGTGAAGAACAACCGTACGTCGCGGTTCGACGTCGCGACGATTTGGTACTTGTTGCCTCGGGGGACGAGGAAGCATGCGCCTCTGGTGGGGAAGAGAAGGGACAAAGTCAGATCAGGGTTGTGAGGCAGAGAGACAGAGGTTACGATGACTCACGGGCCAATGGCGAATTTCGTTCGGTGGACGGTGACCGAGCACGAGCCTTGGATACAGTAAAAGATCTGTCCATCCGCGCATCTCTGCATTAGTATTGTCGTCTCCAAGGCCCCTGACCGTGACCGCGACTCACATAGGTATTATCCCTCGAAGGTTTGGTCGGCTTCTCCGACCCCGAAGGGATATCAATGATCCCGCCGGCGAGGTAATCCAATTCGCTAAAGATCTTTTGGTACCAAAACTGGCCCTGCCCCGCAGGTTTGGTATTGATCATCTTTTTGGTGAAAGCGACGCGACGTTGCGTCTCAGCCTGCCCTTCCCAGCTCCAGACCAGACCTTCAGGATCGGTGAGCGAATCGACGCCTTCTTCTTCATCCTTGATTTCGGCTTTGACGCTTTGCGCTCGCCCTCGTGGAGCTTGGCTCGTCGCACGGCCTCCCTTCTTACGTTGGGCGGCGAGTGGCTCGGGGTCAGGTTTAGGGTAGAGCACGACCTCAGTGATGCCCAGCCCGGACGGTCGACGCTTGTAGACGACTCGTTCGTTGCGCCAGTATTCGACCGGGGCCAAGCGCTGACGATTCGATCGACGTTCTGTCACACACATCGGGAGCACCATGTTAGCTGCAAGCAATTATGTCCACTATTCTGACCAACCGTTGGGACTCACTGCTCCCATCATCATCAGAATCTGAATCACGTCGACGCCTCTGCGGTGCCGTACGCACTTCCTTGACCCCGTTCGTCTGTTTTCCCTTCTTGGTCTTGGCCGCCATCTGTCGTTTCTGAGCATTCGCCGGGCTATTGGTCGAGTTGGACGCGTTCGAAGCTCTCGCTCGTCCTTTCCCCTTGGGACGACTAGGAGACCGACGTTCTTCCGCTTCGCCTTGATCGTCGTCCTGGTCATCATAATCATAACGACCGGCCCCACCGCCATCTTGGTTCGTATCGAAATCATCGTACGCTTCACCTGCCCCATCATCATCGTCATCATCCTGGAACCCATCCTGATCGTAATCCTGATGCTGAGGTTCAGGTTCAGGTTCCTCCTCTGGTGTCGGGGACCTCACCAGCCTCGCCTTGCCCTTGTCCTGACGAACAGGCTGCCCACTCTTGCCCAACTGGACCAATCGGTGGTTGCTCGAGTCGTGGTTCCGAGTTGCGGAGTTGGTCAGACTATGCGCGACGGCTTCATCGTCCGATTCATCGGAGTGAACGTTCTCGGGCCGATCGCGCGCGTTGGGTCGTCGGCCGTTCGTGGTGTTGCTGCTAGCACTACCACTCGCTTCACCTCGATGCTCGGGTGAGCCGTACGTGAGTGAGTTTCGTAGGCCCGATGCGCGGCGAGCGTCTTTGCGGTTGCCACGTTGGTAGCTGATCGGTGTCATGGATGATCCTGCAGGGGAGAACCCCCGTCCCGTCAGCATTCTCCAAGATGTCGTGCCCGACCACCCGTTCACTGCTCACCATCGTCCAGCTCCATATCGGCACTATCACCGTACTCTTCCTCGTCATCATTGTTACCTCCATACTCTCGGTTGTCAAAGTCGCCTCGATCGTAGGTATCGTACTGCTCCAGCTGAACGGGTTGGCCCCCGCCCTGACGCGAATTGTCCCGGCTGTTGGCCGTTTTCCGACTCGACGCGGCGTCCGAAGCGGCTTTCCGGGATGAGGATTGATCGTAGGCGCCACTGCGACCTCCTTGGGTATCGGGGGATCTGAAGAAGGCGTCTGGGTTCTGGTAGCCGTACGCATCGACCGAGACGCGGGGAAGGGTGATACCGGTTTTGCTGCAAAGGGATGGAGATAGGAGGGACGAGCGTGTGCCAAAAGTGCATCAGAACAATGTGTCCTGGCACTGGACTACGTTGGGAATGGGCCAGGCCTGTGGTGCGACGGCCCGCTCATGTGCATGTATGCACAACCCCTGCGACCTCGAGGCAGGCACGTGAAGCTGGGGCGCGCGTCGTCGGTCCCGCGCTCGAGAAAGCAACCCCCAACCCCCCAATGGTGACTCACCGGCCCTTTTCACCAATCTCGTTGAATCTCTGTGGTCGTTCCCTGCTGGGCTTGGGGTTCGCCTGAGACGAGTTGAGGCTCTGTTGCGAGGAGCGTGGGCCCGATCGTTGCGCAAACGGACGCGACGCGTCGTCGTGGTCATCATGGTCATGGTCGTGGTCGTGGTCGTGGTCGTGGTCGTAGTGATCATCTTCGTGTGTACTACCAAAGAATTGGGAGGCTCGCTCGTTGCCGGCTGAATCGCGGGCTACGTTCGAAGGTGGTCGGATGCCGGTGATCCTGTCGCGGATCGGGCCAAATGGGTGCTGTCAGCTTCGTCGGTCGGCCGGGGGGTTCAAAACAAGGCAGGGGGCCAGGGGGATGTGAGGCGCGGCCGACCTGGGGGGGGTGGAGGTGGAGGTGGAGGCTGGTGTGGGACCCAAAGGGTACGGTGGATGTACTGACCGTCCTTGGGATCCAATGTTGTTGTATTGTTGGTCTCGACCGCTGCGTCGGTCATAGGTATTCGCCATCTCGGCGTCGTTGCGTGCGGCTCGGGTGGGTCCTGGCTGGATCGGTTGTTGAGTGAGGCTGAGAGCGCTGAGATCTCGGCTCGGGTGCGACGGTCCGGCACTGGGCTCGGTCGTGTGGTGGGCGTGGGGGTCGTAGTGGTCCTGACGAAGAAGACTTTTGGAGTGGACCTGTGGGGATGGATGAACCCGGATGCGACGGCGACCAGACCAGACCAAAAAGGATACAGTCGTGCTCGGCTGGGGTCGGAGAGCGCGCGCCCAAACTCGACAGAACTCGACAGCCCCTTTCAGTTTACATTTCGGCATTAGCGCGTGCCGAGTGGGCACTATGTATACTGCCGTTCAATCTGTAATGCTCAATTCGAACGCGCGGTGAGTCGCCGCCTGCGTCATCCGTCGCTGAGCGCTGATCCGCCTCGCCTCGGCTCTGCCCTCGTACCCACCTCCCACCTCCCACCTCCCACCTCCCACCTCCCACCTCCCTCCTTCTTCGACCCCCACCCCGTTCTTCAACATGGTCAGTTTGTACTTGGAGGCTCAACTACTGTGAACTTTGCTGATCCCGCCGGATGTGTCCCCTTCCCCCGCCTAATCGAACATCCTCGGCGCCTCTGCCGCCCCCTCTCGATCGACACCCTCCCGTACAACCTACTCTGCAATCGCGCATCGCAGGCTGGAGCAATGGAAAACGCCAAAAAGACAATCAAGATCCGAGGTCAGTGCACCCGGCCCAACCCATAACAGCCCAGAGGCCCTCGCAGCACCTCGGCTCCCCTTCCGCACCACGGCGTCCGTCCCGACTGCCGCTCGGTTACTGACGCCCTCGTTCGCACCCCTTGCTGGCTCACAGATGAGGACCGGGAATCCAAGTTCGGTTCCGTATTCAGTGTCTCGGGTCCTGTCGTTGTTGCGTACGTCTTGGATCATTGGGCTGCCTCTGGAAGCCCCCCCCCTCCACGAGGCGGCCAAGCACAGCCACCGCACCTCGCAGATTGTGATACCCTTGCTGAATGTTTTCTCTGCTTTCCACATGCCTCTCTCGGCAACAGTGAGAACATGGCGGGTGCGGCCATGTACGAGCTCGTTCGAGTCGGTCACGACGAGTGAGTCTCGGCTCCTTCCTTGTCAGACTCCGCCCCGGACCCGGACGGATCTCCTCCCACTCTCCATAGTCGACAGTCCAGGGCTTCCGGGTCAATGCCATCATGGTGGAATGGTTGAACCTGTACTTTAGACTGCGACACTAACCACCGTGTCCTCCTTTCCTCCTTCACTCAGGCTCGTCGGAGAGATCATTCGTATCGAGGCGGACAAGGCGACGATCCAGGTCTACGAAGAGACATCCGGCATGACCCGGGGTGACCCCGTATTGAGGACCGGAAAGCCTCTATCCGTCGAACTGGGTCCTGGTCAGTCTCGAGGGTGATGAGCGAAGTGCCGACTTGAGCGGCAATGCCGAGGGCGGATAGGCCACGTGCGGTAAACTGATTTGTGCCGCGGATCCCGCCGCCCAGGTCTCATGTCCAACATCTACGACGGTATCCAACGGCCCCTCAAATCGATCGCCGACCTGTCCAAGTCGATCTACATCCCTCGCGGCATCAATACCCAGGCGCTCGACCGCTCGCTCAAGTGGGACTTTGACCCGATCAACTTCAAGGTCGGCGACCACATCTCCGGTGGTGACATTTTCGGTAAAGTGTACGAGAACTCGCTCGTCAGCGAGCACAAGATCATGATGAACCCGCGTGGGATGGGCACCATCACCTCGATCAACGAGAAGGGCTCGTACGCCGTTGATGTAAGCCCCTCGAGAGCAAGCTCGTCCCTCTCTTGGGAATGCCGAGCTGACAAGCGCGTGGTCGAACTTACAGGACATTGTGCTCGAGACCGAGTTTGAGGGCAAGACGACCCAACACACCATGCTGCAGCTGTGGCCCGTCCGTGCTCCTCGACCAACAGGAGAGAAGCTGCAGGCCGATTTCCCCCTGTTGACCGGTCAGCGCGTGCTCGACTCGTTGTTCCCTTGCGTCCAGGGTGGTACGACCGCCATCCCCGGTGCTTTCGGTTGCGGAAAGGTGAGAGCGCCCAGATTCACACACTCGACTCGATAATCAAATGACAGGCCACTGACGCTGTGGGGCGGGCTGCTCTTGCTCACAGACCGTCATTTCGCAAGCCGTGTCCAAGTTCTCCAACTCGGACATCATCATCTACGTCGGATGCGGTGAACGCGGTAATGAGATGGCTGAAGGTGGGTCGTTGCTCTCGAACATGTAAAATCTTTTGGCTCCGAATGCTGATGAAAGCGTGTGCCACTTGGCGCAGTCTTGATGGAATTCCCTGAACTGTCTATCGACGTCAACGGCACCCAAGAGCCCATCATGAAGCGCACGACCTTGGTCGCCAACACCTCCAACATGCCCGTCGCCGCTCGCGAGGCGTCCATCTACACCGGTATCACCTTGTCCGAGTACTTCCGTGACCAGGGCAAGAACGTCGCCATGATGGCCGACTCGACCTCGCGTTGGGCCGAGGCGTTGCGTGAGATCTCGGGTCGTCTCGCCGAGATGCCCGCCGATTCGGGTTACCCCGCTTACCTCGGTGCCAAGTTGGCGTCCTTTTACGAGCGTGCTGGTTCGGTCACGTGCTTGGGTTCGCCCGATCGTAACGGTACCGTTTCTATCATTGGAGCGTAAGTACAGTCAGGGGCGTCTTTGGGATGGTCACTAGATGCGGATGGCTGAATTTTTAGGTCACCCCTGCTTGCCACAGTGTCTCGCCGCCAGGTGGTGATTTCTCTGATCCCGTCACATCCGCCACGCTCGGTATCGTTCAGGTCTTTTGGGGTCTTGACAAGTGGGTCTGAGCAGCAAATCAGAACGATTTAGATCGATGAACGCGTTGACTGACCAGGCTTCGGGCTCGCAGGAAACTCGCGCAGCGAAAACACTTTCCCTCGGTCAACTGGAACGTGTCTTATTCCAAGTACACGCGCGTGTTGCAGCCTTACTACGAGCGCACCGAGCCCGAGTTCCTGCACTACCGCAACACGGCCAAGCAGATCCTGCAAAAGGAGGACGAGTTGGCCGAGATTGTGCAGCTCGTCGGCAAATCGTCGCTCGGCGAAGGCGACAAGGTCACGTTGGACGTTGCGCGCTTGATCAAGGAGGACTTCTTGCAACAGAATGGTATCTCGGTCTACGATCGTTACTGCCCCTTTTACAAGACGGTGAGCACCGCTCGTCACCCCCCGTTGATGACTAGCTGACGTTAGCTGATCCTCTGCTTGCCCTCGTGCGCTCCCAGACCGGTATGCTCAAGAACTTTGTCACCTACTACGAGCTCGCGCTCAAAGCGGTCGAGACCAACACGACGACGTGGAACAAGACGCGTGAGGCGACCTCGGACGTCTGGTTCCGTTTGACGCAGCAAAAGTTCGAGGACCCGGCCACAGGCGAGGCCGTCGTCAAGGGCGAGCTGGACCAGTTGCACGCCGATATCGTCTCAACGTTCCAGAACGTCACCGAATAGACGATTCCTGTTCATGCGCCTGCTAAAAGTTATCGATCACCGTTGCGATCCCGCCCGGCCAAGGCCTAATCCTCTCCGCGCCACTCGGGCTTTGCTCCAGAGGGTTGAACTCTAAATCTCTTCTCCTTCTTTTCCTCTCTATGTGTGTCTCTGTGTTTTGCGATCTTTTTCCTTTTCCTTCTTTCTTTCTTGTCCCGCGGTTCAGCGAAAGGATCTGGAGGTCGAGAGTGTAATCTAGACTTTTTTGCTCTACCTGGCGTATCTACGCTGTGCCGTGGAGCCCACCTCCATCAAGCCTTCTCCCACCTGAAACACCTCTCCATCCTCAACATCCCCCCACGATCCTCGGGCATCCTCAACTCCGTCTCACCCGTCTCCTTGAACCCCAATTTGAGATGTACCCCTTCTGAGCCCGGATTATCCGAGAAAGCCTGAGCCTCAATCACCCTCGCCCCAAGAACGGGGACCAACCATTCGTCCCTCAACTCTTTCAACACCAGCGTCATGTACCCCTTTCCGGTATATTGAGGTGATAGGAGGAAGTACCAGGTGTAGATGATGGTTGGGTCGCCTGTAGGGAGGGACATGTTCTTGGAAATGGCCGCCTCACGTTCGGGCCCTTCGGCGATTTCGAGGAACGAGTCTTCACGGTATACTTGAAGGACACCGATAAAAACGTCTTCTTCCTCGGAGTCGGTTACGTGGTTGTCGTTGTTGGTTGTGTTCTTGTTTTCCCCAAGGAAAGCTTCGGATTCGCCGGTTGTGGAAGAAGGATTCGTCGGCGTGGTTCGTAAGTTCCTCATGCGAATGACACTCAACGGGCAACCCGACGCCTTGCCCTCCTTCAAACTTTGCCCAATAATCTCCTCTTCAGTCTTCCTCAACCCTCTGAAGTACTCGTCCGCATGTTGAGGTAGGTACGGATTGGGTGGTGAATACATGAAAGGTGAAACGGTCGGATCATTGTGGAGCTTGACGCGATGGGGAACATCGGATTGACGACTTGGGGTGAGGAGGAGCTCATGTTTCGAGAGGGGTAGGTAAGGTTCTGATGTTTTGGAGTTGATGGAGAGTTTGAGGATCGAGCTTAGAGAGGGGTGTAGGGAGGTCGGGTAGGTCAACTTGTCGGACAAGACCAACGGTGGAGTGGGAGTATTGGAGCCTTCGACTGGTAATAAAACCGCCATTTCTAAAGTGGGCGAGTCTAAAGAAGTTGGTTGATTCACTGGAAAGAGTCAGGTGTAGAACAAAACCAACTTCAAGATGTTGTCGTCGGACGAGTGGGTCGTTTCCAAGAGGCAGTGGCTCTGCAGATTGAGTCGTGACTAGTGAAGCTTAGCATCGGACTCCGAGATCGAGTCAATGCCAACCTCGAGGTCGATGATGCCGACGGAGCCAAAAGTAACTCCCGCCGACGTGCCGCTGCATCCGTTGGCTGCTGGTCGTTCATTGCGACCGGTGAAGATGAGACACACCTTTGCGCGTCGCTAGAGATTAATCGGGGCACCCCTTTTCCCTTGCCAAGACCTCTTCTGGAGGCGGTGTCCTGTGACGACCTACACGATTCTACCGGTGTTGCCGTGTTGGACGGCCAAGACATTTGACGACCCGTCGCGCCAAGTCACGTGCACGTCGCGGTCAAAAAGGGACAAAGGCTTGGCTGCGATGGAAATGCTTGCGAGAGCGCGCCGCGCGCGCGTGAGTTGGCGCGCCAACGCGGGAGCCACCGCGAAGGCGCTACGCAACGGCGCGTGAGCGAAAAGGGGCGGCGACCATGACTCGCCGCGCCGGAGCCCTGGAGAGGGAAGTTGAGGTGCTTTGTTCTCCCACTACTCATCCTCTTCGTGCTCCCTCTTCTGTTTGTCCGTCTCGTCTGTTTGTGTTTATCTCGTCTGTCTTTACTCGCCCGATCACCGTCCGCCTGTACGTTTCGGATCCCCTCGGTACTCGTTGGCAAGCACCACCCTCCGGATCCCGTCGTCGCCGTTCGATCTAAATCTCGCGATCCAACCGCGCCGCGCCGGAATTCTAGCACCGACGACTTAGTCGAAGATCACGCAACATCGCCCCTCCGTGCGCGATGCACACCATCACCTGGCTCATAGTGACCCTCGGTCTATCGACTTCGACTTTTGGCCGTCTCAATCATAGTCATTCCCGCCTCAACAAGCGCCACCACCACGAGCTCGCCGCTCGAGCCCCTTTCCCTGCCTTGTCTCTCGGCGACTCTGACCCGTCGGCCGACCACCTCGACAAGCGCGGCGACTACAGTCTCGACAGCGTCGGTGCTGCTCTCAAGCTGTCTTTTAGTGACGTTGCGACGTACTCGGCTCCTGCATCGCAAGCCGTCCCTGCCCAAGCCGCCTCTCTCTTTGCCGGACCGACCGCCGAGGAGCTCGCCTCGGCCAAAGCGGCCAAAGCGCTCAAAGAGAAGAAGGCCGCCGCCAAAGCTCGTCATGAAGCAGCTTCAAAAGCATTCGCGGCCAGGGTCAAGTCTGCCGAGAATGCTAGAGCCAAGAAGGCCGCGCTGATCAAGTCCAAGGCCGAGGCGTAAGTCACGTGACCCTTGCTCCCCTCGTCGTTTCATCGCTTGGACCTTTACAACCCTTGTACTCGACCGCATCTCTAATTATGTGATCTCTATTTGACTGCAATAGTGCCGAGAAGAAGGCAGAAGAAGAAGCCGCTGCTGCCAAGGCCAAGAAGTGAGTCTGACGGATAGAAATTTCGTGCTCGATGTGCTAGACCACTAACGACTCTGTGCGCATTTTCCTTGGTCAGAGTTGCCGCCAAAAAGGCCTCAGAGACGGCCGCAGAGAAGGCCGCAAAGAAGGCCGCAAAGGAAGCCGCAAAGAAAGCCGCTGAAGTGAAGGCTGCTGCTGAAATCGCCGCCAAGAAGAAGCCTGCCGCCAAGAAGAAGACCGCGTCGGTGCAAACAAAGTACGTTGCGAGCGCACTCGTGTTGCTATCCTGTCATCAATCGCTGACGCTGACGCTGCCTCCTCGTCTTGATTCATCGCATGGCCCTGCCGCCTTTTCAGGCTCAGCGTAGTGAGCGATGATGGCGGTGACAGTTCATCATCAGCGTCCACTGGCAAGGGTCTCATCGGTTTTGTCTCGGAGAACTGCGGACCATCCGGCGCCACCGAAGAATTCCCGAACGGCTCCGAAAGCTTCTTGAACTGCGGTATCAGCAAAAGCAACCCTGATTCGGGATGGACACCTCCCAAGGGCATTCGGTTGGACCACATCGCCACTGTCAGCATCGAAGAGGCGCTCGCCAAGAACCCCATCTGGGCCCCCTGCGCCAAATTCACCGAGCTGTTCGAAAAGGTCGCCGAGAAAACGAATTTGCCGCCCATTCTGTTGATGGCTCTTGCTCTCCAAGAGGTGGGTTTTGCTTGGGTCCGTAACCAGGAAGGAGGGCCTCCTCGAGAGTGGAGTTATTAAACTGACCGACCGCGTCTCTTTCTACGCAGTCGACGTGCATGGAGGATACGATTGGCGATAGCGGCGGTGCCTTTGGCTTGATGCAGATCACCGAAACCAAGTGTGGTGGTCGAAACGCAAAAGACTGCTCCGCACCAGAGTACAACGTCTTGACGGGCGCGCAATACTTGCGCGACGAGATCGATCGCCAAAACGGCGCCTTCCTCGTCGCTCTTGGTCAATATAACGGCTGGTACCCCGGTTTGAGCTACAACATAGCTATAGCACCTGCAAAAGAGGGTCATTGCGAGTGGCAGCAGAACTTGGATTACTTTGAACAAGTTCTAAACGGTTGGCTCCTCGGTAGGACCGGCTACACGATGGGTTCCATGAAGAATCTGGCCAACTGCCATTGAGGCCTCGGTGCCTACTCAATCACATATACCCCAGATATCCGATCTTCAATTTGGATGTGATCACCCTCGAAATAGCTTTTGGTCACGTTGTGGCTGGCCCACTTCTGTATGTAATAATGATCGACGGGCTAGGCCTGCTGAATGGTGTCAATATATTGCTGTTTCATCCCACTGGTATTCCCGATTATGATTAGTTACTAGTTGTTGATATTAGTCGCCCCGCGTGTCTCGAGCCTGCCTCGCGCGCGCTCCCTTAGCCAGATCGGCAGGTTAGTTAACCCAGCCAAATGAGCTCCCCCGCGCGGGCGAGTTAAGGCAGCTTTTCTGATTTTTGGCCCGGTTGGAGGTTGGTACAGGTTGGGTGCACCAATGCCCTCCCCACCCCCGTCCCACCCCGGCTCAGTGCACCCCAAATGGTCATAAGTAAGGGGCTACTAGTTCGTGTAAGACTCACCATCATCACCCGAAGACTCGTAAGTTCGAATGATGTCATAAATGTCATACAGCTTGTCGTACTCAGTCCATTCAATTCGTGTAGTTCCATATACCATCAACTGACATGTGTACGACAGATTCTGTGTAGACCTTTTCGTCCTGTTTTCTTGTATTTGTTAGTTTGGATACGACCGAGGGAGTACACACCGTGTCTATGATTGGGCCCGAGGGAGGGATCGGTCCTGGTCCCTGGAATCCTGGATCGGTCCTCGAGCAGACAAACGCTTATTCTGAACGGTGTGCACTGTGTATAGAAAATGGATATCTAGTGAAGCCCCTTCGGACGGTCGACTTGGATCCAGCGGCAATCAGTCCTGCATCAATTCCCAGAGAGTAATTGAACGGGCAAAATTGAGGCGGGGCTGTGCCTGGCTGTGCGGCCGCACGCGGAGCTCAGATTGGCGAGCGCTCTGCGTGAACACGTTGACCTCTGCACACTCACGTCAACGCGACAACGCGCACCCTTGACCCACGCCACGCCCCGCATCTCAATACGTTGAAACCTCCCTGCGCCTGTTGAACGAACATCGATGCTATTGCCGAATGGAGGTATGTGGACGCGTTTCCCCGCCTCACATCCCCCTTCATGGGCCTAATTGTGTTGCTCCACCATGACGCGACCGTCAGACATACGCGTGGGATCTAGGCAAGGTTCTCCAGCAGAGTCCATTTCCTTTGGCGCTCATCCGAGTGAGTGCTCTTGTCTGGTGTGCCAACTAAGATCCCTTGTAGCAGGGCTGAGAGCAGAGTGCCGGTCATCGACCTCATCCTTCTATCTACTCAATCCTGCCGGACAGCTGAAGAATTCTCTGTTCTCTCACACCTCTTGCAGGTCGGAGGGACGATCAAAGCGGTCGAACATCCTCACAAGCCAGCACAACTCTGGATGAACCGTCTCCACGCCCGACTCGGAAGAGAAAGCGGCGCATGCCCGTGCCCCAAACCCCTTCGTCCGACTCCGACTCTGACGAGCCCAATTGGGGCGATTCCAGTCACTCCTCGGCTGACGACAGCGACAGTTACAGTGACAGTAAGAGCGAGTTTGAAGATGTCGCGATCGACCATCGAAGAGCTATCAGGCTCTGGACGGCCATACATGGCTCGCATCGGAACGCGACCGGTCGTATGAGTCAAAGAAAGTGGACCTCGCTGAAGCACTAGGCCGCTCGAAGATATTACTCGGAGCTCAAGATGGCCGCGAAACTCGGCATATCCCATGCAAGGCTCGTTCAGGCCGTCAAAAAGTTCAACAGCCTCGCTTCGAAGGGCAATGCGTGGTCTAGATTTCTCTCGGACCCTGTAGTCAACGTTTTACACCAGCGAGCAAGCAAGGGTGAGTCGGTCCTCCGGGCGCTTCCGGTCATGCCCACTCCACTCTCCTACGCTCTCGCTTATGCTTACCGCTGCGTCCGCAATATCTGTTCTTACATACCCTGGGTGTGTCAAACGTGTTCAGAATCGGATCATTCGAAATCGCAATCCATCACCAAACTTGCCGCTCAACTCTGGAACTTCCTGAGAGACCAGGGGGACCTCGGATCTGCCCAACTTGGCGAGGACGATGAAGAGCTTGTTCGCGCGGCTTTTGCAGCGGCAGAGGCAGGAAATAATACGACTTTCACTTCGATAGTACCACCCACCATCATCACACGGTCGCCATCCGACATTCCTTCCCCAACTCGGATGGAGCAATGCAAAAAGTACATTGCAGAATTGCGAGACCTGGCGCAACGCATGTCCAAGCTGTACGGAGTGGAAACCCTGGCCTTCATTGTCCCTCGTTATCAAGACGACGTATCGCCAGCGACGAAGGCAACCGTGCATTCGATAGGTGGGCTCAGATTTGCAGCTCACTGCAACGACTTCAAGGATCCATCCGGCAATTCCTTGTTGTCTAATTTTGCTTCCAAGATGAGCTGGGATGAGACACTCAAGGCCAATGAAGCGACAGATCTGAAAGAGGGTGAGCTTTTCATCGCAGATTATGCGCGCATGAGACCACGTTACCGTTACCAATTATGTGACATATGTTTTCGTCTCATCTATCAGCAAACACTCGCTCGATGGACAGTGCTACTCGCGGCGTTCTTGGCAAATGGCACGGCATTCTGTTCCGCGCCCAACTCAGTAAGTAGTCTGCATCTGATCGGGCTCGACTCCGTGCTAATCATTTCCGCCTTTACATACTCTGCTCTCGAGACTATACATCGCCGTTCCGACACGGGATCATCGACAGGCGATTTCACACCTCAGAAGAAGATGATATGGTCTACCCAGGGCTTGAAGGCACTGGGTGTCAAATTGCGGATCAAGCCCGGAACGAAGAGTAGATACGAAATGGCTCTGCATCATAGTGCAGAGACATCGCCCAAGCAAACCGTTGCTCAGCTCAAGGCTATCATTGACGACCTCCGTCACGGCCACCTCGCTATCGTACCCTCGGTGGACCCGAACGACAATACGGAGGCAGAGGCAAGCGACGATGACTCGAATGGCGGAGAAGGACCCCTGAGCCCAAGATTTGGTGGAGCCGGGGACGAAGGCGGAGAGGTACGCGGCGGAGAAAAAAGCGGAGAAGAAGATAGAGAAAGAAATACCGAGGGGGTGGCGGAGGAGACCGGAGGATGAATGAAGCAAAACATCGTCGATGGATTGAGACTGTTCTTATGTCTTTCTTTGGGCATATTATGCTCTGAGTCGGTCTGCAAGATGACCGATATTTGTTATGTCTCTGTGGTTTGTGGCGCGTCTTTCAGTGTAGATCCTTCAGTTTAGTTTCAGATGATTGTCATACACGCATACAGCGTCTCAGCTGCCATCTTGATTGTGGCGATTAATCTTAACAGGATTGTAAATTAACATGATCAAAATGCTCATTCTGTCAGGCTCTGCCAAGATCACTGGGCATACTCGACCCCCCCCCCCCCCCCCCACGGCCCCCCGGGACTGTTTCTTACGTCACGGCCCGGGGGCCCCTGTGTGCTCCGGGCGCCGGAACCTGACCAAGTCAGCGGCCGGCATCCCGTTCATCTACGGCCCCCCTTCCAGAGATTAGGCTGGAGTCTTCCTTCGCAACCAATGGTCCCGCACCTTTGTCCTACAAGGACTCGGGGCGCACCGCATAGGCCGCAGCACAACGGTGTGGCGCTCGCATCCAGGTAAGGCGACATCTCTGCGCATCTATTTACCCTTGGGTCAACGAAATTAGAATGGCTCTCGGGCCGACGCATCTCCTCTTTCTTCTTCTTCTTCTTCTGAACTTGTGATATACAACCAAATGGCCATACACCTTTTCCAACTTCGACCTCATCGCCGTTTCTTGCGCCTCCCGTTTCAAACACACTTGGGATCCAATCCCTCCTAATCATTCCTCATATCCATGCTTCGTCCGAAGGCGCCGTACTATTGACCGTGTCTCGTTGCATAAGTCTGTTTGACCTTTTGGCCTACCATTGTCTTGTTCCCTTAGATACAATCTGACTTCACCTTCTGGTCGGACCGGTTGCCACTGCATAACTCTCAACTGCCTGCGCGCCGCAAAACCGGACGGTGGATAACTGTGAGGTCATTCGTTGGGACTGCAATACAGGGGTCAGACGACAGCTCGACCTCTCCTTTCATGTCCCATCCTGAATTCACCCATCGTCGCAACTATAAGACCCAACTGAAGACCAAGAAGACGACCGTCACAGTGATGACAAGACGGTATCTCCCGTCGAAAAGAACTTTGAAAACACCCTCCCGGTATGGGTACTTTCAGTCTGACTCCAACACGACGTGTTGTCCACCTTGAGTTTGAACCCTGATTGGTGTCACAAAAGACTATATGACCTGCCATCACCGAAAACCACGGCGGGGCAGTCGGTCGGTCGATATTAGAAGGAGGCCCAGGCCACAACAGCGTGCAGAACTCTCAAGCCGCCTAATGCGATGAGAAAACGTAGAGCAACGACAGAGCAAGGGGTGTATAAAGGTGAATCTGACTCACTCGTGGCTTCGTTCAGTCATATACAGCGCAGTACTTTGGGCATGGGTGACTATAACTTGCTGCAGTTCGACTGTTGAAACGCAAACGCCGTGACGACGTACTTCGCGTCGAGATTACAGTGAGCGTGTAAACTGCGCAGGAAGGAATTGCGACAAAGCAGTGCGGCGCTGGCTCTTAGCAACTTAGCAAGGAGTTCATTAACGTGCCACCAATGTACAATTCATTATATCATACAGAAAAAGACTGTTAAGGGTGATCAACTTCTGTATCTTGCGTCTGAAAAGTCATCAACCAAGTTCCGAGGCAAATACTCAATGGACCTGGTCGAGTGTGAGGCTCGGAGTGGCCGTGACAACACTACAGAAGACCTTTGTACGACGTTGGAACTGTGAGCCGGATCCGGACTTCGTTCAAGTATACATCAAAATGTAGTCGGCAGTGTTGGAATATGATACGTACTTTTGCAATCCCTGCTGACTGTTCGGGAAGTGTCACCCAAGGCACGACACGGACTACG